TCTAATATATTATCCTCTAAATATACTATATTATATAAGATTTATACTAGAAATACTATTTCTATTATGAATATTATAACAAAATACGCTAAAAGCTCCGGCTATAACAACCGATAGGTGACACCTAAGTGGTACCTATGCCGACGGCCGAGCGGCACCCATACCGACGGCCGAGTAGCACCCATGCTAACGGCTGAGTGGCACCCGTGCTAACACCTAAGTGACACCCTGTACTAACGGCTGAGTGGCACCCGTACTGACGCCTGAGTGACACTTATACTAATGCCTAAATAGCGCCCATATTGGCACCTTAGCTCACCGATACCCCGCTTATAGCGCCCGTATTAGCACCTCAGCTCACCGATACCCCGCTTATAGCACCCGTATTAGCACCTCAGCTCACTAAGATCCCGCTTATGGCGCCCGTATTAGCACCTTAGCTCACCAAGACCCCGCTTATAGCACCCGTATTGGCACCTCAGCTCACCGAGACCCCGCTTATGGCACCCATACATCACCTAAGCCTACCTATAACGAATAGGGTAGTTATAACAATAAAAACTAGGTATAGCTATAATACTTGATATACATATAGGACCTTCTTGCCCATAGAATAATATACACAATAAGACAAGCAAGACAATCAATACAACATCAGCAAACATTGCAAACATCAATCTTCTTCTTTATTGAACAAACCCTAATACCTTTTCTTTATCCAACCTTCCCTAAGCCTATTAAGACATACAAAGTCTAAGACTTATGATAATACTTAAAACAAATTAATTTAGGGAATTTATTTCTAGATTCTATTTAGATATCTACTATATTTCTAAATTAGAGAACTTAAATCTAAAACTATTAGAGTACTAAATATAATTATAAGAATAACTTTCTTTTAAAATCTTTATAAATATACTATAAAATCAATAAAATATATCTAAGAAATATAGAATTTTTTTTATAAAAAGGTTTAATATTATTAAAATAGTCAGATTATTAATAAGAAATCTCTATTTCAAGTATGTTAAAAAAAAATCATATTCTATAATTTATTAATCTAAGATAGATTAATATATAAATTAGATCTTAAATTTATAGACTTATTCTCTCTAAGAAATATAAACTATATAATATATTTCTAGCCTATTTATTAAAGTTATAAACTATAACTAAAAACTAAGCAATTCTACTACTACTAGAATTAGCAGATAGTAGATAATAGAAAATTAAAGAAATTAAAGATAAATAATTTTCTAAAGAAGAATTATCTTATATAATTAAATAGACTAGATAATTTATAGAATATAATATTTAGAAACTAGTAAATTTATTATTTAATATATAAAATATTATTAAGTAATTTAAATAGTAAAAGAAATATAAAATAAAGAAATAAACTAAGTATACTCTCTTAAAAAAAGGGAATCCTAAATTATAAATAAAATATAATTGAAAATCCTTTAAAAACCAAGTAAAATATAAAAAAAAATGATTAGAAATTACTATAGAAATATCTCTATAAACCTTAAATATACTAAGTAACTACTAGATCTTAAGTATTTTTACTAATATCCCTATTAGTAGAGACTAAATCTCTAATTATTTATACTATCTTTTTTTTTTAAAAAAAATTATTAATTACTAAAGACTATAATTATTATCTTCAGATTATAATTAATAAAGAAAACTTACTACTATAATTTAATTACTAGTTAATTAGGTAGAATACTAATACCAATAACTTAGAGAATACTAAGAAATAGAGTATATATTTTCTTATACTAATTAATCTCTATTAGATAAAATCTTTTAGATATCTATATTATTCTTTATATTATTATTTAAAATCTACTTAGAATAATAAGTAAAAATTATATACTAAAATAAGAATATAAAAAAGATAGATTTTCTCTTAGAAAATTCTTATAATATTAGACCCTAAATAATATTAATTCTACAATAATCTATAATTTCTCTACTAATAATACTTACTATAATATTATAAGTCTAGTTTAAATAAGTACTAAATTATAGATATTACTTATCATACTAACTAGAATCTATAATATATTAGTAAGAAAAATCTCTAAAAGTCTTCTAAAAATTTAATCCTGAATATATTTAAATTTAAATAAACTACTAGAATAATCAGTAACTAGACTAATATATAATACTATTATATAGCCTAGGTATTAAATATAAAAACTATATTTAGTAACTTAAGAATATACCCTATAATAATTCTAATTAGTAACTAAAGGAATAATAATAGTAGTTATAATACTACTAGATACAGTTATAATTAGAATCTAATTAGTACTAATAAAGGAATAATAAAGTTAGAAAGAATAGATATTTTCTAAAATATTTTCTCCTAAGATTTATAAGTTTTTTATTAGTTTTCTATATCTATATCCCTTTATTTGTAATTAGAATAGAAGTTACTATATATAATCCTATTACTATTTAGTAAGAAATCCCCTTTATTATATATCCTTATTACCTTATTATTTATTCTATTTTATTTAGTATCATAGACTATTATAGTAAGTATAATATACTTTAAAAGAAGAGAATTAGTTATTATAGGAAATTAATATCAATCCCTAATTATATAATACTAGATTATATGATATTAAAGTAGGAATAAAATTAACCCTAGAGTCTCCTTTGTTAGTGTAAGATAAAAGTATAAATAACCACTAATACAGAACCTATTATATATAGAAGGGGGATTAATAAAGTAGTATCAGGCCAAATTTATATCTAATTTGGATATAACTATCCTATAGAATAAGGGGTTACTTTGTATTATGAATAGGTAGCTTAGGCTTGATTTTTTGAAAGTTCTTCAAGAATCAGTCTCTGTTTTATAATCAATACTTAGGCTTCTTTCCTATTTCTTACCTGACTAATTAGTACTGGCTGATACCTCAGTAACCCTTACATTTGTTTAATTATGTAAATTTACCTATTTTAGAAACTATACCCCCCTCCCCCCTCTCTATCTTACCTAATTAAAGGTTGGATTTCTATAGAAGCCACAAAAGTAATCAAGAAAAAGTTAAATGTAAAAGTCGTCGCTTGAACATTATCTGGATACCGCCTATGACAGAGCCCGAGCCTGAGCCTAAACCTGTGCCTGAAACGCCGGGGCCTCTAGATAAAGCACTACCGCCTGAGGAAATAGAATATAATAATACAGAGACTATGTATAGAGAACGAAGTATTTGAACTGGATAGCTGTGGGATAAATTTACTCGGAATCTGGTCATTCTAGGTACAGAAAGTAATCTATTGGAAACTACATTCATATCATCTGAGATTACTGGTTCCTGGAAAGATTTTCACCCTGTCTTTCTTGAGCAGGCAAAATTATATGTGCTGGCTGACAAATATGGCATAGAGCCTTTGCGTCAACTTGTCCTTTGCAAGCTGTACAGTATTTCGGGAAATCGGTGTCGCCTCTTATGCTCTTTCATTGTTCCCCGAACCCTAAATGCCAAGAAACGCTAAATTCTCTTTGACAGCTGTGTCAGCCTCCTTGGTTTTGACACTGTACTGTAAACAACCGGACTATCAACAAAGCGGGAAGCGCGTTTATTACAGTAAAACTCGAAATCAAATTTCACCACCCCCTGCTTTTACTCTTTCTCCCTGGCGCGCTCCCTGGATAAAGCTAAGCTACTATTGGCCAAGCTCGGTCCATACAGCTAATTATGTATGTACCTTTTGCCGACTGTTAAAAAAATACCGCAATCCCAATTTCTGGAAGCGGATACTTCTCGTTCCCGATCTTCTTTTCTCGGCTGGGGTGGCTTTTCGTTTGCTCCAGGGCTTTTGCCGGCGAACACAAAACCTCAAGATGTCTCATTGAGTTTAAAGATGGTCAATATATTTTAGATACCGAGGTGCTAACGCGCTTATGGCGGCATTAGAAATAGCAGCGGCAGTTTAATAGGCTGCCATCACCACTTTAAGTAGAGACGGCTATTGGGAATATAAAAGGCTGCACCTACTTGCATATTCTAAAAATGGATATCGCACTTGTACCTTAATCCAGCATCGGGGATTTCAAACAGTGGGCATTCTGGGTCAATCAACATCAACTAGAATATCAGCCGATCAAATATTGAGTTCAATAAAAACCTGTTGGGATGGGAAATATTCTCACTAGTAGTGTCAGTTTGATTCAACACCCACTGCCACTGCTAACTTTCGTTTGTTTTACGTGATGGGTTGGGTCAATAAGGCCCAATGTCGAAATGAAATTGCTAGTGTCTCAGGCCGGGAGACAGAGATCTGCGGTAGTAGCCTAGGAGAATCCTTCGACCATCCCATCGATTTTGTTCCTCAGCAAAAGGAGCTACAGACATCCTACAATGCAAGGATTGAGCTTTAATTGGCGAGTAGGAAAGTGGAGACTAGGCAACTGCCGTATTCCCGTTGCGGAGTACGGAGTCCCAGTTTAGTTAGGCGAGTTCGCAAGTAGCCTAGCTTACTCGGAACAACACATTTGGGCAATTGACGCTGCTGGCACGTGAATACATACGACGAATCGCGAATTAATGTTTCTAAGATACAGACTAAAAATATGGATTCTCTTTCAAATATACCCCCCTGAGATTTGGTCTAGACGTGTCATAAGAACTTGGCGCAAGAACTCAAAAGAGTCGATGATCAGTCAACAGATGAATCGCTGGATTTTATTTGTCCGACTGTCCGGATTCACGTGGCAATATGCCCCAAGCGCAGAAGATCGCGCAGATGTGTTTAGTAGATGGCTTGACTACGAGGTATCAAGGAGAGGAACCGGGAATAGAACTCCTTGTGGGTCGACGGATCAGTGACTGAAGTACACGTTTCCCGTGGATGCCCTATTTTGTATTTAAGAAGCCTGCCGTTTTCTTATCTTTTCATTCATGGCCAAATTTCTCTCACACTCTACCTCCACCTCACTCTATCAATAAATCCAGACACAAATACACTTAAACGAAATGGCGTTCGCTTTGGAACTCGACATCTTGGGACAGCACCCTATGCTCAGATTGATGTACACAAATCTAAGCTATATCTTCCCTTTAGATGAGAGTCCACATCATACGGCCACGGAACCTGTCATCCAGACCCTCACCACTGGCTTGCAGTGTTTTTCTGAATACTTTCCATGGATAGCTGGACAAGTTGCAAGCACGAGGGCTGGGGAAGGCGGCTCTGAAGTTCCCAGAATCATACCGTTCGAAGAGGTACCTATATTTCAGAGAGCAAATCGGCCAGACTTTACGATTCATGCCTTTAGAGAGGCAAATTGGTCTATGCGAATGCTCAATCCAGACGTGTTCGCACCGCGCCTGATTCCTCTCGGCCAGGCTCCCAGTCCATCTCATCCGGTGCCAGTATTCCTCCTACGGGCAACATTCATCACGGGCGCTGTCGTCATCACGTTTTCGGCAAACCATAGCGCCATGGATATGACGGGACAGACTACAATGATCCGACTACTGAATAAGGCTTGCCATGGCATCGCATTCACAGAAGAAGAGCTGCGTCTGGGAAACAGGAAAATGGAAGTCGACCTTGCTTTACTGGGGAACAAAGATGATCAGGAACTCAGAGCAGAAATATCCTGTCAACTCAACAGAAAGATGAAAATTCAGACAGTCGATCCAGCCACATCGAAGCCAAATGCTGACGATGATGGTCCTAGCGAGCCGGTGAAAGTTACCTGGGCATATTTCCAGGCACTTCCGTCGTCTCTGGCGAAACTCAAAGTGAAAGCTACTGAATCAGTCCCGAATTCTCATTTCGTGTCCACTGACGACGCTCTTACTGCATTAATCTGGCAAGCAATCTCTCGTGCACGCAGCTCTCATCTCCACGTTTCCACGAGGTTGTTATTGGCAAGAGCAGTGGATGCGAGGAAGGCGATGGGCGTCGCAGACATGTACCCGGGCATGATGCAGAACATGGCATTCAATAACATGGCTGTCGAGGATGTTTTAGACATGCCTCTTGGCGCAATCGCGACTAGATTGCGAGAAAAGTTGGGCATTGACGACCTTGGACATGCGATGCGAGTGATAATGACATTGATGAACCGCCATCCACACGAGTCTCCCATTTTGAAGTATCTCAAGCCATCGTACGATGTGATGGTTACTTCCTGGGCGAAGATGAACTGTTATAGTGATACCTTCAATCTGGGGTTGGGAGGACCGGAGAACGTGTTACGCCCGGGTTTACCTCCTATAGGAGAAGGATGGGTGAACTTGATGCCGAAGTCGGAAGAGAAGGGAATTTCGTTTGGGGTTTGTTTGAAGGAGGCAGAAATGAAATTGTTGAAGACTGATGAGAAGTTTGGCAAATATGTGCAATGCATCGACTAATCTCGGATAACGAGCGTGGCTTATATTCGTATCTTGGAAAATATTGTGCTGTGATATGAGGCTGGTAAAGATTAGGAACCGAACTGCACATGAGAAAGTTTCCGAGGTGCCTACACAAAGAACCAAGCTGGGTTAATATAATGTTTGCACGTTAGAAGCATAATCAGAGCACATGTCATCCTACGGTGTTTTTCAGGAATAGATTTGAAGGTGAGTTGCGTAGCAGGAATTGTGGCAGCGACGGCTTTATTTGAAAACTGCCGCGCAGATAGCCGCAGCTGATTGCTACCATTTACGATTGCTCGACGTAGTACGGATCTTTCAGCAAAGGGGCATAGTCAAGCCACGTGAAACGAGGTCTATCCACCAACATCCAGAGGCTTATGGACTTCAGCACCGCTCGCTGACTTGTTGCGTTTCTTAGAATTGGAATTCCAGTGTATGTTAGTCTGGTGGCTCGGTTACCATTTGAGGCGGGGCCGCTGCTAAGATTCGGTGCCACGATTCAATTGGCTTTCCTATCTTCAGGGCAATGCCCGTGCCCGACATTACAATATTGCAACCTATGAGTTAAGGATATAATCATAATATAATTAAACTATATAAGTCTATTTAGTAAATAGATACCTAATTCTAAGCACTCGATTCCCATTTTCATATCGGATCTCCATTAGTGCTTTAACAATAATAATGCTATGAAAAGGGAAATTATAATAAAATAAAATAAAATAATCCCAAATAATCAGCAGAGCCATATCGGGCCATAGATGTACCAGCAGTGGCCACGTTTAAGCCTAGTGGCAATTTTGGGCTGGAGGTAGGCTCGGGAAACCCTGCAAGGCCTCAAAAAGCACGCAGGTATGCATATTTTGGCCGCACTATGAACAAGAATGGAAATACCATCTCCCGACAGCAATTATTACCCGCCATGTGCAAAACACTCAAAAAACCTGTATATGACCAGTGAGAATAGACAAAAATGAGAGAAAGAGAGAAATCAAGCAAGCAATTTTAGGTATACAGGCAGAAATTGACACCGCGACTTTTAAGTTCTTTTTCAATCAGCTCCTTCATCAAGCAGCCCCTGGCATGTGCCCACCAGCATCTGTTTGGTGGCAGAAGCTGACCCACCGCGTGATAAAACTGAAGGAGTATCAAAAGAGCTCGCGAGTCTTCTTCGAAAATTAACTTGGCAAATGGTCCACAGCAGAGAATTGGAAATCCAAATAGAAGCTGCTCAATGTCAGATTGCTGTGCGAGACTGGAGCATGCCCCGGCATTTAATGAGGGCGTCGTAAGATATGCACAGCACAAGAGAGGCGACAAACGGCGTATGATGTATGTCAACAATGAGCGAGGTGATGTCGAAGGCACAACCATCGTAGCCGGAGAGTCTTCCGAGGAATACTTAATACAAATCCTAGTGAAGACATCTTTCACATGCATCAATGTTCCTTCATCATGGCTTTCCGGGAATGAAGTCGACGTGGGTTGGGGACATTCTCTATGCCATGGAGTTTCCTTTTCCAAGCTAGAAAGGAATCCCCAAGAACAGAATGTAGGCCCATAAGTGGCTATTCCGGAAGACCCTAAGTTCGAAGTCTGGTCGGGTAAATCACCCAATATTTCTATTAAAGGCTCCACAAAGTGCTGTGGATTCACACCACGTTGCCTTAGAGCTTCCTCGATATAAAGCCTTGGGTGGTGGAATATAATCTCTGTAAAAATGCTTCCTTTGTCAATGAAGATGGGAATAGCTTGAAACCATAGTTGAACAATGCACGGGCTAAGAAAGAATAGTTGGTCTTGGCTGATGTTGAGTTTTGCTGTGGGATGGACGTTTGGCGAAGTATCCAGGAAGCCGAGGTCAAACCAGGATATGTAGTTAATCAAAAGCGCCGTTCCCATTAGTGTCTCGCAATTATCTTCCGTGAGAGGATGTGATAAGCTTTTGCGAAAGAGATTAATTGCTTGGGGCATCAGCTGCGTTGAAACGCGCGCGTATTTAGCGTTCTCCAGATTAAGAGTTGTGAGGTGCATAGCGGAAATGCATAGAATGGCGGACATAATAGATTGGTCCTATATTGACTAAGCGAAGACGTACTTTCTCTGAAACGGGAAGGTGGGCATACTTCAAAAGAACGTTGCATAATGACTGGCCAGACTTGTGGAAACGAGAGAGTCGATCGGGTTTCCCTGTCCCAGTGATAAAATAGCTCCAAATGCAGCAGGCTGATCTGAGGATGAAGATCTACCCCGAGATATGGGCTTGCTTTCGAGAGAACCGGGGCAATGACAAGGCCAGAGGGGGAAGGTTGACATTGAACATTGCGTTTGACGCATCTGGAGCATGGGAGGCACTCATCACACTGACTTATTAGCCTAGATTTTCAAAGATATATGATAAAGAGCAAAGGTAGCAATACGTACTTTGACTTTCCGAACTTTGCATGCGATACAACCTCGCCTGCTCTTGGTGTGGGCGCGCTTCTTGCGCGGCTCATTCGTATTTCCGATAGTGTGTATTCTGGGGACTTCGCCCGCCGAGTACGGTAGCAGAATTGTGTTTGTGAAGGAGGCGGGAATTAAGGTATTCAGCATTGATCCTTGATTCATGGCGTCTGAAGGGCTGGCGAATGAACATGGGAGGATGGAAACAACCCTTTCTCTCGAGCATAAGTGAATTGGGCTGTGGTTTGTTGATTTTAGTCTCGCACCTCCGATTGGGAATACGCAGGTTTTTAAGTAATTAGTCTGTTCCAGCAAAGTGGGGCTTCCGGATTCCCGTTTGAGAAGACGAAGTCCTAATTTAGTTAGCCGAGTTTGCAAGCAAGCGGCCTAAATTACCCAGATCAACCGATTGGTCGCTCCAGGACACCACGATTCGAATCAGCGCAATCATATCGCAAAACGATCGACGCTGCCGCTTGTGTCCAAACTCGGCTAACTAAATCGGGACTCCGTATTCCAAATTTGGGAATGCGAGATCCGCCTCGACTCCACCCATGTCATAGATGGCCTTTTTTGTGCCTATGGCGTCAGGCTCATATAGCAGGCGGTATGCCAAAGCGGTCAAATGGGAAAGGTAGTCTTATCACGACTGTAGTTAGTTACTGTCCCACCGACGAACATGAATCAGGACGGCATCATCAGCTTTCAATTGCGTGTGGATGATTATATAACCAACGCTGGCAGCTAATTGACCGAATAGTTTGCTGGACACGGTGTCTAGAACCCCTTTTAACCCTTACCTGATTACTAAACACTCAACACAATCCTCGCTTAAGTCCACCAGCTTTAGAGCTGCTTTTCGGGGTCATTCACTCCCATGACAGCTGCGTGGTGAGCTATCAAATTTTATTTTCAATCCAAAATGTCAAGATCAAAAGCTCCGAGGGCTCAATTTACCCATATAGGGCCCGATACAACCCTCGTTGACGCCTCTGTTATTGTTCCAGCATACAAAGAGAACGCGAATATTACATTCCTAGTAACTGAGATTTTCAGAGCTCTCGAGAGTCATTCCGATCTGACAGTGGAAGTCATCATTGTTGATGATAACTCTCAAGATGGTACTTCAGAGACTGTGGAATACTTGAAAATGGAGAGATATAACGTCAAAGCTATTGTCAGAAAGACAGAGAGAGGATTGAGCAGTGCAATCATTCGTGGCTTCAAAGAGGCTAGGGGTGAACGTCTCATTTGCATGGACGCTGATTTGCAGGTAAAGATGCTGTCCGAGCCACTCCAATTGAATTTACTAGTCGTGGACCCAAAAATACCATAGCACCCTCCCAGCACTGTTCCACAATTCATTCGAGGTCTATCTTCAGCTTATTCTTTTGCCTTGGGCACTCGGTATGGTATAGAAGTTAGCATGTCCAAAGAGTGGCCAATGCATCGAAGAATTATTTCCGCTGTTGCCAGAATTTTGGCACTACCACTCACGACCGTCAGCGATCCAATGTCAGGTTTCTTTGGAATCACTAAGGAAACGGTTTGTTCTCTATGGCCATTGGCCACAGTGTGCCTGTGGAAGACTGAATGCTGACTCCAATGTTTGTCACCTCTTTTAGTTTAACCGAACAGAGGATCTTAATACAGAGGGCTTCAAAATTGCGCTTGATCTACTAGTCAAGTCCAAAGTATCCCACCGTGACATTATCGAGATTCCTTTTGACTTTGGGACTCGAAAAGAAGGAGATAGCAAGTTGACAGGCAAAGTCATGCTAAGATATCTAGATCAACTACTTGGGCTTTATATTTTTAAGTTTGGCTTGAGTACAGTATTGGCCCTTGTCTCTTTTGCTCTTTTCATTATGTATTTATTACTAGCTTCTCCTCTTCGATGCAGTTTTCTAGAAAATTGATATCAGCTTTGATGTTTGAGTTTTGAGTTGATGGCTGCCTCGGTAGCAATTCTGTGAAAGCTTTTCTATCTTTGATATTGAGCTCGAAGTTTCCTATCAGCGTCCAGTAGAAAGGATCCGTAAAGCTCAGGATATCGTGGAGCCTGTAAATCCCCGAAAGTTCGGTCATTGTCATTTGAAGGGCAAAACTTCCCTCTCTGGGTAGCAGAGCAGCCTACAAGAAAGAACTGAATAATTGATGACAGCGGCATATTTATAGGCGCGGCGATAGCCTTTAATCTAGAAGGCCCCGCAACGTTCAATTGGGTAATGTTCATAACCTATGTAGAGCTGACTTTGAAAAGTTTCACCATTTCACTCAGAACAGAAATTCGAAGTCAAGCAAGACGGAAAGGGGTTTTGATGCAGAGCTAGTCGATGCCATAGACTATTTCTATGTATTGCTTTTATATTTCATTATTACGATTAGAAATCGCAGTGGATACAGTAATAGTAGTTCTTGCTCACATTGATGATTTCTCAGACACTGATGAAGAAGAACTCTAGACATTGGGGCATGTTGCCGGGCTATCTCCTATCAAAAAAGGTGTGTCGTGCAGTTCCTCTTGTCTTCTAGATAACACTTCCGCTGGTCCTTACCAAGTACCTCCGTCCTGCGGATACTCATATCTGGGATCCGATTGCCGATTCTTGCAATCCAAATACTCTAACCCCTTCAGATCGACAAGTTTGCGTAAATCGAGATTCAGCCCATGTGGCTGGTCTTGGTCGATTGTAAGTGCATTCACAGTCAAATATCCAGTCTCGTTTTCTTTATAACCGTCCGGCTCTATTCGCCAGACAGGGAGCCTGTTACCCATAGTTTGACCAGCAGCTGCTGTACCCGTTCCAAATGAACTCGATGACACCGACCCGAGAGCTGACAGGTCAATATAGTCTTTCTTCCAGCGTGCTGCGGCACCCATGCATCGAACACCACACCCGGGGCAAAAGAGCCAGTTTACTAGCCGTTCATTGCATTGGTACTTAACAAGAACATCTGTATCGAGCGGCGAAAGGATAAAAAATTGGTTGGCGGCATTTGGCAGACGAAGATGGAAAAACCCCGTTTTGTGACACAACGAACAGTTGCATTTGTAGAAGCGGGGCTGCGAGGGGGAAAGCAAAGCAGACTGTGTTGTCTCTGATGGCATTGAGATAAATGCAATATATTTGAACAGGCCACAGTGACAAGAGCCACTATAGGGAAGCTCTTTGGGTTGCATATCTAGCAGATGTAACTATTGAAGATACCGCACTAGATGAAAAGCGTGAAGGGGCCGGGATAGAGGTCAGATAGAAAGTCTGCGTTTTGTACTTTTTCCATATGACACGTTGGTAAAGGTCATGTGACAGTATGAATCAAATGTGCAAATCACACAAGTTTCGGCTCTTCGCCTCATTCCTAAAAAGTGGCCTGGCCTCGATTCTGGACTTGATCTACAGTAAGTTGAACGGTGCTTTTTTGCGAAATTGGTGGAGAAAGTACATCCTTGCTTCACGTCATGAGCAGCAGCTATACCCTTCGTTACACGCTGTGTCATCGGTCACGTGAAATTTGGCCAAGCTCTTATATGCGTATAGACCCAACCCCCGGGTTGATTTCTAAAGGAGAGCCCCAATTTTCTGGTCCGTGTCTTATAACCACTCATTCGAGATCTGTCATAGAGTAGTCGTCTGCCGGTGGCGTCGATCGTCGAGATGGGTTGCTCCAAATAATTTAGGTCGCTTGCGAACTCGCCTAATTAAACTGGGACTCCGTATTACTAAATGAGAATGCGGTAGTTAGGATGGACTCGCTTTTCCCTTTTATGCTTAGATCTGCGCTCACCGTATTTGGCTAGGAACCCGCCTAGCTGAATTAGGACTAGGCTGCCGCATAAACGCGGTTTGGATATCAGGCGATCTCCATAGTCGCAGTTTTGCGAGTGCCCATGGGTAGAACTGGCTCTACTGTAACCAGCGGGTGACCTTTGATGTTTGGTTTATGAGTGATGTCTCGTTGTTCATATTATATTTGGGGAGTTGGCTGTGTGTTATGTTGTATATTGTCTACTGTAAGACACAAGTAGACTGATGAGCGGGTATACATGTAAACACGTGATCTAAACCTCATTATTATCTCAGCAACTCATCTTGGCCAAACGCCATATTGCACGCCGTGGTCATCGGGAGGTGCACGAAAAGATAGATCTATTTTACCATTACGATTAAGTCTGGGAGAAACTCTGCTGGATAAGGTCGGTAATATCTGTTAACTGTGGGACCTCCGCTATCCAATATCCTGCACTGATATCTGCACGCGCAAGCTTCCTATAGAGATCTAAATCGGAGATATCTAAATTCTCGTAAATTTGCTTTTGACACAGCCGATCTGCCGGAAGATCTGATATCGAATTCTCTGATTTCAGAATTGTATCACATTCACAATTTTATAGACACGGAATGCAACAAGACGCCGCGTACAAGCATCTACGTAGTAGGCAACTTTTATAGTGTCATTAGCCAACATAAATGGTTTGTAGAAAGCAAACATCCTTACTCTCTGAGTTGTTTTTCCGAGTCTTCGGGATACGTTCCCACACTCAATGAAGCTGAACTTTGCTGAATGTGCAGTAATTCAGTACTAGCTTCTAGGCAGTACCTCAGAATATGGTTTCTCTGTCGTTCGCCCTCCCAGGGGAGTTCGCCAAATAAAGAGAATCCTCATGCTGCAACACCCGGAAGTCGTTCATGACTTCTACAATTCTCATCGCACGCAGCATATCTCTATTGTCGCTTTTGACTCTTCCAAACTTATTTTGAGCATCTCTGGGATCCATATCCACTACACGTCTCGCAGCAGTGAGAAAGAGTCAAATATGTTTATGGAAAATCGCTTGCGAACGATGTAATACGTACCTGGGCTTAAAATATAGCTTACTCTCATTCGTTCACTCATGAGGTGATGAAAATAATAGGCATGCATGCTATTGGCAAACTTCATTAGGTGTTGTCCAATTCTGAGCAATCTTCTTACCCATTCCGAGAACGCGAGAACGCGAGAAAATCATCTCCAGCTATAATTTCTGACTCAACGGTAGCATAGAAGGTTGATATCCCTCTTTTAGCTGGCAGTGGAGACCACAAAGACCTTCCGTAACCAGTAATCCGCCGAACTCTGCAGTATCAAAACCGCCACCAACCTTACCCAGTCTGGTCAATTCGGCAATTCAATTTTTTTTGAAAAATATGGTCGGATTACCGTATACCTAGACCTGTACATGGGCCGGCCCATTCAGCCCCCAAATTTGCACAAATTATATGCAAGATATTCAATATTACTAGTGGTATTTGATAGTGTCCTAATTATACAGTTTTAACTATAGCAAACTAAGTTAACTATTAACAATCTCTAAAATAAATATTATATTAAACATTGATAATACTGTGAAGTGTATATACGACATTGATCTAGAGAAAAATAAGGACTTTAGGGTACATCTTAGAACTATTTACGGGCTTTTTGTTACGATCCACTATAACAAGATTTACTTTCTCCATCAAATAGCTAGGGAGTTCCTGCTTGCCGATACAGTTTCACCTATCTTAGATGCCTCAGACTTACTTTGGCAAAATTTCAACACCAGTCAAAGCGCACACACTGTTTTAGCAGAAATATGTATAATTTATCTGGATTTTTTGAATGAAGAGAATAATTTCCAGGAGCTTGAAAGTGAAGGCAAAGAGGCAGGAGACCATATGGTCCATTTCCGTGCCTTTTTTGGGTTATGCGGCCAACAACTGGGGTATACATGCCCACACGGCCTGCATTAGCGCCGGTTCGGATCTAAGGGGTGAGCGCCGCTTTGGCGTCGCGCGACTCGGGTGATTAGGGTGAGTGCGCAATAGAAAGGGTGAGTACAGGGTGAGCTGGGGTGAGAATCATACTTTGCCATACAACGATCGCACTTTGACCTTCGAAGCTGAAGTGAAGCATACATCATTGGCTGTTCTATCACCAAATGAGGCACTAGTCTACTTGTAACCTGCACATAGCCACCTTCTATGTCTCATAAAAGGAATGATGAGTGTGTACTACTTACCTCGCTACCCTCGGACCAGCAATCATGTTGTTTATTATATTTACATAGATGTGAAGGGTTGTAGCGACAGCCCTCTAATTGCTACTAGTTCTGCATGCTGTTCACAATAAGATTCAAGAAAGAGAGTTGTTTACGTATTTCCACCTGGTTTTCCTGCAAAGGAAAAAGGTCACGTGCAATCGCATGATATCAGCCGGGCCCTGGCCCGTTACATAGATACGTCTCTATCATGATCTTTTCAAATCTCAAAAGGGTCAGAACTCTGAGCGAAAAGTACTAGGCGGATAGATTGCCTGTCCCGCCTATATGCGAAGAAGCTTGCTGGCCTCGATCGGCAAACCAGCACTTGTAAAGTGAAGCGGCTTTTCTCTCTATTGAAGCTCCAAGGCTCAGGCCGTCAAGGCGAAGGTGATTGATCGCCTCCCCCAGCAGGACCCACTCAGCTACTTGGGCCAGCTAGTGTTCAATGACTAATTTTTACATGTGACCTTGGGTATTCCTGCTGATCTCCCGCCAGCTGTGTAAACAATTGCTCAACTGATTCCTCCTCTGAATATTTTGCTGCCGGCCCAAAGCAAACAATAATACTCTACCAGGGAGTGTCTTCTTGCCTCCCCTCACACCACCGCTTACAGCGGAGAGGCTGTTATCTAAAGGTGCCCAAAACGTGGCAAATTGTTTCAGACTCCACTGCGAAGGCTATCGGCCAAACCCCTGGTGGGAGAGTCGACTCAGACCGAACGATTATCCTCGGGTCTTAGATTCTCTGGATGCTGATAAAACCTTCAAAAATACATGAATGATAAGAAAAATTGTTACGATAAAGATATCTGTTTATTTTAGTAGTAGAAAATTGCCACTACTGTACATAGGCTTGCCAACATGTATATATAACTATTTACTAGTAATGACTTATCACTGATAGTAAGCTCAAAGAGACTAGAGTAAACCCTTAGTTACTACTAGCCTCATCACTTCAAAGAATCAAAAGCATCGATCAAGGCCTCAGCAAAAGGAGCGGGATGCTCCTCATAGCCATTATGGTGGCCCGGGAACATGAAGCGCGGACACTTCAAGATCCTGATGAATTGTGGTCCGGGCATAAAACGCATCCTCGCTCTTCCAGCCCGCCGCAGTAGCGATTGAAACTCGATTTTCCACAATCTTTTTGATATCCGGGCAGTAGATAGTAAACTGCATGAATTCGTTCTCCCAAAAGTTCTTCAGGTCCTCGAGGTCTGGCCTTTCGCCCGAGGGCCCATCATCGAAGCCCTTAAGCTCCGTGAAAAAGGCCGCAAAAGCAGCTTCAGATCCTGATTTCTGATAGGTATCCAGAATCATGAAGGCTCGGTCGAGGTGATATGTAGAATCGTCGAGAAGGGCGGTGGTGGGTGCTTCATGAACCATAACACGATCGAGGTATTCCGGATAGCTGACAGCAAATTGAAGAGCGATAATTCCTCCACCGCTATTTCCAAAGATGCAAAGCTTCTCTCGACCTAGGGCCTTGCATATGGCAATTACATCACGAGCTTGTTGGGCAGGGTTCAGCTGTTTTGGATCTGGAACTTGACTAGCATTGGTCTGGCGTCGGTCGAACGTGCAGACGGTGAACTCCTTGTCCATATATTCGAATAAAGGGTTGAACTGGCGCCCGATACCCCCTCCTCCGGGAATAAAGACAAGTAGCGGTCCACTTCCTTGATACCAATAATGCAAGTTGCAACCCTCTGTGTAAACAGACTCGTAGGTTGGATTGAAAGGCATGATGCGATGGCTTTTGTTTTGATGGTGATCAGTTTTGAAGTCAAAGCCAGGTAGAAAAAGGGCTACTTATTGTTTTATAGGGGGGCTTGAGTCCCTGTATGCTTCCTCATGTGCCGATGTCTCATGGGTGGAGATACCCCGCTGGAAATGGTCCCACCTGCCGGCGTCCCGTAAGGGATGGTGTGGAGGTCTAGGTGCCTCAGGCATGAAGAATCGTGTTCCCCTTGTCTCATGCTCACAAAGATCCATGCTCTAAACATTGGCATACATCACCACTTTCATAATTTGAGATTCTGTCAAAAATCATCCTCAATTCCAATACTCAAGGTTGGCACAAGTCGAGGTCCCACAAGGCATCTGGAGGGACTAGCTGCACTGGACTAAACTTTAAGCTGATGCGTCAAAACTTAAAAAGTTCGGAAGTTCCGAGATCAGCCCATCGTGTTTAATGGTTTAATAAAAATGACGCAGTGTGGTCGGATTCTCCGACCGTTGGCTTGGATTACCAACTGCTGAGGTAGCAAATTCTGTTTCTAGAGCTTAACATTTTCGTCATGTAGAGAGAAAGCTATATTGTTGCAAATATTATAATGGCGTATTTTCCAGCTGTATAATTCACTGTGGAGGGCTTTTCTCGCATCGAATTCATTACACCCCCCCTGGGTGGTAGACTATGGTTTGAATTACTTGACTTGGACGAGGAGTGAAAGAGAAACGGGCGTCATATTTTTGTTTGCGAAGTAATTGAGGTATTTCAAACGAGGAAACATATACTACTTTCTGTCAAAATATTATGGACTGAGGAAATAAATTGCGCTTTTGCAAGCCGTGAAATCACGACTGAACCGAGTCTCACGCTCAGACAATGCTAGTAAATATTGTACAGGCATCCATCTCAAGCAGCATACTTAGAATCAGAATTTGAGTTCGCAGGGGCATTCTCGATATTTTCAACTTCAATACCTCCCTTTAAACTGAGCGGAATTGACCTGCGGCGAGGATTAACCCGGGAGATTGCCACATTTTTCTTGGTCGAGGTGTTTCGAGCTTTCCCATCAGAAAGAAAGAAGTCGTCAATCTGCTCCAGGGTCAATCTCGCAGTTTCGGGCACGAATAAGTAAACAAGACCCAGAACAGCAACCGTCACACCAAAATAGAAGTAGCCAACATTCACCCCCATGTTCCCGTGTTCCGCATTTAACATATATGGTGTCCAGAATTGAGCACCAAATGCAAATATCTGGTAGAAGAATGTTGTGTTTGCCTGACCGATGGTGCGTAATCGAGTGCTGTGCATTTCGGCTGAAGCTAGCCAGACACTGGAACCAATAAGTCCGCCAAAGACAAACGCCCAGATGCAAAGGAAGGCGACAATAATGTTCTTTGCGTTCGTGCTGTCGCCAAGGGCGGTGCTAACGGAGGAGAGGATAAGCATACAGCTGGCCATTAGGCTATAGCCAAGTAGCATGGCGAACCTTCGTCCGCCGCTATCCAAAACAAATGGACTCATGCAAGCTCCACCAAAGATACAAAGACCCACTATTGCATTGATGAGATAAGGATTCTCGATCCCTATTCCTTCCAGAAACAAGGTTGCATAAGGGGAAACAAAATGAATACCGGTTATTGCCAATCCAACCAGAATGAATGCTGAGATAGCTGTGCGTTGGAGATTATGGCCCCGGTAAATCTCTGTCCAAGATGTGCTGGCATTGGTGGCTCGGTCGTATTCGAGAGATTGCTGGATATCTCGCACTTGTGCTGTGACCGTGTCTGAATATGGCATCACGTTTTGAAGTGTGCTGAAGGACCTGCGTGCTTCTTCTTCCTTTCCCCGTACCAATAACCAACGAGGCGATTCTGGGAAGAACATCATCCCAACGCCGAGGATAAGGCCAAGTGGGATCTGACAAATAATAGGTACTTTCCACTGCCAGTCATCCTGCGCTGGGAGAGTTGCTGAGGCAGCACAGACCGCAGATGACACAAGATTTCCCATGCCAAGCCCGATGTTGTAGATCCCAAGCAATAGACCCCGTTTGCTTGCAATGACGCATTCGGTTCCATAAACAATACTGGCAGCGCCAAGTTGGCCGATACCAATCGCACTTATGCTTTTGCACACCATGTAGTTCAAGAAGCTTCCCGATGTCCCTAGCATACCTCCAGCCCCAGCAATGCAGAAGAGACATGACACTTGTATGGTTCCCCGGCGACCGATTTTAGGGCCAAGAACTCCAGCCGAAATGCTTCCCAGTCCCATGAAGAGTACACTTATCCCGACAAGTGATTGCTGGAGTGCGGTGAGGGCACAGGTCTCAATAGCCGTTCCAGTCTCTGGATCAATTGTCTGTTGGCAATGACCAAATGCCTTTTGGTAGGATGGCATAACCAAAACAATGCCACCATAGCCGCCGTCAAAGTTGGCAATCCATGCAGCAAATGATACCCAGATTGCAAGGAGAAACATTCTCCTAGTCACTTTCTGCGGCTCAATTCTGGAATTCGTCTGCGCTTCCATTGTTTATAGGCATGCGGAAGCTAGGGGGGTTGGAACCGAGATATTCGGGATGAAGACTGAAAGATTTAACATACAGGATAGCAGAGCATCTTGATTTAAACTCGACAGGAGAGTATGTCCACTTGGTGTATCGTTATAATTTGAGTTCGCCGGTGGCTCTGGTCCCGCTCGTATAACCCGGGGTCCCGCAAACTTTAAAGTTCAGGATCACGACCCGCACCGTAAGAGAGGACAGGTCTGGCGGGACAGCCCTGAGTTTAATGGAATAAAAAAACTTTAAAGCCCCAGTATCGCCAGCCCATGTCTTGTGTGTAATAAAGGAATAATCGAAAAGTATGGAGGCTCGCGCTACACAACTCCTAACGGAGCTGGAAATCAAATCTCTGCTCATTCGTGAACGTTACTATAGAGACACATCGCAATGGGAGAATTTACGCACTTCTTACCACAGTGATGCATCTCATACATCAATCAAAATCACTTGGTATGCGACTCACCCTAAAGCCAATCAGGGTTCTCCATCTCATTATTTGCCGAAGCTTACGATTTCATAGGTTTGAAGGGAACATTGACAACTTTGTTTCCGCATCCAAAGAAATGGTCAACGGAGGTGTACATGCTACACACACCATTCAGCCAGTTGAAGTTCATATCAATGGAGACAAGGCAATCTCCGAGTCCACTGGCAGTATCAGTATCCGCTTCACTCTAGACGACGAGGACTATGACTGTGTTTCATATACGCGATTTATTTCCCGATTTCAACGGGTCGAAAGCGAATGGAAGATGTTAACCCTTGAGGCCGTCTATGAGCGCGACTCAATTGTTCCAGTCACGCCAGTTCCTCCGTCTGTAGGAAATCCGAAATTGGTCTCGACTGGTGTACGGGATAGTTACCGGTGGATTGGATGGCTCTTGAGCCGAAAGGGCTTTCAGATAGACCCCAATTTACCAGGTATTGACCGCCCAGCCTTTGTAACTAAGCTAATGGAGGAATCTTGGTCTTGGTTGGAAGATTGTCAAGCAGAAAAAAATCAATGAGATTTGTACAGGCGATTGAAAGGTCTCCAGGGATATCTTCTTGGTATTTAGGATTACCTGCTGAAGGCTTCATGGAAATACAAAGTCCAATGTTCGACTTGAATGTGGTACTACTTCTAGTGGGAATTTCCCGCGCACAATGTAATGAGTGTTTCGGTTTAGCTGTATAGTATTGCGGCTCATTGTTTACTGATAGAGAAAACTTGAAGGATCTTTTCCAGTTCCAATAGCCTTCTACAAATTCAGTTCTATAGAATTTTTGTAATTCCAGCATCTATTTAGATTTTCTGTTTGTTTCTGCGTGCATCATTCCATAAAGGAAACTATCGGTTGTTTGGTTTGAGGGGGTTGGTTTGGTCCCAAATACTGCATGCTGTAGTAGTACCAAGTGCCCATAATTTTGAGATGGCTGAATTTGAACATTTCTTTCCTTCGCCTTCTTTTCCATAGCACTTGCTGTCATGATCTGATCGTAATGATCGTCATTCTCCAGGACATGTCACAAGACAACTGGAGGATTTCCACAAGGGTAGATACCAGGGGTTTTCCCATTCGCCACCGCAAAAAATTCATCTCCACCCACAGGGGTTATTTCTCCCGCTCCGCTCTTAATTACCCCCTTCACCTTTGTCGCACCCATACCTGAATGTGCCATTAGTGGTAATTTTATATGTAGACAGTGGAAAAATGGGTCTGTTCCCAAGGATTTGGTGCTACAACCCAATATGTGCTACTCCCGGGCGTGCTATAAGCGAGAGTTGACTGTATTTGACTCAATTGCCTGATAAGAAAACTGCCCTGGTCCTCGTGTGCTGGAAGTTTCACGATAATGTTGAAATATATACTTCTCATTATTTGAAGATGATACACTTTTTCCAAGGTTGCTAAGAATCATATAGTTTGTTCATAGCTAGTAAAATAGTATGTTTACTACCCAAACACATAGTGTAGTTTCCTGGACTTTTATAAAATGCGTTTCTAAATTAGTTCTTAGCCAGTACTAGATTAAAGGAAGTAGGGTCCGGGTTGAGTCGGGGTCGAAGTCAACTTCGCGGAAATTTGACGTCTGGTCCCGCACTAAACCTTATCTCGAGTCTTGCTTAACTATTTGACAGCTCAGCTGGTGTCCACCCTAGTAGGCCTGGTCTACCCGAGCGGCTGATTCCTTTGGTACCCTCTCTGCTTCAGGCAAATGCAGGACGAGCAGTTTCATGAATATCTTAATCTACGCAGAGTCGAAACTTTCACGTGACCGTCCTCGGGGTAGTCTAGCGGGCTCTATCCGTTTTCCAGATTTCGCCCCTCTTCGCTAAACCCGTTCTGTTGATTCATGAATCATGAACACTCGGGCTGTCCAATGAGACCCCCGTCGATTTTTTCCTGTGGCATATGTGCCAGCGAAGGATACTATTGACCACGGATGGGGAGACGGTTCCTGCAGGCAAGGCGAGTGGGACCATTCATAACAGCAGAAGACGATTTTACGAATGTGCTTGACTTGCGCATGCTGTCAGATGGAAACCATAATACAAAATCAGCAGCATTCCCCAGCCACATAGGCCACGGGCTATGGTATGGCAATCGGTGATGAACATTGACCGTGGCGCACCTCAGGCTGGATGGATCAGACCTAAGAGCGCCACCTCCAAGCGTAACTTTCGATGGTCAACCGACTTGCGAGTTTTGTCGGATCAGGGCTCATTACTGTGTTAATTTTCTGCCCATTAATCAATCACGCGCGAAGCTCGCAGCCCCAACCAGAGCAGTGCTCTTCTTCGGATCTCTACAACGCTTGCTAGGCTAGGGGGGCTCAATACCATCCACCTGCTCCACTAACGATGACGTCGCAGCTATATTTTGAAGGCCCATGGTCGATTCTCAGCACTGTTTGCATCGGCAACGTTCTTATAGGGTTCGTTGTATGCGGCATCACCTGTTTCAATGCCCTCGGTGCAGTACCGATAGTTTCATCCGTTGGTGGAGCCATCGCCAACGGAGTTTGCTATTACGTCTACTACGGATCAACTTCTCCTTTTCAAAGCGCTGTGGCATCAGTATTTGGAAACTTGTTTTGGCTTGTACAGCTACCACCCCGCCCACTCCGATTTACCTGTTCTAATGCTAAAATAGGTCCAAGAGGCTAGTTTATTATTTTACAGCTACATCATACTAAGCTCCGTTCTTCAAGACTTCCGCCGCCGCATTTTCATTTTTCTATTTTGGGTCGTTATGCTCGCAATTATTCTCACACGTATCCCGATTGCCGTGTTTGAAATACGACCCCTCCTTCAATCCGAGGTACCCTTGCCAATTATCACCAATTACCTCCATATCGGGCATTATAGCTTGATTGCACTTCTTGAATGTATAAGTGCGTACTTTATGATTGATTTGTTTGTATCGGCCAAGAAAACGTCTCTCGAGGCAGCTCTACGGGTTGGACTCTTTCGCTATCTTGTGCGGAGTACGGAAATCCGTGTCGCCATTCTTGCCGTACTAGGCATTACCCGAACTTTTACACACGCCTTCAGAACTCCAGGTCCGAAATTGTCCAACATTGCTAGTCAGCTGGATCTATTTATCTATACTTTGACTTGTCTCTTTCCAGTTGTTCTGTAGTAAGTTCATCTCCACTACTCATTTCGGCAGGAAGGAACTCTAACATAGGTTATTCTCCAGTATTGATTTACTGGCGTCGAAACTCATTTTTACTAATCAGGTAGGTCATTGAGCGTTTCATATGGCTATTGAGATTTTAAGCACCAAGATAGCTGAGTTCAAGCAGCAGGCACAGCAGCACATGGTCATCGATGAGACCCAACTTGTGAGTGATTTGGACTATGGTAGTCGTAGGTAGAGACAGTTCGAGGGGTCCGGATCGCTATGATCATCATATCTCCACTACAGCTATTCAATTCTGTGCTCTGCTATTTGTTTCACATATTTCCTTGTGGGGTGCTACTATCCCTCTGATTCAAATATCAATCTTGCATTGTTTGAGTGCGTTAACAGACCCAAGCCAAGGGCCACAAGGGGTTGCAGGCGGGTGCAGAGCAACGATAAGCTAATTCCTCACGGGCCAATGAAGCCGTCCTCCGCAAGGTCATTGTATGGTGTGAGCACCACAAGAACTACTCCCCTACATCTAAGTTCTTACAATAGCTATAAAACTCCTAAGTTTGGCTAAATTAGGTAATAGGAATATTTAATCAAATCAAATCAAATCAAAAAGTTCAGACTCACCTATAGACCATTGATAATGCTGTGCTCGATTAGACCCGGTGAATAAATCACAGCCGTTAAGAGGCGCTCATAACACGCCATCTGACAGCTTCGAACAGCAAATACACCTCGTAGGCTCGGGCTATCGCACAAGAGCCATTGGGTGTTGATGTTTACTGGAGCTGGCATTCAATTCGAGCCCACTAGGGCTTCTACCGCTACCAGGGCGGTACTAAACGCACCATGAACCGGGCTAGTTTGTTCACGCCCCTCACGGATCTATTGTGAATGTAATCGCTAGTCCGGACTTTAAAGCTGGACCAGATGTGGTAGGTACTAGTATGAGGTTCGAAGACAACATGTGCTGTATGTGGATGTAGTTTAGTTGAGCTCTTGATCGGCCTTTCAAGCTTCTAGTTTAGAGGCGGGGAAACAAAAGAAGTGCAAATCAGTCGTGGTTGGTTTGCAATTTTGAGAGCGGTAGTCCTCATCCGGAATTTTGCTCCATTTGCAAATTATGCATAGTTATTAAGACCTGAATTTGACTCGTGGCAGATGGATAGTAGTAAAAGGTTCTTCCCATAATATAGATTGAATGACGCGGCTGTTTGCAACAAATGGAAATGTGTGATTGCTTTCTAATGCTATTTTTCATAATGTTGGTTGTATGAACAAGCCATAAAGCATTGGTAATCGCTATTCAACATTCGCCTAAAGGATACATTAGAAAGTAATAGTAGAAGCTTGCTTATTCATTCACGATCACAATCATAGGAGAACCTCAACTTCGGTTTCAGGTACATCATATTGATCGCATCATCATAAATCACGAGCTACTCATAAGAACGCTCAAGTCAACGGTGAAACTTCAGACCCATCGCTAGGTCCACGCTTTGGCAGCTCGTAACTAGGATCAGCCTCACGGTGCTTTCGACCAACAAATAGCCAACGGAAGCCACGTGCAGTGGCCTTGATAAGATCCCATGGATTCATGGCATCGAGGAAAGCCTTCATGCCCAAGAAACCACCATAGTAGCGCTGATCTGAACCGTTGCTCATAATATCGCCCTTGTTGAGTACGTAAGGACCCCAGGGGAAGCCCCAGAAGTGCAAAATGGCGAAGAGAAACATTTCAATGCAGATAAGAAGATTAGGTAGCCCATTATTCCAGTCGAGAAGCTGGACTTTGGCAGATGATTTAATCGTTCCAGATGAGGTCAGGTAGTCGATGATTGTCTTTACTAACATTAGAGATATCCCAGAAAGATGGAACAATTGGATGTGAGTACTCACCGATTGCCAGAAGGAAAGGAAAATCACAAGTTTGATACAGAGAATCTTGAGGAACGGCCTTTGATGCGCGATGTCGTTCTTGATCTGGATATAAAACTGGATCAAGCAGTACATAGCAATGGTGACAGCAATTGACTCGATAACCAGGATCTGAAACTTGTTAATAACGCTGGAATTTGGAGAAATCGAAAGTGAACTTACCCAAACATGGGCATAGTATGGGCTATCTGAATCTTCGCAGTAGCGGTTGTCAGCCTGAGCTGCAACAGCTATGACTGTCATAATCACTCGCAAGATGCAGTATTGGAAGACACCAATCCAAATGACCTGTGTCACACGTCAGCTTCAACCCTTTTCTCTCTTCCGAAGGCAGGGCTGTCATACATTGAACCAAGTGAGTCCGCTGCGCGGCCTCCGCAGCTTGCCTTTATCGCGGTTTCCACAGAAGCATTTTTGCATCCAGTTCATGGGCCAGACCCAGTTCAGTGGCTCGATACCACGGAAATACTCCTTCTGGGTGTGGAGATCGGGTGCAATGTAAGAGCAAAGCAGAGTGAAAAAGGAGGCAATCGCAAATGGCTCATAACAATAACCAATCAGCTCAAAGTATACAGAGTGCCTATAATAGTAGACACAGAGAAATGAAGCGATGGCGTAGACCGGAATCATAAATAGGATACGGATGATGCTGAGAGAGATTAGAACAGGAACTGTAGATCAAATGAACGACTTACTATCGCTGTTCATTGGGATTGCTATAGTGAGTGGCATGGCCGACCATAATAATACTGGCGAGGATGAAAGCCAGTACTGTAAAGATGGCACAGAGAATCCAACATAGCTCGTGGAAAGTGATGCCACCATCCCAGAGGTTAACCTCATGGACTGTTAAGAGTATCAGGTACCGAAGAAAGGGGGGGTTAGGCTCGAGTAAGCTTGAAACTTACTGGTGATATCCTCCTCAGTGGAATTACACTTGGGCCAAGTCATGGCGGAGTAGATGATTAGATGAAGCTTCCGGAGTACTCACAATTATTAAACACTTGAATGCGGCCGCTGACGTGTGGAAAAACCGGATCGTTGAGAATCATCATAAAATGTTCGGACTCCACTAGTTCCAATCATGATCGGCATAAGGCTTGTTTTCTTCGCGCCGGTGCGGGACGCCGCGTAAACATGTGGACACGTACGGCACGGCAGCCAATAGTCACCACTTTGCAAGCACTCAGTAACCCACACTGCCTACCATGTGCCTACGTGCAATGTGCAACTTTATGCCTCTCTCCTCCCCTCTACAATATTTATACGATTTTCAATGAATCTTTAGAGCTACAGCCTCAACATCTTCGACACTTTGCAAAATAATAAAGTAAAAAGCAGTTATTAATTAGAGTCTTCTGGACCAGTTTATTTTCTACAAGGAATTTGTCAAAAGTCTTACATATATAGAGGAGTGGTTCCTTGATTTTGTTAGTTAAAACGCTATTTGTAATATGTAGCAAAGTTTATCATAGTCTATAATGGGGCTCCATCCAAATTTCTTGATCTAGCAGAGGCCCCAGATGGACAGAAAGCAATGGAAGAGCTTTTCGGAAATCAGACTGTATGCAAAATATCAGATCTCATGGCAAAGCAGTCGCCTGTCGAACTGCCCGCTGAGAGTACCTCCCACGCATCGCCAGCTGAAATTTCCGGGATTTATGAGGATTTCTGGAAACATGTAACGAGCACAAAATGAGTAATTTAACGTCTTTTATCACAACGAATAGACTGAGCCACACCCTGTCTCTGGGCAGCTGACAGTTTCACAGTCAACGGTACAATACTTTGTGTTGTTGAGATATAGGGTTCAATATCTTCCGTCTTCTTTACTAGCCTCTTTCATGTATAATGGGCAGCAGTGGCTATTTTAAGATCAGTCGAGGTTAGTCACGCTAACGACACCTCTTGGTTTTCAAACAGATCGGCACGGGTAGCAAGAACCATTCAAATTATGAAGTGGATTTATGCCGAATTACCTGGCTTTGGTACAGATGGAAATAAGAGATCTATTATAGGGCGTACAAAGCAAACTAAACTGAATATAGTCAATAATATTATCTGGTCAAAAAAAGAGATAAGCACAGTGCTAATTGATTTATCAGCAGTAGGTAGTATTAGAGAGCGGCTTGTGGATAACACCAGCATCAATAAGACGCTCGTAGGACCAGTAATCCCTCTGAGTGCCCTGGCCGTCAACAGCAGCGCTGCTGTTGTGCTTGATGTTCCAGAAAGAGCCACCTGAAGCATAGTGGGACCAGGCATAACGCTGAGTGTTGAACAGGCTCATACGGTTCTTGAAGGTATTGCTGTAGAGAGTTTGCAGGGCCCATTCACCAATATAAACTGGGAACTTTCCATCACCACCGACGACAGAAGCTTGGCCACAGATGGCACCGTTGGCCCACTGCGAGTAGACGCCAGAGGCAGCGAAGTAGTACACATGGGTGTCAATGACCAGGTTCGTCTTGGCAGGGAAGTAAGGGGACCAATGCTCCTCACCGAGGAAGCAATCCTGCATCATCAGGGGAATACGCTTGTCAACGCGGGCAATACGATCCAGGACTCCACGGGTATACTTGACGATCCAGTTTGTACCGTTGTTGGTCAATGTGTTGGGCGACGCAAAAGCCGAGGGGTTGTCAGAAGCCTCGTTGAGATGGGAAAGAGTGAAGGCCCAGGGGTATCCAGTATCAACGAAGAACTGAAGGACCTGATCAACTGCATCGTAGGAGTATTTCAGGTTGGTGTTGTTTTGGAACCAGCCATCATTTCCGGCCTTTTCTCCGATGTCAAGGGAGTTGACACCGCCTGGGAGAGAGTGCAAGCCAACGACAACGCGCATGTTGTACTTCTCGATGGCATAGGTGGAGATCTTCTTCAGCCAATCCTTTTGGTTGCCATGATACAGGGCGGATCCGGGAACCTTGATCCATGCTGCGTATGTGGTTGGGATACGGAGAGTGTTGACGCCTTAGGAATTGTTAGTAAATGTCAGATTGAAGTAGTATAACGTCATTTTGATGGGGCGAAATTACCAACGGCCGCAACCTTGTCAATATCGTCAGTTGTGATGTAGGTGGCATAGCGCTGTTCCAAAACAGAACCACACTTATCGCCCAGTGTTTCACAGAATGTCCATTCGTCGCTGGCATTGGGGGCATGTTGGTCCCACCAGTACTGGTCAAAGACCTGCTCTTGCTCCAGCCAGCCGCCAAGGTTAACGCCGTTCGCCTTGTACGAGGTCCAGTCGGTGAACTCTCCAGCAGCAAGGGTAGCGGTGGCAGTGGCAGACGTGGCAGTCTGAGTAAAGACCTTGGTGACGCTGCTTCCGTGAATGTAACCGGTAGAAGTCACAGTGCGAACGGCAGGGTTCGAGGTCGATGCGGTGTATAGATCGGTGTTGATACCAGAGCCCACTGCCGATCCACCGGCAACGGGGGGCAGTGTTTTGGTGGAGGTGGAAGTGGCGGCGGTATTCTCATTGTCAGTCGTTTTGATGGAAGCAGTGGCGGTATTCTCACTGTTCAAAGTTGAGATAAGTACATGCTCGTAACAAAAACGGTCCTTGGTGGGAAAGCTTACGAGTTAGGGTTCGATCCAGCTATCTTGGTACCAATCTTGGTAGTAACAGTGCGATCGCCATCCTGTCCAAAGATAGTGGAATCGGCCACGGTGGGGGCGGCGCCACCATCGGCAGAGATTGTGGCAGTAGAGATAGTCTTAGTGATGGTCTCGGTAGTGGTAGCATAGACAGTCGTGTGCAAGTGAGTGGGGGCGTTGGTGCACTCGATCAGAATAGTGTTATCAATAGTGACAACAGTATCCTCCTCCAGCAGGACGTCGACAATAACAGGAAATTCGACGATGTGAAGAGAAGTGTGCAACACTTCACCGGTAGCAACGAGATTGGAGCAGGTCTCATCGGAGTGTCTCGCCTGGATGACACGGGCCGATGAGACTCCAAGAGAGGCCGCAGCCACGGCAAGGCTAGAGAAACGCATTGTTCGTGACCAGCGTCTAAACGAGTGACTGTGGTAGGAAAAAATATCAAGGGCGTGAAAGAAGGAGAATAACCCCCCAGAAATGAGCGTTACAAGGTGATAGGGTTGGTTGAAAAGTTCGGGGGCTTCTCGACTTTTTATAATACAGCTGAGAATACCTTTCCCCGTTTTTTTCTTAATGATAGCTCGCTATAAAAGACCAACTGGGAAAATATGGACCAATTCAGGTGATCCAATGCCGTACTGGGGTCCTTCTGAGGAGATCCATAACACGCTCTCAGCTTGTACCCCTACTCACAACAGTTGCCATTCGACGATGTGACCATGGTACGAAGTGAGCTACTAATTCGGCGAGAGCTCTGGATCTGGAGTTTTGACCGAGAGAGGACTAAGTGGCCGACGGGATTGGCCGGAATCTTGCGAGAATAGCTGTCTGTATGTTTCCCAAAAGCCTAGCTATCGGGTGCGTGGGTCATTTTCAGGGACCGAGCAGGGGTTGTGGCCTCGGATCAAGGGTTCATCGGCCCTTTGGCGACCAGTAGCCAGTCAGAACCAGCATTGAGTGGGATTGATTTCGATGGTTCTAGGGAATCTTACACTTGGCTGTAAGGCTCGATTCAAAGACCCACCGATCAAGGCAGCGTTCGAAAATACTGCAAGGCTTGGGCCCGGAAATTCCGAGGCCTCGTTTTCCGTCAACAAACAAGCCTACCTTTACGGAGTACTTTGTACAATGCTTAAATATTCCACGTAATTAGTGCTGCTGACACTTGCTGCGAAATCGACTCTAATGCTTGGAAATATTGGATTTATCAAGCCGCTTGATTGAGGATTTCCAGGGTTCTCAATCCCCAATTGAAGGCATATCTGGATCGAAAATTTCATCCATCCTGCTTTTTTAAGAAACGAAAAAATGTTGGCGAATGAGCGGGACCCGCGGGTATCTGACTTGAGTCTGATACGAATACGTCCGGTATTTACTTGGCGGGCTCGGGCTCGCGATAATCAGCTAAGCTTTGCTAGGCTTTTTTAGACATCTCGGTTACCCGAGAGCAGTCTCCGATCCGGGATATCCGATCCGGCCCGAAATGACATATTGTATTTTTGCTTCGCTTCGTGCACCTCAATACAGGGGCCGAAGGATTGATGTGCATACATAATATCACTACTGACATCAACGGGGACATCCACTATGAAAAGAAAAGAAACCCGTTTTCAATCTGGAAGCAGCTATCCGAGATGAAACCCATTCCACGAAAACCCCAAGACCGGCACTTCCATGATTGAAAAGAGCTAATTTTCGTATGGTGGCGGCTGTTTTTTCTTTACGTTTTTCTAAAGGCCGCAGACCCACTTAGATCGTTGAGAATTTGCGCTAGAAATTAGATCCCTCGCCTACCTTCGCCTAGCTGAAAAGAAGACTGTTTTGGCAGGTGGGGACTGGTGAAATCTAGATTTCAAATTGCCGAAAGGCAGCAGGTTTTTACTATTTTGGTACTCCGTACATAGCTAGTCTCTAACTAGTGTGGTAAGCCACGTGGGAATCAAACAAAGTCACTTTTATCCAGAAAGTGCATAAAATGACATATTTTATTCACATTTCGCATTCGTGTGGTTTTTTCTTGTGTCTAGTATTTACAAACCGAGGAAGATTGAGTGGTGAAATGCGGAATATTTGGCCTGAGTTGCTTTCATTTATTACCGAGGGATGATTTTTTCTTTAAATTAATCTCTGAAACCAGAGGGTTCGCAAGAGCATTCCTGGCAGCCTCATCACCAGCCGCACTCTTCTTTAGACCCTCACCTGAGCCAAGGTGCTGATTTTCCCACCCCCAGCCAGTAAAATACACTCCGATGAAGTATGTTTGACGGCCGGTACCCTTTGGGTGGACTGACGGTTTTTCTTCAATGTACTTGAGCTTGGTGCCATTGCCCATGACTTTCGTAGAAAGTTCATCCTTTGAGTTTAACTTTGACTTCTGTGGTCCCAGATTGACCAGCATTGGTGTCCATAAGCCAGTCAGCCATTGCTCTGCATTGCCATACCCACCGACAGGATCAGAAAGTATGATTGCAGCCACATAAGCCTCGAAGATATCACCTCTTATCTTGACCCATAGCTTCAACTGATTGTCGACGAAATTATGTGGCACAACCGCCCTGCGAGAGAAGTCGTATGAATCAGCGAAAGCCGCGAGTGTTTCGTTTTTGACCAGCAGCTCGCGAATTTGGGATATTCTGCCCGAAGGAAGACCGGGAAATGTTTTCCAGACCAACTTTGTCGCTATCAACTCGATATAAGCATCCCCCAGTATCTCCAGTCGGTCGTAATTTGCATCGGAATCGTTGGCACAAGCGGGATGGGTGAAGACGGCCTTTTCCAGGCGATCGTCTAAGATGGGCGGCAAATCGGGGAGGTGTGAGTTGTCTTTTTTATTCCTCGAATCAGAGGTAAAATGATTGATTTTTTGTTCTTTGTTGATTTGTGTAGTTTTCTCCTTTGCTTCTCTTTGGCACAATAAAGTGTCAAGTGTGGAAATTGTTGTTGCGATATTGGGTTCGGCTTCAAGTAGATCGGTGTCCTTCTTGACCTCCCGGATGAGTTGTTTTAGGCTTGAGAGATGGGATGTTGATTGGGTTTTCTTGGCGGCGTCATTTTGGCTTGTAGTTGAATCGACTGGTAAACTTCTAGTCGAATGTTTTGTCTTCAGAGTCTTGTCAACTCGTTTCAATGGGTCATGCCGACAGGTTCGTGATGGAGGGGGGGTATAATTCTGGCCGCACGGGTCGATGTGAGGGGGAATCAAATTCTTACCTTGATGCGCTTGTCAGTCTGACTGCTGTGCCTGTCACCGGAGACTTCGTGCGACCTTTTGGAGCTCATTTTGGAGCAGGTTGAGCTGAGGAAGAGCTTCATGGCGGGCCCACCTCCAAAAAAGATATAATCACGTGACTCCATCGGAGGCACGCGCCCGAGGCCGACCAGGCCGATTGGATTCATCCACCCTCATCTTCACTTCGACGGTCAACACAACCCTCGAAGCCGTGCGAAGATGTCACAACCTCGGATCCTCGAGTTGGTGAAGGTATATCACCATTACAATACACAGGAAAGATCGACGTTTGGCTGATCGTTCCGCTCTCTCTAGACTCAATGTCGCATCTTCTCCCTCAATTTCAACCCCCAACGACTCCGGCTCGGAAACAAGATCCTCAGACAACGGCTGCGCGGTCCAGCACTCGCGGCATGGTATCCCAAGAAGGATGTCTCATTCAGAGACCTACAGAACACATACAAGCCACTCGGCTTGACGACCTTTGACGAGGCCGAAGACGATCGAGAGGAAGCCATTCAAATGTATGTGTACCGCATGCGCATGCTATTTTCGAAAGTTTCGCCCATTGACTTTATCCTACAGTGCCAAATTGCGAGGAAAGGGACGGCCCAAAAAGAAGAGAACCGCAGCCGGTAAGTTTTGTCTTTATCCTCTCATCTCAGCCCAGTTGAGTGGCTAACCAATAATCTACCAGAATCGAAATCCGCGAAGAAGAAGAGATAAACCCGCTTCCCCACGGCAAACACTCCTACATTTTACAAGAACTTCGATTGCCCATTTAGTCCCCCATGCATCTAGCTTGCTGTCTCTACGCAACGATTTAGATCTGAGGCTGTGGTGGTTTGGATTCTTTTCACCTCACGTGCTCAAAAGCACGCTTTTCTTTATTAGCATATCCCTCAATCACATGTACACTAGACAAGAATTGAATTGAAGGGCCCTAAGGCCCTGGCAAACCTTCAATATCACATAATCGATCCACTGAATAGATCCATCAGACATGTCGTCGCGGCCAACGTAGTTTGCGCGAAAATGTAGCGGGCGGTGAAGACAGCAACCAATGATATCGTTGAACCGGAGGGTAGCTTGGCCTTCGCGGAAACTGCTTCACGGCGCGACTCCATTTGACTTTATCAACCTCCTGCAGCTCTCTCCCACAGCTGAACCACCCCGTTGATTATCGTGGGTTGTCAAGTCAGTGGCCATGGCGGGAAACAAGAACCAGCTTCGAAGAGCTCGGAAAAAGGCCCAAAAGGCCGAGGTGAGTTCTGTCCTCGTTCCCGGCGCATGATTCGTCACTAACCTCTCATTTTCTGTTAGGCTGCTAACGCGCCGGTCGAGAAGCCCCAGGAAACAGATCCAGCATCATCACTACCACCCTCCGCCCCAATTAAAGAAGATGTATCGTCTGTCGCGCCCGCTGCAGCCGCCCCAGCGGACGATGACCCACTCTGGGAGATGTACAAGGGTCTCGTCACAAAATTCGACGAGACTGGAGACAATGCCCCTACAAAGGAGAGCGAGAAGCCGGAGGTCTTCTTCGATGACGAGGACGAAATTCCCGACGAGGAGGAAACCGACGAGCCCAAGATCTCGAAGAAGAAGCGAAAGGAGTTAAACAAATTATCCGTCGCCGAATTAAAGGCCATGGTACACAAGCCGGAAATTGTGGAATGGACAGACACTTCTGCCTCGGACCCTCGACTCTTAATTCATCTCAAGGCGCATCGAAATGTGGTTCCAGTCCCTTCCCACTGGTCCCTCAAGCGCGAGTACCTTTCGTCCAAGCGCGGTGTTGAAAAGGCACCCTTCGTTCTTCCGAAATTCATTCAAGAAACCGGAATCTCTGAAATGCGCGACGCCACATTAGACAAGCAAGATGCTTCTTCCCTCAAGCAAAAGCAACGCGAGAGGGTAGCGCCGAAAATGGGAAAATTGGATATTGATTATCAAAAGCTCTACGAGGCTTTTTTCCGCTTCCAAACTAAGCCGGAATTGACCCGTTATGGTGAAATCTACTACGAAGGCAAGGAGTACGAAACCAACCTCAAGCATCTTCATCCCGGTGACCTGAGCGATGAGCTGAAGGAGGCACTCAACATGCCCCCCGGGGCCCCGCCACCGTGGCTCATCAACCAACAGCGATACGGACCTCCACCTTCTTACCCTGCCTTGAAGATTCCAGGTCTCAACGCGCCGCCTCCAGCAGGTGCGATGTGGGGCTACCACCCCGGAGGATATGGAAAACCCCCCCGTGGACGAGCATAACAGGCCGCTCTATGGCGGTGATATCTTCGGTGTTTTACAACCTCAACAAAACGTCCAGCAGGGAGAACCCGTTGAGAAAGATCTTTGGGGAGAATTGCAAGAGTCAGAAGAATCCGAAGAAGAAAGTGACGAGGAAGGAGATGAGGATGAGGAAGACGAAGACGAAGACGAGACACAGGAGAATGGAACGCATTCTCCGAGTGGCTTGGAAACCCCCCGGTGGCATCGCCTCGGCCGTCCCATCGGAGATTGGGACAACCGAAAATATCTCAGGAGAATTCGATGTCCGCAAACACCACCGCGGAACGGAGACTGAGGAGTCTGTCCAGCCGCGAAGCGCTTACCAAGTCATCCCTGAACGACAGGCCAATGTCCAGGGATTCTTTGGCGGCGACAGAACATACGATCTCAGCCAATCGTCCGGAAACCCACCTTTGCTTGGCGCAGACGACCAAAATCGCAAGCGCAAGAAGCCTGGCGATGTTGAGGTATCTGTTGATTTGGATGCCCTTCAAGCTGGGGACGGTCTGAACAAGGACAATCTTCAAAATCTCTACGAATCGGAGAGACAACAACAGAATCAACCCCAGTGGGGCTTTCAAGAGGACCTGAGCGATATGATTGCACAAGAGAGCCGCAAGCGGTTACGGAAAGATGAAGAGCGAAAGGGCAAGCGTTGATAAATTTATTTGTTTGTTCTGTTTCTTTGGACCATCACAGGCGCTAGCTATCTCTTGTATTTTTATCACCATGACCCAATTTCGAAATCTTTACTGGACGATATGATTTTTCGGGCTAGTTGATTGATGTAGCACTGTCTTGCCTGGTATAGGTATACAAATTTTTGCATTTCGATGCAGTAGAAATATCTACCCCGGATGAAGGATTTATCGAAAGTAGAGGCGTTATCTGCCACTGTGTGTACTGTAGTGGGTACCAGTAGTCATGTAAATCGTACTATGAACACGGAAGTTCGTCATGATAGCCGAGCTTTGGTTGAGTCAGACTGGACATAGTTATTGGACTGACCCAGAGACCACAGGGGAGTATTTCACCATCCACGTCACGGTTCCATTAATGTATTCCTGCTTGAAGAAATTAGTCTCGTCGTACGTGCTAAGAAAGCAAAACATGCACCTCGGATCCCTCATGTATCTAATCGGCTGTGCAAGTATCGTTTGCAGCAAGACATCACGGTCATAAGTTTGACCTGGTTTGTGTACCCTGATCCGCTGTTGTCTCATCAAAGATAGCATGACTAGTGGTTTGAAAGCCATTGTCCCACTGGAGTATTGTTAGTAGTTGCATGTGACTAGCTTGCAAGAGCATAAATGTAGAACATAAACTGTTTGTTGGATAGTGAAAGTGTCACCAGGATATTTTCAGGGTCTGTTGGCATCAGAAAGGGCTCAGTATGCAGATCGCGACATCCTACCTGCTCGTCCTGAGTAGCAGGGTCAGTTCTGCCAATTTACCATCTGGGCTCTGTAAGACGGGAGCGTCAGTCTCAGATTTGTCAAGTTGTTGCCCAATCATCATCACCAATGTTCTTGGCGTTCAAAATGATCTTCTTGTATATCTCTTGGTGCTTGTTGACATAAGTAACCCAGACGAGCTCTTTCAGCTGCTAGACAAATTCCAGACGGACATTCCGGCATCCCATGTTACTGATCAAACAGTCCGACTCCAGTCATATCCAGGGGTTGGTGGCTGCAATAGAGGTCCCTGCCAGTCATTGGTTCCCGGATACACGTGTATACTTCAGTTCTCCAATGCTGTTCAATGAATTCCATGAGTCCTTTTCAACCACATCTGGTACTCCTGTGTACGGGCTTTCCATACACTTGAAGTCTGCAAACCGGACGTCTGAATACTGGGCCTTGAGAATGACCCAACACAGTCCCAATGGACTGTGAGAAGCAGGCTTGCAACCCGTGGCGTCACCGACTTCTACCACTTCCTTATCGAGTCTTTGTGTGAATTGGAATACCTCCCGGTTCCATTCTTGACCGTTATAGGTTGACTCTCCACGCAGTGGAGAAAATTGGACCGGGCAATTTTGCCTTGAAATCTATCAGCAGGGAAGAAGATCCAACGAATTAGCTACCACTTACCCAGCGTGTCTCAGCCAACTAGGCCATATAGGCTTTCTTCTGCAGCTTATGCTGCAGTAATATTTCCCTTTTGTTGGGTTTCCGATCTCGAAGTCTGTCTGTATGATAGATTGGAATGATCACTATCGTACCATTATCGAAACCCTGCTCGATTATTTTTATAGGCATATAGCTAAGAAAATTAGCGCCCTGTCTCATGGTGTATATGCAGAAATTCAAGTAGCGAAGAGAGACTTACTGTTTCGAGGATCCCTAGTAGCAGGGTTTGACTAAGATCCGCTGCTGAGCATCTAGGTCTCCATTCTCGTCGGGAAGTAGGTATAGGCGGTCCGATTTGAAATGCTTCTTAGGGCCAGAAACTGGATATTCCAGGAGATGGTAAGAGAGAAGAACCAAAGACTGGTCACTTTTTGGAGCCGGTTGTATACACAGAAAGGGTTTATCTAAGGTAGCACCTGCCCAATTAGGTACAGTTGTGTACTTTACACTTCTTTGAGTTTTGATTGGCTACCTATTTAAAAGGCGCTTTGTCATCTGTATATTTTCTGCCACCACATACCGCACTGTCCTTCCCTTGGATCCATCCGCATTTGCGCGACTGAGTTCTAGCGATATCGAATTCACATAATTCTTGGGGATGGATCGTGATCGCAGAAGGTTGGTTGCGCCCAATTCCGCGTATGAAATATCACTAACAATGTCTAGCAGATTTGACGACCGGCGAGGAGGGGAAAGCTACCGACCCTCAGACCGGTCCGCTCGATCACCATCTCGAGGCTATGAAGGCCGACGACGCTCTCCCCCACGAAATCGCTCTCGCCCTCGAGCAGACACCTGGGTACCTTCAAATCGGGGATTTGCACGACCACGAAGTCGTTCACCACCCGACTACCGCCGGCGCTCACGAACACCCCCCTTCCAGCCGCGAGCCTACGGTCAGGCCCCATACGGTCGTCGTCGAACGCCACCTCCTCGAAGATTCTCTCCTAGAAGAGATGAACGAAATAGATCGCCGCCTCCTCCGTCATGGAGGTCCCGGTCTCCTTACAGTGATGGGAAACCGCGCGATGCGTCACGCGGTCGGACCAGCCCGCGCCGTGCCCGCGACATTTCTCCAGGGAATCAAGAAGTTCGACCAGCCAGGCGAAGTACTCCCACCGTTCCCAATAGCGAGAGGAATGGTCGTGTATTGTCTCCAAGAGCACCTGCACCCGTTCCCGTTCCCGCGCCCGTACCCGCCCCCCCAGCCGACTTCAATTCGCCCGCAAAGTCCCTCTCAGCCTTATCGTCGCGAGCAACGTACCGATATGAACAGTGGCCGCCCTTCGTCACGATCTAGACAAGCATCGCCTAATCATCCCCTCGCAAGCGAGTCGAATACTACATCAAGACGTTCATCTCCCTTCAATCACGCCGAGCGTGGTGGTCTGCCTCCTCTTCAAAGCCGCAGCCGCTCACCTGCACGCCATTCTCCTCTCTACCGGTCTTCGGGTGCGGGCCCACCAGGACGGTCTCCTCGTCTAGACCAAGCCCAAGAAACGCCTGTGGTAAACCATGCGAAAGGACCGGACAGTGTGGAACGTTTACCTAGAAAAGAGTCATCCGATCAAGGGCCCCAAGGAGTGCCTCGCTTAAACAGAAACATTCCAACTCAGCCTCGAAACCTTGTTCTAAACCAAACCCCACCACTCGGACCATCCAGAGGTCCTCCACCTCACAATCGCGGGCCTCACAATGCTCCCACCCTTGCAGCACCAACCCGACCCCGTCACGCATCCGGTTCACGAGACGGTCCATGGATGGGATCACCCTCGATGGGCCCGCGTCGCCCATCATCCATAATGCCCTCGCACGGCGCTCCATCCGGCCCTCGAGCATCCTTTTCATCTCCAGTTCCCGGAGGCCCGGGCTACCGGGGCCACCCAGGTTCTCGCCAGGGTAGTTCGGTAGGGACCTTATCTCCTTTGACGCCAAAACCTCCCAATTATCTTGCCGGGCTGGGATCGATTGTCCCGGGGGGCAGAGCTTTACCTTCGGCGCTAGATGTGACGACTGAAAGGCGACTTGCTCAACTCGATGCAGATAAAGAAAAGTTACTTGAGCAGATGGCGGCGACACAGAAGCCTAGGAGAGCAGGCCTTCGCGATTGGGATCGATTGGATCGCGAAAGTTCAATATGTGCGTTGAAGAGTGAGCTGGCTGAAGGGCACCTCCAGCGCATGGCAGATGAAAGTATTGGCGGAGGAGTGCTGTATTGATTTATGCTGGCTGTGTTTATGGCGTTAAGTGGTCTCGTTCTACATATCCTTGTTCATCAAGTTATTAAGGAGTTCTCGGAGGGGCAGGGTCATACTGGAAGCGCATTGGCGCAACTGTACTATTATGATGTCTTTTAGACACACACTTTTCAATTGAAAGTAATCATGATCATGATCATATTAATATTCTCATATTCTCATATTTCCAACCCTTTTCAAATACCCCATCACATCACATACGTAGTTTAGTGGAGCTCCCGCTTGGCCCCGGCGCGTCGTACCTGAAATGATCGGCAGTTTCGTCCCCCTTCCGTTGCGCTTTCGTGTCAACAACTCTCTTCTTCCACCTCCCCCCCCCATCTGCGCAACTCATCCGACACAATGAATATCTTTAGGTTGCTAGGTAAGAATAGCCTGGAATTACACATCTTGACCTTGGCCATAAACTAATCCGACCCGTCCAGCCGATTTCTCCCACCTGGCGTCGATCTTCATTCTTCTTCAGAAGATGAAGTCGTCCAGCGTACGCTCCTCCGCCTCTCTCACGCTAGATCACCACTAATTCCATGTCGCAGAGCTGCTCTGGTCTATCATTCAAGTCGCAAGTGCTATACCTGCTGGTTTTCGTCACTCGCTACCTAGGTGAGATAGCTTGCCACCTGTCACCCCCACAGTAGACAGATCCTCCGCATGCAGTGCAGTACACTAACAGGGTGGCCTTTTCGAAACAGATCTCTTTTGGACCTTCACAGATTCGCTGTACCTCACTATATTCAAGCTCCTCTTCATCGGATCCTCGGGCTATATCATCTACCTCATGCTCAACGATTTCAAGCCGACGCACGACCCGAACCTGGACACCTTCAAGGTCCAATATCTCCTGGGTATCAGCGCGATCCTGGCCATTCTTTTCCCGCACGATTATCGCATTTCTGAGGTTCGTTCATACCCGCGAGGCCATACCCAGAGTCAAATCAATTTGCCCAGCCAGCTAGCTCCTCGTAATAGCACCAGGGCCTAGATTACATGCTTGCGATAAGAGGACTCCAGCTAACCCATCAATAGATCCTTTGGACATTCTCAATCTGGCTCGAATCGGTTGCCATCCTACCCCAGCTCTTCATGTTACAGCGCACCGGCGAAGCAGACACAATCACAACACACTACCTATTCTCGCTGGGAATTTACCGCGCTCTTTATATCCCCAACTGGATGTATCGCTACTTTACCGAGGCTGCTTTTCAACGATCCTTTCAGCCTGTCCCCATCCTTGCGGGAATTATTCAGACACTGCTCTACTCGGATTTCTTTTACATCTATTACAACAAGTGAGTGCCAATGGAAAGACACCGGGGGCGACATTGTGTGGCAAGCTAAAGCTAACACTTTTTTACAGGGTGCTGAAAGGAAAGAAGTTCTCTCTTCCCGTGTAAACTCACCCAGGCGAAACGATGCGAGAATAGTGACGGTGGCGCGGCATGAGATCCTGATAGAGGCCAGCCACAGCCACTTGTTTAACATTCTATCTTCCCTCACTCGCTCTCCACGCGAGGCCGGACCAGACCGGTTTCTCCCAGCCCCAATGCCTGTTGCTGTCCTAGGCAGAGGCACGGCGGGAGAAACCAAGGCAATGGAAAAGGTTTCCATTAACGCACCTGGTATGCCTAGCTTAAGCTTTACGTTCCGGCCTTTCTGTGCGGGTGTTTGATCTGAGATCTGAATTTATGAATTGATGCTTTCACTTTCATTCTGTGTACCCGGAACCGAAACCTTCGACCCCCCCAAACTCGAATTCCAATTGATGTACGATGTTACCCTGGTTCTCTCCCTTGTTTTTTTAGTGCTTCGATTCGATTCGGCTGTCAGTCCGTATCTGGGTCTGAATCCAAATCCGAATCTGTCGGTCTACTCTACTCTACTCGTCCGTGAGTCTTTAGGTGGCCCTTTTCTCTCTCTTTTTTGAATAAAAAGCGAAATGTCATAAAAGATGCATTGTGTTTCATTATGATGTTCAATTCAGATTCTACATCGTACCATATCTGCAAAAATAGACCTCTCTGCAGCTCAATAATTCCTCGTCAAGACTCGAGCTTTTCCCTTTCCTAGCTCCCATTCCCATGCCCATTCCTGCAAGGAATTATTGTTTTTTTGTTTCCGGTTTTGTATAAATTTCGCGCAATGAAGTCCTGTCCCAAGCCCCAAGTCCAAGTCCGAGTCCCACCCATCCATCCATACATAGAGCTTGACCAAAAACAGCACTTTTTTTTCGGGTTGAATTTCACTCGGGCTGCCAATCATTTATTACCTGAATCATCTGGAGGGCAGGTATATATCAACTCCCCTAATTTCGCACCTTTTTCGAGTTTTTCTCTTGTCCATATCTTTTTTGTTTCTGCATGGTCGTGTTTCAACGGTGAATGCCCAGCTGACATTCATGCATCAATCCAATTCAATTCAATTCAGAAACCCCTTCGCGTCATGCGCACCATGCGACGCTGAGACATACCCACCACCATAAGTCAACTGAGACGGCGGAACCGCCATATCCGGCGAAAAAGGATCCAACGTCCCCGCAATCGAATGCGGCATCCCATGATAAGAGCGGTGGTGAAGACCCGAGCGTCCCTGTACCTGATGCTGATGCTGATGCTGATGCTGATGGCCATCCATCGACCACCCACCCCCATGCCCGTGCATCTGCTGCGTGAAGTAATCCGACTGAGCGCGGTCCAGAGCAACCTGGGTGCCGAAGCTCGATTCGCGGCGCGAGATGGGTGGCGAGGGCAGCTTTGGTGAGGATCGAGGCATCATTTCGAGGCGTGGTGAGCCTCGGCGCGAGTTTGGTGGTGTTAGGCGTGAGCCGCCGCGGCGGACTTGGCATGTTGGGCAAATTTTGACGAAGCGGGATATTAATTCCTTGGGGACCCTGTAAAAGAGTGTCAATATAATTCATGTCGGTGGGAGGTCGAGTCCTCCCTCTTCCAAAGAATGGGGGTCGAGCCAGGTTGGGTTGAATCTAGATATAACTATTCCATTTCCAATCTATGCACTTACCAGGAATAAATCCGCCGAACCTGCGCAGAAGTCTTATCCCTTCCACCGTGCTGACATTGTTGATGCGCCTTGGTGAGAATTTTAAACAATTTCTCCCGAATAGCAACGGGTTTGCCTTCATGGCAGATCATTTTCCGGCACTGCTCATCCCGTCCCATTAGCCTTTGAATGTCTCAGAATTTTCCCGCATCGATGCGTTGCATTGCATGCATGTATGTACGTATCATACGTATGTTGTTACCTACCTCAGTCGTACCCACACCCACAGTCTGAAGCTTGAACATCTTTTTAACCCAGAATCTACACCATTTAGCGATTCGTACTATTAAAAGAGGATCCCCGGGGAAAGGAAAGGAAAGGGGAGAAAAGAAAAGAAAAAAAAACCGCGTACCGAAACTGAGCAGATTCAACGGCCGTGTCTTTGGGATCGATTAGAACGGTGCGGATATTGCGCGCTCGTTTGGCGTGGATTAGGGCTTTGTCTTGCTTTTTCACGGAGAGATCGTCGACATAGCTGGGGATGAATTAGTTATAATATTCCAATTGTACCATGGGATTCAATTCAATTCAATTCAACTCAATTTCAAATTGGATTGGTTGGAATGGGTTCAATTGAATTCATTGCTAGTCCAGTCCAGCTTTCTGCTACATACCTTTGCATCAACTGATCAAACTCCTTAACATCAGGAAACCCGTCCAAAGCCGGAATAACCGCCTCAGAAAGCATAGTCCCCTCATTCCTCGACTCCTGATTCTCAATCTCAGCCTCAAAGGCCTCCCTCAGCGGCAAGTACCGCGGCGACTGCAGATACCGCGACTGAGCCATGTACTGCGAGTGCGAATGACTGGGCGGGTGGAACTTCATGTCCTCGGACGTCGACATGGAGGGGATGGTGTGGTCGGAGGCATACTGCAGATGTTGCATGCCTTGCGCGGTGAGGGTGGGCTGTTGTCCGTATGTAGGGCCGCCGCTGACGCCGAATTGAGACCCGCTGTATGGATTGAAGGATTGCTGGGGGAAGTGGTATGAGGCTGGGCCCGGATTGAAGTCGTGCGTTGTGTCTGGGTGGTTGTAGCCGACGCCAATGCCGGGCGATGTCATTTGGGAATTCATGAGGTAGCTGTCGTTAGCATCGTTTCGTCTTGAGTAGCTGCTCATCGTCTTGGGGGGGGTTTTGGGGCCCTGCGATTCGATTCGGAGGTCGGGGTTTCTTCGAGTCGGTGCTTTGAGAATTGATGCCGGGAGGGAGAGGAAGGAATCAATCAGTCTCGACGACGATGAGGAATACAATTGAGACAAGATAGAGATGCAGGTGTAGGAAATGAAGGTAGATGATGATAATAGAAGAACTTGTCAAGAGGACATGCGAAGGGTTATGTAGATTCGCAGATGTAGAGGTTAAATCATTCGATGATACAAGGGAACATAGACCATTTAAACAAAAGTCATGAAGACTATCAACAGGGTAACGGATTGAATCGAATTAAATGGGACCCGCAAAGGGGAGACAAGAGACGAGACCCCCTCCCTACCCCCCCCAGGCGAATCTTGCAGGACATGACCGATGCCCAAGTAAATGCGCACGAGACCTGTATGTCTAGACAGAGAGTAGGCAGGCAGCAGAAAGCAAAAGAGGGACATCCCTGGAGGAATTACAGCAAATATTCCACAGAAAAAAGAAACGATAGAGGCAGGCGAATCGAGTAGAACTCTGTCAGGTACAGCCAGAAAGGGTATTACTCAAGCTAAGCAGATTGCAGGGAAGTGTATTGCATGGATGAAGGGCAAAAAAAGACAAAGGCCCCGAAAAAAAAGAGAAATAATAAATTACTAATTCTATTTTGGTTAGAAAAAGAAAAGAAAATCATAAACGGCAAGAAGGTGCAAAAAAAGAAACGTCAACCCTCTGACTTGACTGGGGTTCGCTGTCGAAATCTTTCCGACCCACCGAGGCAAATAGCAAGATGAAAGGAGCAAGGCAGGGCAGGGCAGGTAGATACGACAGCGCACAACAAGCAATGGTGATACGGGTTCCCGCCTCGATGCCCGGCGCCACCATTTGCCTCATATGAAGAGAAAGCCACGTTGGGTTGGGCGAGGCCGCGACGGGTGAGAGCGAGGATGAGGGCCAGCTCGAGGCCACCTATGGGGATGCTACCTGGAAAGTTTGAAGATTGAATCAGCTCCCCAGAGCCAAAGACATCATCAACAGTACCGGGGGGACGATCATAACCTCCCCGACACATCGACGCGGAACAATATTCGCGCCGGACATTAGAGGCGGAGAGGCGAATTATTCCTTGCAGGGCTTTGTTTCTGCAGGTTTGCCATCTGTCAAACAAAAAGACGGGGCTAGAGATTGCTCCGGCAAAGGTCCAAACCAAACATGACTGACATGCAAGTAGCCGTGCCGGAAGAGACATGGATTGAGGGTTGAGAAAGAAGTAGCGACGGCGGCAGTGTTCCAGCCGCTCTCACTAGCTCTAGCTCTATAGCTCTAGGGCATACCCTCACTGGCGCCGCAAGCTTGCGGCGCGCATGCCATGCGCGCGGGGGTTAGAAGGAGAGGGGGGGGGGGGGGCGAAGACTGTTAGCTGCCTGGCAGAGAGGCAAGAAATTCTGGGGCAGGAATGGGGCCCGGCCTCGGGCGAGTCTGCACTGCGAGTCAAGACATACATCCTGGTCAGGCCTGCTGTCCCACCAAGCCAGATCGTGTGTTGTGCTGTCAGGGAAGAAGTCGACGTGACCTTGACGTGGCGTTGATGCCAGGGCGAAGTGGATTGGGTCTCCGTTGACGGGCAATCAATGCAGCATGCGGGATGGCAGGATTGCATGCGTTTGGCCCGTCCGCGACAGGTGAGACACCGTGTTCGATGCACTTGGCATTGCGGACCCTCGCAGTGTTGGCAGTCGTAGTTCGGAGCCGGTCGTGAAGCGAAAGGGGATAGGGTGGCGGGGAGTAGTGGCTTCGAAAATAGAAAGAGTCAATTCTTTTCGAAAAAGGAAAATCTCCCCAAAGACCTTTTCTAGCGTTATACAATCTATTACCCGCAGTGTCACTCTGTGAGTTCCCGATCAGCTTGAGCCCGTCCCATCCAAACCCCCGGGGTGAATGGAAGAGCAGAGTAGAAGGCAAGGCGCCTAAGCGACAAGCACAACAAAGAAAAAGAAAGGAAAAAAGGGAAAACAAAGCCCTGGTCTTCTCTAAGATGTCCCGAGTCCGAGTGTGTTTCGGAACTGTCTAAGCCTGGGGAAGACAAAAGACGGTATAGGGAAGTGAATTCCCCCGAGGAGTGACTATCAACATGGGTACTCCCTGTTGATCGGGGCCGTACGAGGCATGAACCCGGCGAGAAGAGGAGGTACGATGAAACTTGGGTGAAAAGAAGAAGCACAGGAAATTTGTCTGAAATTGGAAGAAGAGAGGGGGGAAATGGATGGAGAAGAGAAGGAGGAAGGGAGGAAGAGAGAGAGAGAGAGGGAGAAGGAGGAGGTTGAGTTCCGCCCTGCCCTAATCTCAGACCTCTCTTCTTCGTCTTTTCTCCTCATTTCTTCTTCTTCCTTCCCCAAAGCAAGGAAGAACAAAGTATGTACTCTCCAAATGAATAAGAATAAAGATAAAGACGAAAATCAATCAATCAATCAATCAACAATAACAACAATGATATAGTTACAGGTTTCCAACCGTAAATTCGTTTGGCTATAGTTTCATTAAGGCCAATGGTAGTAGAAAAAAGGGGGAAGGGGGGAAAGAGAAAATCAATCATCGAACGCATCGAACGTCCGCTCGCCTCCAGTCATTAAGTTCGTTGTATCCATATTCAAAACTCTACCACAATCCAGGCACTGAACCACTGAACAGTGCATCACATCACATCATCTCACCACGCTGCTGGAATCCAATCCAATCCTCCTCCCCTTGGGCTAGGGCTAAGCCGTACCATCGGCTACCAGGTCACGAATCGCCCATCGCCAGTGTGTTTCACGATCACCGCGGTCACGCTCAGAGCCTACCCAATTGTCCACTTTGCGTTTCCATTTCTCTTCCTCGGCCCGTTGGCGTCGAATAAACTCCGGCCCGACATCGAATTCTTCGGTGATAGGTCCTTCGTCGGACGATTCACCCGCGCTGGGTTCTCCAGTAGTGGCTGTAGAGGAGGGGTTCAGATCGTTCATCGTCGTCGACGTTCGTCCAACTCCAACAACTTTGTCCTCCAAGTCATCCAGACCCGCAAACACATCATCCTCGTCATCAGGCTCAGGTGCTGCGGGTTCCTTGGACTGGGACTTGGCTCGAAGCCAGCACATGCGGTGGGGGTCGAAAACCATACCACCCACCGTCTGTACATTTTGCATAGCGCCCACATTGGTAATCAGGGCGGGTGCGGGTTTCGGTGATCTCGACGCGACAGTATTGTCAAACTCTTGCACAATATTTTCATTTCCTTCCCAACGGTAAGTGTTCGGGTTGTACCGCATACCTCGCACGGCTGGATGCAATGGTCAGTTTCAGTTTCAGTTCTCGCTGGGCAAACTAAAACAAGGGTTTGTTTGTTTGTTTTTTTTGGGGGGGGGAAGGGGGTTTCTTTTGTGGCTGATATGACTTACACTTCGATTCTTGGACCCCAGCCCCCATGGGCTTGATTAAGTGAGGCTTCGTATTTTTGGCATCCGATCTGATCTTCCGGTTTCGTACAGGCGCTGCATTTGGAGAGAGGCGAGTGATGGGTTGTGGTTGGGGTTTCCAATTAGAATTGAAAGATGAAAGGGGAGTCGTATCCCTATCTCGGTTCAAGCTGTTCAAGGTCCTACTGCCCATGGAAGCAATGCGTTGTTCTCTCGCATTGCGGGACGCGTTCGTATCACGGGCAAATCTGGGTATCGAGGTGGGCGGTTTTGAAGTTGACGGGGGTGTGGAAAGTTGGCCTTGGCCGGGACGGGGAGATTCGGCAGGGGGAGTATTGCGGCTCTGGCTGAGTTTGGCGCGCACAGATCGAGGTGCGCCTCGACCGATGGGGTTTTTGGTATATTTGCTTTCTGTGGAGACGGATGTCGGCAGGTCATCAAAGGACTCCAATTCAGTCCCGTCTCCAAAATTACGTCGTTTCGTCGGCCTGGTGAGGGTTCGCTTCCCAGACGGCGAAATGGTGTCCGTACTGGTTTCTCCCAAACTTAAGCGGTGCCCGTCTGAGCGACTTGAGCGCGAGAGCCGTGAGAATGTGCCCGTCGGACTCAAGAGATCGCTAGACCCGTCCGAGTTGGTACGGCGCGAGGACCTATAGCTCTTGACGCTGGCATGATGCGATTGTCGTTCTGATGCGCCAGCGGGAATAAATGGTGCTGGCGGCCTGCGACTTGAGGTTCTTCCATCATTGACCGTTGTTCGATCGACCGGTGTTTTGGGTCTGCCGAAAGAGGATCGAATATACCCATCAGGGTGAGATGGTGATCTTTGCGAAGCCTGTGCCGATTCCGCATTCTTGATTCCTCGAATTGACGGCAGAGATCTCTTGGGTCGGAGTGTCCGGCCCGGTGTATTAGAGTTAACAGTTGGCGCAGGCTCCCTGGAAGGTCGCTGCCCAAGAAGCCTCCTAGTTGATGATGAGGTAGGTGTTGGGGACGTTGAGGGCGTAGTAGTGGCCGCAAGACTGGACACTGAAGATTGGGCCGAATGGCCGAGTCTAGACTGTGATCTCCTAAATTTGGACAGGGGTGCACCGCTCTCAGAAACAGTTTCGAGGTGGGTGGAATGCGTTCTGTCGTGGCCAGATAGCCGGGGAATCCGGGTACGCGGGGATGTTGATGAGTTGGTAAAGGTTAAAGTCGTGGCTGGCCGACGCGTTGGGCTCGTGGGCCATTCCGTCTTGCATTTAACGTTGGGATTCAATGCTAATTTGCCTGAAGAGAATGCCTTGCCGCTGTCAATTTCGATCCCACTGAAAAAGTCATCGGCCTCTGACGATTGTGGGGGCTTTTGGGTCTCTTTGGGCTGAATCAAGTCATCGGCGGCTTGCACCTCTTGTCGTTTCTTGAGAGAGGCCGTGAAATCGAGAGGCCCTTCTGGGAACACAATGCCATCAAGCCCGTCATCTTCACTCCCCCCTGTTATGCAACTTGAAACACTGGGACTTGCAATGGATATAGATGAGCTCGGAGCAGATCGGCCATCTCGCGTAGTACCGCCAACTCGTACACCTATGCTACCTTCAGACCATTCCAGATCAAAGTCCTCAAGTGTTGGGCTAGAAACACCAGTGTGCTGTTTCCGATGGGATAGTTGAAGAGGCTGGTGGTCAGGAGGAAGCTCAAACTCAAGATCAAAGTCATCGGCCTCCTGTTCCTGGAAATTGTTTGTCTTGGCCCCGCTCACGGACTTCTTCTGCGGCGATCGAGGAACTGGAGATCTGATAATCGGCACGACTTGGTTATGGTTATGGTTATGGTTATGATGAACAGGGCTATCATTCTCATCCTGATACCGTTCCAAACCCGTAAAAGCCGATTGCAGACGAGTAGAAATATCTTCATGCCAGATTGGCGAGGCCGTTGTTTTGATAGGACTGGTCGCAGCCGAGCTTATTTGCCGTAAACTTTCCGGGAAGGTGGTATCTTGCGGAGTCCTGAGTTCGAGAACAGTATCGGGATCCGGAAGCTCCACATCTTCAGACCAGTCGTCGACGAAGGTTCGCTTCTGCTTTCGAGTAGATAGGCGTTTGATGGCACCCCCTATGAGAGCCGAGCTGGGGATACCGGCTGGAATGGGAATACCGGCATGTTTCGCGGATGCAAGCGCCTCTTCTTTCGAGAACTCGTCATTATCATGTAGAAAGACCTGCCAGTCTTCGTCACCGGCATTGGAGTCTAGGTCTGAGCGCGCGGAGCGGCGGGAGGAGATCGAGTCGCGGTGTCCGGAAGGTCGAAAGGAGGAATTGGTTATTGAACCGGCGCTGGAGGTGGCCCGAAACTGGATACCCTCGTTGAATTGAAGATCCCCGTCATCATCCCAGCACTCAATGGTTTCTTCTAGATCGGGTCGTAGCTGATGTCCCAATGACTCCATGGCCATGGTGGGAGGAGCGTGTTGGAGAAGGAGTCGGGGGAGAAGCGGCGTTCATAAAATAGTTTGGAGGGTTCCCCAAAATGGTGATCAGGAGGTAGATCTGGAGCTTTGCGACGCTGAGGATAGGCGAGAAGGTCGAGAATAGAACGTCATGCCGTGTCGTTTTCGATTTGCGAGTATTCGATTTGGGAGGTGGGAGGCTGTCAGTGTGATCACCCTGAAATGGGCGTGTTCGGAGGTGGGCAGATCAGATGGGGGCTGTCGGAGCGGGTGTGAGGTTATATGTGCGAAGAGGAGAGGGGAGCAGAGCAGAGCAGAGCAGATACAGCTCAAGTCGTCTCTGTTTGACTCGACCTCTCACGCGTACATCGAGGAGAAAGGGGTTATAGAGGGTGGAGGGTGGTGGGTGGACGACCAATAGAGGGAGAATGGAGAATGGAGAATGGTGGCTGGATGGAGTGGAATCCCTCGTGGGAGAAGGAGGAACGTGCTTAGCGTACACCAACAGTGGGGACACCAGCCAGAACACAAGCTAAGAGAGATTTTTCTGACAGAAAGAATAGAATGGGTATCGAAGATATTTTGAATCTCTCGAATAGGGGTCAGAGTCACGAGGTGGAATCGGTGGAATCGAATCGGTGGATTTAATTATTGTTGTTAGGCTGTGGATGGGATGGATAGTCTTGACGGTGGGTCCAAACCAAACGGAGGTTGCCTGGACTTCCAATCGTTTGTACTCCGAGCCTCTTCCTTACACCTTCTCTCTCTACTCACCGTACCATATACCACCATGTCATCTCCTCATGTTCTCCGTTTTGATAGATCAGATGAGCAAGGTTCCTTCATTTTGGTCCACTTGGTTCATGCATCTGAGTCATCTCTTGACCTCACCTTGACCGCGACGGAGGGTGAAGGTGCATATGCTGCCTCAAGTACGCCTCAAGGCCATTGAACAACCATGCAAACAAACAAGGAATTCATATTAACAGCCCCCCCAGTCAAATATTCACAATTAAAAGATCTACGATCCAAAAGCTACCAGGGTTCCGATGCAGAGTGGACCCAGGTGATTCGCCGCATCCTAGGCCAATCAACCGAAGATGAAACGACATCCTCATTCAAACTCGAAGCCACAGCAAACATAACAGAATCAGCCGACGGAAATCAGATCACCATCACCATCCGCAAAAGAGTCCAAGACATCACAGTACGTTACTACCCAACACCAAAGGACTACCTTACTACTCTCTCTCTAACACCCCACCAGCAAAGACTCGGAACAATCATTCTAAAAGAAAGCGATGCGGAAATCGAGCTCTTCGAATGGGCCGGCATAGCAGCCGCCAGAAACAGGACCCTGGAACAGGAAGCTTCCAGCCTAAACGCCCGCTATCAAGACGCAGCAGACACCGTCCAGAAACTAACCCAACAACTAGACGAACTAGTCCAAGCAAAAGCCCAGCACGAGAATCAGCTAATGGCAAACTTCACCCAGCTGCTAAACGAGAAGAAACTCAAGATTCGGAATCAGCAGCGTCTCCTGGCTTCTGCTACCGCGGACCCCGATAAAGGTAAGCTTCTATCTAGTATGGTGGATTGCGTCAAACATAAAGGCTAATACTTTCCAATACCAGTCTCTGAAATGCAAGCCTCAGCAATGCAATTCGCCCGCGGAGACTCCCCCCCCCGTCAAAGCGTGACCATACTGATGCCGAAGATTCAGATGACTTCGAGCCAATGGATCTCGACCAGGAGAAGGGCGGCAAGTCGGCAGCGGACCAAGATACCGATTCTGACGATGGAGGCCAATCGACGCCACCGCCCGAAGATGGTGGAAACACAACTACAGATGACGAGTCTGCAGAGGAGCAGGATCCAGAACCGAAGCAGAAGCGCCCTTCGGCTCCAAAGGCAAAAGAAGCTGCGCCCCCTCCTCGACGTGAATTACCTTTTACGCGACGAGGTGCGGCCACGGCCCCGAAAGCTGCGACGCCTCCGCCTCCGTCTATGGGTAGTGATGAGACGGGGGAGAGACGGATGATGATGAGCTTTAGTTAGAATCGGGATGCTGCGTTTGAGAATGGTCCTGGTCTTCAAGCTTGATGGAAGACATGCCAGTAGTTGGGGTTATATACTTGGGTTAGGACATAAGAATTGAATATATACGAGATGCCATAATTTTGCTCTCTAGCTTACCACAGACATTGTTCCAAATTACGACTAGTTAGTCTTTAACACTGACTGGTAGATCAGTACTTACAATATATAAAATACTACTCAAGAAAAGCTATCACTGACTTCCGTAACGGAACTAGAGATTTTGTTGGCCTCAATCTTTTTATGTACAAGTCAACCCCGACCGATTATTCCCTGTTGTAACACCGGGAAACGGGAGAATTTTCGAAAGGAGGTCAACCCCAAAAACCGGATGTAACGGCATTCAAGTCGATGAAAAGAAAACAGAAGATGGAAAAAGGAAACGGGAACATCAAAGGGAAGTATAGGATGATACAAATGACAACGCCTGCAACCATTAGAGAGAAAGCACAGAATTCAATCACTGGCTTGCGCCGTAGAGGGCCTGGGGAGACATCTCTCCGGCGGCCATGAAGTTGGTCTCAGGGTTGCCAGTGGCCTTGGCAGCTGAGCAACGGGCCATGGTGGGGGAGCTAAAGATGGAGTTAGTATTGTGTATAAATCAGTGGACCAAGTGTCATCGACTAAAACTAACCTTCTGGAAATGGAATCGGTGAAGAAGAAGTCCTCAATGACCTTCTTGAAGGGGGAACCGGTCGTTGAGGCTCCCTTGTTCTGGTCAGCGAGCTGCACCTTGCTCAGGGCAGCAACGGAGGTAGGCTCGACGATATCGTAGCGGCGCATAACAGGGCTGATCTCCTCCATGCGGTCACGGAGAGCCTCAATATCATCATAAGGCAGAGGAACGCCAAGGAACTCGCTGGCGGCACGAATGATCTTCCAGTCATCACGGGCAGCACCGGGGAGCGAGGTAGCCGCACGGGTAACCTGGACACGACCCTCAGTGTTGATATAGGTGCCGGCCTTCTCAGTGTATGCAGCACCAGGGAGGACAACGTCGGCGAGCTGAGCACCCTTGTCACCGTGGTGACCCTGGTAGACGACGAAGGCATCCTTGGGGATTTCGCTAGCGGCGATCTCATCGGCACCAAGCAGCCAGACCATCTTGGGGGTGGTCTGGGAAACCTCGAGGCCGGGAGCAGTGAAGCCGACTTCGTAGGCACCTGCGCGGGAAGCGGCACGCTGCAGGACGTTGAAGCCTTGCCACTCGGGAGTGGTGAAGTTGCTGGCGTGCTTCTCGACGAAGCTTCCGACAGCCTCGAAGATAGCCTTGGAGTCGGGGTGCTCGGCAGCGGCGGAACCAACCACGATCATGGGGCGCTGAGCACCGGCAAGCTTCTTGCCGAACTCGCCAGCCAGAGCAGTCTTCAGGGCAGAGACGTCGGCGCCGAGGTTCTGATAGTCGAAGGTGCTCTCAAACTCCTCACCGACAAGACCGATCTCCAAATCAGAGCGCAGGTATTGCTTGCGGATACGGGCGTTCAGAACCGAGGCCTCGTGACGGGGGTTGGTGGCAACAAGGAGGATAGCGTCAGCCTCTTCGATACCGTAAATCTTAGAGTTGAACAGGTAGTTCGAGCGGACATCAATACCGTGGGCAATGGGAGCACCACCACCGGGTTGGTCGAGACCAAGGTTGTCAGAGCCAAGCTTGTTAGCCATGTCCTTCATAGCAACGAGAGACTCGGCATCAACCAGGTGTCCAGCAACGGCCTTGAATTCGTTAGGTTGCAGCTGGAGCTTCTGTTGGGCTGAGGAGATCTCCACAAGGGCCTGTTCCCAGGTGGCGGGGACAAACTTGCCCTCGCGTCGGATCAGGGGAGTGGTGAGGCGCTGAGTCTTCAAGCCATCACAAGCAAAGCGAGACTTGTCGTTAATCCATTCCTCGTTAATGTCGTCGTTCAAGCGTGGTGTAACACGCATCACCTCCATACCACGGCTGTCGATCCGAATGTTAGATCCCAGGGCGTCGAGAACATCAATTGACTCAGTGTGCTTCAGTTCCCAGGGACGGGCACGGAAGGCATATGGCTTGGAGGTCAGAGCACCAACGGGGCAAAGGTCAATGACGTTGCCAGACAATTCAGAGTTGAGGTTTTGCTCGAGGTAGGTTCCGATCTGCATGTCGTTTCCACGGCCGGAGGTTCCCAGCTCGGGTGCGCCGGCAACATCGTTCATAAATCGGACGCAACGGGTACAGTGAATACAACGGTTCATCGAGGTCTTGACCAAGGGGCCAATGTTCTTGTCCTCCACAGCACGCTTGCCTTCCTCCTCGTGGAATCGGCCACGATCAGCACCATAACGCATCGACTGGTCCTGAAGATCACACTCTCCACCCTGGTCACAAATGGGGCAGTCGAGGGGGTGGTTGGCGAGGAGGAATTCCATAACACCCTCACGGGCCTTGTGGACCAATGGCGAACTTGTCTTCACAACCATACCGGGCTGAACGGGCCAGGCACATGAGGCGACAGGCTTGGGGGCTTTTTCGACTTCGACGAGACACATACGGCCTAGATATGCCTAGTTAGCAACCGTGATTGTTTTCATGGAATGGAAGAGGCCGGAACGTACAGTTTCCTGCAATCAGCAGCTTCCTTTATATCGGGTAACGTTAGTAAGGATTATCATCGGAGGGGAGGACTCGGGGAAGCGTACTCGTGGTAGCAGTATCTAGGTTCAAAGGTAAGTAAATGTCACGGACATCGTATTTGATCCTGAGTGAAGGGATTGGATTCATACCTGGGGATCGTTGCGCCTGCCTTTTCGCAAGCCTGGATAAGAGCCGAGCCGGCTATAATAGGTCTGAGTATTGGTTCAATGGGCATCGTTCGAGCAAATCTTACCTTCAACGGACACCTTCTTTCCATCTGCACCATATTGTTAGCATATCTTGACTATCAATTGATGCTGAGAGACATACCAATGGTCAGTTCCACCTCGGCCGCGCGAGGGGCGGTCATCGCGAAGGTCCGGGCCGGGGGACCCGGAGAGACCGGGCGGCCGCACGGAACAGCTGCGGCCGCATAATTGTGAGGAGTTCTGAGAGGAGGAGGGGGGTGGAGGGGTTTGGGAGATGGGGTGGACGAGGGGGAACGGGGAAGAAGGAGCTGTTGTTCAGAGTCGGATTCTGCTGGGTTACCTAATGCCTATTGGGCTTTGCTGACCATTGCCCGGATGACTCAGCTGATTTCACAAATGGACGAATTCTAATTGGCTGAGAGACTCGGTTACCCGGATAAACCTTACATCCGGCCAGATGAACAAAAACCCGCGGCCCCTTTGAATCCTTTTTCGAAATTCACTCATTCACGGGCGTGATTTATTGTAGGATACAGGTGTCTCACCGTCCCTATTTCCTCTACAGCATAGTCCCCAGAGCAGAATTTGCGCCGTAATGGGGCAGTCAAGGGTCTAGCCCGATTATGACATGTTCTTTACCGACGGTCGCGACATCTCACGCCGATTATTCCCGCGGGGGCAACCGATATGTAGGACGCAGGTTGCAGGACGCAATTGAAGAACACCAAATACATCCATCTCGATAGAAACAACATGAAAAAAAAAAAAAGTCTCATGACTTGAACCATTAATTTACGTTCTTATCTACCTTAGCTCTTCTCGTCTATGCTATCGCCAGTGGAGATTCGACACAACCCAAAAAAGTCGTTTCAAGTAAAAGATTCAACAACGCCATGATATATAAGCATATATAATACATCATCATTCTCTCCGTCTTTACACTCATAAGAAGTAAAAAACGAGAGACTATGCTAGGTGGCTACTGGCGTGTCAGTGGGCTGCCACGTCGATTCTTGTTTGGTCCCAGGTAGCCAATTCCGGGACACACTGGCGCCACGAGCCCGCACCCTTCCTGGGCCATCTTCCTTCTTCATATTGCTGGTGGAATTCTCGAATGAGCGTCCGGCAGGGAAGGCGTAGCCATTTGAATCCCATGGCCTGCTCGAGTGTCGGACATTCATGGGAAGAATGGCCTCCCGTGCACGGAAGTGATCAGCATTGGCTCGCTGATCGGCCACATCATCGTGGCTGTTGCGATTGTACAGGTAGAGTCCCAAAAAGGTGAGACCGATGCCGACTGCTTGGATTGGAGTCGTGGAGTTACCAAACCATATGACTGCCACAACGATAACAAAAACGCGTTTAACCAAGGAGGCAACAGAATAGGACACTGGGGAAACCATCGACAAGAGCACAAAGGCCAAAATGTTCTGCGCAAAATGCGAGACACCGTTGAACACGAATTCAATCATGAGTGCCCCGTGGTCCAATGATCCCTTCTTTTCTGAGAGGTCGATCGCGCCGTCCTTGATAAAGTCGGATACCAATGGATATCCTTCACTGACAAACCAAATAGGCAAGGTGAGGAAGAAGGCCAAGCCCGAGCAGTAGCAAAGCAGATTCAACTTGTCCAACTTGCGTCGTGCTGGGTTTTGGGGGTCGTTTTCGGCACGCTCCGCCTCGTTGAACAGCTTCTTGGAGAAAATATTCTGCGACACAAAAATGATCGCGGCACCGAAGGCGCAGATAATTCCGAAGAAATTCGTAGACGATCCGGTGGAACAGGCGAGCATGACCCCAGCTGTAAGAGGAATCAAGGATAGATAGGTGGCTCTGGCATAACGAATTCGAAATACTACTCGGTAGGCGAAAACGGTGAACAAGGGTGAGAGCCCCTTGATGGTGTGGACCAAGGAGACAGGGATCTTGGCCGTGGCCATCGAGCTCAAAATATGGCCGAGAAGCTGGAAGACGGCGAGGGGTAAAGCAGTCGAGATCACTTCACGCGACGGGTAACGAATGCCATGCTTGAGAACCGGGATGCTCTGCCGCAGTTTCGGGAAGACCGAAGACAGCCACACCAGTAACAAACACCATATTGAAACGAATGCGAATTGAATGATAGTCAATGTGATTGGCATCGGCAGGGCGTTCAAGATGGATTTCGAGGATGTGTTCGTGAGGGCTGAGGTGAAGTACCAAATAACGCATAGGGTCTGGACATGAATTAGCCATCATTCAGCAGCTAAAGTTCCTCTGACATTGTGTGGCTATTATAACCCTCGGGGAATGAGAGAGAACGTACCACTAGCCTATACGATACGGGAGCTCGTAGTGCCTCCGCCAGCTCTTGCGCGTTAGCACTCACGCTGCCGTTACGTGTTCGAATGGTCGAGATGGCCTCGCTGATACTTTTCCGCGGCCGGTGTTTAGGATTCCTTAGTGCTCCATTGGGATGATCTCTTGAGTAATAGGATGTTTTCCGCGGTTCCCACGTCTCGCTTGGCGCGTATTTCACTGAGGGGGTGGAGTTGGTGCTAGGTCGGCTGGACCCAATGGCGCTGTCAAGAGTTTCTTCGTAGGGAGGGAATTGGTCTATCGGGCTGCTGACTGGCTGTGTGGTTGATGTCTTGTTTGGAATTTGTAATTCCGGTTGTCGCATAGAAGCCCGGCGTCCATGGCCGGTCACTGTCGTGGTGGCCATCGTTTGTTCTGTTTAGTTCAGATCCGGGGTTCTATTCTCATGTCCAAAGTTAGCTCTCTGGCACACAAACGCGTTCGTATGTACTGTGTTACTCACCCAGATTGATGGTCAAGCTATGGGGGAATAGGAGTGTTGAAGGGAGTCGCAGGGAATCTTTTGCTGAGGTGACGTTGGCCCGGTGGAGCGTAGTGAGCGCAACTAATCCGGCGATGACGAATCTCCTGCAAGTGGGCGTCGAGGGATAGGGGACACTGGGGGGGAAGATAGCGAGTCATTCAAGGGTTTCGCATCGACAATTGAGATAGCTTTCCTCTTCCACAGAAGGAGAAGGTAAGAAGGAAAAGGGGTGGGGGGAGGAAACACGACGACGACTGGCCCGATGAGGGTGTGCGGTCCATGGGTGATTTGCGGTGCTACCGCCACCGGCTATATTACAAGATACTGGTAACCACTAATACCATTTCAATACCACGGAGACGGCCGAATAGAGATCAAGATATATCCAATGAGGGTGATTTTGGGAAAACAAAACTGAACTATTTCCAAATTACTGTATCTTTTTGAGAAACATTTAACCATTAGACAGCGATTCAATTAAGACAGTACACATAAATATATTGACTTTGCTCATTCTAAATATAGGTATCGATTGGCTGGACCTGGATTTGCAAGGGGGTCATGTGAATACCGTTACCTACTAGAATGGGTAATTTACGGGTGGAGCCAGGAACACTCAGCATCAAAGTATACTGCATGCATGCAGGGATACTTCCTGCACATATACCTAGGTATATTTACTAGCTTCCAATATAGGTATATAGATACTTATCAAGATATTAGTTCCAGTAAGCGGCCATGGCGAGGCCTGGGACACACGGGTGTTTGTCCCATTGCATCTAGGTAGGCTTAGTCAGTCCACTTCTATTTAGTTTCTCATCCATACTATATACATACTACTAATGTTTCCACTGCGGTTACCTCTCTCGCCAATATATGATCGTACGATCCTTTTTTTTAATAATAATTCTGATTGAAGTTTTATTTTTCAGATAAACTTTGTTCAACAAATTGTACATAAATGTACAATGGCTCCGACTACCTAAGGTATATAATATCTACTCAGCCTTATCAAGATCCCAAATTTGATCTTCATGCTGATCGGACCAAATGAGACAGTTCCCTCACTGTATAATTTTACACAACTCAGTCATAGTTTCTATTTTCTCAGACGCAATTTCCTTCTGATCTAAAGTAAATTGTCCCTGCGCACTTGCCTGTTAGAAACACTCACTGCTCGTTGCTCGTTGCTGCCGTCTCCCCCGCTGCCGGCCTCTTCCACTCTCGCCCGCCCACCCTCTTCCTCCTCCTATACCTCACTCACTGTGATATTTTGTCTCTCACATCCAAGACTGTCCGAATCTACTGGTTTCACTATACTCAAAGCCTGTTTGAATTTGCGTGATTCTCACTCCCATTCCACTGTTTGCTATCCTGGCCACCGACTACCATGGTGTCTACACTAGCCGTTCCCTCCATGCTTGGCCGCGTGAACAGAGAAGGGTATTCCCCTCCTAGCGATGTTGAAATGCGAGGCATAATCAATGGATGCGAGCCCTCGGTGAGTCACTTGATACGGGAATATTGGACCTGCGTGTCATTGCTTATTCTGACTCGATCTTGAAGGGTCACCAACATTCGTCCAGCCACAACAGCTCCTCTGAGCTACCCCAGGGACAGAGGCAGGTATTTGGCCAGCCTTCTGGCGGAGAAGAAATTGAATCTTCTTCAAACAAGGTTTGTTTCCCCCAGATCCTGAGTATGAAAGCCCGGAGATCTGACAATCCTAGAAGCAAAAGTTAGGGCATCCGAAGGTAGGATCCTTGGCTAGCAAACCTTCTCCGCTGGAGCAGATCCTGGCAAAGCTCTCCCCGCAAGGCCGTTCCGGGATGGTCTCGGAGGCGGATGGATTTGCTGGCTCGCCGCAAATCATCCCAACGAAGGAGTCATTGCCAACTACAGCATCGACGGAGGCCGCAGAAGCATACACATCAGATGGTGGAACAGAGCTTTTACGACTCAAACAGCAACTACTCGTTGCAAACTCCAAGATTGCTCTGCAGGAACAGGAGTTGGCTCAATCACGCGTTATCAAGCATACACTAGACCAAGCCCTCGGCCCTCCCTCCGAGGCCGACTTTGGTGCTCGTGATGTCACAGATCAAACCATAAGTCACTTACAGAGTGCTTTCAATGCCTCAAACCCCGGGTTTGGTCAGCTCCAAGATACTTGGAGTCCGCATGATGACTCGCAGTCCGATGTCTCAGACATCTTATCCGCTGGCACTTACAATCACGCTCGTGGGATTTGGACCCAGGGTAGTCAAACTGCATACAGTGTTGCAAGCAGCGAGCTTCCGTTCGAAAAGGTTTACGGAGACTCTCGCCATGGGGCAAACACCGCAGCGCAGTTTCAACAGCCCTGGGGTGGCTCAAACACGGGATTCTCTTATACGTCTCCGCTCATGCAAGCTCAGAGGGTACCTTCCAACCCCTCTGCTGGTGTATACGGATTTTGTGCACGCTCTCCAGGTGAACAGCCTCGGTATTCTCAGAGTCCATTGCAAGTGCAAAACCCCATCCCCCGTCGTTCTTTCGCTCCAGCAAATCATGCTGGGACTATGTTTCCACCCCCAAGCAACCCCTGGTCTGGCTTCACTTCCGAGGCGACGACCGGAGACTCGACTCCAAAGTCCCCCATCTCTTCCACAACTAGATCTTCCAGCGTTATACAAGCAGTTGGGATGTATTCATTTCCCTATCACGCCCGACAAGCTGGAACGGCACTATCTCCGACAGCTACGGAGTTCACAACTAGCAGCCCTGAGGCAAGCCCATGGTCACTTCCACCTCCATCGGTCAGTTTCTTGCTGGTCTCAAATCGACAACAACAAAATTGTACTAATAGAATTCATTTAGACCGCCGGAAGCTCGACCCAGACGTACATATCACCTCTCGAGCCCCTGAATTACAGACGTCTCCTCGATAAGAACGTCTCCTGCGATTGGAAATACATCGTTGACAAGATCGTTTGCAGTAATGACCAACAAGCATCCATCTTCCTTCAGCAGAAGCTCAAAGTCGGCACAACTGAACAAAAATTCGATATCATCGAGGCCATTGCTAGTCAGGCATATCCGCTCATGGTAAATCGGTTTGGCAATTTCCTCATCCAGCGCTGCTTTGAACACGGCACCTCCGAACAAGTCGTGTCCATTGCCAATGCCATCAGGGGCAACACACTTACCTTAAGCATGGATCCATTTGGTTGTCATGTTATCCAGAAAGCCTTTGACTGCGTGCCAGAGGAGAACAAAGCAATGATGGTACATGAGCTTCTTCGCCGGATCCCCGAGACGGTTATTCACCGCTATGCTTGCCATGTTTGGCAAAAGCTCTTTGAGCTCCGCTGGAGTAGTAACCCCCCCTCAAATCATGGCCAAAGTGAATGAGGCTCTCCGGGGAATGTGGCACGAAGTTGCACTGGGTGAAACAGGGAGTTTGGTGGTCCAGAACATTTTCGAGAATTGTGTGGAGGAAGAGAAGGTAATGTTTACCCCCGAAACCTCGATTCCTCTGACAGAATGAGGCCAGAGGAGAGCTGACAATTGGTAGCGACCGGCGATTGAAGAGGTACTGGCAAAGATAGACGTACTCGCTCACGGCCAATTCGGAAACTGGTGTATCCAACACATTTGCGAGCACGGTGCCCCGCCCGATAAAAGTCGAGCTACGGATCATGTGCTTCACTGTGCTGTTGAATATAGCATGGACCAGTTTGCATCCAAGATTGTCGAGAAATGCTTGAAGATCGGAGGCTCAGACTTTCTCGATCATTACCTTTCTCGAGTATGCACAGGCCGTACCGATAGGCCTCGCATGCCCTTAATCGACAGTATATTCCTCTTCCGCTTATTCAACTGTTGCTTGAACTATGCTGACAGATAAACAGTTGCCGGTGACCAGTACGGCAATTACTTGATCCAATGGATTCTCATGAATGCTGCGCCCTGCCAACGTGAGCTCGTTGCAACCCATATTCGGTATGGTTCTTTTCTACTTCATCCCCAATATTCCGACGGACAGCTGACACTTTTTCATAGAAAACACATGGTATCCCTTCGCGGATCCAAGTTTGGATCTCGTGTTGCGATGTTATGCTGCAACCCATCACACACCACTCGACCTGGTCCTGGAACTGGTATGCAGATCGGACGCTTCAATCAGTTCAACGAAGAGCGGTTTTCATCCTCGTCCTCACAGCAAAGTGGAGGTCGGTTTGGCCGTGGGAATCAGTGGAATCCAGGCTATGTGCCATTCCGCTAGTTGGTGATAGGGCTACCTTGAAGGTATCCTCGCTACAGATTCTCGGAGAACAAAAATGAACGCCCGGAAAGAGAAAGAAGAAAGAAGACATTGCAACCGAATGGATGGTACTACACCACAATTCATCTTACCTATTCGTTATTTCTCGAACCTCTTCCCTTCTTACGCCGCCACCCATCCAATTTCCTACAGAATCGCTAGCAACAACCACATGCTTCAATCAAAGAATTGTGATTGTGTTATTCGCCTGCTTATTTCATCCAATCCAATCTCGATAACTAGACCTGCCCGCCGATCTATTCATTTGGTTTGCTCCTTCGCCTGTCTCCGTCACTCCAGAGTCTTTTATAGGAGGGCATCTCAGGTGACGAGCATCATCTGATGTACCAGTCCTCTCTCTTTCAGTTCAACGATCAACGATCTGCCTATCATGGTGACTTGTATCTCCTCTGCATACGAAGCAACTAACTACTCGGTGTCTATCCTACCGGAGCTTTGGTTGACCAGGATGGTTGAGATGTTATTCATCCATACATATTATTTGTCTCCAGTGGACGCTACTATTATTGGAACTCCCTGGCGTCGCCTCTACCTATTGATTTTCGAAAAAAAAAGGATTCGATTCTTGTTGTCTATTAGTATATTCTATCCATCCAGCGATGGGGGATTGAGATTGGTCTTTGCTTGTTACGCCAGTCACAGCAAACCAATATCTTTATAATGACAGCTCTATTCATCCTTCCCTTCTGTCTCTATGGAGAAAAAAAAAAAAAAGAAACCCATTTGTATCATATCACAAAGAGCCAAATTATGCGGATGATTTCAAACAGCACTAGTTGTAGTTTCAGTTTCAGTTTCATCGACCCCCGCCGGTGCCACAATCTCATCCTTTTCCCAAGGCTTTCGACGCCTCGGCTTCTCAGTAACAAGATCATGGCCCTCTAAAACCGTATCCGGGATCTCTTCTATCCCCGGAATCGGCTGCCCAGTCGTGATCAACTCCACAATATGCGCAAACGAGGTCGGATACGCAGGCTCCGAGGAGGCGGACGCGGACGTGGACGCCGGGGTATGCTTATCTGACTCCAATGATGCCGACTCGCCTGCTTGCGACACCCCTGTGTCTGATTCTTGCCCCGTCAGCGAAGCCAACCAAGCTTTATAAGCCGCAAAGCTAATCGGCGGCGAAACATTTGCCTTTCTGTTGCATGTATTAGTATCGCGGTGAGCCGCAGAGGCATAGGCGTAGGACGGAGAGGAGATGAAGCGCACCGTGAGAAGAAGAAGCATTTAGCCTGCAGTACGAGATCATCTTCCCTATTCATTTCCGCCTCGCTGGCGGGTGTTTCGGGGTGGCCTAGGATTATGGCGAGGCCGTTTGCGAATTCCGCATCTTGGGAGAAATTGTAGGTGTGCAATTGCGAGAATTGCGAGGCTGAGGGGGTTGTCATGGTGTTTGGGTTTGGTTTTGGTGTTGGGGTTGGGTCTGTGAGATGCGGAGGGGACGTGGGGCAATGTCGGAGATGGGCTGGGCTGGGTTAAGGTAATCGGGGGTGCCGAGGTTCCTGCGATAAGATGCCCGCATAAGGTACCTTGCATACTAACTAGTACATAGCTACCAGGACGGCGTGCAGGTTACACTATAATATACAGCGTTGAGGAGCAATTAAGGCCATCAATCTCAGCAAGGCTAAGCTATTTATGTTACAGATTCGTCAAGGTTCAAGTTCTCATGAGCCAGCATTTCACCACATGAGTTGTCCAGAAATTTATGTACCCACAAATTGTATTGAACTCCTCCAATCCATCATGTGTGCCCTCATAAGTCTCACTTTTACTCGGCTCATTCTCTCCACTGACCATTTCCAACTTCCACCAGATAACGAGTCTAATTTGTGGGATATCCCAGCTCAGAGCAAGGCAAAGCCCGTCGTAACGGCGACATATCAAAGTTCATCTCATTACCGCGCAGAAATTCCTCATTATGAGCATTGAAAGCAGGAAGAATCAGATCTTCATACCAATTCGCATCATTAATAAGCTCATTCCACTCCCAGTGCCCTACAACCTCCTCAGGCGTAACCTCCCAAAGACAAAGATACTCATCCCTATACAACGAATAGTCCCCCCAATCCGGATCCACCTGATAGTATCTCATCTCCTCGTCCATTTTGATCATAGGCAGGCCCCTAGCGATACGAACATTCGGATTGATAACAGTAAGCCATGCAGGGAATGGTGACCAACTCCGGGCGAGGAGTTGAAATTGCCGCAAACCCGCAACCGACGAATTGAACGAGATAAATGGCGTTGGGTCCCATTCCCACTTCTCGGCATGTGTGGTTAGGGCCTCTTCGCGGCTTTGTCGCGAGCCTAAGGCTTGCTGGGACAAACGGGCTTGTAGTCTATTCGAGTCATCGGGGCGACTACCTGAATTCTCGTCCCAGACCTTTAGAAAGGGGATGGTGTAGATGGGTTCGGGGGAGTTGGCCCATGCGTGTTCTGTTTCTTCGAAGGAGGGGCCGGTTGGATCGAGGGGGGGTCAGTAGATAGGAGCTCCAAGACACGAGCCCTGGCGTTTTGCATTTTGTATTTGAATCGCGGGGTATACGGTTGTATGTTTGGTTTGTGAGGCTTTTTTTTTTCTTTTCTTCTAGTTCTAAGGATTTTCGGTCCAAAATGTGACCGCGTCATTTTTTGATCACGGAAAGAAAGTATTCATTTATCACCGGTCCTCAGAACAGCTTGTTGGATTCAGGAAATCTTATAGAAAAAACCAATCCTGAAGCATATAATTCTGTTGAGATTTTATAGCCTAAAATAGCTTCTTGATGCTGTATATTGTAGGGTGTCTTGTTTAAAAACTTCTGTATGTATGTGCAATATCGAACTTGAACTCCACCCCCAACCCAAATCAATTCCACGAAATCCTTTTAACGACGCCAAAATATGCAACCTTCCACAAAGTAACTTTCACCCTGACTCCTCATGCCGTCGTGTCCATCCCATCAGATGTGATCGCTGCATTGCCAGGAACACGCATGCTCTTACTTTGACACCCAGGACAATTGTGAACAACCTCATGGGCAAAGAGATCGCAGTCGATGCAGAAATGGTTTCCACAAGCAGTACATTCGTACCGACTACTAGCACTCATCCCCTTGGCATGATTCTCAGCCGTATGCCACTGATCTTCCGGCGGCACCGGCGGGAAGTGAAGCCCACAAGCAAAGCAAGCCGAGCTTATCGAAGCCCGATTCCACGGGACTTCGACCCAATTGATCAACGGGAAAAGATGGTGATAAGAGCGCGCCAGATGGGTGGAAAGAATCAAAGTCAGTCCGCAAGATGGACATTCAGCCGGTAGACTGCAGACCTTGCTGCCGCAGCGAGAGCAAAGATATCCGCCCCGGGACGGCTTTGAGTGGCAGGCACAGAGCGATGGGTCAGCTTCCACGGTCCGTGATGGGAAACCCATCATCAGTAGGGAGCTGGCGGTTCTTTTTTCAGAATACGCTGCCGGAGGCGTTGTCACTTCCATCATCAATTCGCGGAAGTGCTGTTCGTTCAGAGCGACGCCGTACGCCGTTTCGTCGCCTCCATTGGTCCTTGTGCAGAGTTCTCGGCAGATGGCGACTTGTGCTGCTAGTCCGACGATTCGTACTCGTACTTTGTCGGTGACTAGGGTGTTGATTGTTTGATGGATATCTCCGGGGTCTGATGAAAGTAGAGAACCGAAGATAACCAATACCTCCCGAGTACCATGACTTGGCGTGTGGCTATAATTCAAGAGTCAGCTTTCTGCTCCAGTGGTATGGCTTCCGGTATGGGGTAAGGCTGTAGGGTTGGGGAAGGAAAAGAAGCGTACAAAAGAGCGCCTCTGGCCATCTCAAGTCCATTTTGTAAACTTGGAAGACCCTTGGGGTCCTGTGGTCTGAGATTCTGAATGGAGGTAATGTGTTCTGTCGGATTTCCACTCATGTCACTGACGCGAAAGGCCAAACCGTCCCTCAGGCCCAGAACACCGAGTTGAGAGATGGGGTTTTGTTCAAAGAACTCCCGGACAAATTCCTGCGCATATCGTAGGGACAAGAGGTATCGGGTTGGGCGGAGATCCTTTTCCGACATCGACTGTGAGAGGTCTAGGATCAAGATGAGATGTCGTATGATGCCGCGTTGTAGAGGGGTGGTATCTTTCAACAGTCTGCGCCAAAGCCAAGGTGATTAGCAGTCTGCGGAGGGTATAACGAAGACGAAGACGATGGCCAAGGATCTGGATCTGAATTACCTCTTCCGCTTGCCTGCCTCTAGCAGACCCTCTACCGTCGAGCTGATGGTACCATCTGCGCCTTCGACTAAGGTCTCCCAAGTCCTGGATAGCTCCCACTCCGCAGCACCGCGTTGCTTCCTTTTCCCAGATCGTGTCCGATCGTTCCGGGAGACCTGAAGATCATCCTCATCTTCAGTCACATCTCCCACATATTCCTCATCGGAGTCGGCCATGGCGGGGGAAGTTGTGCCAGATCGGTTCGGAGTTCGGAGTGAAGGGAGCGGGTTCAAAGGAGGATAATCGCTAGTAAAGTCTTAGTTTAGCGGCAAAGGTCCAAGCTCCCGACGGAGCTCCGGCAGAGACACGAGACACCTTCCTCGAATGATAAACTCCCCTTGAGAAATTGATAATTGAGACAGCAACTCAAGGGTACTAGGGTATTCCAAGGTCAACCTGCGAGAACCCACTGGGAAATACAGACCGAGGGTAACCGTGTTGCTAACGCCGCGATGTGGGGGAGAAGATCCATTGCGGCGTCGAGACGCGCTGCACTCGAGGTCCGTCACCGAGTCGCTCTCCGCCCCTCCCCCTCTTTCTTTTCTTCTTTACCGTCAAGCATTCCTCGACGTCCCCGTCCCAGAATCTCATTACCTACCTCCAGACCTCTTTTCGCAATTACTCCTGTTCGACACTGCTCCGCCGAAGTTCGCATGATGGCGTCCTCCGATCGAGATACCCTCCCCGACGTGTAAGTGATGGCGACATAAATGGAAAACAACCCCGCACCTTTTTTCTCCCCATCGAAACGGTGGAAATACCTGGAAGATTATATTGGCTATGCATTTCAGTCGATCCGGTGGAACCCTATCCGATATTGCCTGTTTTTGGAGGCTTGCTCTTGTCATGTATAGAGCTTGCTATCTAGGAAGATCATCAGGCAGTGAGCCGATATCGATGTTATTTGATCCACTTGTGGCATTGTGCAGAGTCCTGCACATCTTGAGCTCATGAAAACTTTTATTTCACATGAGTCTATACTGATGCGGTGCTTTATAGGGCCAAGCCTGTTAACTACCATGTTTCTCTCTTCGATCTGCAACTCGGTGGATCCTGGGAGTACAAGGGTATTATCAAAGTCGATACCAAGATCACCCGGGCCACCAAGGAAATTGTTCTGAACTCGAAGGATATCACCGTGCAAAGTGCGGAAGTTTTCGGCCAAGATGGTATGTGATAGCGGAAAATCACGTCGTTCGATATATCCCCTCGAAAAAACAGCCTGTGCAGATAGCTGACGTTTGGGTATCACATCTATTCAGGAGCCCAACTGGCAAAGGCAACCGATATTTCATATGACAAGACCTCGGAGCGTGTTTCTCTCAAGTTCTCTCAGGACCTTACGCCGTCGGACGTTGTGCTTTCCATCAACTTCACTGGAACCATGAATAACGTTATGGCGGGCTTTTACCGCTCCAAGTACACACCCATCGGGGAAGCAGGCCCTGGCACACCCAAGGAGGGAGATTTCTATTACATGCTGAGCACTCAATTTGAGTCTTGCGATGCTCGAAGGGCTTTCCCTTGCTTTGACGAGCCGAACCTTAAGGCCACTTTCGATTTCGAGATCGAAATCCCCAAGGGCCAGACTGCACTCAGCAATATGCCCGTCAAGTCGGAGAGAGATGGAAGCAATGCTGACTTGAAGTTTGTTACTTTCGAAAAGACCCCGGTTATGAGCACATACGTGAGTCACCACGGTTGAAACGAACAAGCCATTGAATATTCTACTAATGCAGGACTATACTATCTAGCTTCTTGCTTGGGCAGTGGGTGATTTCGAATATGTTGAGGCTATGACTGAGCGCAAGTACAAAGGCAAGAGTATTCCCGTTCGGGTCTACACAACCCGCGGCTTGAAGGACCAGGCTCGTTTTGCTTTGGAGTGTGCTCACCGCACCGTCGACTATTTCTCGGAAATCTTCGAGATCGAGTATCCTTTGCCCAAGGCTGACCTTTTGGCCGTGCACGAGTTTGTACGCGTTTTCCATTCTGCATCACCTTATTCTACGCATCCAAGCTAGTTCTAACTAATTAATTCCTAGGCCATGGGCGCCATGGAGAACTGGGGTCTCGTGACATATCGGACAACGGCTGTTCTCTTCGACGAAGGCACATCTGACAATCGCTACAAGAACCGCATCGCCTACGTGGTTGCACACGGTATGCACCAGCCAAACCTTCTACTGAAATACATTCTTGTCTAATATTCTTGCTATAGAACTGGCCCACCAATGGTTCGGTAACCTTGTCACCATGGATTGGTGGAACGAGCTTTGGCTCAACGAAGGCTTTGCCACTTGGGTTGGCTGGCTGGCCGTTGATCATTTCTATCCGGGTAAGCATCATATGAAGCACAAAACGTCAAAGGTGGTCTAACACATATACATAGAATGGAACGTTTGGTCTCAGTTTGTTGTACGCAATAACCGAGGTATCTCCTGCTTACCCTAAGATCATTATTGACATTGTACCACAGGCTGAAGGTGTTCAACAAGCATTCCATCTCGACTCGCTGCGCGCATCTCACCCAATTGAGGTGCCCGTTCGCAACGCTCTCGAAGTCGACCAGATTTTCGATCACATTAGTTACCTGAAGGGAAGCTCTGTCATCCGCATGCTGAGTGTTCATCTCGGCCAAGAGAGATTCCTTCGTGGCGTTGCCGATTACCTCAAGTCCCACGCATACGGTATGTGGTTTTATAATCGAAGGGTTTAAATTGGCTTGGCTGTTAACTAACGGCTGCTTTCTTCAAGGAAATGCCACCACAAATGATCTGTGGTCCGCTCTGAGCAAGGCTTCGGGACAAGATGTTCACGGATTTATGGTAACTTGAGCAAACACGCCCCAGATCAAAGGAACGTTGCAGCTGACACAGCCTAGGATCCCTGGATTCGCAAGATTGGATTCCCCGTCGTTACAGTCGCGGAAGAACCTGGCCAGATTAGCGTCCGCCAGAACCGATTCCTGTCTACTGGCGATGCGAAGCCCGAGGAGGACGAAACCACCTGGTGGATTCCCCTCGGTATCAAATCTGGCGATAAGCTGGCCAATGTGGACACTCGTGCCCTTACCGCGAAGTCCGAAACCGTTGCAGGTTCAGGCAGTGACGGATTCTACAAGATCAACAAGGATCTATCTGGATTCTACCGTACAAACTACCCTCCTGCACGCCTTGAGAAGTTGGGCAAGTCCCTTGGTCTTCTGAGTACCGAGGACAAGATCGGACTGCTTGGAGATGCTGCTGCTCTTGCGGTCTCTGGCGAGGGCACCACGCCAGCTCTTTTGGCCTTGCTCGAGGGATTCAAGGATGAATCGAACTACCTGTAAGTCACACTAAGAAGGCATCTTTTACAGGAGGCAATTGCTGACTTGAATTTTAGTGTCTGGTCCCAAGTGTCTTCTTCTTTGGCGAACCTCCGCTCCGTTTTCGCCCAGAACGAGCAGGTCGCTGCTGGTTTGAAGCAGTTCACTCAAAAGCTGGCTACCCCGACGGCCGAGAAAGTCGGCTGGGAATTCAAGCCCAATGAAGACTATCTCGTCATTCAACTTCGCAAGCTCCTGATTTCCATGACCGGTAACAGCGGCAACCCTAGGTTAGTTTTTCCTTGCTTCTTTGCTGGTTTGCTATAATTGCTAATGAGCTCTTCACCCGCGCAGCACCATCGCCGAGGCCAAACGCCGTTTCGACCTCTGGGCCACCGGCCAAGACAAGACCGCCATCCACACCAACCTCCGCTCAGCAATTTTCAGCCTCAACGTTTCAAACGGTGGTCGTAAGGAATACGATGCCGTGAAGGAGGAATACCTCCGAACGGACTCCGTCGATGGCAAGGAGATCTGTCTGTCTGCCATGGGCCGTACCAAGGATGCTGCGCTGGTGCAAGATTACCTGAACTTCGTCTTTTCCGACAAGGTGGCGATCCAAGATATCCATAACGGCGCAGTTTCCCTGGCCGCCAATGCCAAGATGCGTCATCTGCTCTGGGAGTATATCAAGACAAACTGGGACATGGTGGAGACACGTCTGTCGTCCAACAATGTTGTCTTTGAGCGATTCATTCGCATGGGTCTGTCCAAGTTTGCTGATCACCAGATCGGCGATGACATCGCTGAATTCTTCAAGAGTAAGAACACTGGTGCTTATGCTCGGGCTCTTGTTATTGTGTCGGATAATATCCGGACCAACGCTTCCTACAAGGAACGCGATCAAGCTCTGGCTCTGGAATGGTTGCGATCTCACGGATATGCATGAATAAGGAGTGGCAAGAGTAATATGAGCTTGCGATGATCGGGATCACCTGCCACGAGCAAGTGAGGATCGCACGAGGCTGAGTGGGGAGGTTGGGTCATGTAGTTATTTTTCAAGCAAATCAAAGACGAGCACTCAGCACTGGCAGCGTTCTCCAACAGCTTTCCTTCATCAGCTTTTCCATAATAGTAAATACTCTAATACAATCAAGATTGTATGACTGTTGGTCCAAAGTGGTGCACGGGGATCCTTTCAAAGGCGGTGGCAGCTGAAACAAAGCTGCACATCAGGTGCGCCTGGCCTCCTGCACCTCCTATCATTTCAGGCGTTCATCATTCAGTCCCCTCCACCAACACCCCATCTTTCATCTTTTGTCTCTTGGCTATATCCGACCTGATCTGGTGCTTTGGACTTTCTGCTCGATTCCTCAACACACCAAATCACCATGAACCCCGAGTGGTAAGTCCCACTGTTCCGTTTATTTTGAAACCTCCCTCTCCGTGTCCAGACCGGGCTCCGCCACCCAAACTCGTCCTTTGGCATCGCCCGCGCCTGTTTGAGGTTGGGGTTGATGTTATTCTTTAAAGTTGACCAGACTAACATGTGTCTTGATTTACAGAGTATCTCCATCCTGCTGTCCCACCACCATCGCAACCCCAACCCATCTCGCCGATCAGCCTTACCTAACCTCACCGAAATAGATACGATTACCTCTTCAAGCTCCTCCTCATCGGAGACTCCGGTGTTGGAAAGTCTTGCTTGCTGCTTCGTTTCGCCGACGACACCTACACCGAGAGTTACATCTCGACTATCGGTGTTGACTTTGTACGTTGAGCTGACTCGGGGTCCCGTCCCCGCGGGGCTGCCGGTGAAATAACAAAGCAATGCTAACGCAAGTCGCAGAAAATCCGCACTATCGAACTCGATGGCAAGACTGTGAAACTTCAGATTGTATGAGAACCGACTCTTCAGATGGGATATGGATGTTTGAGCCGTCAAGCTAACGCGCGCATTCTATTCTAGTGGGACACTGCTGGCCAGGAGCGTTTCCGTACCATCACATCGTCTTACTACCGTGGTGCCCACGGTATCTGTGTTGTGTACGATGTGACCGACATGGACTCTTTCAACAACGTTAAGCAGTGGCTGCAAGAGATTGATCGATACGCCACCGAGGGTGTCAACAAGCTGCTTGTCGGCAACAAGAGCGATATGGAGGACAAGAAGGTCGTGGAGTACACTGTTGCGAAGGTATGTCTGCACCTGGACCTGGACCAGCTCCCTTTGTTCCACCCCCGCATCAGTTCGGGGATTAGCCTTCCGGCCAACTTAACATGAACTAACGTTTTCTTCTTCTTTCCCTTTAGGAGTTCGCTGACAGCCTGGGAATTCCCTTCCTCGAGACCTCTGCCAAGAACGCCTCCAACGTTGAGCAGGCTTTCTTGACAATGGCCCGACAGATCAAGGAGCGCATGGGAACAGCCACCGTCAACAACAAGCCTACTGTGCAAGTTGGCCAAGGCCAGGGCGTCCAGTCCGGATCCGCTGGCGGCTGCTGCTAGACGATATGACCTGACCTGACCCTGTGCAGTTGCGGTGTTTTCATTTGGCGCAATGTTACATCATGAATGAGGGTTTTCCCCAAGCGGGCGTGGTAATCTCATCGGCTAACCAGGCTTACTTTTCCCATGTCACACACCTGCGTGCGACAGTCGGTATCCCCCAGACGACCGAGGACAGGCAGGACTCGGCCAGGCTTGCGGCTGACTGGTTTGCGGGTGCCGCGCCACCGCTCCGGGAAGGCTCTTCCTCTCTTCTACTCTCTTCCTGTGCTTTAGACGGCCCTGCGTTCTATCGTTCTTCGATTTGCTTCGTGATTACCGCCGGTGTTTTCTCTTCCCTGGCCGCATCTGATCTGTTTTGGCCCTTCATTCCCTGTTCTCCACCCCCCCTTTACCTCCTTGACCTCCTTTTTACTTTATTCTCTTCTTATTTTCTTTTGTCTTGTAGGTTGGATTCATCTCTTCATGAATGAATTAATGGCGACGACTGTTGTGTTTCTCTCGGATTTCCTCTTTTTGCTACATCGTATCAGAATCAGTCTGTTGTAAATTCGTTCCCTAGGACTTGTAGAGAATCGCGCTGTTTTCTACACTTTCTGGCCGTAATTCTGGGACATTTTCTATAGAGGCTCGACCGTTTGGCATATGACCATATGACAATGTCCCCTGTAAAGCAAGGCCGTGGAGCCCAGGGATCTGATCTAATCACATGCAAGACTCGGGGCCGGCTTCATAACTAACCCTTCTAGCGTCCAAAATGCCAGTTACATGTTCCAGTGGGGATATTTGTGCCTCAGCTTTACGCTAATTCTCCATGTGGAAGGGGGACATATACGATCGACTGACTAAAATACGAAGTTGACACTGTCACAGCCATTTCGGAATGCCAGCCGGTGGAGTTGACCGCAGCCGAGGCACAACACTCGGCAAAACGTCATGAACTCCCTCGTTCCCCCCAAGCCGAATCATTATCGCGCCCTTTTCTCCTGAACACAAGACATTAGGGGCTTTTTTTTTTTGGATTTCACCTCCTTAACACATCCGCTCCTTCACATTTCCCGACTCTCGACACAACACCCTTTTGTAATTCCTGCTCCTCTCAAGCCCGCAACACATTTACCATCCTTCGGAATCCCACTCGGAATCAACCATCATGTCTGAACATCAAGCAAAGCCCGCGCCAGCACCAGCGCCCTCCACAGCCATCCAGCAAAGCGATAACATCGCCCACGCCCTATCCGGCGCCGGAGGTGGAATTCTCTCAATGGTCTTGACGTACGAACTACCCCGCGCTCTCCCCATCCCCATCCCCATCCTTCTTCCCCGGAAACCCAACTAACGGATCCACTCTCAGCTACCCATTAATCACCCTCTCAACCCGAGCCCAAGTCGAGTCCAAGCGAGCCCACTCCAGCGCCCTAGACGCCGTCCGCCGCATCGTGCAGCGCGAAGGCATCGCCGGCCTCTATTCCGGCCTCGAGTCCGCGCTCTTCGGCATAAGCGTCACCAACTTCGTCTACTACTACTGGTACGAATGGACGCGCTCGACCTTTGAAACCGCAGCCCTAAAAGCCGGGCGCGCGAAGAAGCTCACGACAATCGAGTCCATGATCGCCGGCGCCATTGCCGGAAGCGCAACCGTCCTAATCACCAACCCGATCTGGGTAATCAATACGCGCATGACGGCGCGCCGGTCCGACGAGGAGCAGGCTCTCCCCGGCGCGAAGAAAGTCAAAGCCTCGACGTTTAGCACGTTGATGCAGCTGCTGAGGGAGGAGGGGCCTAAGGCGCTGTTTGCGGGTGTGCTGCCTGCGCTTGTGCTTGTTATCAACCCGATTCTTCAGTATACGATTTTCGAGCAGTTGAAGAATATGGTTGAGCGGCGCAGACGGATGACGCCTAAAGATGCGTTTTATCTGGGGGCTTTGGGGAAGATCCTCGCTACTAGTATTACCTATCCGTATATTACTATCAAGAGTCGGGCGCATGTGGCTAGTAAGGATGGGCCTAAGGAGAGTTTGAATGGGAGCTTGAAGAGGATTATTAATGAGGAGGGGTGGAAGGGTCTTTATAAGGGTGAGTTTGAGAGAGGAAGTGGTTGTACTGTGGACAGTGTGCTAATGTTTTTTTTATCATGCAGGAATTGGCCCTAAGGTTACGCAGAGTGCTATTACTGCTGCGTTCCTGTTTGCTTTCAAGGATGTTCTCTATGATACGATGGTTTCCATGCGCAAGCGCAAGGCCATTGGTAAGTAGATGAGATGTCAACCACGATATCTCGCTCGGGGTAAAACACCTTGACGCTATCTTGTTCCTCGACTTGACGAGACGACTATCACCCTTGGAAAAGGAAACTGTCTGTCCCTTTCGCTCCTCTCACTGTGGTGAAGTGGGAGATATTGAGAAGCTCAGAAGCCAGAGGCTCATGCCAGTGAGCTACGGCCAGACCAACGATTGCCAGATTGTAAATATATTTTATTTTTCGATATACCTCTATCTTCTGTTTTCTTTTGTTTCGAATTTATAATGTTTCTAAAATGTGTACTCTTACTATGTACTTTTACTAGATGCCTAGGTGGGATGCGGCAACTTTTCACTCCTTCCTCACTTTCCACACTTCCAGTTCGCTTTAGCACCCAAGAGATCTCAACCTCCTCAACACTCCGAGTCTCATGCACTTTAGTATCTCATGCTCGTCAATTTGAGCCATACCTCCCAAGGTTTAGCTCAGCTTGATATTTCCACCTCCCGGTAAGAGGGCACGGTGTATACTATTGTATGGCTGTTTTCTAACTTGCTATAGACTATTATGGCTTCTCAAGTCACATCGCCAAATGAAAGAGTGTCTCGACAAACTCGAACCTCTTGGCCACTCGCCCACCACCCGAGTAGGAAGCGTTCTTCTTCCCTGATACCTTCCAAATTGCCATCATCTATTACCTACCAACGTCTGATAAGCCCGAACTCCCCAGAGCGTGGCCGAAATTTGTTTCAACAAATCTATGGAAAACTCGACATTCCAGTCTATTCTACACTGGTATCCAAGCTCATGCCATGGAGATGGTGGAAAGGCGCATCGGACGATGTAATGAGCCTTGCATGGTCGGAGGATGGGACGAGGTTCGCTGCGGGAGCCATTTCGCAGGATCACTACAATCGCAAAAACAACCTCGTTCTCGGCAATCTCACGCGAAATTCATTGACTGAACTCCCTGGCCATTACATAACATATAACTCAGATCAGAGCATTGCTCATTTCGAAGATCATCACCAACATGCAACAGTGTCTCACACGGAATGGATTGGACAGCAGCTGTTCACGGCGAGTTACGACAAGACCGTCAAGATCTGGGATATTGAACAAGGTGCCACCTGTGTCAAAACCTTGAAGCACGATTCGGAGGTCATATCTATGGCTTATTCCACGCATGCTCCAAATCTGCTGGCAACTGCTTCCAAGTCGTTTTCCCTGTGGGATCTTCGAGACGAACACAACCCTATTTGCATGCCGCTGCCTATCCAGAGAGCCCCTCGTCAAAAAGCGCTTGATCTAGTTGCCACAGATATTGCCTGGGGCCAAGGCTCTGCCATGGGACGCATCTTAGTGGGAGGTATGGGTATGGCGGAAAGAAATGATGAGCTCCAAGAAGCTCTTGCGGGCCATCTCCAGGTTTGGGGTATAGAAGAATCGACAATATCCACCCGGAGGGTCTTACCGAACTCGCAGCACATCTTTCATATCGCCTGGCACCCCACTGAGGAACAATTTGCGACTGCAAGCTCAACATTAGGGTTAATGCTTCCTCGCAACTTCCGCACATCAGTACAGGTCTATGATCTATCGAGCAACAAATCAGTGATCACCAACAGATTTCCTTGCCCAGCATATGACATCAACCAGGTGACATTCTGCCCTAGCGGCCCGTATGTAACTGCGAGCTGCACCGATAGAAATACATATGTGTGGGATGAGCGAAATGCCGAGCAGGTACTCCACACACTATCCCATGGACCCTCAGTGCTCCCAGTCGGGGGATACCAGCTGGAGAACGAGGATTACGGCGTTGGCGCTGCATTGTGGGGTACAACCATTGACCAGTTCTACACTGGCAGTTCAGACGGCGTTCTGAAACAGTGGGACATCCTACGCGCCCCTGAAGATGTATGCGTGGGGGAGACTGCGAGATTCGGCGCCGGGATAACGAGAGGGCTCTTTTCGGACGATAAGTCCCATCTTCTCATCGGCGAAGCTGGTGGTGGAATTCACGTTCTCTCATCTGGGCCATGCTCGGATCCTGAACCGGCCGAGATGGAATTCTTTCACGCTCCTGTTTCTGTGAGCTCTGAGCATCAATCGTCACCGGTTGATTCCTATGCGAACGAGCTCTTACACTCTGGTCAACTAGCGTTACACCCAATCTATGGCCCGATCCAAGGACCGCAGTACTCTGGGCCTTTTGCTGGCTGGGCTCGAGGCATTGAGCAGGAGCAGGAGCAAAAGCAGGTTCTGCGAGATATCCCGCTACTCGAGGAGTACCGACTACGCCAATTCGACGGACCCCCTGTCAACTATCGACACAGCCTCAGCAATGAAGCAAAGGCGAATGTTCAAGGATACTTTGATATTGCGCAGGCTCGCTCCCAGCTTGCTAGACACCTTCAGCGGGAGAAAGATCGCACTGGCGGCGGCGGCATCAACAAAAGCGGGACTTTGAGCTCGACCTCTAGCTGCCCATCATCAGCTTCGAAGAGGCCAACGAAACAAAAAGCAAAAACAGGGCGGAAAGTAAGACGCGAGAAAGGGTTGAACGCTGTTATCACTAAGATAAACGAAGTAATCATTGATCTGACGATTGAATCGAGTTGCAATACAGCTATCGATTTAACGATCGATGCACCTGTTATTGACTTGACTTCTGAAACTGGGACTGGATTATTATGCAAGGAAGCTTTGTCGGCGTGTACAACTTGTACATACAATGAGGATATGGAAGAAGATTACTGGTGGCCGGAGAACAGCTTCGTTGATGCTAATCTTCCTCGTCGGCTGATGGTGCAAGAATAGTCGAAGAAATATGTGGGTTTGTGAGGAGAGAGAGAGCAGGTGTGATTGTTTTTTATCGCTTATGCTTCTTTTCAAGTTATTTACGTCGGACATGAATATCGAATTTTAATGACTATGCTAAGTTATTCTATCGCACCGCTTCCCACTATCTCAGCCTGCCAGGATAGTATAACGGGGCAGATCGCCACTTACTCTACTAGTACCACCCATCCAGCCACCTAGCACCTAGAAAGCGGCGAAAGTAGAGGAAACAAGGCCACAATTGGTTGGATCCCAATAGGCAGGAGTATTAATTCACCGTGTTCCGTGAAATATTCCAAATAGAAGTACCAAGAACAGAATGACGTCGCACTGCCACAATGGCGGGCACAGCCACCAATTGCGTGGGAATGTCCCCGCTTACTCCAAAGAGCCAAGGGTTTATAGTCCCGTTCCTATCCACCTCCTCTTCCCTCCAATTCCCAATCCTGCAATCCAACAGCCCCTCAGATCTCCCCCACCATCTTCATCTTCCCTCCATCAACATCCACCAGGTGACAAACAAACACAAACAGAGACACCCATGTCATCCTCCTACGCCCCGCCTCCAGGCCCACCCCCACCCTCCGTCCCAGACGGCTGGAAAGCCCAATACGACGACCGCTACAAAGCCTGGTCCGTACCTCCCCTCAAACTAAACTTCAACCTCTAACAAACCCAGGTTCTTCGTCAACCTCTCAACCGGAACATCACAATGGGACAACCCCCAGCCAACCTCCGCGCCGCCCGGCCCCCCCACCAACAACCAACGACCTCCCACCCTACGAACAAAGCGGCCCGGCCGACCCATCCGCCCTAGCAAGCGCAAACACAGACAAGAAGAGCGCAGCAATGTCCTCAAATAATCCCTACAACCCCGCCAACGGCCCCCAAGGACCCCACGGCAGCACCAGTGCCAGCACGGACGACGACGCCCGCCTAGCCGCCAAACTCCAAGCCGAAGAAGACGCCCGCGGAACGCGCGGTGTCGGACCAGGCTCTTCATCAGATTATTACAATAATAATAACGCCCAGCCATCCAACACACCCCCCTACGGCTCCCAACAATTCCAACCCCAATCCCAATCCCAGTCCCCACTGCCCGAGAAGCGCAGCAAAGGCGGCTTCCTGAGTAAATTAATGGGCAAGGCATCCGGCTCGGGCTCTAGCTCCCGACCATACCCCCAGCAACAGCAGCAGCAGTACTACCCGCAGCAACAGCAGCAACAGCAGTACTACCCGCAGCAGCAACAGTACGGCGGATACGCGCAAGGCCCGCCTATGGGATACGGCGGATATCCGCAGCAGGGATATCCTCAGCAGGGGTATTATCAGCAGCAGCCGCAGCGGCGGACTGGGGGTGGCATGGGGACGGCCGGGGCGGCGGCTCTTGGTGTTGGTGGTGGGTTGTTGGGTGGGATGTTGATTGCGGACGCGATTGATGATCATGAGGATCATGAGAATTATGATAATGGGGGTTATGATGATGGTGGTGGTGGGGATTTTGGAGGTGGTGATGATTTTTAGAGAGGAGTAAGGTCCTATGTCCCATGATTTTGTTTTGCTTTGATTTGCTTGTGGGATGGGATGGTGTTACGTCTCATCTTAACTCATCTTAGTTCTGAGTGTGTTTCAAAGGGTGGGAGTATTAGCTTTCCCTTTATGGAATGGAATGGACTTGTGGGTTTCTTGTAATTTGATTCTGCCTGGGTTGCGTTGGCGTGCATAATCTGGGTGATAATAGGTGGTAAACTGTTGATTTTCCTGCCTGGTTTTTTTTTTCTTTTCTTTTCTCCGTGCGATGTATCATGGTTTATGGTTGGTTATATGAGCAATTTGTCAATCGAGTTATTCTGGCTTATTACTGTACATCACCAAGTAGAAATCCGATAAGCTATCAACTTGAATACCAACCTTTTAAGTTCGGCCCTGACAATAACTACCTAGAAATGACCCCTCTAAGCACGTCGCCGCGCAGATCCAGAGTCTCGACCCGTCGCACCAGCACCGCTGCCAGTGCCCTCTGCATTAGCAGCGGGGCTGGGCTTAGGTGTGGCACCGGCCATCCAACCAGCCAGATCAAAGCCGCCGCCGGCCATGGCGCTGCTAGCACCGGAGATAGGCGAAGAGCGCTGTTGTTCCTCGAACTCAGCGCGCATTTCGGGGTCCACTAGAAAACAAAGGGAATTAGTCGCGGGATATCGGGAATATGCGCGGTAGGAAACGTACTGTTCTCCATGAGCTTCGGCATGCCGAGGGTAAAGACGAGAGCGACGATGGCGAGGAGAATCATTGGGTTCTTGACGAGGCTGAGGGGTGAGACTATATATTTGTTAATAAATAAAAGAACTCGATTGATTTTCGGCCGCGATGCATCTCCACAAAGTACTCACACTTGGCTCGCTCCTCATAGAATCCCTTTCGACCCAGCACCTTTGCCTCAACGACGACATTGGTAGTTTTCTTGTTGGCAACGTCGACGACGTATTTCTCTGCACCGCGATTGTCCCACGGATTACCGCGGAATGTCTCCCAGATACCCAGGATGGAGCCGTCGGCGGCGACGTCGACGCGGAAAGGGGCGAAGACGAACTCGCTCGAGCGGATGTCCAGGAGATAGGACTCGGGTTCGCCGGAGGGGATGTTTCGGAAGACTAGGGTTGAGGAGCGGGTGAGGGAGGTGGTTAGGATATGGTCCTGTCGGCCATGTTGGGGGAGGGTGGTGAGGGTGGCATGGGTGGTTGCGGGGAGGACGTGTGGATTTGGGAGGTTTGTGGAGGGGGGAATGTTGATTGTGAGGGATGCAGCTGCGAGCTGAAAGAGCAGTGCAAAGATGAGGACCAGCATTGTGGTGGTGGTGGGTGATGTGGGGTGTCAACTGGGAAGTGAGGCCGATGCTGGCAATATAGCAAGGCAAGGCCAAGCAAATGGCAGAGGTGCAAGGGTGCAGTATAGATATGGTCAGGTAGATGGGTGCGGTTTAGATGGGCCACATGACTGTCCACGACCATCACCTGACTACACCTGACCTCACCAGATTGCCAAGAATCCTTAAGTAAGCCAAGGCAACCCAGTTTCGACCAGGTCGGACCGGTGGAATTGGCCAACTCTCTCCACTGTGGGAAAAAAAGGAAAAGAGTGGAGAGTGGCAAGTGGACTGTTGTGGGTTTAGGGGGTATTAGCAATGGGGTAATATCTACAGGGTCAATTGTCTTGAATAAAGTTGTATCTACACTCAAAGTCAATCAGGACGATCTCATGATGCACTCAAGTCTCGCATAGGCGCCTCTAGCGCGTTAAGGGCCGAAAAAGAAAAAGGCCGGTAACATCAACCGTCTCCGCCCGAGGCGAGGCACCTCTCTCCACCTTCTTTAGTCTCTCTAGTCTTTTCCCTTAGTCCAGAGTTCTCGGTTCCTCTGGTTCACTTCCTGGTTCAGCCCCCCCTCTACTTTGTCTCCCCTGACATCGCTGTGACTCTCTCTCTCTTTCTTTTTTTCCAAGGTCTTGGGGAACTTTCAATCTCACCTTGCTTATCTCTTCGTCAAGAAGTGATACCCCCCGCCCGCCCCTCTCCGATTGGCCTTAATAAAAAAAAAGGGTGCAAGAGACCAACTCTGGGGTGAGAAGAAGAGACAAGAGACGCCAATATGGAGCAGCAGCCCGCCATGTCTTGGCCCGAACAGTTACAGGAGAATCCCCTCATTGCCCCTCCAGGAGACGATGAGTTCTCCAACTTCCTGGAGTTCAATATGCACTTCCCCGATCTTGAGGGGCACGGGCCAGGGCAATCACAGGAACATTCACATTCTCTGCAACAACAACATGCCCTTGTTACTCCTACCACTTCCGCTCCCGAGATCACCTCCGACCCGCGATCACATCCATTTACAGCTATGGAGGGACTGGCTATGGATTTCACCGGTCATCCTGCCATGTCGCAGCCGCAGTCACAGTCGCACGCACATCCCGGTCCCATACCTTACTCAACTCCCAACATGACCCCCGGTTTCTGTGCCCAGGATGCTTCATCACTCCCTTCGGCAAATCACTCCTACATGCAGGGACAACAGATCATTCCTCCGACCCCCAATAGTATGGAGTTGCATGGCAATGCCGCCCGGTACTCCCACCGGGACGACCATTCGGAGATGTACGACCGGTACTCACGTATCAATGAGGAACAGGTATGTGTTAATAAGGAACAATTGGCCCTTCATTTCCCCCCTCTCATCTCATTCTAACCTTGAACAGGCACTTTACACTCCGCTAGTATCTCCAGCCATGACTCCACTGGAGAGCCAATTCCGCCTGCCGGAATATACGATACCAGGAGAATACTTCACTCCCCTCACTTCACCTGCCCTCGAGGCACAAAATTCCAACAGTTCAAATGACGCCTATGCATACCATGCTCGCCAGGTATCAGATGTGGGATTTGTTCCGTCAAGTGCAGAGGTCAATTTCCTCCCAGGATCCTCTATGCCACCGTCTCCTAGTATCATCCGCAAGACCAACCGCCGGCGGGGGTCGACTGCTGCTTCTTCGAGGATTCCCGGGGGCAGGAGTAAGGTCAAACAATCGCCTTCACTCCGTGCGCAGAACCAGCGTACCAAGGGGAAGTCGACACCAACCTCGGAGGAATTCTATAACAGCCTACAGCATGAAATGGCCCGGCCGCAAAATCACGATGTGCGCTCTCTGCAAGTGAGCAGTACTGAAGGTTCCGGCCAGGATTCAGTTTCGCCAGAGCCCTTGTCCGAACCTCTGATGCCCCCGCCAGCTCTGCCAGCGCCCCGAAGATCTCCCGTCATGACAGCACAACCGCCGCAGTCTCCCGGAACCGCCGCCACTCCGGCAACCCTGATGCGCATTCAACGCTCGCAGCATGCGCTAGAATCCTCAGGACAGTTCGGCGGAGCGCAATTGGAAAGCCATGACGAACTCATGGAGGACATATCTCTTCCGGAGGCGGCCGCGCCTGCTTTGCAGCCACGCCCTCAAGTCAATCGCATCGACACGAGTATCCGCATGAGCGCATCCAGCACGAGTGCATCCAGCCCGGCAATCTCTGCCAAATTCACCCCCATGTTAGATCCCCGGTCCGCTGCAACAGACCGAACGGGGTCTATCGCCTTGAGCCCACGTACAATGGCCATGCCATCGCCCAGTGGCCCAGTACCGAAACGATCAGACCCGTCCCGATCATCGATCTCCAGTCGTAAGCGACCCAGCGTGAGCTCCACACACGCAAGCCCTCAATTGCGGCCGAAGATTAGTCCCAGCATCCAGCCGATGATACGTAGTAGCGATAGTAAGTGGCATTCACTCACACCTGACAAAATAAAAGCGCTCACAGTTCCTCGCAGGTCTGACCCAAGACGCAATCTACCTCGCCTCCAAATCAAACTACCAGCACATTCTAGACGGGACATTACCCTCAGGCGTCTCCTACCCCGAAACACTCGCCGAGAACCTAAGCTCGAAACGCACAAACCACAAACTCGCCGAGCAAGGGCGTCGCAACCGAATCAACAACGCCCTCAAGGAAATCGAGGCATTGATCCCGCCGGAATTTGTCCAAGCCAAACAGGCCAAAGAGGCCGCTTTATCCGGCATCAAGCCAAGTGACAAGGAGAAGGAGAAGGAAAAGTCAGCCAACCAAGCCATCAGCAAAGCCAGTGCCGTCGAAATGGCCATCGATTACATCAAGGCTTTGAAACTCACCCTCGAGCAAACGACTACGAAACTGGTCGCCGCTGAAGCGAAGCTGGCTAGCAGTGCTTCCCCCGTCGATGCCAGTGCCAATGATACCCCTTCGGACAGCACTACCACCCCGGCAGCCGAGTCGAATGCTGCCGGTCCAGTCTCAGAAACGAACGGCTCGTGCTCAACCTGAGATATCTAAATGTATACCAAAATGGGTTCGGATCGGGGTCTCGGTTCATTACCATCCCTCTCTCTCTTATTCTTCCCATTCTTTTGCTTTAAACTGCTTGTCTCTATAATTTACGGCCGGGGTTCAAGGTTTTCTTTTCAACAGGCTGGCTTGAAGTCGGATTTTCTCGAACGACAGCTTATCGTGCTTCTTTTTGTGTTGCAGGAAAACGCGTGATGAAATTTTTTTTCCCTTTTCGTTTCGGTTTTTTGGGCGGTTGCCAAAGGTGGCCTGTTTAGGTAGCGTTGGTGTTGCGTTGTGCCTTCAATTATTATTGGGGTGGGTTGGTCTTTGTCTTTTTTTTTTCTTGCTTGCTTATGTCTGTTATTGATGTCGCCGATTTATGCCTCATTTTCATGCTTATGGCGGATTTTCTTTTTAGCATATATAGATTTCTTTTCAATCAGAGTACATATTTCAGATTTGATGAGTTGAATACCACCGTCCTACCTGCACGTAGTCTGTAGTATACCGAGAATACTAGTCGAGGATACTAGACTTTCTACGTTATTTTTGATACTCGTCAAAATGAATTCAGGTTCTTTTAATACTAGTAGCCAACAACTCTTCAATGTATTCGTCGCTCATAATATAACAGATGCAAATAGTTCATTCGAACTTTCGACTTTGACCTTGGACTTTTTCTCTCGCCAGTGCCAGTGCCAGTGCCAGTGCCAGTGCCATCTCCCACACTCAATAATCCCGAAAAACAGCAACCATATCATCCAACCTAGCCACCTCAGTCAACAAAAGCGCCTCAAGATCCCTCCACCGCTGAAGATCCACCAATTCCCCCTCAGTAAGATAATGCTCCTCATGCCCCTTAACATCCGTCCGCTCCGTCTTCTCCAGAAAATCCCTCACGCGGCCCCGCTCAGTCTTAATCCGCTGCAAAGTCCGTGACATAGCCTTATACGTATCCTCGAGAATCGAACTACAGAGACGATCCGTGTCATAATACCAGAGGAAAATCGTCTTGGAAGGCTGCCTCTGCGCATCCTTGGGAACTTCCTGCAGATCGACAAAGCCGCCCTTTTGCATCGTGGCCAGGGTCTGGCGGAGGTCTTTCATGGGCAGGAGGGAGATTTCTTGCAGGCGCTTTTCGTCTAGTTTGCCTTTTGCTTGTAGGACGCGGATTACGCGGAGTGCGACGTCGCCGTAGCGCGACTCGATCATGCGCTCTAGTTCCAGGTGCCGGAGTTTGCGGGCTAGGTCGCGGAAGGAGATGTACCATTTTATTCCCTCGGTTGTGTGCGACTCGGCGAGGTTGTAGGGGGGGTTGGGAGAGGAGGCTGAGGTGTTGGTTTACTTCCGTCATGCGGGTGAAGATTGAATTGCGGTCTTCGTCGTCGTGGGTGCCGTTTGCTCCGTTTTCGAGCGGCCTTTTGCCGCGCGTGTTTAGGGTGGTGGAGGATTGGGGTTCGACCGGGCCGATTGCGCCGGTTAGGTCGAGGTCTGGGTCGAGGTCGTTGACGATTTTCATGACTTCGATTGGGATGGAGTGGGTTTTGCCTTCTTCGCCTTCGCGGGGGATGTCTTTCTTTCGGCCGTCGGTTCGGCAGCGTGGGGTTGCATATTCGATGCGGCGGAGGAGGGTTTCGTAGACTTCAACTGTTGCGTCTGGGGCGTCTTGTTCGGCTAGGTCGACGAAGCGGACGTTTCGGAGGGCGACGTCTAGTTTTTCGTAGTTGACTCGGACGATTAGGCCGGACTGGGGTGGGGGTTAGTTGGATTGTACTTTATGCCACATCGGTGCTGTCTGTCTTGGGCGCTTACCTCCATAGGAATATTGTCGAATCCGTCCTCGTCTTCAGACCAGTCGTTCTCCTCTTCGTCTTCGTCATCGGCGTGGTGGCCATTGACGCCGTTTGTCCGGGCTTGTTTGTTGCTTGCTCCGGATCCATTGGCGAATTTCCTCTTCACTCCTCTGGGAAGTCCATTATACATGAACTTTGCCGAGAGATCGTAGTCGCATCGCTCATTGACGAGTTCAGCCGTTGCGATTTCAATCGCCTCTTCCTGTTTCTTGCCCTTCAACGCTTTGATATCCGATTTCGCGGACACAGTCCGTCTCGCATCGAGATAGTTATCCGAGGGACTTTGAAAAATAGCATCCTTGACTCGAAGAATGTACCCATGCGACGCGAGAGCCTTGAGCGTAGAATGGAAGGGTGCGGGTCTCGCTTCGGGCATATCGTCGCCGTTGGTTTCATGCGCGGCTTCTTCTTCTTCTTCCACCTCCATCTCGTTATTTTCAACGTCGTTATTTTCGACATCGTTATTTTCCGCATCATCGCCTTCTCCATGTGACACTCCATTCGTCTGCACTGCTGGTTTAGGCGCCGCAGGAACCCCGACAGTCTGAAGCTCGGGAATACTCTGCAAATGCCGAACAGAAGCATGGCCAAGAAACATAATCACCTCCATGACTTTAGCGGCGTACTCGCCCAGCCTTTCTTCGACCAGTTGGAGGATCTTCCCCGAGCGCACGAGGTAGTATGCCGCTTCGGGGTTTGCTTCGTAGTATGTGTTTCCATCGTCGATCGAGGTGAAATGAAAGACGAGGTGTTGCTGGATCATAGCAGTAAGGCCATGGCGAAGTTGGCGTTCTGAGAGAGCGGAGTAGAATCTCAATCGGGGTAGTGTGAGTCGCTCGTATCGTTGTAAGGTTGAGAAAATGCGCTATCCGTGTCAGCCATTAGCGAATCGCCGGGGCAAAATGAAGCGGTTGTTTTCCTCGTCTACTCACAGCGAAAAGCTCTCCGAAGTTATCTTCGATGAGGAGCGTGCAGAGCTCCACGGCGTGCTGTAGCTATGCGTTAATTGTTGATTCTGGGCCTTTCTGGACAGCGGTTTCCGAACCTGAGACTTCATTTTGGTGTATTAGAATGACCAGCCCACCTCCGATACTCGCAAGGGGCGTTTAAGGTCACCGCGACAGATTCATAGAGTGTGTGAATATAGGCGCGAAGCTGTAAGCGTTTGAGATGGCGGGCACTTTTTTCCTTATCAGTCACGTGCTTGATCAGCTGATCCGATTGGACATTCAGCGGCAGTGAATGACATGCAGCGGAGAGAACATGCAGGAGAAATAAGTTAAAGTATGAGGGTGCAAGGGAGCAATTGGGAAGGGAAGTATATTAGAAAGGGAATACGAGTAAAAGGCGAAAGAGATATTCAAAGTAATAGTGACTACTTTCAAATTGATATTCAATATACTACACCCGTATTTAGTCTGTCTGTATTTAGCCTAGATATAGGTGTAACTACAAAGTAATTGAATACTATTTTGAATGATTCAATGGCTTATTTGTATATCCCTAAAACCATCAGTAGAATATAAATATACTACATGATTTTGACTATTTTATACCATCCAGTGTAATGTAGATGAGCTCCTCCGAGAAGTATTTCCGGTTCCGCCCGACTCGTCACTCTGGCCAATCAGCGACCGAGTAATCAAACCGCCTCGAAGCTTTTCGTCGTCGACGGGGGTCGACTTCATCTCTCCTCATCCCTCCCCTCAATTGCCTCCCCACCCTTTCAAACCCAAGTGGGTTACTAATTTTCTTCTCCTCTCCTTTCACTGACCCCGGCGCATAATGCTGTCGCGGTCCTCCATCAGCCGAAATGCGCCGCGTGCGCTCGCCGCCGGCCGTCGGGCCATGGCCTCTGCTGCCAACCCGACTTTCCAGTACGACGTCTCCGAGGCTTCCGGCGTGAAGGTCGCCAACCGTGAGGTTGGTGGTGCTACCGGTACCCTCGCCCTTGTGGCCAAGGCTGGTTCCCGTTACCAGCCCTTCCCTGGTTTCTCCGATGCCCTCGAGAAGTTTGCCTTCAAGGTCGGTCCCTCGGTCCCCCGCGGTCATCCATTGGCCATCGCCATTCAATTCCTTCTTCATACTCACCTATCTGTTCGTTTCGATAGACTACACTCAAGCGCTCTGCTCTGCGGATCACTCGTGAGGTCGAGCTGCTGGGCGGCGAGATCTCCGCTTCCCACTCTCGCGAAAACGTCGTCCTCCGCGCCAAGTTCCTCGCGGGTGACCTTCCATACTTCACAGAGCTTCTTGCTGAGGTTGCCAGCTCGACCAAGTTCGCTGGTGAGTCAATTCCACCTAGCCGGTTGAGGATAGCAAGAAAACAATGGGGATGGAAATGGATTCCAAAAGCAATTGGCGGTAGATCACTTTTACTGATACAATTTCTTCTCAACATTTAGACCACGAACTGAGCGAGGTTGTCAGCGACCTCCTCAAGCTTAAGCAGCAGGCTGTCTACTCCAACCCCGAGAGCGTTGCCGTCGATGCCGCCCACGGTGTCGCCTTCCACCGCGGCCTGGGTGCCGCCCAGACCCCCTCCCAGAGCACCCCCTACGAGAAGTACGTCTCCGGCGATGCCCTGGCCCAGTTTGCCCAGGACGCCTACGCCAAGTCCAACGTCGCTCTTGTCGCCACCGGCCCCAACTCTGCCGATGTCACCAAGTGGGTTGGCCAGTTCTTCAAGGATCTCCCCGCCGGTGCCACCTCCGGCCAGTACAAGGTCCAGCCCACCCAGGCTAGCAAGTACTTCGGTGGTGAGCAGCGCATCCCCTCCAAGGCCGGCAACGCCGTCGTGGTTGCCTTCCCCGGTTCCAGCGCTTTCGGCACTGCTGGCTTCAAGGCCGAGGCTTCCGTCCTGGCTGCTCTGCTGGGCGGCGAGTCCACCATCAAGTGGACCCCTGGCTTCTCCCTTCTGTCCCAGGCCACCAAGGGCTTCAACCAGATCAACATCTCCACCAAGAACCTCGCCTACTCCGACGCTGGTCTCTTCACTGTCACCCTTTCCGGCCAGGCCGACCAGATCGCTGCCGCCAGCAAGAACGTCGTTGACGTTCTCAAGAAGGCCGCCGCCGGCGAGGTCGCCAGCGAGGACATCAAGAAGGCCATTGCCCTGGCCAAGTTCCGTGCTCTCGAGTCCCTGCAGACCCTCGACACTGGTCTCGAGGCCACCGGCTCCGGCCTGGTCCACGGCAGCAAGCCCTACCAGATTGGCGAGATTGCCCAGGCCGTCGAGAAGGTTTCCGAGCAGCAGGTCAAGGAGGTATGTTTCCCTGCCCCCGAATTATAATCATCTTTGAATTTTGAGCTGTATACTAATTTTTTTTCTTCTTCTCTGCAGACCGCTCAGTCCTTCCTTTCCGGCAAGGCTACCCTCATCAGCGTCGGTGACGTCCACCAGCTCCCCTACGCCGAGGACATTGGCCTCACCGTTTAAACACCCCTTTTTGTATACCATACAACCCCTAGATCGAGGGAAAAGCGTGTTTCCTCGTTGGATTTGATGTGACCACTTTGTGCCTAGATTCATTGCCAATATCTCCTTTGTTTTCAAGGGTGTAGTTGACTGTAATACAATTGTACCTTATTTGAAGCAGTGCAGATCGATAAAGCCTGCCTAGACGTAGTCTAGGCAGGTTCATCCCGATGTCCCTGAGAGTAAGAAAACCTGCATGGTAGAGTAGAAGAAGCTCACGGCTTGGAGGGACTAGATGGCTGGCCTGGTAGCTGCAAATCTGAGATTATACTGGTATACAGTACAATGCACTAGACGGAGGTCAAGTGGAAGGATACAGATAGTAAATGTCTATTCGTAAACTTTGAAGGTAGGATCTCATCGTGAACAAGAAACACCCATCAAGCGTCCACAAGCAAGGTTCCTCTGATAGTGGCTCAATCAGCTGAGAGTCTGTCACGGGTTCCATGGCGCTCTTGTAGAAGACGTAGAGCGGATTTCAACGTTCAACTCCCTAAGGTCGAGTGAGGTCAGTTGTCTGGAGACGAGCTATCTGACTCCTCGTACCCAGCAAGGTAAAATACAGAGCCACTATCAACAGATCCAGTCCTGCCCCTGCAATAGACGTCATACAGTCGCTCAGATTGTGCCATTTAGTACGCGAGCTAAGAGGCTAGGCATCACACCCCATATGTTTCCGTAGGCTGAAGATGCGAAGGCGATGAAGAAGCTCAAGCGTTTGTTTCTGGACATTGAATCAAAACGGTCGAATCTGAGAGCCTTGCTGGAGTGGACTCTATGCCAACGCCAACTCTTCCTCAAAAAATTCGAATATCAACTTGTTCTCACCTGACTTTAGAGAGCTCTGGATGTTTCAAGACAGATAATATCTGGGTTCTGTTGCGTTTCAAGTTTGGAAAGTCGGTCGCCGCTGATAGGGTATATTGAACCTTTCTTACTCTCGAGAGTCACTGCCCACTGGCGGGAATGATGTCTTGGAGACTTTATCGGGGAATATTGCCCGATTGGCCGATATTGCTTGACAAAAAGGGCCGAATTTTTATTCTGCTTCATTCAGATGGTTCAATGTCCGTGGATATTCTAATGAAATTAGAATTGAGGTTATCATAACGGAGTCGCTTTCTTCATGCATCTTTACCCGTCACTTCATCTCCCATGCCGCTCGTTCAAGATGGCATTCTTCTATCTGAACTCGCTGATGCGCTTATGGCTTTTTCAACGAGTCGTCCTTTGACAGTATTGTTTACCAGTGCTTCGTGAAATTCCATACACTCCATGGCACCGGTAGTGGTCTCCATCATCATGTTGCTGAGATTCTCGTACTCATATGCCGGAAAGGTAGACAATAGCCTGATCTATGTATTAACCCATTCAAGCAGCAGTTAGCGCAAGCCCAAAATTGACATGATATCGACATTGAGCACAGTTGGCATCGAATGAAGCTTCAGCTTGTACAGTAATCTAATTGAAAACACTGCATATCTCACGGACAAGCCCGATATGCCTCGAGATCTGCGATGATGCGCTCTTCTCCAATCCGAATAAGGCCTTTTTTTTTCCTCTGCGGTGGGACTGCCTAGAAGAAGATGACGATGTTTATTATACCTAGGTAGATATCCAGACTCACTCCGCCCGCTTCACTACCTCGGTGCGTAGCTATCTAGGTAGATAGATGTTGATTACCTCCCGGTATCCCGCTCTTACTACCGAGAACTTGAGGGGGGTACGGTGGTTGATGAGTTACTTTCAGACAGAATCAAATGAAGATTACAGCCAAAAAGTAAGACTATATAGTTCTGAATATCCGGATGAGTCGGGGTATAGGGAATTTTAATGCAGAAGAAGGATTCCACGAACGGGGTGGGGGTATTTAGTATCTAGTCATAGGGCATGGAATTGATGAGAAAGAGAAACATAGTTCGGAAGTGGTTCATCAAGGTAATTAGTAAACAACAGCACTGTCTAGAAAAAAACCTCAGGCTGAACAACAAACAGCCTGAAATCACAGTGTATTTTTTGAAGCACCAGCAGCCAGGTACTAGTATTAACTATAAAATCATCCATTCTGCCCAGGTGTATGGCCCGGGCCTAAGGTACATTGCGCCCATGATCGATAATGGCCCAACACCAGGGCACACCAAGTTCGGGCTTTCTTCAGACTAACTACGCGCATCGAGTGAAGGAATTGAATCAAATGAGTTGAACCTTTGCTCTTCAAGCTTCAAAATTTCAACCTCAAACTCCGTCCCATTCGATTTGTTTCAGCCCAAGATCCGCGAATCCCACCATCGTAACCGACTCCAACCCGGGTATTCTAGCAAAGTCAATTGAAAAGCCAGACAGGAGCGAAAAGTATATGTCATCAACGAGGTCGTCGTTCAAACCCACGCCATAAAAGACACGAAGGGAAAGAAGCGCAAAGCAAAACAAAACAAAGAACTGTACGTCAGACCAGCCTTGCAGAAACTAGGTAGTTACAGTATAACCTCGGCTGACACGGGACGGGTATCAAACACCGACACCCTTGATAAATCCAGACGGATCAAAGGAAAAACAAGAGAATTACATCCCGAAAACTACGGTACGGCGTAGGTAGTGTGTGTTAGTTTATTACAGTAAACAGTAAGTGACGACAATCGCCCAGGGCAAAGGTAATGAAAGGGCCGATTTACGGTTGCAGGGCCCGAGATCGGATGAATGCCCGCTCTGCCGCAGTGGGGAGAAAAGAAGTCTGTCAAATGTGGAGAGGGTTGAAGGGTCCGGACTACGCTGCGATACAATTTCATTTCATTTCATTTGATTTGATTTGAAGGGCCGGGTTCGGACTGGGGCCGGAATGCTCCTGTCGGCTATGTGGTTTTCGTGGGATGTGTTTCGGAGTCCGGGGGGATTCGGGGATTGTAGGGTGGGTTCCGGGGTGAAATGAAGTGAAGTGAAGTGAAGCGGAGAGGAGACGGGATAAGTTCAATTGAATTGAATTTATGTGAGGAATTCGAAAAAACGCATTTGATAATTGATTCTATAATTCTTCATTTATTCTAAGAATGGAAAAGCAAAGCCCCCTCGGGGTACTACAAAAAAAAAGAAGCGACAAGGAAGACGAAAACGAATTCAAAATGTCCAGACACATTGGGCCAATAAGATTCTCGTGATTGAACGATTGCAAATGTATTCAAAGGGTATCGGGTCCTGCTGGCAGGTTGATGAATTAAGAATGTGTAGGTGAATGTGTAAGGTAGAATGGAACCGTGTACGGTACATCCTCCGCTTCGTCTAAATACGCATTACGCTGCATAGTAGAAGGGTATCTCAAACCTTCTCTAGTGCTTAGCGGTGACAGTGTCGCCAGTCAGCTTCTCGACAGCCTCCTTGGCCCTGTGTGACAAGATTGGTTAGTCCGAGGTTTCACGTGAAAGGTTCCAGTTGTCAGGGGGAAGGGGAGAGAGGAACGTACATATCACCAAGAGCAACCATGCAGACGGTCTGCCAGATACCCAGACCAATGCGGGGGGCAACACCACGGTAGAGACCGCGAAGACCATTGTTCTCGTAGATGTACTTGGCAGTCTTGCCAACAGTCAAGTTCTTAGGACGGTTAGGGTCCTCGGTCTTGCTCTGCATCTCGACGCGAATAACCTCAATAGGCTGGTTCCAGGCGGAGAGACCACCACCCAAGGAGGAAGCAAGGATCTTCTCCCAGGCGGACAGCTTAGTGCCGTCCTCCTTGCCAGTAGCCTTGCGGATAGCAGACTCAGCCAGACGCGACAGACCGAAGCGGGATCCCCAGTTGGTAGTCTGGCGAATAGCGACGGCGTTGACACCGCGGTTGATACCCCGGATACCCTCCTTGCGGTAGATGTCCATGAAGGTAGTGAAGGTGCCAGTAGGCTTGACGCCCGAGGCGGCCATCTTGTGCTTGGTGATCTCGACGGTCTTCATGCAGGTGCAGAAGCCCATGGTAGCATACGCTTGCGCAATACCACCGGCCATACCACCGCTGATTCCACCGACGAAGTCACCGGCGCCCAGGCGGCGGGCCTGGTACTCGGCCTCGGAGGCGACGAACAGGAGGACTGCACCCTTGGTGGATGCCTCAATCCAGGCCCACGGAATGAGTCCTTGGTAGTCTAGCGGGTTCGGGTATTCGGGTTAGCTTTGATTTGGTTCACATGCGTGGTGATTGGGTTTCTGTGGGCCCCCTACCCCCCCACGCTAGCAACAGGTGCGTGCATCGGAGGAAGAAGGGGGGGAAAGGGAAGGGAAGGAGGGTATCACGTACAACCGAGGATGCCACCACGGCCCCAAATCCGACCCATAGCACCGGCGAAGCTATCGCCCCGGTTGGCGGCCATGGTTGTCTTGATCACTTCCAACGGCTGAAAAGAAGGGGATGGAATGTCAGCATGATGGACTTGAATGTTTGGGGGAGGTGAGACGGAGAGCTCAGCTCCGAGATCATCAACAATGACAATGACATTGACAATGACAATAACAATGATAATAACGTACCTGTCCCAGTGAGGTGACTTCGAACAAGTTCAATCCAGCACCCAACAGCAGGTTGCTGAACTTGACGGGCTTCTTCTCGAGCTCAGGCGCAGCGGCCTTGATCGGTGCGGTAGACATCTTCAGAATGGGGAGTTGCGCTGAAAGGGGCCCTGACCAAGGGATATATGGGGCTTCGTCGCCTTTTTAAAAGGGAAAGAGAGGGAGAGGGGAGAAGAGGGAGGTAGAAATCGGAGGTACAGAGTAGTGTGAGTGAAAAGAGGAATGAGAAAGGGCCAATTGTCTTATAGGGGGAGCTGAGGCGGAGAGGAGACAAAGTATTTGGTACTTCCTAAAAGTTACGGAGGGCCTGGAGAAGTCCGGTGATCCACTCATGCCGGCGGGTACTGAGTACCTTCCATACTGTTCAGTACTCTACTTTACTCCGTTGTAGCCAGTACTGAATTCTCCGTACTTCGGAATTTTAACCTGGATAGCTCCGGTGGTTGATTTGATGGTCATCACTATTTTCCATTTCCTACACTATAAATACCCTTATTCATCCTATCTCTGCTGTCTTCATCTCCCTATTGTTTATTTTGGAATTGGGTGGGTCACTGAGAAGGTTGAGCCTCCCAACAATTCACGTGTGATCGATTCTACTTGGGTAGCCGTCAGACCATTCCTAATTTGCACCCGCACACCTGCACTTTGCATACTGCATGCAGCCATTGCTGACTAGATCGCTCAACTGCAGATACTGCAGATACAAGAGTATACCCATGATCCGTAACTACTGGACGACTGGACTACTGTGGCTAAAGACAATTACTGAGTGACCAAATATCATGTTGGGAGGAAGTGCTGTTACAAGGCCCGCTCGAACCGGTCAAGTCCTATATCATACAACATGAAAACGACAATCACAAAAAATAAGAAGAAATAATACAGTCTAGCTCAGAATCCTCCCACCGAAAAACAATATTTCAGATTATTACCCATTACCGTGGTGGTGTTGCATTTAGAGCTTAGCACCAACCAGCTTGGCGTAGGCCTCAGTGCTGAAGGACTTGGGGCGCTCAATGGGCATGCCGAGAGCACGGTCGATGATCAGCTGGGGCAGGACACCCAGGGCGCGGGAAACACCGAACAGGACGGTGTAGTAGTTGGCCTCAGTCAGACCGTAGTACTGGAGCAGAACACCGGAGTGGGCATCGACGTTGGGGAAGGGGTTCTTGGTCTTGCCGTGCTCGGTCAGGACACCGGGGGCGATCTTGTAGACCTGGCTGACCAGCTTGAACATGGGGTCATCGGGCAGCATGCGGAGAGCGAACTCGCGCTGGGAGACGTAACGGGGGTCAGTCTTGCGGAGAACGGCGTGGCCGTAACCGGGGACGACACGGCCGGCGTTCAGGGTGGACCAGAGGTAGTCGGTGATGGACTTGTCGCTCAGGTCGTTGCCGACAACCTTCTTCATCTCGGTGAGCCAGTTCAGGACCTCCTGGTTAGCGAGACCGTGCAGAGGACCGGCCAGACCCTGGAGACCGGCGGAGAGGGAGAGCATGGGGGAGCTCAGGGCACTGCCGACCAGGTGGGTGGTGTGGGCAGAGACGTTACCACCCTCGTGGTCAGTGTGGATGGTCAGGTACAGACGCATCAGCTCAACAAAGTCCTTGTTGTCGGCGAAGCCGAGCTGGTTGGCCAAGTTGAAGGAGTAATCCTTGTCCTTCTGGATAGCGGCAACCTTGCCATCCTTGTAGACGTTGCGGTAGATCTTAGCGGCAATGGTGGGCAGCTTGGCGATCAGGTCCATAGAGTCCTCGAAGGTGTAGCTCCAGTACTCCTTCTTGTTGATACCCTTGGCGTAGGCCTTGGCGAAAGCGGACTCGTGCTCGAGAGCGGTAACAGCCAGGGAGAACTGGGCCATGGGGTGGAGGGTGCTGGGGCAGCGGTCGATGAGCTCCTCAATGAACTTGGGGATGTCGGAGCGGGCAGCCCACTCAGCAGACAGGTCGCGAACCTGCTGCTCGGAGGGGATCTCGCCGGTCAGCAGAAGCCAGAACAGACCCTCAGGAAGGGGCTCGGTGCCACCGGGGGCCTTGGGGAGGAGCTTCTGGACATCGGGGATCTAGAGAGGAGAGGCGTTAGCAAGTCTAGTCGATAAGAATTGATTGTTCATGAACCGTGAGAACTTACGGTGTGGCCACGGAAACGGATACCCTCCTCAGAGTCGAGGACGGAACCCTGAAAAAAAAAAAGATTGTTAGCGGACTTTTCTTAGCGTACCAGGACTCCCAGTTTGCGACTTACCTCCCAGACGAGGGACTTGATACCACGGGCACCACCGTAGACCTGGTCAAGGGTGACCTCACCAACGACCTTGTTACCATACTCCCTGTGATTGCGTCAGTGATGATCATGATTTTCGGGGGCAGAATGCGGCGCGGCGGACATACTTGCGGAGCTTCTTGACCTTCTCGATCTCGGCAGGCAGGCCATCGGCGAAGGTCTCCTTCAGGGACTATTGAATTGAAGTTAGCATGTCAATTGAGATGGAAGCTGGAAGCTGGGCCAAATTACCTTAGCCTTGACGGAGGAGTAGCAGCGCGCGCCGTTCAGGGCAGCAGTCTGAACGGGCTTCGCGATAAGAGGACCGCAGAGCGGAGGTACCAATGCGAAGAGAAGCCATGACGACTTGTGAAAAAGAAAGGGGTATAATGGATGGAAGAGAGAAAGGTGAGGTATGGACACAAGGGGGGGGAAAGAAGAAGAAGAAAAGAAATATCCGGGAGGAGCTCCCTGGATTTTTCTGGCGGCATTTTTCCATCTGACCGTAACGGCCGGTAATACCTGTATTGATCCAAATAGGTGTGGTGGGTGCGGGCGGGACTTTGATCTGCGTAATTAACTCTCCCAACGGTAACGCCGAGTACGGGCTTTCGGTCTGCCGGCAGATCTCTCTGGTCCGACCAGTTCCGTAGGGGCAGCGAGTAACCCTTTGAGGACAGATCAGAATCCAAAATACGGAGTGGAAGTGGGTGCACGGATAGTGGAAACTGACATATGGATAGATATAATTACTCCAGGGCTGTGACTATAACTATAAATACTAGTATAATGGTTTGATGTTACATTCTATAGTATCTAGATGCGTTTATCCATCTCTATAATTGAGTAGATCTGATTAGGGCTCTCATCCCATCTGTATACCTAGGTACTCACCAGTGACGTCGATAGTTGCCATCTCCCGTGTCGCCATCCGGATGCCCGAGTGGGTAGCCCTCGGCATCGCGCACGGAGTAGAGTTTGTCCTGTTGCCTCGGTCTGGGCATCCCTGACCCCGTGGAGTATTGTGTACGGAGTGAGTATGGATGGTAGCTTGTATGCAATACAATTCTGTCTTAAAGATGGATTAAAACACTTTTCGTCTGACGCCATGATCAAGATCTCCCCGTTACTAGCCGGTTGATTGCTGAAATGGCTCACCGAGATCGGGAGAATGACGGGCGGGAGGAATTGGCAGAACAGAGGCTAAAACAGCTTAGTTTGGGGGAGGACAGATGGGATGGCTCGCGGAAATACATATCATCGGCCCCATCTTGCCGGGATATCCACTCTGGCCTGAGACTGTGAGCTTCCGTAGCCGGGGGAACCACTTGCTTATTGTGGGTGTGGGAGTGGATGGGGTTCAGTTCGGTGTGCGAGAAGGACCATGGATGCACATAGTCATGTGACTATGACACTGCTGTCCCACATGACTGTTGCATATATCATGTGACAGTAGTCACATGATATTCTTCACCCCACGTGACCTCCCAAAACCGTTAGTGCTGAGAAATCTGCCCAGAGGCAGTTAGGCGTTGTACCTTCCACTGCAAACCTCTCCCTTTCATCCTCCTCTCATCCAACTTTCCGCCCCTTCGCCATCTACGGATTCTCTATACCTTGTAAATCCGTCCCTCGTCTTGTTTCTGGATCTCACGGCTGTGCGCCTCTAGGTTGTACCACTCGTACTCTTTCGTACTCGGCCTTCCTGGACTCTCCCTAATCGCTAGGCTGTATTTACCAGTAGGTGGCAGTTCTCTGGTTCGACAGTGAATACGCTCGTGCTGTAGTGAAGAGTCACCGTCCGCTATAAAACATATTGTGTCTCGAGAGATAAGGATTTTTTACTATAATCTCCCCCCTGAGTTCAGAGTTACTCCTTGAGTTTTATCAGTCTCGGGTTTAATTTTTCGTGATTTTTCCTCGAAAGTAGCCCAAGGGACTCGACCAAAAGAGGTTCTTGCCTTCGTTTGCTCTCTCTCTCTACACACAACCTCACTTCTACACCACCTCTGTCCTTCACTCTTTCACCTTCACTCTCTCACTCTCGCATCTTGTCCCACTTCTTCTCGGAACTCTCGTTCTCCCATATTTTAGAGTGCGGAAACTCATCTCAACCCATCAAAAAGCAAACTTGCCCAGCATGTCCTCGGCCGTAGCTGAGCTGGAGAACTATCTCCAGTCGATGCTGGCCCTCAAGCCCCCAGGTGTATCGGGCTCCAAAATCCACAGTATCACCACTCTGTGCACCGCCAACGTACAGGTATGAATTTCTGCTTTGTTCTCATCCTGTCACCAAGATCCCTCGACTCCAGACTAACCATATCTTGCAGAATGAATCCGTTCTTATCCAAAAGATCTACACACACTTCAAGAAGGCACCGGGCACCCACAAATTGGGAGTACTCTATGTCGTAGACTCCGTAACCCGGCAATGGGTAGAAGCTGCACGAAAGGCTGGTCAGCCTCCTGGGAGCTCTGCCCCCGATGGAACCTTCGCCGCAGGTGTCAATCGTGTCACTGAACTCCTGCCTGTTCTGATGGGAGATATCATAAACACCGCTCCCCAAGACCAAAAGGTACGCTAGACATGCATCTATCCAGCCCAGCGGGGCAACCGCTTGGGGGCCAATTGTAATGGCCGTATATCTGAACATCTCAACACCCCAAACTGGACCTCAACTTCAAGTTCTCGAGGATTGTTCTAAATCGGCCCCCCTTTCACTGCTGGCTCCTCTTTTATTTTCAAGATTTATGAACCGTATGACTTACGTATTTTTTTTATTTCGGAATTATAGGAGAAAATCAAAAAGCTGATCGACATCTGGGAGCGCGGATACACATTCCCAGCCCCAATGCTCACATCATTTCGCGAGAAGCTGAATGCTCCTCAGCAGCGTAAGTTTGCACTCCCTCGACTTCTTTCCCCCGAGATCATATCTGATTTTTTTTTGTCCGTTACATAGCTGTGGAATCCACCACCCCCGAAGGATCTCCCACACCAGGCCTCAATCCTCTTGGAGGCGTAAACATGCCATCTCAACCCCCCAACGGCGGCGCAGCCCCAGATACTTCGAGTATCCTGAAGGCACTCGCGGATATGGCCAAGCAGAACACTGCTGCCCCCGCTGCCCCCGCGGCCCCGGCTATGGCAAACCCTCTTGCTGCCTTGAACCCTGCTGCTGCAATCCCGCCCCCCGTATCGTCCGCCGACCCATCCAACTCCGCTGCGAACCCATACGCAGCTGCCGGCGCCATGGGAAACCCTTTTGCTGCCTTCGGCCAGAACCCGACCATTCCTCAGCCGCAAAGCCAGAGCCAGACTCCCAACCCACTGCCATCGGCCCCGAACCCCTTGGCCGCCATGCTCCCTGCAGGTACCGCCATGCCGCCCATGGGAGATGGTAATGCTCTGTCCCAGCAGCTTCAGCTTCTTCAACTTCTGGCCGCACAGGGCATTCCTCAGGACCAGTGGGGTACTGCCCTCCAGATCATCAGCATGACCAACAGCATGCCTGGTGGCGGGCCGATTCCTGGCCAGATGCCTGGCTTCCCTCCCATGCCCGGACCTGGTGTAGGTGCTTGGGGTCATGGAGATGCTCAGGGTCACAATGAGCGCGACAGAGAGCGTGACTATAACCGTTCCCCTCAGGGATACCGCCGTCGATCTCGTTCCCCCGGCTGGGACCGCCGCCGTGACACCTCTCCTCCACGTCGCCGCAACAGCCCCGTTTACGATGAATACCACGCGGACTCCCCAGGACGTCGCGGTGATCCCCGCGATGGTCGTGGTGGCCGTGGCGGCCGTGGTGGCAACGATTACCGCCAGCGCAGTCCGGCCGGCCGCAGACGTCGCTCGCCTTCGCCGCAACGCAAGGACCCCAACCTTCCACCTCCCGGTCCCAAGCTCGTCGAGTGGGACTACTCGATCGGTCAAGGTAGCATGAAGGTTCTCAGCCGAACTCTCTTCGTTGGCGGTGTCACCATTCCGGAAGCGCAATTGCGCGCGCTCTTCGGCAAGTTTGGCATTGTCCAGACGTGCATCGTTAACATTGACAAGCGTCACGCATTCATTAAGATGATCAGTCGCCCAGATGCGATCGCTGCCCGCGACGGCATGGAGTCATACCGCCAAGGAGAGATGCAGCTGCGAACCCGTTGGGGTGTCGGCTTCGGCCCTCGCGACTGCAGTGACTACCAAACTGGCGTCAGCATCATCCCCATCGAGCGTCTCACCGAGGCTGATCGCAAGTGGATGCTCAACGCTGAGTACGGTGGAACCGGAGGCCGGGCTATCGAGCCTGGCATGGTTGTTGAGGAGCCGGATATCGAGATCGGCGCTGGTGTATCTTCCAAGGCAATCAGCCGACGCATCGCGACAGACACTGGCGGCAAGCGAGGCCCTGTCTCCTCCCGTACCAATCCCAACACTGAAACCCGCTTTGGTGGTGGTGGTGGCGGTGGTGGTGGCGGCCGTCGCCAGGACCGTGATGCTTTCAGTGGAGGTTACCAAGGAGGCCAGGGCGAGCATGACATGTCCAACATGAACAACCCCGCTGTTGCCCCCGCTGTCCCCGCGTACGGCTTCAACTTTGCCAGTATGCCCATGCTCCCTCCCGGATTCATGATGGGCGGTGCGCAAGCCGGCGGCATGCCAACCACTCAACCTCCTCCCCCGGGCCAGGGTAACTAAATACCGCACCGCATACGAAATTTTCCTGCTTCGTCATCTTCTTCTTCCTCACCATGTTCAACGACTTCCATTTCTCACTCCGTGCGGAAGGTCTCTTCCGCCTTTTTTTTTTTCAAACCCTTCTATTATGTCTTCTTATCACAGTTTTCTGCATCTGGAGCCTTCAGTGACACATCTGAAGGAAAACCTACTGGCGTTTTGACAGGTTGAAAGGAATCTCGTTTCGTTTAACCGCTTCGGACAAAAAGGGGGGAGGCTTTTTCTTTTTTTCTCGAGTACTGATTTCTTTTTTTCCCCCGTGTTTGCCTTTGCGCTCTTTTGTTTTCTCTTCTACTTCACACGTGTAACAACCTGCATAGTTTCTTGTTGCGGCCAGTAGGCGACATAATGAAGCGATCATCCTGTGGGGATGAACTATAACACAGCAAACAGCACATGTATTATCGAAGTAACCTTAACTAGGTATGAAGTAGATTCAATTTTACTTGGTACCTAGTAACTTAAGCTAGTAACTTAAGCTTGGCTAGTTGGTTTGTAGCGGATTTCAATTTCTAAAATAGCTTGCTTGGGCCTTTATATTTCCTCTTGTCTTGTTTTGTCTGTTTGTGCGAGTGATTGTTAGCTTCTGATGTTGTTGGATTATATACTCAGGTACTACTAGCAGCAACTTCGATGAATCTCTACTTCCATTTCCATTCCCCAATGCTCGTATTCGGCAGGCTGCTTCTTATTTCGCAGGTTCCTATTGTGGAAGTTTACAACTTGAAACAATGGAAAGTCGCCTGGACAACAGCAAATACAACGCTTTGAATAGATACCTAAACTCTCCCTCTTTGCACATACTAGTATTCACCGTCCATTGGGTTTACTCTACCTAGTTCGCTATCAAGGTGGATTCATGGTATATCTATATTCTATCCACCTGTGGGCACAGCATCAACCTTCCTATCAAAGATGGGTCTTCTCCGCCTACTACACTCTCTAAGCTAAAAGCAGAACATCTTCCAGAACAACTGTTCCTAAACACCCAGCCTCTTGACGCAGCTTTGTTGCAGACGAACTTGAACTCATTGTCTTTTTGGTCCCTACCCCCAAGATCCCCAGGCAAGACTCGGATCGTACCTATGCAGGGAGCCCGGGCTGGGAGAAATGTACCCCGAATCGAGTCAGAAATATTCATGTTGAATCAACCCTTGATATGGAAACCCGGCCAAAATTCGCGGAGATCAACAAAAGCCTCGTGGCCGGCAGACAACTTCGGGTAGGCAGCAACGCGGAAAAGACTTTTAGGGAATAGCTAGAGAAGCTGTAGGACGGTCTGACCAGTCGACAGGTACTCATGGCTCGCCCGTGTCGCATCCCGCTGAACTGAAGTTGTCGATACCAGTCAGAAGCCGGAGGAATATTCAAGGTCGGCTATGTGCGAATATTGATTTCTTACAAAATCTGCCATCAACAGCATCATCAACTTTCGACATTGTACAATCTGACGATGACCAGTGGTAGAAGTAAGGCCTATAGCTAATGTAGGGCTATTCTCGGGGCGCGGAAAGAATTACATGGTGCTACTAGTAGTTCATACTATCATCGATCTATTTGCAGTACTGTCATTTATTCATCAATTAATCCATATTTCCATTTAATGTAACACCTCTCACTTGGTATTTGAATCTTCCCTGAATATCCGTATGCAACTAGGCCGTACGATCCGGCAGCGCAGCTTTAGAAGCCTGGAACGACTGCTCAAAGTCAGCAATAATATCATCGATATGCTCCGTTCCAACAGAGATACGAATCGCATCTTCAGTAACGCCCGAATCCTCGCGTTCCTGATCAGTAAGCTGTTCATGGGTCGTAGACCAAGGGTGAATAGCCAGGGTTTTAGAATCGCCAACACTGAAGGGACATTAGCAAAAGCAAACCAGCCTCAAGAAAAGTCAATAAAACCCACTTAGCAAGATTCGAAATCAACTTGAATCCATCAACAACCTGACTCCCAGCCTCCGCACCACCCTTAACCCCAAAAGAAAGAACCCCACCAAAACCACGGGGGAGGTACTTCTTCGCCGTCTCATGCGACGCATGATCTTCAAGACCCGGGTACGAAACCCAACTAACATTCTCATTCTTCTGCAACCATCTAGCGAGAGCAATCGCATTCGCGGCATGGCGCTCACAGCGCAGACTAAGCGTCTCCAACCCCAAAATCAACTGCTGAGCCGCAAAGGGATTCAACGCAGCGCCAACATCACGCAGCGTCTCGACCCGGACCCGAATAGCAAACGCAATGGACCCAAACGTCTCCCAAAACTTCAGCCCGTGGTAGCCCTCGGAGGGCTCGACGAATTGCGGGAATCGAGCGCCAGCCTTGCCCCAGTCAAATTTGCCGCTGTCGACGATTACGCCGCCGATCGTGGTGCCGTGGCCGCCAATCCATTTTGTCGCGCTGTGCACGACGATGTCCGCGCCGTGATCGATCGGTCGAGCAAAGTACCCGCCCGCACCGAAGGTATTATCAACCTGCAATTGTTATTCGGGGCCTGTTCGGACAAAAGGGGGGTAGTGTAATTCAGCACATACAACGACCGGAACGCCCTTTTCATGCGCAACCTTAGCAATGGCCTCGAAATCAGGAACATTATACCTAGGATTCCCAATCGTCTCGACATAAACCGCCTTAGTCTTATCATCAATAGCAGCGGCGATATCAGCCGGGTTATCGCCAGCCACGAACTTGGTCTTGATACCCAGGCGCGGGAAAAGGACCTTGAACTGGTTATACGTGCCGCCGTACAAATTGCTCGTGGAAACGATGTTATCGCCCGCGTGGGCGAGGGCGGAAATGGCCATGAATTGCGCTGCTTGGCCTGAGGCGGCGGCGACGGCAGCGACGCCGCCTTCTAGGGCTGCGATGCGTTTTTCGAAGACGTCGACTGTTGGGTTCATTATTCGGCTGTAGATGTTGCCGAATTCTTTTAGGCCGAAGAGGCGGGCGCCGTGGGCGGAGTCATTGAATGTGTAGGATGTTGTTGCGTAGATGGGGACGGCGCGGGAATTGGTTTCGGAGTCAGGTTCATGGCTGGTGGTGGGATGATGTTAGCGAGTACTGTTTTTTTTCTCTTTCTCTTACAATTGAACTGAATATAATAGAATAGAGAATGATTACCCGGCGTGCAACTGGAGGGTCTCAAAGTGGAGATTCTGGGGGTCAGACATGGTGGAATGCGGGGAAGGATATTTTTTCTTTTCAAAGTACGACAGTCGGGGAGTATTTTTTTTTCTCTTTAAAGGAAATCAGAGCACAACAGTGTCTTTCAAGGTAGGATTCAGTCGATTTATAGCGAGACAGAGGCCCTCCCACTCCAAGGTAAATTGCGACAGCTCCAGTAAAGAGGGGAAACGAACACGCCAGCGCGGACCCTCGATGGCGTGATCATAACCTTTTGATTCCGTTACTCGTCTAGGATCAATACCACTCTGATCCAATCCTCTTTCTCGTACGAGAATTGCATGGGTCTATCCCAGCCCCGCTGGTTCGTATTCAATGCATGCACTGTGGTGGGTTGAGCACTCTTGGTATGTGATAGCGTTGCATGAGCGTATCATACTTACATACAGAGCACTACAACTAGACTTCGATCAGAACTTTTCAATTAAATGCAAACAAATGACGCTTTAGTGCAACTTGGTAATGAATCGGAGTTTTGGAAAGAGATTTTGTAAAGCTCAAACGTGTTCGAGAGTCCGAGTCGATGTGGGAATATAAAGAAGCTCAAACGGAGGGGTGGCTTGAATGTAGACACTCTCAAATGACTGCTGGATATTTACATTTACATCGACCGACAAAAGCTTCGGTGATCCTCTTTATTTTGAAACTTTGGCTCATCCTGGCGAAAGTGTATCCTAGCTGGGAGACATAGTCTGCAGTTTCGAGCGCCTCATCTGGGTTGAAGCTACACTGGTTATCAGGTATAGATATGGGATTTTCGAAGCCCACATCTAACTTCAGTGTTACTTTCTATCGTATGAGCACATATACTTGATGCTGACGTTGACTGGGGCTTCTGCGTAGCAAGAAAGGGACCGTTAAAGTGTAGCCTTTGAGCTGGATAGCTTGCCACCTTGTACAACGTGACTTTCCTATACCTCATAGTGAGAGAGGAGAGTGGTAACTCTCCTGTTCTTTGGCGGCTCAGCTCCTCCTTCTTGTAGCTGGCAGGGGTTGGGCGATGTCGAGGCAGATGACAATGAGGTGAACGTTGCCATGCGTGTCCAAATCTATCGAGGTTCTCGCCTTGTTGTGGATGGATGGCAGTTTGGCCTGACGTTTTGCTCGGTTTGGCCTCAGCTCAGCTCTTAACGCACGATTATATTCGGATCTATGTTGGCTGGAAGGGGCTTGGTTTTGCATGTGTTGAGACTGACACGCTCTGTCGCATTGATCAACTTCCCCTTCTGCTTTGAGGTTTTTATTACGTTATCTACCACTTCTGGGTAAATCTTTTCGGTCTTCATCTCGGGTCCGATTTCCTTTGGGTTGTGGATACTGCTGGACGGAGGTTTGAAGGAGAACAAAGCAATAAAGGAACACAAGTTGGGAGAAATTGCAATAAAACAGCAGCAATAATTACTTGGAACACTCCAGTAACGCTCAAAGATAAGTTTTACCTGCGACATTTGTTGAATGTCCATTCCGCCACGATCACCACAAGAAAGAACGGAAAGAAGAAGAAATAAAAACTTGAAGGAGTGTGGGTCTTGATCGTTCTAGCAATATCTGTGACCATCGTCACCCTGCACTTAGTAAAGTGAACTCCTCCCTCCATCCCTCGGCATCAGCCCACCGGTCCTCATATTTCAGGCACCAACTCAGATCATTCCGAGCTATGTACAAACGGCCTGTAAACACTTTGGCTTTGTTTCAAACAGAGCTACCTAAGCGCTGGTCTATAATAGGTACTCCTTACAGCGCCTTAATATTTAATAATAGCACTCTTCATAGGCTCCATAAGTCTTTTTGATCTTCACACTCCGGCCAATAAGTGCGGTGCTTCTCACATGTTCTTTAGGCAGCGAGCCAAGACCCTAGCTGACTAGTGGCGGTGCAACTTTGCTTTCTTCGCAAGAATAGCCTCGGGTAGGCAGCAGAGTAGATTGAAGGAAGTACGTACATTTAGAAGGCATTCAGAAGTTCCAGGAAATAATTCCAACTCTCTCGAATCGATCTCAACAACTTGAAGCAGAGCTATAGCCCCTCAGCTGCTACCCTAGGTACACACCCCGCAAAACCAAAAAAGGTAACCCTAATTCCTCATCAGCCCTATCATGCAAGCCCACCTGACTGCCAAGATGTGACCGATGACGCGCGCGCGACGAAGGTGGCTGACCAACTTTGGGCCGCTTTATATACATCGGAATCTGGTTTTGGCCTTGGTCTTTGTTGAGTTATTTTGCAAAGTTTCTGCCAGTGCTTATTTCTGACTCGCATTTTTATCAGCTTCATCCTCGTTTACATTGCATTCTACATACAGTACGCCACGACCCGACCCGAGGCCATCCCATTACCTTCCTACCCACACCCGCCATGAATCTCCCCTGGATCCAAGCTGTGCGGATCGTGCAGATCATCTTTGGCTTGATCGTGGTCGCTTTGACTGCCTATGGTGCGTTCATTCTCCACTCCACTCAACGGTCGCGGTGCAGCTTACATGGAGCTCTACTGCATTTCCAACGATATAACCTTGGAAGCTAACAGCCCACCTTATGTACTACAGTAATCAGCTCCTTCTACGACTGGTGGTCCCTATCCGACACAGTCAACTACCTCCTCTTCCTCGGCTGCTGGACAGCCTTTGTAGCGACGCCCTACCTAGGCGCAGCCCCGATCTTCTTCCCTCGACTGGCACATCGCTTTGTGATTCCCGCCGTCGAGGTCATTACGATGATCTTCTGGTTCGCGGGCTTCATCGCTATTGGCGCCGAGCTTCCTCCGCCTCGGTACTGCCACTACAGTACCTGTCGGGCTCTGCAGGCGGTCACTGTCTTTGGAGCTTTTGAGTGGTATGTCTCTATTCAAGTTCTCTGTTCACCTTGGGGTGGGGGTGGGTTTCTGGCACTGATGAGCTAATTATTTCATCTCTTAGGGTTCTTTTCTCCGTGACTACTTATTTTGCCGTTGTTGATGTTTTGCATCATCGGAATACGGGCGAGAGTGCGCATAAGACGCAGCATAATGCGCACCTGGGAGTCTAATTCGTGTTTGAGGCGAGTTGGGAGGGAGAGATGGGTTGTGGGGGATATTCTTCTGCGATCGGGAATGTTATGATGGATGGGGTAATACGAATCTGCGTTTTAAGTTCCACGATACCCTGGATGTTTCGGATTTCTGTGTTTGGTCTTGTTTTGTTTTAATCTGTGATGCTTGATGGTTATTTCTTGCGAGGGAGAGCGAATCTATGCATTCATTAACAAATTGAGTGGGCTTTCTGCATTAAGTATGTCAAATGGCATATGCATATCGCATCTAGGAATGAATTACATGAGATGGTTCATAATGGATAATGAATAGTTCAAGTTGATAAAGTGAGTATCGTATGATGGAGAAAGTTATAGATCTGATTATGAGAGGTGTCATTTCTATTTCCAATGGTTCCTCGGGTTTCCCACCATTGGAATGCTTATCAAACTCGGCCCCACACGCCGAAAACGGCGATGCCGACTCGGGAAATGAGAAGGACTATGTAGTAGTAATGAATGGGTGCTTATAGGTTCGATGACTTTGTTTTATTTTATATGATTCTATTCAGTATTTATCCATTATGATTGAAGAGACTTTGTAGAGAGTGATATGTATGAAGTATGGGGTACTCCGTACTCCGTCGAGTATAAACTGTTGAAGCCGCGATCGGCGGGTGGCGGCCGGGCTCATGCAGAGTCACATCGGGCGACGTTTAGTTCGATTCCTGCCCGCACGACCCTCTTATAAGCTGCACGAAGACAACTTGGACTGTTCCAGCCTCTTATCTACTCCGTCAGATGAAAGAGATAGAGTTATCAGGGAAGAACGACATCCCGCGAGAGGTTTGCCACCACGTAAGAAAAAAAATCTGTTACTTTGGTTAATGGCCCACATGGATGCCGAGCCGGTATCTCTCAGGGCGAAAAAGAGAAAACTCTGCTCCGATATCTACGGGGGGACTGTGTACATATTGAATAGACTTCGCCAGAAACGTCAAAAAGAAAAAGACATTCCTACATTCACTATTTCCCCCCCAGGTTGCATTGATTTTCTTTTTACATAACATTTATTTCATTTCCCCTCCTCCGCGATCTGAGAGTCATAGGGTTTGACAAGCGTCGCGTGTTTCTCCACATCTCGAAGCCCTCGGAGGCAGCCGCGTGACCTACCAGCTTGTCCTCTGAAGTGGAGACAAAAGTGCGCGCGACCCCCCAAGTCCCAAGTCGAGTCAGATCCTTTCGTTTCCGTTCTCCTCTTTCCATCCATCGCGCATCACATCTCGTCACTGCTTCCTTACGGGTCAGACATGGCGAAGGACCAGGTCTCCAACGCACCGTGGTCTGATAAACCGAAAATGGTGTCCGAGACTCCTATCATGGAGCCGCTGCCTCAAGAACAGCCTGCTCAAGCCGCCTACGATGATGTCGACTACGAGAAGTACGGCGCGACCCGTGATACCAACCCGGTGCCCCAATTGCAGCGGAAGCTGAAGAGCAGACATTTGCAGATGATTGCCATTGGTGAGTAATTCACACGTCGAGAAGAACTGCCGAATTTTTTTTCTCTTATACTCATACTCCTCTTGTCCAGGTGGTACTATCGGAACTGGTCTCTTCATTGGTAGTGGTGCAGCCATCTCGAATGCTGGCCCTGTCGGTGCGCTCATCGCTTTCATCTTCGTCGGAACCATCGTTTACTCCGTTATGACGGCTCTCGGAGAGGTCGCCACTTATATCCCTGTTCCCGGTTCTTTCACGACTTATGCGACACGATTGATTCATCCTAGCTTGGGTTTCTCGATGGGTTGGATTTATTGGTTTTCTTGGGCGTCGACATTTGCTCTCGAATTGGTACGTCATATCCCCCATATCTCCTCTCGAAGCAAGCTGTTCAGTCACTAACTTATCTCCTTTCAGACTGCCACCGGTTTAATTATTCAATTCTGGGACGAAACTATCCCAATTTCCATCTTTATTGCCATCTTTTGGGTGGTTATCATCATCCTGAATCTGTTGCCGGTCAAATTCTACGGTGAGATTGAGTTCTGGTTCTCCAGCATCAAAATTCTCACCGTGGTTGGCTTCATGATCTTCGCCATTTGTATCAACGCTGGTGCAGGCGAGAAGGGATATATCGGGTTCCGATACTGGGTGACTCCTGGTCCTTTTACGGCCCCGGGTCTTTACCAGGTTAATTCGACTCCCGCCGTCGCCAAATTCGTTGGTTTCTGGTCCGTTCTTATCAAGGCTGGTTTCTCTTACCAGGGTACTGAACTTGTCGGTATTGCGGCCGGTGAGACTGAGAACCCTCGCAAGACAGTCCCCTCTGCTATTCGCAAGACTTTCTTCCGCATCGTTTTCTTCTTCATCCTGACTATCTTCTTCATTGGAATTGTTGTGCCTTCTGACGACCCAACTCTGATTGCTGCCAATAATGCCAGCGGAGCGAGCGCCTCAAACGGTAACGCTTCTCCTTTTGTGATTGCTGCCCGACTTGCTGGTGTCAAGGTGCTCCCGGATATCATCAACGCTGTTCTCTTGACTGTCGTGCTTTCCGCGGCCAACTCAAATGTGTACAGTGGTAGTCGTATCATCGTCGGTCTGGCCCAGGAGGGCTTCGCCCCTCGCTTCATGAAGAAGACTTCCAAGGGCGGTGTCCCTTACTATGCTGTTCTCTTCACTGCCGCGTTCGGCTTACTCGGTTTCCTCAACGTGTCGAGTGCTGGTTCCGATGTCTTCAACTGGCTTCTCCAAATCTCCGGCGTCGCTGGTTTCATCACCTGGTGCTCTTTGAACGCTTGCCATATCGCCTTCCAGAAAGCACTCAAGGCGCGCAACATTTCGCGTGATATCTTGCCTTACAAGGCCATCTGGCAGCCGTGGTTCTCGTGGTATGGCTTGTTCTTCAACACCCTTATTATCCTCACCCAGGGCTTCACCTGCTTCATCCCCCACTTCCAAGTGCAGGAATTCTTCATCAACTATTTGAGTCTCATCTTGTTTGTGGTGCTGTATCTGGGACACTGGATCATCTTCCGACCTAAGTTTGTCAAGCCCATTGAGGCTGATCTGGACACTGGTCGAACTACATTTGATAACGAGACCTGGGAGACGGTCGAGCCGACCACGTGGTACGGCAAGACCTGGCACTGGATCAGTGGTTAGAAGTGTTGAGGGTCTTTGAGTACCTTTAAGCATCTGTTGATATTGTTTTTTTTTTTACTATTTCTCGGCATCTGGCATGGCGTTTGAAATGTTCATTTATCCTGTATTATATCTCACATTATTCCATACTATATATTATTATTGTGCATAAAGTCTACCATCTCCACACTGAACACGTCTACGAATAGTATATTCACTTTGGGCTATATAAAGTTTCACACAGTCATCGTCTCCTAAGGCTTGGGTTTAGGCACGGGCACATACCATACCATGTGAAAATCGTGGAAGAGCATGTGGCGGATGACATCGTGCAGATTCCCCAGGGGGGGACCCACCTAATAATCGGTACTTGTGTAAAGTATGACATCCCCATACTTTACACAAGTACCGATACTCTCCAAACGAGCCGAGGTACTTTCCGCGCTTCGACCCCATCGTGGCAGGAGATTTCACCGAAAAGAGTCGCTCTCTCCGGATTTTCCTTCTTTTACTCCAGACTCTCCCTCTTCTCTTCCCCCACACTCCCTTTCTCCTCTGGTCTCGTTCGTCGCTCTGGAGTGTTTCTCTCCTACACCTCAACCCTCTCGACTCCTCTCCTTGTTCGTTATTGTTTCCCCTCGTTGCGATACGCGACGCTATCCCGCAACATCCGAAGCATGTGCTAACTTCAACTTCTCCTGGAACAGATTAGACCCTCAGCATGTTTTTCTCACAATTGCCCACTCACCTCGCCAAGGCAGAGGAGCTTAAGCAAGCCCCGCCAAAAGGCACACCCTACTCTGTCGGCCTTCCTGGCACCGAGCAGGAAGGTCGCAGTCAGGTTTACCGGGCATGGAACTATCAGAAGGAACTCCTGAAGACTCTCGACCCTGAGGTACGTTTATACCTCGGCTATGACAGGCACATACACAAACACAGACCACACATGCATCTAACACTTATCCGTGGCTCAGGTCCTCACTGCCCATGACATGTTCGAGTCCACTGCCAACCGTCAACCTAAGAACCACTGCCTCGGCTGGCGCGCATACAACCCGGCCACCAAGACCTACGATCAATATCAATGGATTACATACGAGCAGGTGCAGAAGCGCCGTGCTGACTTCGGCGCCGGTCTGGTTGAGCTCCACCAGAAGCACAACGTGCACCGTGACGGCCAGTACGGTATTGGTCTCTGGTGTCAGAACCGCCCCGAGTGGCAGATCACTGGTATGTTTCCCCGGGGTTTCCCATGATCTTCCTATCCATATAAAGATCTAACAAATTCTAGATCTGGCCTGTATGTCCCAGGGCCTCTACTCGGTCTCTATCTACGACGTCCTAGCCCCAGATGCTACTGAGTATATTATTAACCACGCTGAGCTCAGCTGTGTCGTCACCTCTCTTCCTCACATCCCAACTCTTCTTAAGTTGAAGTCATCTATGCCCGGTCTGAAGATGATTGTCTGTCTTGACCCGCTCGACGCCGGTGAGGAAAACGGTCACTCAAAGCGTGCTCTGCTCAACTCCGTCGCCGACGGACTGGATGTTTCCATCTATACCATCAGCGAGGTTGAGGCTCTTGGACAGGCTTCGAAGCGTGGCTACAAGCGTCCTTCCCCCTCGGACATTGTCACTATCAACTACACATCCGGCACCACCGGCCCGCCCAAGGGCGTTGTTCTGACCCATCAGAACGCCGTCGCCGCTACTTCCGCCGGTCTGATCACTATCGGCCAGGCCAAGGGTGACACCATGTGCTCTTACCTCCCCCCTAGCTCACATCTACGCCCGTCTGGCCGAGCACACAGCTTTCTGGGGCGGTGCTCGCATTGGCTACTTCCACGGTAACATCATCGAGCTAGTCGATGATCTGAAGCTCCTCAAGCCAACCGGTTTCATGTCCGTCCCCCGTCTGTACAGCCGCTTCGGCACCGCCGTCCGCGCCGCCACCGTCGAGCAACCCGGTTTCAAGGGTGCTCTATCCCGCCACATCGTCGCGGCCAAGACAGCCAACCTGAAGAACCCAGACCCCTCCAAGGCAACCATCCACCACGCTCTATACGACCGCATCTGGGCCAAGAAGGTCGCCTCTGCGCTCGGCCTCGAGCGAGCCAGATATATGGTCTCCGGCTCCGCCCCTCTAGACCCAAGCCTGCACAACTTCCTCCGCGTCTCAACAGGCACAGACGTCCTGCAAGGCTACGGTCTGACCGAGTCCTACGCCTGCGGCACCGCCCAATCAACCGACGATCTAACAGCCGGCAACTGCGGCCGTCTAGCCCCCCTGCGTTGAAGCCTGCCTCGTCTCCCTCCCTGACATGGAATACTCCGTCAACGATAAGCCCTACCCCCGCGGCGAGCTCCTCATGCGCGGCAACAACATGTTCACCGAGTACTTCAAGAACCCGGAAGAAACCTCCAAAGCCATGACAGAAGACGGCTGGTTCCGCACCGGCGACGTGTGCCAGATCGACGAAATGGGCCGCTTCATCATCATCGACCGCCGCAAGAACGTCCTTAAGCTCGCGCAGGGCGAGTACATCTCCCCCGAGCGCCTGGAGGGCGTCATCCTCTCCGAACTAGGTTATTTCGGCCAGGCATACGTGCACGGCGACAGTGTGCAGACTTTCCTGGTTGGTATCTTTGGCATTTCGCCGGACATGTACGCGCCCTTTGCGTCGAAGGTGCTCGGCAAGACGATCGATGCTACGGATCTGGAGGCTGTCAAGGCAACACTGTCTGACGAGAAGATTCGGCGCGCTGTGCTGCGCGACCTCGAGCGCGTGGCGAAGAAGCATAAGCTTGCGGGCTATGAGCGTGTTAAGAACGTCTCATTGAAGTTGGACCCGTTTACCGTTGAGAACAACCTTCTCACTCCTACGTATGTTTATCCCTCTGGCTGAACCAGATTTCTGATCTGAACATTTTGCTAACCTAATTCTCTGTTTAGTCTCAAGCTCAAGCGTCCTCCTACCGTCAAGGCATACCGCCAACTTCTGGATCAGCTCTACGAGAAGGCCCTGGAGGAACAATCTGCTCCTCGTGCGAAGCTGTAAAACCAGCCTCCAGGAGAGCGGTATCTTTCAGCGCGCTTTTTCGAGTATATCTTATCATTATCTTAGGTCGGGTTTCCTGGTGGTTAAGGGATCCGTTTGCGTTCGGCCCAGATGTTGTATATAGGGTTGCATTATTATTGACCAAGTTGGGTCGGTATTGTAGTATATTGAATTTCAAGACTTTATCCAAAGCGAAACACCTCCCCCCCCCCACAATTTCTTCAATTTTTTCAAAGTTGTATAGCGGTTGTTCGTCGGTGAAGTCCACCTAGAGGCAGGGGGAGCCATATATCGTTCCTTTAAGTTTATACTTTAGGCTCCCACGTTCGAGGCACAACAACTAGCCATATATCCCACGCCAAAAGAAAAGAAGAAAAAGTCTGCGCACCACAAGATACTTGATCTCGATCTCGATCTTGATTGTTAATAGCATGAAAAAGCAAAAACAAAAAGATATGACAAGAGTGGGATTCGAACCCACGCCTCCGAACGGAGATCAGGAAATTGGAGTTAAGGTTGACCTTAACCTGACGCCTTAGACCAACTCGGCCATCTTGCCAACTGGATGAAAAAAGGAGCAGAAGTGCGAGTTTCAAATCTGAGGGATTTGGGTTTGCTGGTGGAGTGCAGTGGAGTGGAGTGGGTGGAAATTGATTTGGTTATGTTGGTGGACTGCCCGGGTATAGGGGTGGTTTTTATTAGGAATTTCTTGGGGATGTCTAATTGGGATTTGCTTGGAGGTCTTTGGGAATTCTAGGTGGTTTCCAAGGTTGATTTATTGGGAACCTTAGAAGATGGTGGTACACTCCAAGGCTCCAGGTGATTAAACCACGGATATATATCATGCGTGCAGGAGCGATGTGAGCAACTTCCAAGGTTGGAAGGTTCAAGTTGAAAACATTCAAGTTAGACCTCCAGAGCTACCTAATTAGCCAGGGGGTAGTATTACGTATTTAGGTAGTACTGATTAAAATCAAAATTGAAGGTAACAGAATAGAGATGGCAAAATAAATAGAGAGTATAGCCCTAGCGGATCAATAACCAGCATTCCAAGGTTGGGAACAGATCGGAGTCTTACTAGTCAATCAGGTTCAAGTTGTAGTCCGAATGAGTCAAGTGACTCCCTCCTTCCTTCCTCTTTCCGTATTAGTAGTCAGTACTCTCCTCGACAGTTGAACACACTCCTTTCAACTACTCAAGAGCCATACAGGCACGCCGAACCTCCGTACAGATACCTTCAACATGTCATGTTGGTAGCACGTCTTGGTTAATCCAAGGACCTCCAGATGATTTTGCTCCAACATCGTGCGTGATGCATCCAGAGATGTCTTGGGTGCTTGGAATACCACCAATGCATGCAGCACTGAATAGTGCACCCATGGCGTCGACAGGACACTCACCGCGCAAGCTGAGGTACAGACACGAGCTCCGCCACCCGTGGAATTTGCCGGAAAACTCTCTCGATATCCCGTTAAGCGGATATTATCATATCCAAACCCACAAAGACGCAGAGTGTACAATGTTCACTGCTGTCGCAATGAGGGAATAGTATGACCCACACAAGCAAAAGCATTTCAACATTGACCGGCGATGTTATCATCCGTGACAATGACCCCGATGATAGCAATCTGGAGGATGACGAAGACCTGCAGGATGACAAGGAGCCCGATGGTGGTGTATACGGACCACAGCTCTACAGTGGACATCGCTTCAGCGACCACCCTCCGATCCATCGCATCGGAAAAGTTGAACCCCCGCCTGGTACGAGCATCGCAGTACGTCCAGCTTTTTCGTCTCAGGGTTTATCATCGTTCCGGGAAGTCAAACAAGATTGCTGACGCACTCTCGCGCCTCCCAAGAATACTACCGCTCCGAGTATCAGAGTGGATAGGGAGCTCGAGTTCTCCACCGCTCTTTTCTATCGAAAGGTTATGGGTATTTTCGTGGTGAAGTAGACAATTTCGATGGTCAGCTTTGCTCTCTGCCGGATCACGCAGAATTGAATTACCAACCCGGTAAACAGGAATCACTCAAAGCACATGCGCAATGGACGATGCAACGGTGAGAATTGCACTGAAGGGTTCGCCCCAGTAGACAGGGCACCACTCATGACTGCTCAGATGTTCGGAGTTGCCTTGGTGTGACTCGATAATGCCTTGGTACACCATAATGCTCGGATAGACCCCCTTGATACGACCCTCACAGTCGCATATATCTCGCGAAGAACTAGATCGTTTGTTGCCTCATTGCCAGACGGAATGTGGACAAGATTATGGGCAGTAACAAGGTTATCAAATATACAAATGCCCTAGGCTTTTCAGAAGCAGAATCCAATTTAATTGGAGACGAAAGAGTCTTTTGAGAAGTATCCAATCGTTGGGTCGGGTCTACAGTTGGAAAGATATTCAGAGCCCAGTCTATTGATATGGAGCTGGCAGATTTCAAATGTTCAGGGATCAAATACGTTAACATGCCAGAGAGGACTCTGATGAAAGATAATGCTCAGTTAAAGGTTGCCGGGGAATTGAAAATACCTGGGGTGCACAAATGCCAGATGGGCGAGGCATATACAGACGAGCATTGCCTTCGCTAATTGCTCGCACAAGTCACCAATTACCTACTAGGTAGTACAAGACCTCAACTGCATGTCTGGTTTCATGATTCACTACGATTAGACCATTCTGTTCGCCAGCGGTTCACCCCGGGCAGGGGTTCCTCTCATGAATGGGAATTTCGGAATAGAAAGAGATACATATACCTCAGAAGCAGGGCGGGGCCGGGTAGACCTTATCGTCACAAAGCTTTGCCGAAGCACATTGGTCAAGGCCATATTCCTCGAGGCCAAACGCCCCCGTCCTGAAAACAAGCAAATTCCCTGAAGAGATTCCGAGCCATAGCACAACTCTTGATGCATTCAAGCGGCAGCGAAGATTGACCGAGAAGACTTAGACGTGGAGGTTAAGAATCGAAGACTAGCCGGTCCATCTGATAATGGACTCGTGGAGAGAGCCTACATCGATACCCTTATCCAGCGTGTTATGGGAGCGGCCGCGAAAATCCACAAACACGCGAAGTCATTCAAGAAGGTTGTCAATCAGTACTACGGCTGGACTACCGAGTGTCAGGGAGATACATCCTTCTGTCATATTCTCGGTCTTTTTCTACCTGCCTCCTCAGTCAAGACAGCTACCGAACCATTCTGTACTCTACAAAACGAAAGTTTATCTTCAGCAGTCTCAACCAGAGCAACATCAGTATTAGCGACACCGCAACCACAAACACCAACAGACACTTGGGTTTATTCGAGGCTGCAAATAATGCGACCTGCAAGATCCTTTGCAACTGCAGTGAAAAACTCGTTTGCAACATCTTTCAAGAACTTGAATGGGATCAGGGTTTTGGTAGCTAGATAGGCGAACTGGACGCCAATTACTTCGTTCGACACCGTGATTTCCTTGACGGCTTTGGATGTCTGGGTCATCGGACGAAATATATAGATTATATGAGTCAACACAATCTCATCTAGTGCCCAAGTCCCTGAGCCAAACTTCGACAAGCATACAGAAAGGTTCAAGCCCTCCATATGAGTTGGCAATGAGTCAACCATTTTTCTTTCCATTATATAATACCCAAAATATAGATATTTCGCACAAATAGGCTACACTGCCATGACAGGTCAGGAGCCAAAAACAACATTCCTCCGGAGCGGAACAGAGCCGAAGCCAGGAGAAGCAAAAAATGACAAGAGTGGGATTCGAACCCACGCCCCTTTCGAGACACGGAAATCTATAGAAGATCTCTGAGGATCAGGTGAAACCTGAACCGTGCGCCTTAGACCGCTCGGCCATCTTGCCAATTCGATATAAGTAGACCGAATATAATGACATCAGAGGCAGAAATACCTCAACTACTGTCCCACAAAGTACTAGTTAGCCCACCAGAACTACTCCGTACATGTCATTCATTATGAAGGTAGTACAAAACAAGAACCTGCAGGAGATGATCATTTAAACATAGCCAATGAGTACAGAACTTTTAAACAGACCCGCCATACTAGAGAATGGCACTATCATATCCCTATGCTAAACATCCCTTCGTATATCATGGTCCGAGTAAGGTAGAAAGGCACGAGATAAGATGATAGTCACGCCCCACTCATATTGATGTATACTCTGTGGCCTCCGACATCCTGAACTGAATAAAAATATAATGGTACTTTCCAGGGCTCTTCTTCTTAAAAATTTCAACATTTACATTGTCTTTTATCCGAAACTAAATGGCATGTTATGCCGCGCTCACCGCGTGATGTGATGGCTTACATACGCAGCATGACATGATATGATGATCCCCCTCTCCCCGCCATTTATAGCTCTGATAAAGAAAGTCTCACCAACTCAACTCCCTCAAAACTCCTCCTCCATGATCCAACCATGCGTCCTGCTCCAGATCTACCGGTCTATCCCCAAAAGGCCCCCTTAGACCACCCATCTCCCTCCCTTGACCCCCGCACCACCGCATCCCCGCAACCTTCTTCCTATCCCGCAATCTGGATGCCTCCGACTCGGATTCCAGTCCACCCCTGGACGAGCCAAGTGATGCCAAAGATAGTATGTATGGAGTGCACAGTCTAAGCGAAACGCTACAACGATCCGAACTGTCCGCGAGCTCCCCGCGCGCATTCTACACCGATAAAGGGCCCGAGGGTCACTATCGCAGCCCCTCGCAGAGCTCCGATGATATGGACAATACCCAAGAGTCGAGACGTCGGTCAACTCTCAAGCCATCTGAGCCAGAAGTGCGAGATTCACCCATCCCCTCTGCCCGCATTTGTCCCGATACAGTCTCCCGCCCGTTAACCCCGCTCAACCCCGACGATGCGCCCTCCTTGCCTAGCAGTCCTAAATCTATTTCAAATCACTCACTCCGACCCCTCGATGAGATCTCCCTCGCCGACGAAATACACAGCCAGGCTATGGCCTCGGGAGACGAGGATGAAAGACCTAGACTTTCTCCCCGCCTAGGGGCTAGCGGAGCGCCCCAGCTTATCATGCCAAGTATCAAGATGCCTAGTAGGCGACCATTTACAGAACGAGGAAAAGCCATGGGACGCTTCAAGATACTCATTGCAGGAGCTCCCGGTAAGTTGGCCCAAACCATCCCATCACAAGGAGTGAATATCACACGGCGAATTTCGCTGACAAATAGCAGGATCGGGCAAAACATCCCTGATAAAATCGATCGTCCAGACGTGCGAAGACATCGTACATGTTGATTCCCTCGCTTCTCCATCTCCGATCACCTCACTTGAGCGGCGCCGCTCATCGCGGGTCCACTCTGGATCAGTCCCCACTCAAGGCCGCGGGGCGCCCAGCGCTATCGCTATCAACGAAATCTACGCTAGCACTAAACCGTATCCTGCGTGGTGGTCTGATCTTGAAGACTCGCGCGTGCTTCGGCGTCGAAAAAGTATTGGCGAGATCGTGCTGGAGCGGAATCTTTGTTTTGTTGATACTCCGGCTGTTTCGCTGAGTCGGCCTGGTCAGACAGATGCTGTTTTGCAGTATATGCGTCAGCAATTTCACCGGGCTACTGCCGCTTTGAACAGCTCGAGTGTAGATATGCAGAATTTACTTGCGGGGAATGGGGGGGTCGCAGGTTGATGCGATTATTTATTTGGTCTCCAATGGTAAGACTTGCGGTCTAGCTTGCACAAAGTAAGAAAGAAAGATGCCATATGCTAACAGATTCTAGCTACGCTTTCAACGGACATTGAATGTATACGAAAGCTTTGCGAGCTGACGAACGTCATTCCGGTCGTGGCCAAAGCTGACAAATTCTCCCCGGAACACATTGAAATGATAAAGGTTCGATTTCATCAAGAGGCCCAAAGTGCCGGCATCAAGCCATTCTTGTTCGGAGCACCGCCAGAGGGACTGGAGGGCCTTGACCCCCAGCCACCATACACAGTGTCGTCCGAGAAAACCACAGACTTGGAAGTCATGGACGCAAGCACACTAATGAGCCCGGATTATGTACAACCACTCGTTCCATCAGAATTGGACATTCTGGTACAGAAATTATTCGACCGGGAACATCTCGCCTGGATGCGCCATTCAGCTGCTAAGAAGCTGGTCCAGCGAGGTGGAGAGTTCTCTGCTATCCCACCACCACCGACAGCGCCTCTATCCCCTGCTTTCTCCGCGGACAGATCAAGCTGGCAAGCTTTATCAGCCGAGTCCTTGAACTCTTCATTTTGCTCGATCGGGGGGGCCTTCATCCCCTAGCTATGCGATGGCACGGCTGTCAGACTATACCCGCCACGAGGAGCGCATGGCCCAAGTCCACTTGGCGCACTGGGCAACGGATCTGCAGCGAAGCCTACAGAACGAGCGTGATCGATATGCATCGCTGGCTCGGGGTGATCGGGCCGTTTGGCTGACGGAGAAACTGAGTGAGTGCGTGATTGATGGCTCGCTGGTCCCGATTTCCAAAACACCCGGTTTCTGCGGGCTGTACACGCCATCGAGCGAGAAGCACCCCGGTCTACATCCCATGAGATCATCTGCCGACTACCGAGTCTCACTGAGTCACGCCGACCCGCTGGGTATCGTTGGATGGGTCGACGACCTCGGGCGACGGAGCTGGGCTCTTGTCCAAATCGTTGGCAGTGTGGGCGTTGTTGGTGGATTGGCGCTGTGGCTGGCTCGGACGTGGGGCCTACCGACTCGTAGCCTGTCAGATCTACAATTGGAATACTGGTACGGTACTCTTGAGCGGTAATTTACTTGGCCGACGCGTTATTTGCATGTTTAAGGACGGGGCGGAGCCGAGTAGTCATGAATGGGCACGATGAGCTTTGATTGGATGGGTTTTTATTTTGTCCATTTGACACGCTTTGCGGAGGCCAGGACCGGAAAAGTCCGCTTTGGTATGCTGGCGCTTGAGGTTAGTGGTGCGGCGCTTATTCCCTTTATCTATTCCCCATCAGGTAGCGTTTGTCTCTTATTTTTTTTCTTTTACCTTTCCCTTTGCCCTCTTGGAATATCGTTTGTGTTGCTTCTTTTTGGTGAGAGGGGCTAGACGGCTCGATTGCTGGAATAAACTTGAAGTAAATACACGATTCGAGATAATCAAGAAGTTTCTGATATTGCCTTGCCATCCCAGAACATCATCTTCCTCCGGTAGAAAGGAATTGAAATAATTACAACCAGCAGCCCGCGATTCTACGAGTCTATGCTAGATCTAGGTACCTGTTCTTCGGACCCTCAAGTCCCAAGGTTTGCCATCCAGTTTCCAAGGTTCTAGGTCCTAGATTTTTAAACTGATATATTCACATTGTTATTTTCATCCTTATACACAGGTATCACTCAACCCAACCCTTCACACTGCACTCAGTTGGAAGAAGGAACCAGCTCCTCAAACCGACGCAGGTCCATATCCTTCTCGAGGAGGGGAATGACATAAGGGTCGAAAGTCTTCCAGTAGGGGTTGTTCAGGTGGTACTGCTGCGACGACTCCTGGAGGTACCGCTCGACGATAGTGAAGTCTTGAGGGTCGTGGACGGACTGCATCACGAACCAGGAGAGTGTCTCCTTGTCTTGGGAGTAGACGGCGGAAGCCTCGAGGAGCTTGGCGTGCAGCTTGGAGATGGACTCTTGGTCGGACTTGGCGCGCATGTCTGGAAATAAGCGTGTTAGCAATGACGTCTTTGCGAAAAGCGAAAAAAAAAATTCAAGGGCAATTAAGGTTTGGATGCGAGAACGAAGTTGATACGTACGGACGACGATTGTGTAGACCATGGTGGGCGGTGATGTTGATGTTATAGACTGGATAATTGAAGGAAGAATGGGATAAGGTAGGATCGGGACGAAATTCAACCTCGCGAGGCGGGGCAATCGCGGGGCAGGGCCTTTATACGTATGATTTCATTTCTCCTCCCGATATTTGCATCGGTGTGAAGCCGGTGTGGAGCAAATACGAAAACCCCGAGGCCGCTCCCGAGGTGATCCCGAGTGCTTGAGTGGGCGGATTTTGATGATTCTGGGGCTGTGTATTGCGCTAGGGAATTAGTTACATTTTGGTAGTACGTGTAAGTAGATCTAATTTTCTTTCCCCATACCGCTATTTACCCCCACTGCGTCTTTGGTAGTGTATGGGGGTATTGTCCTATGATGGTGGTTGGGCGGCTAAGTTTACTCCTTGCATCTGCCATGTATTCAAGATACGGCGTGAGGTGTAGAATCATAATAAGTACAATAGCGGTCTGATACTATTTAAATGTTTATGAACTGGTGGTATTCAGAGCTAGTGATGCTATGTAGGCCTGGGATCATGCTAGCTAATACATACCTAGGTGGCTAGCTGGTGGAGGGAAGGGGTTTGTCAAACCCTGCACAGACTAACGCTGGCAGTTATTTTGAAAGATAATGACTCAAAACCTGGGCAAGAAAAGAAATTCGATCCAAACCGACGAAAAAATTCCAAAGAAAAGCAGCGAAGTTATAAATACTATCTGGAAGTCCATAGACATCTAGCGGACATCCGATTCTTCTTTGTACCGGACACGAGAGCTCCAATCTAGGCCTTTTTGACCCAGCCAACTTTATAGAAGGCGTTGTAGTTACTATCCTGGCGAGAATTGGCCCAGTCGGCTTTCCCTTTCTTGGCACACTTCTTTGAGACTTTGTGCCAGTCGGCACCCTGGCATTTATTCCCATCAGCAGAACAAGATTCCAAGCAGGCACGCAATGTTTGCGTATCAGGTGCATCGTAAACAGGGCCATTCATTCCTATAGAATGAAAAATTAGTTGAAGAGAAATAAAGGTACATGAGTAGGAGAAGCGTACCCCGGTCACAGGCCATGCGATATCCTACCCAGTTACCTGTCGCTGGGTTTTGAGTAAATCGAATCTCGCCATTGCCTTCACTTGCTTTGCCTGAATTCATTATTAGACTCGAAGAGAATGGGACTGGAATATGCAGTTCGCAACCTACAGATTGAATCCTTGAACGCATTCTGGAGTGGGCCTCTTTTACCCTTGTCGCAATCGTCCAAGCCTGCTTTGCAAGTCGATAGCTCCCCCGTAAGCTCGTCCTCATGGGTTGGGGGATCCGGGTATTCCTCGTCCCCTTGGAGTCTCTTCATATAGTACATAGTCGAGTCTGCGCCCATTTTGCCGATATCACTGCCCACAATGCATGTCTTTTGAGGAGGAGAGTAACTGCAGTAGGGGCTGTTGGCGGACTTGCAGATCTGAGCGCATGCCTCGAGATTTGCAATATTCTCATGGCGCTTTCCTTCGCGGTAAATGCCACATTCAAACTCCACAGAGTAGCCGGGAATCACTTCTTTCTCTGATCCCACGCGGCACTTGGACTGAGCAGAGACGTGTGTGACTCCTAGAAGACCGAGATGAAGTAAGAAAAGGAGTGTGCTCTTCATGACGACTGTTGCTTTGATCTGTTGAGTAGGGTAATGGACCGCTGGTATTTGGTAATGAAAGCACTATGACCGGGAAGATATTTCATGGGTTTCTAAAACCCCAGGTGAATAACGGCCTTGTTATTTATTTCGAATCCATACATTAGTCAGTGAAGAGGGCTTGATTCCTAGTTGTTGTTTTAGTATCTAGTAGATCCTTTCCCTTTTTAGAGTTACCGTGCATTAATTGCAGTATACATTAGTAGCGTACTTTCACATTGCTTTTATGAAAGGTAAGGGACCTATCAACAAGTAGGATCTAGGTAGCACCGCAGATAGCTATCAAGAATTTGCTTTTGTTCACATAGCATAGCATGCTTAGTGTAGGGGGCGTTGTGCAGAGGAATATGCCAAATGTGATATATGAAGCGGGGGTTGTACGACTTGGATGTGTATATAAAGCTGCCCCAGGTGCTAGTAGCTTACCATGATGCGAGCAATCCAGACACATTCTTCTCATATAACCTGTCCCCTCTATGTGTGTGGTTTCTCGCTATCCGTCTAATTGAAGTAGACAGCCACATTAAGCATCGCTCCTATCACTAAGGAAACCAGTGGAATTACAACGCGAGTATGGCCTTCGATCGACAGGTAATACAATGTGCGGCTGTTACGTCTGATTCTTTATTGAAATAACTCGTGAATGTCGTGTAACTGTGTCCAACTTTGCATGTTAGGTCATGATTCTCGAAGTGAACCATAGCCAATCGGGGCAGGCTACCTTATGTAGGCTCCATGGCTGCTAATGCGAATGCACGGCGATCGTCATTTATTTCTCGAAGACTGTGTCATGTACGGAATACCCTATAGCTAATAGAAGGTCAATTCCATAAAGCTAGCTACTCTGCCCGGAGAACTGTTTAGCTTGTTCCTTTCCGTGAAGGTCAGTTCAATTAGTCAACCTATCACCATCGGAACCAGCTTATTGTCATCACAATTGACGTTACTGGTGAACAAAAATAGCGGTGGGAAATGGCGGTGTGATTGTTCGGGAAACGACTGTATAAAAGCGTGAGACTGCCTCATTCCCAAAGATTCGTTTTAAGTTTCTTCGGACAACATCATACCTATTATCTATCCCCAGATGGATACCGAAAACACCTGCTCAGCATGTAGCTGGTCGCCAACCCGTCAAGAAGCGTGCTGCTACAAAAGCCATGTGAAACTCTTCTACGGCGTCAGTAATCGAGGAGCGTGGTCTCTAGGTTCAAACCTCATCCTCAAAGAACGGTCCATCGAGCCACCCAATTTCGAATCTGCCAACTTGCGATTTCTGTCCGAGAAGACTTCAATACTGATACCCCAGACTGTTGAAGAGTGGAAAGAGGATGACGGGACATATTTCCTGCTCACAAAACGGATTCAGGGACATCCCTTAAATGAAGTTTGGTCAACGTTGTGCGGGGCAGATAAAGAGCGCATAGCAAAACAGACCGCTGAATATCTCATTCAGCTTCGCACACTTCATTCGAGTCGGATGGAAAGCTTGAACGGACAGCCTCTGTACAATGCTTTTCTATTTATCAATGATTATGGCATTGGCCATGGGCCCTTGTCATCCGGTGATGAGCTGTGGGCTGAGATGTCATTGGCACTGACAAATGTACCAGAGCAAGTTCGCTCAAAGTTACGACAGCGTATGCCAACTGCTGCCCCCCTAAACATTTTCTCACTGCGACCTTGCCAGTGTCAATATCATTGTAGATCAGGGTAATTTGGCAGGTATTTTGGACTGGGAATCTTCGGGCTATTTCCCCGTATGGTGGGAGTTTACGGCTGCGGGGATTGGTCTTGGTCAAGAGGATAAAGAATGGAAAGATCTACTGCGTAAGTACCTTCCGGATCATACCGAAGCTCGCAATTTCTGGCTGGATTTCTTTGCATTGCGCAATAATCCGAAATTAGACGAGAGAGGATTGAGGGTTTTGAATGATTTGGGATTCAGTTTTCCAAATCAGGTCTGAAAATAGAAATAGAGCTGTTATTCTAATGATCTTCTGGGAGTGAAGCCAAAGGTCCCTGATCAAGAAAATAGATCTTGGGGAGTGTCAAGTGTGTTGTTATTCAAACTATCTTCCTACTCGCTATAATGTAAGCACCTGGGCAACCTCGAAACCTGGAGCTTGAGGCTTGCATTACGCGGCTCTCCACCACAATGTATAACTCCTAGTTGGTTAACTAATCGCCGGTTGATGAACTAGTAAGCGATGTAACCTTACCTGGTTAGTTCGTATTATGGTGGGTGACCACATGAATTCTAAATATTACATGCTCTTCTTTCTTTGTTTCTCTTCGGATATTCAATGAACACATGTTTCTCATTGCAGAATGACTGTCGGCATGGTATTGACACCAGCGAACTCTTTCCAAAAGATCCCAAGCCGCTCCACTTAAAATCATTACTCTTGCTAGAAGTATCAATTTATTGCATTTAGAAATCACAGCCGACTTCTTAGTGTTCAACAAACACAGGGGCCCTGAATCAAGCTGCTTATTACATCACGCCCTCCCGCCTCGATTAAAGAATACACCAGCAGTTGGAGTCGGTCTAGTAGTTTGGAAGAGATTTATCAACTTGAACTATTTGTATGCTCCCACATGCTCAGATGCTTGATAGGTACTACATATAAACATCCAGGGTACGCCTGGCTCACTGGTAACTGTACCTGCAAGGTTGAAGCTAGGAATTGAAAATCGACCGACAGTCATACTAGTGTTATTAGAAATTAGATATACTATTTCTGATATAGTAGATAGCCTAGGCGCTGCTCTACGTAAATCCATAGGGAGTATCCACTAAAAAAGCAAATTCTCTCCTCAAATTAAGTCAATATATGACCATTAGGCCGTATATTAACGCGAAATTGCTGTCCACCAAGGCGGCGCTGAAGAGTTAAGCGTAGCACCTGAAAAACGCTCTGCAATTTGATATATAGATTCGGTAGAGCTATTTTGAATATCTTTGATAGCCAATAAAATCCTGCCTTCTTGTTCAATCGATTTTCGCGAGCATTGAGCGCGATTTAGAGGCATGGTGGGTGTTTGAAGACTGCAAGTGGTGATGATACGCGTCGTAGCGCATTAGTGGCCCCCACACGGCCGGGCGGGCATTACGTTAAGGGTCGAGGGACATGAAACTAACGATGAACCGTCTTTAAAGGGACCGTCGCCTACCGCGAGCCCTCTTTCCTCGTGGGTTTTCAATGATCCTACCTTACCCTTCAATGATAGGACCATCATGACAAGCCCCACACCCGCGCCGCTTACCACCACCTTCTCGCCGCCGGCCGCATGTACCACCGACACTTGGTACATTGAGTACCTGTCTGGCACTAATTACTACGACACCGCAATTGATGCCAGCGACTCTGGTTGGTGGTTAAGTCAGGGGCCCACAGACTGGAGCAGCTGCTTTCCCTCGGGATATGCGACCAACACCAACTCTTACTTCTCGCCGGGCGTGTGTCCATCAGGCTATTGGATAGCCAGCCAATCGGTTGATTCTATCAACGGCAATGTCGAGACTCGGGCAACCTGCTGTCCAAAGTAAGCTCAATCTGTGTATATCTTCTGACTGTTTATTGACCATGATTTGTGTGACTAGAGGCTATAGCGCCCAAACCGAAAATGGCATAGTTTGGTACTCAGCGAACCGGTGCACCTCCTATAATAGCGACTCTAGCCACCTATGGACATTCACAAAAGCCGGTACAACATCTAGCATGAGGACCGCTGACGGCATTAATGCTAAGGCCATCTTCATTCGCTGGCAACCATCCGATCTTGCGACGCAAACCACCACCACCAGCACAGGAGTCAGCTCGACGGTATCGCCCACGGCCACATCTCAGGGTAACACACCGACAGATGGACAATCTTCGAAGGCATGGATTGCTGGTCCTGTCATTGGAGCCGTGATTGCGGTTACCTTGATTGCGCTCGCCGCGATCTGGTACAATCGACGACGCAAGTATCAACCGGGAAATTATGGACAAGGCTCTCAGCCTGGAATTTGGCATGATAAGCCAGAACTACCGACCGACGGTGCCCAAGTGTTCGAGGCCCCTTCCGATACTGTCCACTCTTCCAAAAAGCCTGTGGGGGAGCTTTCTGCGACAAATACTGTCTCTGAATTGCCATAATTAGATTCTATTGATAAGATGTTGCGACGACAAAGCTCTTCTTAATCCTTCCACGAAATGGGCTTCCTCGATCGAAGGAGGGTTTAAATCAAGCTATCAATAGAATGAACCCTCCAATTTGAAAATCAACAGGAGATCAGACCAATAAAGCAAAGAACGGCTCAACATCTTTCTTCACTCTGAATGCATTACTGCCCACCTTCTCTGAATCCCCTTTCTGCTCACTAATGAGCTCCTACTAGGTGGACAAAATCATCTAAGTTCCACGCTCTGGGAGCTCCTGGTACTAGGTATCAACAGAAACCACATACTACTAGTACATACTACTACTAGTAGGTAGATATATAGGTTACTGACAGTCTCAGCCAAATCACCCTATATACTAGTAAGTAGTACTAGCAGTACTACTTATTTAATGGTGGCTTTAATGCAAATTCGATCTGCACGTTTTAGGGCATGCTGCTACTAGTACTGGTAGTATTCAAATCCTACTTATAATCGGAGATACTATTAATAGGAGATCTTAGCTTTCTACGACTGATACTAGTAATGAAAGTAACCACTCCTAAAATGGTAATTACAAATGGTGCACAGATCGCAATTGCAATCTCAGAGCCAAATGAGATACCAGCACCAGGTGCAGCTTTATCATCTGCAGAAACAGCATTGGCCGTCTTGGTTGCTAGGCTTGATCCCGACGAGTTCCATACAGAGTCACTATCACTGTCACTGTCACTGTCAGAACTGAACCCCAGTGCGGCCGTGACAAGCATAATGAGCGCAGCAGTGGCCTTAACACTGCTACAAGTCGCTGTACCTTTACCGCAGGTACCGCCATACACCGGGGCTGTTGTCAGAGTTGAGGTAGACATGATCCAGGACATGAGATTGCCCGTCAGAGAGTAATAGCTAGATTGATGGTCAGTATAATATTCCTCGGTACATGGAGTTGACAAAAGGACTTGCGTAGGACAGCAAGCATATCCTGTCTCTCCCAGAGTCATTAAACTCTACATGGATGCAACGCTAGTTTGGAGTAGATACGAATGTACCGTTGGTGTCACAGGTCACCTCAGCTATGTTGGTCCACCCCTGAGGACATTCGTGAGCGGGAGAATACTAGACTACTTGGGTCTCATGGGTGAGGGTAGTGGCAATGTGCCCTGTCTGGTCTACACGACTACATCCTCGAATTTTTGGAGCAGTGGGAAAGGATACGATCTAGCACCCTTATCCATGGATATTACAGTAATATGCAAGAATGCCATAGAGAACTAGCCAAATTATTTTGGATAGAAAGGAAAGCTACTTTTAAAAATCTACAAGGACGTTCTCGACAAAGTATGAATGGAGCAGACCCAAACACAACAACGCCTGAATCGAAGAGGAGGAGAAAGGAAGCAGGAAAATTGAAGAAACTCAAATCAATGGATTTGGATAAGGAAAAAGAAAAAAATTCACATTTCAAAACAAAGGTAAAAAGCATCAAGGGTCGTGATCCCGTTCGTTTCCCATTTCATTTCCCGTAAGACAAGGTAGCAAAGACATGGAAAGATAATCAAATTAAGAAAGGCATTTTGCTTCATTTCAGCGAATGCATTTAGTCAACCTCCTCCATGGCGGACTCGCCAGTGGCCTCAGCGGCGGGAGCCTCCTCGGAAGCCTTCTCCTCAACGGTCTCGGCGTCCTCGTCGATGTTCAGGCCCAGGGAGACGAGCTTGTGGATGCGCTCAGCGAAGGAGGCAGGCTCCTCGATGGTGAATCCAGAGACGAGCAGAGAGGTCTCGAACAGAAGCTGGGTGATGGACTTGACGGTGCGGTCGTTCTCGCCGTCAGCCTCGACCTTGTTCTTCAGCTCCTTGATGATGGAGGACTTGGGGCTGATCTCGAAGGTCTTCTTGGAAGACATGTAGGAGGACATGGAGGTGTCACGGAGGGCCTGGGCCTTCATGATGCGCTCCATGTTGGCGGACCAGCCGAATTGGCCAGTGCGGATGGCGCAGGGGGCGCCCATCAGCTTGTGGCTGACGACGACCTTCTCGACCTTCTCGCCGAGAACGTTCTTCAGGGCCTTGGCCAGCTCCTCGAACTCCTTCTCCTCCTTCTCGCGCTCGGCCTTCTCCTCGTCGGTCTCCTCAAGCTCGAAGTCCTTGGTGATGTCGACGAGCTTCTTGCCGTCGAACTCCTTCAGCTGGGTGAAGGCGTACTCATCGATGGGGTCGACGAGGTACAGGACCTCGAAGTTCTTTTGCTTCAGGGTGTCCAGGAAGGGAGACTGGGAGACGGCCTTGATGGACTCGCCGGTGATGTAGTACATGTTCTTCTGGTGCTCGGGCATGCGGGTGACGTAGTCGGCGAGGGAGGTCTGCTCGTCGCCGGTCTTGGTGGACTGGTAACGGAGGAGCTTGGCCAGAGTGGGGCGGTTCTGGGCGTCCTCGTGGATACCGAGCTTGATGTTCTTGCTGAAGGCGGAGTAGAACTTGTCGAACTGCTCGCGGTCCTCGGCGATCTCAGTGAAGAGCTCGAGGGTCTTCTTGACGATGTTCTTCTTGATGACCTTCATGATCTTGTTCTGCTGGAGGGTCTCACGGGACAGGTTGAGGGGCAGGTCCTCGGAGTCGACGACACCCTTGACGAAGGACAGCCACTCGGGAATGAGGTCGGTAGCATCGTCGGTGATGAAGACACGGCGAACGTACAGCTTGATGTTGTTCTTGGTCTTCTTGGTCTCGAACAGGTCGAAGGGAGCGCGCTTGGGGACGAAGAGGATGGCGCGGAACTCGAGCTGACCCTCGACGGAGAAGTGCTTGACACCGAGGTGGTCCTCCCAGTCGTTGGAGAGGGACTTGTAGAAGGAGGCGTACTCCTCAGTGGTGATGTCGGCGGGGTTGCGAGTCCAGATGGGCTTGGTCTTGTTCAGCTCCTCCTCCTCGATCTTGGACTCCTTGATGGTCTTGGTCTTCTTCTTCTCCTCCTTGTTCTCCTCCTCATCATCAACCTCCTCGACCTTGGGCTTCTTCTCGTCACCCTCCTCGGTCTCCTCCTTGGTCTCCTCAGCGTCCTCGTCGGGGACCTCAGTCTCGGTCTCCTTCAGGACGTGCAGGTAGATGGGGTAGGAGATGAACTCGGAGTGCTTGCGAACAACCTCCTTGATGCGGGACTCCTGGAGGTAGTCCATCTGCTCATCCTTCAGGTGAAGGATGATCTTGGAACCGCGGCCGAGCTGCTCGCCCTCGGTGTCCTGGTTCAGGGTGAAAGTACCACCAGCGGCGGACTCCCAGATGTACTGCTCGTCATCGTTGTGCTTGGAGACGAAGGTAACCTTGTCGGCAACCAGGTAGGCGGAGTAGAAACCGACACCGAACTGACCGATCATGGAGATGTCAGCACCGGCGGAGAGAGCCTCCATGAACTGCTTGGTACCGGAGCGGGCAATCGTTCCCAGGTTGTTGATCAGGTCCTAGAAAGTTTGTATTAGGATCGAGTATGACTCATCATGGGGATGGTGTGCGAGTGTGAGAGAGGGCATAACTTACAGCCTTGGTCATACCGATACCGGTATCACGGATGGTCAGGGTCTTGTTCTCGAGATCGGGGATGATGTCGATGCGGAGATCCTTGTTGGAGTCGAGCTTGGAGGGGTCCGAGAGGGACTCATAGCGAATCTTGTCCAGAGCATCGGAGGCGTTGGAGATCAGCTCACGAAGGAAAATTTCCTTGTTGGAGTAGACGGTGTTAATGATCAGCGAGAGCAGCTGAGAGATCTCAGCCTGGAACTCGAAAGTCTCGGGCATGATGGCGGTGAAATTCTGGATATGCTGTTAGAATGACAATTGAGTGGTAATGATGGAGTGAAGTCAATGCCTCTCTCTTTTCTCTTCAGTTTCTTGCCCTCTGACAGTAAAAGTGGGGAAGAGGGGGTCAAGGAAGAGATCGATGAGAGGTGGCTGGCAGAGAGATGGAGGTGGGAATGGAAGATGGAAAATGGGGGTGTAGGTGAACGTACAAGAAAATGCTAAAGAGAGAAGAAATGAACTGCTGACCGGAAGCAGATCCAAATTTGAGGGGGGGATGAAGAGGATAAAAGAGCGGGCAGGCTTTTGTGTTTCCAAAAATTCTCTGGTGGGTTTCCACGGCGATCCAGCAACTTCCACCGTCGGTCAGGCAACTTTGTGCTCGCCCCCAGCCAACTTTCTAGAGGATTCTTTCTTTCTGGGGGGGGCTCTTTTTGCTTTTTCCTCTGTTTCTGTCAAGGTCCACTTTTTTTTAGACTCTATTTTTGATTCCTTTTTGCAGATACTCCGTACTTTGAGAGCTTTCACTCTTCCTGGGGAGAGCTGTGTTGGTGCCTGAGGCACCTATACATCTAGAACCTTCGGGCTGTTCGATCCTTTCTAATTACCCTTCAATCATATTCACGACTAGGCTAGGGAACACAAACACAGCAGATGGCTTTGGCTAAGGCAGGGGAATCCTGTACGACCTAAGTCAAATTGAATTGAATTGCACAAAGTACCAGGAAGAAACTAATCTGGAACATTCCTGGAATCTGCATCCCCATCTTCTGAGGTCCACTGAGGTACTCCCCACACCGCCTCCTTATCAATTGAGGAGATTGACCAGTCCAAAAACAAAGAAAAAAGAAAAAGAAATACAGAGAAACGAAGAGAAACGAAGAGAAACGAAGAGAATAATGAAAAAAAAAGGGAAATTTGGAACCGATTGGTACGACACCTCAAAAAACCCTGGAAACTTGCTTGCTATGCTAGATAAAAAGTATGCGATATAAGGTAGCTATGCCGTGCAGAACACAGATCATGCCAGCAACAAAAAAAGTAACGTAACGTGTAGAGAGTAATAACTTTGTAAAAAAAAGAAGAAAAAAGACAATGGGAGAAAATATAAGGGGGCAAAGAAGCGTGAAGCCAGACAACACGACAGCTAAACCATAGACCAGAAGAGTAAGAAGAAAGAAAAGAAGGGAAAGAAGCAAGAGATCAAGGCATGATTCACGATAGAATAAAACACATTTGCCCAGAGAGGCAAGGGAAAGAAGAGAAAACAACTTTTTCCAAGCCAACCCGGACCCAACCGCTAATATGCACTGTGACGGAAAAGAAAGGGGCAAGTCGAGTCACGTAACATAAGACATGTCATTAGAAACAAGGGACGAAACAGAGAGGAAAAGAGATCAAAATCGGATTAATACAGTGCCTGAAAAGTTCATCCGCGTGTGATAAAACGTCAAGAAGTGAGGCAAGGAGCTTAAGCAGTCTGAGCCTGGCTACGGCCCTTGGCGGCGACATTGCCGTTGGCTCCTCCACGACCACGGGGGGCAAAGCCCCCACGGCCCTCGCGCTGGAAACCTCCACGGCCCTGGTTGCCGGTACGGTCACCACGGCCACGACCGGCAGAACCACGGTTGGCACCGTTGCTGCCATAGGCATTGCCGCGAGGACGGCGCTCCTCGAGGAGGATCTGCTCGCTGCCGACCTGGTGGGGGTTTGCGGCAACGGCAGCGGCGTAGCCGGAGGGCTCGGCGAATTCAACGAAAGCGCAGTTCTAAAGGGATATGTTAGTTACCGGAGACGTTAAACAAAAAAGCAAGATTGGACGAATATGCGTACCTTCTGGCGGCTGACGTCGAAGTAGTTCAGCTTTCCAAAGCGAGACAGGGTCTGCTTAAGAGCATTGGCGTCGACCTTATCGGTGACATTCTTAATGTAACCAAGAGTGGTTTGCTGCTCGCCAGCACGGGACTGGGTCTTCTTGTGGTCAGAGCCGGCAGTTTGCCAGCCAGAGCCATCAGTGGGGGCAGCCTCCTGGGAACGGGGCTCAGCGGGAGCAGCCGCAGCCGCAGAGGCGGGCTGAGGGGGCACTGGCCGCAGGGGTAGCAGCCTTAGGAGCGGCAGCAGCCGGAGTAGCAGCAGCCGGAGCAGCAGCAGTGGTGGGGGCGGCGGCGGCAGCGGCGGCGGCAGCGGCGCTAACCTTGGAGGCAATGGAGGCCCACGACTTGGGAACAGCGGGGGTGGCAGCAACGGGCTCCTTCTTCTCGACAGGAGCCTCCTTCTCAGCCACAGGAGCGGGAGTGGGCTCAGGAGTCAATGGCTCCTCCTCCACTGCCTCCTCAACGGCAGGAACAGAAACCTCCTCGGGGGCGGTACCGTTGGTCTCGGGGACAACCTCGACGGGCTTTTCGGCCTCGCCATTGGTCTCCTCCTCAAGCTTCTCATCAACCTTGTTGGCCAGGGCGTCATCGGTCACCTGAGCCTCCTCAACGACAGGGGCGGGCTCAGTAACCTTGGGAGCCTCAGCAACAGGAGTGGTCTCGGCATCCTCCACAATCTCATCTTCCTCCTCGACGAGATAGCGGAAGATATCATTAAGAACGTAGTAGCCGTTGGGCTGCTGAGCCAGGACGAAAGTCTGGATGAACTTGCGAGAGGGCTCAGACTTGTTGGAGATCTCACCGATGACGGTGACCAGGATGTTGTCAAAGGAAGCCTGGGAGTCAACGTTCAGGACGCGGACCTTGCACTCCTGGAAGTCGAGCTGCTTAATTTTGTCGTTGATAGCCTAGAACGGACGAAACAATTAGTCCTGTATACTAAGTGGCGAAGGGTCCGGCGCAATGAAACTCACCTTAGTACCAATGGCAACGGGGACAGACTCAGCCTCGGTACCGAAGACCAACTGGGATCGGCGAGAGTAGAACAAGTGCAGCTTGTCCGGGTTGCGGCTCATAGTGGTGTAGTACTGCTCGACGAAGAACCAGCCGACCTCATCCTTGGGGATGTCGCTCTTGTGTTCGGTTGGGGTGTTGGTGGTAGGGGTGGAGGACTGGGCCGGCTGGAAGTTGGCCGCAGTGTTCATAGTAGCGTGGGTGTTGTTGAACGAGTCGGGGTAGGCGTGCTGCGCAGGGTAGCTGCCGTTGAGAGGAGCCTGGGTCATATCGGCCATGATGATAGAGGGGTTTTGGCGCTTGAGTGGTGGTGGGAAACGGGATCGAAATAAAGTGACCGAGAGTGTTGGAATTAATCGACACCCGACGCTAGAGGAAAAGAAAAGAACTCTCTAAGAGATGGGTCTGTGAAATATCTAACAAGGCTTGATATTTTTTTTCGCTTGGTTTCAACTGGGGAAATATGGTTAGTCTAGATGTCTCCACACACAGAGCAGATGGGTGGCCAGAACTCACAATGCGAATAGAACCAAGCACTAATGCAAGTAATTGATGGGAGCAAAAGGAATGGAAGAAGGCGAATGGCGAGTGAAAAGCACAGATGACTCTCTGAAGGACGCAGAGACGATTCGCAAAGTATAGGTGAGGTGGGAAGTCACTTGGAAAGGCTCTCTTGTGTGGATGAAGTCACGGCGGAAGGTGAGGGGTTTTTGATGGTCGAGAGGATGGAGATGCTGATGAGAAGAGGAAGAAGGGGGGCGAGCTGGCGGAGTGTCAAACAGCGATCAGAAAAGGAAACGAAGCTGCTGTGGAGGAATTCACTTTGGAGAAAAAGCAGCTTCGTCAACTGCGACTCTCCGTGCGGGTTTCGCGTGGGCTTGGCATTATTTCACCGCCCGGCAGAATTGAGGAGCCTTCGAGAAGCTGACTGAGCAGACTATAGTGTGGTATATAGTGTAGCATACACTATATACTAGATAGATAGGCTGAATTTAGATAAAATCAGATACAAAAGTATGAGACAGTGGGACTGATGAAGTCAAAAGTAGATATATTGGAGAAAAAGTGGAGAGAAAAGATCCTAGTGTACTCCGTACTCCCAACTGTATGCTTATCTTCGCCGCCATTTATCTGGGCAAGGACTACCGCAGTTACAAACAGACTAGTACCACCTCATTGAAAAAGAGAAGTTTCTAATATTTCCTGCCTTAAATCACAAATTACATTAGGCTAGGAAAATAAGAGTCATTTTTAGTAGAGGACTTGCAGCAGAGGGAGGAAAAAAGGTTCATGCGTAGTTGTAAAATTCATCAGAGAAACGCCCTAAAAGAAAAGAAATAATGATAACCTCGAAATAAAGGGGGGGTATGATGATGGGACATGATGAGCCTGAAAGAAATGTGACATAATAAGAAAAAGAAAAAACGATCGTATCATAGAACCTCGTCAAAGAGGCCCCGCTGGAAATGATCAAAAGGTAGGCGAAAGAAGAGGGGGGTTGTATAAAAGTTGAAATAAGACAAAGGACGTAAAATGGGTCCCACACAATGGAAACATGGGGTTGCCAACTCCTGAAGGAGACAAATCAAGAGGAAGTCTTCTCGCTCAAAGACGGCTTGCGCATCACGGCATCTTGGCTGGTCATTCGTCGACCGAGCGCACGCTCGACCTTGGCTCCGAGAGCGAGTTTGTTGAGGTTATCCGACTTTTCGGTTGTTGGAACGAATCTTTGCGCCTGGAGAGGCTTGTTTTCAAGGCGCTCCAGACCGTCGCCGAGGTGGGTGATGTCACGGATTCTGGGGTCGCCAGATGGCAGGCTAGCGGTGGTGCGATCGGAAGTGGCTAGCGAAGGGCTGCCGCTGATGGTGGAGAAGCGCTTGGAGTTGCGGTTCTAAGAACAGGCGGGGTTAGCATATATGAATTTGAACTCAATGTGGTGCTGCGTGCGTCGGGGGATCGAAAATCGGCATCGGCATCGGGACTGGAGAGGGGGTGGGAATAGACGGTGGGACGATGGGCGGTTTTGGGTCGCATGGAGGGGCAAAAGGGGGTGAAGTAGATGGCAATCGACGTACCGAATTGGACATGATGGGCCGCTCAGAGTCGAGAGAGGGTTGGCGGGCCATTTCTACCTCTAGCGACGTGAGGTTGTGGTGGTGGCGGGATATTTGGGGAGGTTCAAGCAAATGGGACTGTGAACGAGGGGAAGATTAGCACGGGTTGGTCCTCGGTTCAATAATGATCGGTCCACTAAAATGAAGAATTTTGCATGGAAACGGGGGGTGAACTCACTGGGTATGATGGTAGATATTTGAGGTTGGAAAGTGAAGAATTTCAGGCTGTTGAAGAAAGAGAAAGGACCGAAGGGCGGGACTGAGACCGGTTTGGTCAAGAGGCTGTTTAGTATTTTGATGAGACGGCGACTCAGGAGGCCGAAACGGCCAAAGTGGGTCAAGCTGGCGGTGGGGGAGAAGGGAAAGGAGGTCGGAGGGATCTCGCAGCGATCTTACAAGAGTCGGTCAGGGGTGGGCTGCAGGTGGATTCGGGTGAGTAGTGATGGGATACTCTAAAGTAGACGGAGTCAAGCAAGGGATACACAGATACAGAGTACGGAGTATAGAGTACGGGGTATGAGTATACGAGTATACAAGTAGGGTATACACAAGAATGGATAAAGATTATAGAGGATGGGATATTAATTTGTGGAACTTTGCCACGTGCGGATCCTCCAGGATCATCATGAGCGTTCCAGGGTTAGTTCAGGGCTTAGACAAGGATATTCCATACTTATCGATGTACGGAGTACATACATTATAGGTACTAGTGAGATTACCACTCGGGTTGGCGGAGAATTCTCAATTACCTGCAGAGTCTTGGCATTGCCCTTTGACATCACCTCCTTCACACTCCTTGTAGCCCAACATCCAACACCCACAAGACTGAGTATTAAGTACTCAATACTCACTCAATACTCAATACTTAGGGATTCCAGAACTTCAGGACTCGCGAATATTTAACATGCCCAAACCAAAGAGCCTGCTGAAGGATTTTAAACCCAAGAAAAAGGCCGCAAAACAGGTATGTGCGCTAGTGATTTTTGATTTTTGATTCTTTCAAGACAGTCCCATATCACGACTATCATTTGTTCTTGTCCTTGTCCCATCCAGAAAGAAGAGGATATAAACCCCCTCCCTCTATACCAGCCCATCCATCCATAGGAGCTACGCTACCAAAGCTGATCAAATCAATCCAGGCAGCCCCAGTCACAGCCGATGACTTTCTCGCCGGTAAGTGATCGTCCTGGACTGAGCCGAAATTTTACTTTGTACATTTGAAGCTTGGGCCAATAGCTAACTCCAATCAAATCCAGCCGGTGTGGAGCTAGAAGAAGCGGGCGAGAAATGGCGCGCAGGGGATGCGGCCAAGTCCATGCGTTTCTTCATGCGCGCAATTGCCAATTACGATGATGGGCTGGTGAGGCATCCCAATGCTTTTGATTTGGCTTATAACAAGTACGTGGTGATGGCATTCTTGAATGATTTGATTACTTCAAGATTGAAATTTATGCTTTTTTTCTTTCTTTCTTTCTTTCTTTCTCCTTTCCAGGACTCAAGAACTAACTAACTATTTCCCAGAGCACGAGTGCAATATGCTATCACTCAACATCCTAAATTAGCCGCCCAGCTCCCGGCTCCACAGGCCGAGATCTTGCAAGTTGCGCTGCAATCGCACCGAGACGCCTTGGTACTGGACCAGGATAATGCCGATGTCCTGTTCAATAGCGGTCAGGTTCTGACTAGTCTGGCGGAGGCGATCTCAGATGCCAAACATCCTGCCGAGGAGCAATTGATGCAGGCTAGCACGTATCTTCAAGAAGCGATCGAGTTGTTCCAGCGATGCTTGGTACTGCAGGAGATGAAATACACGGAGATGCAAGAGGAGATCGAGCAGATGCAATCTTCCACAGACGACCAGGCCCAGGAGCAACAGCAAGCTCCACCGCCTCCGGCCGAAGCTGAAGCCGAAGCTGAAGCCGAAGCCGAAGCCGAAGATCCCCAGGAACATTGGGCCGCCATCGTCGAACCCGTCACTAAGAACACGCTAGTTGACACGGCCGTCGCGCAGCTAGACACATTAACCGCACTGTGCAATCTCCTCACTTCCAACCCCGGTGCCGGCGGCGTGGGCTGGGTGCAAGAGTATTCTTCAGAGCTGATCCAAACCCGCCTGCCCGCCTACATGGAAGGCTCAGACAGACAATACGAGGCAGCACTTGCACGTGCGAAGCTCGTCTGCGCGATCCACGAGGTCCTGTACCGGGGCGGCCACACCGATGTACAAACCTACCAGCAGGAAGTTGGACAAGCTTTCGGGGCCGAATTGGACGTATCGGCCGATCCAGAGGGCCTATGCCATAAAGCGGACGCCCTGGTCTCCCTAAACGCGGCCTTTGCAGAAGTACCCCCGCACGAGGATCCTGAAACACTGGCGCTTTCCATCTCCACCCGGTGGACGTCGCTCTCGACGGCGCTGGATGCCTTGACGGCCGCGACGAAGCTGCCGGATGCAGAGAATTTGCCTAAGATCCACATCGCGCGCGGGGATGCGGAGATGCAGCGGTGGCGATTGGGTAGGGAGCCTTGGAACCATGCTATGGCGAAACAGAATGCCGCTATGCTCCTGCGCAACGCACAGACGTATTACCGCGGCGCGGCGGCGTTGGCTCGGCGGGATGGGGTGGCGGTGGAAGAACGTGATGGGTCGTGTAAGGAGGCCATTGCTGCTGCGGTGGAGGGTCAAAATACCAAGCTGCAGGAGCTCAAGACCAGGTCCTTTGAGCAGGTGATTGCTGTCGCGACGGAGATGGTGGAAGACGGGATGATCGAAGCCACAGAGATGAGCGCCCTGATCTCATAACTCGAGTATACAGACCTCCCAAAACGAAGACCTTATGAATTCATTAGAGACCTGGATGCGCCTTGACTTCCTCGTCCATTTGTACCGCTTCTTCACGGATCCGATTCTCCAGACTGTACTGCATAGACGCGGACGCGGCGCCCTCAACATCCGCAACAACAGACTCAATATGAGCAAGAAGCCTCTCGATCTCGAGGCGTTGCGCCTGGACCCTCTGCGCCAGCTCCGCGTTCTCCGCATGCGTAGCTTCAAGCTTGGAGTCCAGAGTTGACTGCATTTGCTGGAGATAGGGCGTCAGATGCGCTTTGTAGAGCTCATCAGCGCCAAGCGTGTGAGGACTAGAATGGAAACAACTTGGTCAGTACACAAACAAACCCAGAAAGGCATCCCTTCTTCAAAGGGAGGATAGAACTGGATCCGAAACGTACGCATCGCCCTCCTGGTCATCCCCACCACTCCCATCCTTCCTCTCCCTAGCCTCCGAAACCAACCGATCAAGTTCATTCAAGTGCGCAACAGCCTCCCTCTCCTCAACAATCTCCTCAAACTCCGCCTTCGCGCTCTCCTCCAACTTCGCATTCAACTGCCTCCAAACACTCTCCAAACTTGCCGGGACATGCCGCGCTGGCGTGGGGAAACAGCTGGCAAAATTGGTAAACGAGTTCGCCTTCAGCGTGCGCGCGAGCGCTTGGTTGAATACTTGGTGTAGACGCGATGCGCGCGGGCCGAGAGGAGGGGGGCCCGTTGAAGATTGCGGGGGCGGATGGGAGTGTGAGTTTGGCGAAGGCATCGTGGCAGAGCGGAGTAGTGGTTCGCGATTTGAATATGAGTCCTTTGCTGATCTGGCAGCGTGTGGCGAATTGGGTGGGAGGTGTTGTTGTTTTCGTTAGGAATTTGGGGGTTTCGCTGGATCTTCGGACTTGGGCGTACATTGTCTGCGCTGGGACGCGACTGTCACGTGATGGTTGTCATACGTAGATCTATGCGACAGATAGATATGTAGGAAAGAGTTTGTTTTCCGTAGAATTGTTCTTTTTCGTTCTGTTGATGTTTATGGTTTAATTCTGGGGATTTCAAGTTGGGACGGCGAGCTTTGTTGTTATTGTTGTGGGGAATCTGTTCTTGACTTCTACTGTACCAGTCCCACCCAGGATAGCCTTCTATATCGGAAATACAGAGATAAACACAAGATACGGGAGAATATAATGTTTTGTAAATACGTGTGATAATAGAAGCCGCTTGTCATAGATTATAAGACAGATACTAGAGCCTATTACTAGAAGCCTTGACTCCCTACAGATTGGCGGGTGCGGATATCCATATCTATAGAGTCAATATTTCAGATATCTACGAATGATTTAACTACCTAGTCAGGAAGACACAAATTTCACATCAGGATACGCTACAGAAGGGCCGCTCAGCAATTCCGACTTGTGCCCATAAACAAAGTACTGCAGTGTGGCAATAGTGTATGAAGTAATCACATCCTTAGCCCGTAACCCACCTATCGTCCCTGTACGACTAGCTTGAATAATTTGTCGAACTTCATCCGAAACACTTAGAGCATCAACAAGCACTGGAAAGTCAGAAAAAGTATAGTGTTCAGACTGTGCGAGTTGTAGCTCAAGTTTCCAACCTCGTAAATGTGACGAAAATCTTGCCCAACTGGGATCTGTTGCTTGGGTATGGTTTGCGTTACCAAAAAGCAGGAACGGACTCGACAGTCCTTTGTCCACGACAGAGCCCCATAATTCTCCATCTAGATTGATACCTCCGACAAACCGATTATCAACTAGTATTGTCTGCGCTGCTGTTGCTCCGCCGAGGGAATGACCAAGGATAGTTACTCGATCAAGAGAGAGTAGATGCGGATTCCCCTGTGACAGAGGGAACAGGTTTCTGATCACTTTCTCGTCGTGCATCTGATCAAGTAAAAATGACATATCCTTGACACGAACGTCCAGTGCTGAAACATATTCTGTTGTGGTACTGATATTTGTGAGAATTCCGAGAACAGTGTGGCCATCGAGATATTCTACGATGTCGGCATCATACGGATGGTCGACGGAGACGACAGCAAATCCGTTGCTGGCAATTTCTTGAAGCAGCAATGTGTACATCAATCTTGAGGTTGTCACTGCTGGTGAGAAAAGCACCATTGGGTAATCTCCGTGAAGTCTGAAAGGCCGTGGCTGCTGTTGTGTCTGGGTCTGGATACGAAGGGACTCAAACGTTCCTGGAGGTAGTCCAAAAGACTGGAAACTCTCATCCTCAAACTTGGCGGTTGCATTCGGGACGTAAGATGAAGAGGGTACACTTCCGCAATTGACGGGTGTAAAGGTGGTGACCATGATAGAGCGGTTACCTCCTTTCGGGTCATAGGGATTGGTTCGAGACATGTCAACTAGTTCACTTGCATGAAGCGTGACATCGCATGGTCCGGTGCTTGAAGGGAGAGAGACAATTGCTGTTTGCCCGAGGCTGATGAGAAGAAAAATAGTAGTAATTACAACTAAGTGTAGTAGCATGGCCCGAATCATTGTGGCGACTCTCTGACGATGAAGTTGAAAAGGCACACGTATTGCTATAAGACAGAATTATCAGCGGAGTCCACCGGCAACCCATCTTGTATCCTAGTATATATACTACTATTAGTTACCGCTTGGTATGTAGTACCCATAGAGGAGTGTAAGATCAATTTTCTCTTGATTTCACTTGAAACTAGATTGCCTATGAGGCATTTAAAGGTATTTGCGGTATTTTCCGCTATTGGCCTATGTTCTTGACCCGTGTTTTCGAAGATCCATCGATTAGGTATATATAACCTGGAGGGACCGACGATGACGACAACCTTACGCCCCGTTAATCGCGACCGGGCAACCGAGAGCCATTTTGCGACGCCATGGCTGTGCAATGTTACCTCTGAAGGATGAATGGAGCGGGATATACGGCATCGAAGGAGTACCGATACGCTGTCTCGAATTAGACGACCTCTCTCTTCCTGAATCATTCTTTTCTCAATCTCTTGCACTTAATATCTCTTCGTCAATCTCTCTATCTTCCTTACCTCCCTTTTTTCGAAACTCTCTCCCAGACGTCATGTAATATGGATTCTGCTGAGGCCTGCGGGGTCAGGCCCCCAGGGTTTAGTCATATCGTGCCGTTCATGTGTGGTTAGCTTCAGCCTTGGCTTTTTCCATCTACACATTCGTGCCATTCAGTATTCCCACTAGCATCGCCTATTCAGCTCTTCTATCAGGTCATGTGCCTGACTTATAGTGGGTAACCCCATTAGGTGCTCATTTTTCCTTTTTTCGCGATCATAGCGAATCTTTCAGCGTCGCTGGTTGTTGTCAACAACGCATGACGATTCCTCGATTTTCACCCATTTCCATCCCTTCTTGCACACAAATTCCTCTGGATATTGAGAACGCCGCTTTTTCTTTCATCCTGGTCATCGCATTGCGTCGAGAGCTATATCGAAATCGCGATATGACACTGTGGGGCTAGGGATCTGCGCCAAGACCCTGGCCTGCCCCAGGTTTGCAAGGACGCAATCTACGCCTGGTGAAAACAAGACTCCCTGTTCCATGGACGAGCACCGATGTGCGATACTAATACAATTTGGCAGAATACTGCATACATGGAGTTTATTCTTTTTTTAAACTTGTATGTGGTGTGAGATATGATAAGCTTACCGACAATCACCCATGATTCAACAAGTCCCTGCGAGTATCATTCGGTGGACGTTATTGCTCTGGTTTGTACGCAAACACGATGACGGATGACTCTTGATATACCAGAGGGACGAGCTTTCATCCGCCTATCGCGATCTTTTGCCAGCAAGCAAAATTTCATCTGGGTACACCTCTGCAAAATATGGAAAGATACCATATGCATTTCTGGCTGCGATGCGATTTTCTGCTATAAGTCGCATCTTTGCCTGCATGGTAGAGTGAGAGAGATGGGATCCTGCCTGTGCAAATGGCCATCTGAATACACTCTTCAAGCAGGCCAGAGAAGGCCAGTGATTTTATCCCCTAGCGGCGAAGAGACAAGAAGGTTTTTCAGCAGTACCTCCTTCTTCTACCGCAAGGAGGCTAGTCTAGAAATGAGTATATTATACACAAGGAGGGTGCCGCTGATGACGACAATAATCAGTGGTTTGGACATGAGATCCCGCTTTCAGAGAGTTGCGCCAAGTGAGTTGACCAGAATGGACTCTTCAACTCTTGCGTTGTGGCGATCGTCGACAAGCAGGTTCATTTCTAATGTTGCGACACATGTCCCCTCTGTCTCAGCACCCACTGCCAAAAGCAATTTCACGGAGTGTATAGAAGTGGAATGAAGTTATTATAGTATCTTACTAGAAAAATACCATACTACCTACGTACCGGATTTCCCATGCAAAGTCTTGGCTTTCCCTTTCCGTTTCGGTGCTCAGTGAGCGCCGCTTTTGCTCACTGAGTAGATCTGAGCACGTCTCTGACCGCGCTGAGCGGATCAGTGATTGTCACGTGATTGTTATGAGCAGCTCTCTGATCACTCTGATCTGCTCATGAGTCTGATCTGAATGCTCTGATTTGCTCTCTGAGCATCGCTTACGTGACATCAGAGCCAGAGATCTGACTCAAGCACCCCAATAAAACGCAACACGCTACTGCTCACAAAAAGTTTCTCGCAATTTTTAGAACGATCAAATGCCCCATCAAAAAAAGTTCTGCATCACAAATAGCTGCAAACTTGGGTAGCAATATTAGCTCCTGAGAGCAAACATTCACAGTAGTTCACCTCAATAGCCAACGGATATCTAACTGGAGACTTCATGCTCCTGGGAACAATTCGTCAAGTTTTCTTCGTATGCTGCCTCCTGCAGAGTTCAAAAGGCTAGAGAGCTAGAGAGCCAATTTTCTACAATTTCTAATAAGATCTACTTCTGTCCGAACCAATCAATGGAGAAGTAACTTGCAGCACTTCAATGGACCCCTTATGGCTGAATGCTACTGATAAACATGATCTTGTGGAAATTTTTTACTATGACCCCCTGACGCTTTGCTAATCCTAGGAGCTTGAATTTCGATTATTAACTCAACTACTGATCACGGATCCTGGGAGTGAAGAGAACAGAATAAACTCGCAATTATTTGAGGGGCCACGACAAAGCTATACTTCGGAAGCTATATTCAATGCGGGCGTTTGCTTTGGGCGTCCGCAATGATGAACACTGAATATCTTTTTTCCCCTTTGAACACAATATATAAATAGTTCAATGCCGCCCCTGCCCATGGAATAAATCGAATCCTCTTCCTACCAGTGCCGCTCACTGCATCTGTATTCACTTGGTCATTTGATCCGCAAAAAAATAAGCACGTCCTACAAGGCATTCAAACGTCCAAAAAATATCCATTTTCAAGGCGTTCGAGCAGCGTGAATCAATCAGCATGGTTCCGGCAGAGAAAGAAAGTGAGAATCTTCATAACTTCCATCATATTGGTCTGTACGAATCTTGCTAATTTTTTCTGTGAAAGTAGATTCTAGGGGTCAAACAGTATTCGATCTTGGCACTGCCATATATCCGTCTATTCGAGGAAAATTTGACGAGAATGGCGGTCCCATGGAATCCTGCGATTCCAACTCCGTACAAACCTCAGTTGCCACCTCGATGGCCAGTTCAGAAGAAACGGAGATACAGCAATGTATCTCAGCAGAGAATAACGCAATAAAACCTCAGAATATGAATCATAAGAGGGCTACTGATTGTAAACAGCCTTTGCCACGGGATAGTGGAAAGAGAAGAAAACGCTCATATCCCCTTCATCAAGATGATCAACCTGCGAGCAAGGAGGTTTTGCCAATCAGCAAAGAGCTGGTCCAAAACACGCCGATATCTTGATATGATCATGAACTATCTTGATTCGACCACGGAAGACATGCCGTCCAAGATATCACCAGAGATGAAGGCAGCAATGCGACTCAGCACTCATATGCTGGAGCAGAAATACAACGAGGAGACTAAGAGGTTTAATAAGGAACGGTCCATGTGTGAGATATGATCCCAAACACGAGAAACAAGACCTGGGTAATAAGCCTTATGGTTGAAAGGTTAATGATTTCAGTATGCCGCTCGGTGAAATTAACGAAATCAACTGAATACGGCTATGACGCCAGAAGTATACTTAACACTGTCTTAGACCCACTCTCACCCCTTAGTAGAATATTGTTTATCTGCTATTTTAATTATACTTTTTGGCAGGATCTCGTATTTTTGAGATTCCCGCCATCCTACTTTGAATCCGTCGTGTCTGTTTCATAGTGGAGCAGACTCTTCTTTCAAGGGCTTACGCTCTCTCTATGCAAAAGTCCGTTCGTACTATAGTCGACATTGCCATTGCCATTACCACGAACTGGTGCGATAGGGTGCGAGATATTAGCACGATTTGGATGTTGGTAGCACGACTCAATAGCGCCTTTCTAACTTACAAAGTGTAGAATCACCAAGGTCAAAATACATTAGGTCGCAATAGTTCCTGGGAATTCAAGAGATTAGATGGATCTATTATCGCAAAACAAGCGGTTTAAGTAACATAGCTCCCGGGAATATCACTTTAAGTACGTACTCGCATAACCATGTTTCAACTTAATCCTTCAATTTGGAATTTGAGATTATATAAAGTTTCGAAAATTCCTCTCTCGAGCACCTAATTCGCATAGTCTCTAAAAGACAGCATCAAGATGTAATCTGCTCGTCCCCCGACCCCGAAACATTTACGTCCAGTGAACGTTCATCACCGTTACACAAGGCTTTTAGGCAAAAAGGTGAGGTGGATGGCGGAGTATTAGATGACGTCCATTTTGAGATCGAGTAGAACATAAGACTGAATAACCGTGTGGTGGCAAAGGACACGGAACAAGACTTGGCTCTGTCACCTAGGTCTTATTAGAAGCAGGTGAAGGAGAAGGCCGGAAATATTCTGTGGAGAAAGAAAGCCCACTGCAAATGGTTGGCACGGCAAGGTTAATTAATGTCAAGTGTGCTGGGTCTAATTTGCTACGTGCTAGATATATACAAATTTGGCCCTGGCCAAAAACCCCCACGTATCAGTATATAGCTCTCTGTTATAGCTCAAATGTCCCATTTAGCATCAATTTCCGGGAGCTGGTTCCAACAAAAACAGGATATCGAGCCCCCAGAATAAGTTTCCACTTCTGCGCAGCCACATCCCAAATACTAAGATCACGGCGCCTAATGTTGAAAGAGACAGTCCTCGTCTCGCCGGGAGGTATATTCACCTTCTCAAAGCCTCGCAACTGAAAAAGAGGCTGATTATCGGCAGGAATTTGGATATATAGCTGTGCAACCTCTGCGGCCTCCATTTGACCATTATTTGTAATATCAGCTGTGACAGACACTACCGTTTCTCAAAGGTCGGCACTGCCACCTGGAACTACAGGCCCAATAGGGTACTCTGAGAGATCGAACAGATTACCGGACTTACGAACTATAAGATTTGAATACTTGAATGTCGTGTATGTCATGCCACACCCGAATTCAAACCGTGGGGTGATACCGTTCATGTCAAATGCTCGGTAGTCATTAAAAACACCTTCAGTTCTTCGGCACTGGATGAAATGAAAGCTCACACAGCACCAGACCTTCCCGATGGTAAAATTCACCGTGATAAAAATAGAAGAGCTTCAGGTCTTCAGGATGAATCTACCCTTATAAATCTTGCTTAGCCGTTTGTGGAGAATCTGTGCCCCGCCGAGGACAAGATCAGTGCCTTAGATATCGCGTTTTCTTCTTATACCGCCGCCGGATATACGGGAGTTATTGATATAACCATAGAAGTCTATAACTCCCTCTACACCGGATTCACGTAGAACAGTCTTTTCTTCCTTAGTAGGTGGAAGCAGACACAAAAGCCATTTCCGAGATCTATTAGATTATTTTTGTTAGAATTAGAGAGAAGATATTAGAAAAATCTTATGTAATACCTACCATCTTTTATCTTTATATTACCCTTAACCTTCTTACGGATTTAAAGGGTTGACTCTAACAGCTTGGAAAGGCTAATATCCTTACGTAGATTGAGACGGCTAAACACTTCCTCCAAAGCGGGTTGAACGTGTTCTATTAACTCTTACTATCCACGGTAAAGTAACTATCAGCTAAAAGCAAGGTATTGTTAGTTTGTCTTAAAACTATCACCCAGAGTTTGGGTAAGCTCGTTATTATAGTCTTTAAGGCTGATCATTAAATCAGTGGATAGCTTAGCCAGGGAGATAACGCTAGATAGATAGTTTCGATAGCCAAGAAGGTTAAGTTAGATATAGGTAAAGATAGTAAGTAATAAGAGAGTATAGATAAGGATAAATAACCAGGTAGTTACTAGAAGAGATAGACAAGTTAATTTTCTCTGTATCTAGATCAAAAAGCAGTTTCCAGCAAACCCATAGATACACATACATATGATTTTAGCCTTATTCCACAGTTAGGTCTTGTTCCGCTTCACACAAGGCTGTTCCTCCTACACCACGGACTCCCCCACCTGACTAGCATATATGTTAACCCTTACTCTGAAAACTAGAGAGACTCTTGCGGTCATCCTCCGGGAGACTAGAAGAGATGGAGCTCATATCTGAACCTGTTCCTTCTCCGGCACTAATACAAGCCAGCCTTTCAGCCCGCTTCTTCTGTAGCTCCTTAGTGAGCTCCTCCACAGAAAGCGCTTCAATAACATTCTCGGTAGCGGTAGGTAGTAGGGCGAGAACGGTATAAGTACAGTCGGTTTAGTTTTGCTCGAAACGTCGTCGCAAACTATTTTATTATAATAGTTAGTAACGTATAAACTTGGAGTTTGGTGTGGCTAGGGAGGGATTGCTTCGTCACAGGTTAGCGGGCGAGCTAGTGAAGCATCGGGCAAATCCCGGTGGTTGAGTTGAAATCAAAGTATAAAGAGAACTTACTTTTCTTTTACGATACGATTAATGCTCATGCGCTCTCGTGCCTCGGAGATCTTGGACAGAAGGTATTAACCGGCCAGGTAACCTGCACCTAGCACACCGGCCCCAATCGCCAGGCCCTTACGATTACGCTGAAACCAGCGCCTCGTGGAGATGACGATAAAACTAGATGGCAGGATGGCAGATGATAAAGATGCCAGAACCCGCGCATGTGCGACGGAGAAGAAGAGGGTCGCCGATCGTGGAGGCCGGGGAGAGTTGGAGCGGCCTCGGCTAGACTCGATGCGGAGAAGATTGTGATTGACCACTCAAGATTGTACCTGGCAGTGATAAACAGTTTCAACACCGCAGTCTTTTAGTGGTAAGCATGAAGAGATATAGAGATTTTGAAATAATATACATCCAATTTCGAATTTGTTATTACCAAATAATTTTACTCATCACATCGTTCCCCTCCTGGCGGTGACCCCGGATTCGGTATGGTCATGTCCCAATCAGGCAATATTGACACGCCGCTTTAGAAAGATGAACCGCGGTACAAACAAACAGCAACAACGAACTAATTAGGGCTAGTAACTCACTATACAACAGACATCTCAAATTAACAGATTTATTGAAAATATAGAAGAGGAAATATGTCTGCTAGATTGGAGAGATTTCTCGATTATTGCAAAAAGGATTGCTCCTCGTATCAGGAATCACCAATCACAATGATCACCAGCCATGCCAAGTCGCCAGTGTGACTAGCTGTTCATAGCTACATTGGAATGCAGCTGAGCAATCAGTGAGTTCTGCAATTATACATGATGAATATGGCATACAGTATCTTCAAATCGTCACTTTTCCGGGAGGAAGCCGGATATCTTGATCTCATAACTACTGATAATGTGCACCAGCATTTGCAGGGGCAACCGGTGCAGGGGGCACCTCGTGATAGAAAAAGGCGCCTCAAGTTTCCCTAAAAAGCAAAAAAATTCACGTTATCCATGCAAGGTGACTGGGGCTGAATTTTTTATCAGGTGATGTGCGGGGATTCTCGTTGAGGCTGAGGCGTATTGGGGGCCGGCGACAACAAACACCCACTTCAACCACCCACTTCAACCACTCACTTCAACCACTCACTTCAACCACCCATCGCTTTGAGAAATTCACAAGAACCCTAAAATGGCGCAGATACCAGACATTGTTCGAGATTTCAAGCTCGAAGCACATTTCCCCAAGGAGTCTACAACGGAAGTAGTCCACACTTTCCAGGAGTCAGATCCAACTTCTAGAAGACGCCTTACGTCCAGATCTGAGCACTGGAAACGAGAAAAACGAATTGGACGTGGTGGATATGGCTCTGTCTGGCTAGAGAAGTGTATCGAGGATAGGCGAACAGATGCCGCTGTCAAAACTTATGCCGTCCGAGCAGTCAAAGAAATTGAGATAAATACAGAACTTGGGCCGATCGACTATATTCGTGAATTGGAGGCGATAGCTAGGTTCTCCCATCATCGGGTTAGGCTCCACAACTTATGAAACTATCTCATTTCGGCTCTGCTAACGGAATTAGTATCAACGATATTTCGTCAGGTCGTTAGGCTGGTATGAAGGGCCGAGTCAGCTCTTCATAGCAATGGAATACGTGGAACAGGGCGACCTATTCACATATTTGAAAGTTTCAAAACAACCGCTCCCAGAGAAGGAAGTTGCGGAGATCATGTATCAAATTCTGGTAGGGTTGGACATGATGCATGAAAATAAATTCGCGCATCGGGACTTGAAACCACAGGTAAGTGTACCGGGGAGCAGTAGCAGCGAATTACATACTGATATAATATCCAGAATATCCTGGTAAAGTCTCACCCGCCGCGGGAGTGGTGGGTTAAGCTCGCGGATTTTGGTATTACTAAAAGGATTGGTGAAGCCCACGGTCAATCGACAACAATGAGGGGTACTCCTAGATATTCCGCGCCCGAGTACTGGGGCTTCGTTGAGCGAGGCAGTCCATATGCTCGTGATGTCTGGGCTCTTGGAGAGATCATGTTCGAAATGTCCACCAAAAAACCAGTATTTGCAAATCCCGGTTTTCTCCAAAAATATACCACAAACTCACATCAATTTCCGGAGTCCCTGCTCACTGATAACGGTATCAGTCAAGCTGGCATAGACTTTGTTGTTTCACTCATGCGACCTAATCCTAATGACCGGATGACCGTTGCATCTGCTCTTTCAAGCTTGTGGATAGAATCAAGATCAGTTTCGATCCCTGATTCTTCGACGACAACCAAGACCAATTCAACCTCGATGGCGGCTCAAAGCAGCACAAAAAGCTCAGATTCAGTTGGAATCGTGACGGAAGAACTTGCATCATGGACTACAAGAGCATTCGAAAAGGCCTATGAGAATGACAACCATGCCAGGTCTAGTCATACTACTAGGTCAAATCGGGTCAACCCCGCCCAGCATACAAGAGACGCATCTTATTCACGGGGGTCAAATGCTCCGGGCGCGGGCGGTCCACCACGCCCTGCAGCTCCAGGGCCCAAGCAGGGCCAGCCTCGTTCGCGAGATAGAAGCCCGGGAATCCGACATCCAGGCGTTCCCTCACTCTCAAAAGTGCTAACGGGCACACTCGGCGGCTGGGCCAAGGACTCAAAAATCGAATATTTGCTACTGGAAGGTATTCCTCTATTTGAGCATGATCGATTTCGGAAGGCAGAGCCTATATTGCAAAAGGCTTCCAGAGAACTGAAGAAAAAATTAGGCTATCTAAATGATGTACAAGTCCTTCAAGTAACATTTCATTGTTTACACATGGTTGGATGCTGTCTCTTTAACTTGAATCGCTATAAAGAAGCGGAGATCAGATTGCAACAAGCTTTCAACATGCAGGAGAAAGAACAGAAAGGATCAGTGTTTTCTTTTCCGACGACAACTTCACCAGGGAAGGTCATTGAATACTCTATCTCTCGGTTGCGCTATAATACCGGAGAGGAATCTATAATCCAATGGTCTCAATTTCTGCACATGGTCGGGTCTTGTCTTCTTAAGGTGGGCCGTTACAAAACTGCGGAGAACATATTGGAACAAGCTTTGGAGATTCAGGAGAAAGTATTAGGGTCCGACCATCATATAACACGGTTATCTCTCGATATGCTCCAAGAAAGGCTGGAAATTACCTATGAGCAGGACCAGTATGAAGAGGATAAAGACAATGGAGAGCCTGGAGAGCATGGAGAAGCTGAAGAAGCTAAAGAGGCCAACCAAGGTGAAGGGGGCGAGGAGGCGCTAGCTCCTAAGCCAAGGCGTAGCAGACTTTCGAGGTTTTTCAGGCCCGGCTTTTGATCGCCAGCGCCGGGAAATACTCTCTCTTGAAATCCGGATAGTCTTGTGCTAGTTTTTAATCGAACTTGACCTACAATTGAGGGATTTCACAGGGCTAGAATCCAGGGTTTGGCCTGCTTGTGATCGCTTGGCTTCAGGATAGTTCTCCAAGATTCTTTTTCTGCTCTCTTTAAGTTACCTCCCCACCTAGGCGCTTAATGGATGTGAAAGCCTGGTATGGTTCTTGATTTTTGAATCGCTGCTTGGATTTTCCATTCAAGTTAGTCTGGAAAGAAATGGGGCCTTACGTTCCGAGGGATTCCTCATGCATTAGCAAACCCCGCTTCTCGCACGCTAGACACTCCGCGAGCTGAGCTGCCGCCACCACCCCCTACTCTGTAGACACAGCAGAATCACTCACCCCAACTATAAATATGGCAGAGCTTGGCCTAGCAGTTTTTGCAACCATACCCATTTGTTATAAGTATGTGAATGTGGATACTATGAGAGAAAGCATGACATTAATGCAGATCACAGACAAGGAAAGACTCTGGTTCGTCTGTGTCAGCAACTTCAGGGAGCCCAAAGCAAGGTCGCTGAGATAGCCCTGGACATTGAAAGGCACTGGATACAGACAAGAATTCAAATAGAATTCCTAGAGAATGTCAAGGACAGTTTAGATGAAGACCTTCGAGACATTCAGAATCGGACACTTTTTGTTTTGATCGAGAAGTTAAGCGCCGCCAACACCAAGTTGGATAAAGTCTTTACTCGGACAGCAGATGACGGAGCAAAACGACAGACGCTGAAAGTGAGCAAATGGAGATACATTTTATACAGAGAGGGTCTGGAGGAAGTGCTGGAGGACTTAAAATCGTGGCAGGACAAGTTGTTCAACCCTAGTTGGTTTCTGACCATGCGAATCCAGAGCCCTCAGATCGATATTGAACTTTCAAATAGCCTAAAACTATCCGAAGCAGATAGGAGGCAACAAAATCTACCAAACGCTCAAAGTCTCCGAAGAAGAGCCCTCAGGCATAATAATTCTGATCAGAAAGTGTTCTTGGATAGCCGAGGTCTCGATTCAGCTCAGATTCTTGATGTCCCATTTTCATCCGCGAAATTTGCAAAACGGCCGGAATCTTCACAGTTATTTGTTGTTGATACAATATCTGTAAACAATTGGGTGGATACTAGAAAACTGGTCAACGACATCCGCGAATTTGCATCTGGCCTGTCTGATGCTGATCCAGCCATGTTCGGAATGCTTAACTGCTTTGGAGTAATCCCAAAACCGAACCACACCCAACCAACCTCCTTCTCTTTCGTATTTACAGCACCCAAGGATTCTTCCGAGGGTACAAGTCTTCGAAGCCGCTTGATATCAAACCGACTGGACCACTCGTTATCCGACCGATTCCGGATTGCCCAAGAACTTGTGCGATCAGTATTTTATGTTCATGTCCATGGGTTCGTACATAAAAACATTCGACCAGAAACTATACTGCTACTCAGTAATGGGCAAGCAGACTTTGGCTCTGTCTTCCTAGTTGGATTTGATAGTTTCAGAAGAGCGGACGGCGATACTGTGCGACTCGGAGACTCTTTCTTGGAGAAAAACCTCTATCGGCACCCCCAGCGCTTAGGATCAGTACCCGAGGATCGTTATATCATGCAGCATGACATCTATAGTCTTGGAGTTTGTCTGCTGGAACTTGGTCTATGGGACACCTTTGTGACCTACAATGATGAGTCAAATATTCCTCATCTATCATCAATCCTGAAGGTTGACACAGACCATGTTGAGGCAGCCCGCCTTAAGGACCATCTGGTATCCCTTGCCGACGAAGTGCTCCCAAGACATATGGGAACTAAATATGCCCGGATCGTGAAGACTTGTTTGACTTGTCTTGACGAAGAAAATGCTGATTTTGGGGACGAAAGGGAACATCAGGATAAATCCGGAATCCTGGTCGCTGTGAGGTATATAGAAAAGGTATGCTCAAGTTTTCCCCGATGTCAATTTGATTGAACTGATACTCCATCGATACCAGATCCTTTTCCAACTTAACGAGATAAATCTGTGATCATCACAGATGCATCATTTCTTCGAATTTGACTAGCTGCCTATTTTGCCCGATATTACTTCATTTATCAGATATACTCCGCATAATCCACATTGGAGGTGATGGCATGGGTTCAACCCAATTTACATGGCCATCGATCATCGCTCGGGTCCATCAACAAGAGATCCAAAGCTTTATTGTGGCATGAACACAACTGTTGATCAAACCAGCAAGCCAGGAGTATCTAGAACGATTAGTTCGACTCAATGAAAGCCAATTGAGATTTCAAAGCGAGTGGTATAATGAGTAAATTCTAGTGTATACAGACATAGGAATAAGTATAATTTGGTTCCCTATGTAGGAGAACGGATCTCGGACCGTGGCGGATCCGTGAGAATTCAGTTCTTAGGTGGTAGGCAACTGCTACTCGGAGATGTCGCCAGAGTCATGATTCGTCACTCACTGTCTAAACGAAAAATAAATAAATAAAAATGAAAATTGATTCGTCAATAGTTACTATTCCAAATACTAATAATCCTCACATTATTTTGACTAGATCAAGCGACGCTGGATGATGGGATTATCTACTTGTTGATATTCATAACTAGCAAATTTTATTACAACCCAAACAAGTAGTTTCGAGCAAATGCCCTTGGCTATGGACACGCTTACGTTGGGCAATCAGTGAGTTCTGTTACTATGCATAGGTACGGTATGGTACTCGAGATTGCTGAAATGCCGACAAGTATAGTTGTCGCAGATAGTGAGTAATTAATTGTATTTAATAGGTGTACATCTGCAATACAAGAGTATAATATATGATCCCTGCTATAGTTATAGTATACTACCTGGTAGTATACTACGTACTGTGCTGTACTCATCGGGATCTGCCTCCGTATTACCTAAGCCTCCGCATCCACGTGAGTCCCCGGCACCAGGCAGGCCCCGAATCCGCAGTCAAAATCGAGACTTTCTGAACTTTTTCGTTCTCGCCGCACTACTACGCTCGGCAATCGTTTTTCGCTACAGCATGCCTTGAGCAGTTCTCGTGAATGACACTTCCACAAAAGAGTGCAGGGCAGTAGCTAGTCTGCACAGGGGATAATGTCGATGGTTCTTCACCAACCATGTCCTCCACCAACAATAACGCCCCCTCGCCCCTCCCGGCTGACGGGGTGAGCAAGCGCAAGCAAGGTATGTACTTCACTTCACTTCGCGCAACTGGATTCCTTGCTCGCAATTGTTTTATGTCGGGGCTATTTTACTCCGATTTGCTCTACGCAATTTTCTCTACAGACTTATGATTTTTACGCACACACTCCCTCTCTACGCATATCGTGGCTGACCAGTGACATCAAATCCTACTAGATTCTGCCGCCTACAATGACTCGAATCGCTTCCAGGGGTCGTCACGGTCCAGTCAGAAGGCAGCCCTGCGATCCTGTCGTATACCTTCCAGTACACATGTAATTCCACCAGTTCGAAGCCGCTCAAGAACAAGGTTCATACCTTTCGCTCCTTTCGAGACGGCTTCACGAGTCCGCTTGACACCGATCAATTCAATAGCTCGCTTGATGCCGATTGCAGATAAGGCGGAAACGAAGCTTCTTGTGAACCACTCTTCTTCCCTGTTGGTATAAGTCCGATCACTGAGAAATTTGTCCTCTCCGAGGCTAGAGTGTAGGGAAATATTGGTATGGAAGACGGTTTGCTCGCTGTTCGGATCAAGTGGAATTCTTTCCTGACCCTGAGCGTTCTCGCTTGCTCTAAGACGCTGGTACTGCTGTCTCTCCACGACGCTCAGAATGCCGGTCCATTCTAGATTGCGAGACTCAGTACTCATCCAACCCTCTGTAGGGTCCACGATGCTGGTCTCCAATATATAACTTTTAGTAGAGTGGTCGGACGCGCTCCCTTTGTACAGCAGCTTAAGAATACTCGAAGGAATTTTGGTCTGCTTCAAGTGGAGCCGAGTGGAATGGAGCCGGCGCGTGTTCGGGTCAATAAATCGCTCGATGACGTCAGTTGCTAAAACATGTTGCGCATAAGGATTCGAATAACGAAGAAAGTAGGCGAGAGATACAGCGATAAAAGGATAGTTATAAGCGTATTCATTCTTGAAAAACCTCATCTCTTCAAGATATATGCGCAAGGTGTAACGATGTGAGAAGAGTCACTCGACGACCTCAACCCGTCTATTACACGGAGTGATACAGTAGCTGTACTGTAATGATGTGATCATGTGGTCATTTCACATCGTCTCGTAAAATTGTTAATCCGCAGATTAGAATATATGAAGATGGAAGGCATTCAAAATCGACCCTTTTTCTTACTGATGAGGAAAGTTTTCACTGGTTGCTTCGATCGAGTCTATGGCTATGAGATGCGTATTGACCGGCTTGGATCCATTGAGGACTGAATTGCTTAAACATACCACCGTTCCAATGTTGACGGATCACCCTACTTGATACAATGACTTTGGTTTTCATTTCCTTATGGGAAGCCCTGTATAGCGTAGAATATTAAATATATACTATGCTTAAAAACTCTCGTGAAACTCCTAGGGAATTATGGCCGTACAATCAAACCTAATGATGAACCCATTCTCACCTTTTGGTAAACATTTATTTACCTGTGACGTGCTTTAATCATTGCCTTTGGCCAGATCTCATAAAAGTTTGGCACCGCCACCATCGTATTGGAAACCTGAAGGTTCGTTGCTGTCTCATAGCGGAGCAGAGTCTTCCTTTCAGGGTTTACACACACTATCTCTTTGCAAAGTTTTGTAGCACCACAGGTAACATTGCTAGTACTAGGGACCGGATCTTTAGAGCGCAAGATGCTATATGATTGAGATTCTCGCAGCCCAACTCGATGACAGATGTCTGAAAATCACCGGTGCTATGTCGCTATAGTTCCTTGGAATTCAGGAGATTCGATGAACCTATCATCGCAAGAATAAGGGGTTAAAGTTACACAGCTCCCAGGAATATTATTTTGAGTACGTACTCGTCTAGACACGTCTCAACTAAATGCTTAAAATTGAATTTTGAGATCATATAAGGTCTCGAACATTCCTCTCTCAAGCTCCAAATTCACATAGTCTCGGAAATACAGCATCAGGAACTACATTCATACTATCACCATGGCTCATGGAATAGGTTCAAGTCAGAACCCCATTATAATGAGCGACAACCAGAATTCTGCTCAACCTGTCGACAACAAGCAGCTACAGCTACTTTCGCTTGAGGATTTCAGTCTTCTCAGCCCTTTCAACCAGCAAGAATACTTCAATGAGATATCTGAAGCCTTACACCATTGGCAAAATTTTGGGGACTCTTGCCCCCGCATTGACAAATTTATATTGTCAAATTACGACAAAGATGATCGCTTGACAACTACCGGGCTTTCTTGTGGAAGATAAATCACATCGTAATCCCGCTCACAGAGGGTTTTGAGGTCGTCGACAAAAGCGAGCATTTCGTCGAATGAAAGCTCTCTATCGGAAGACATCAAGGATGAGATTTTGGCGATTTCGGGCATGATTAACGACTGGGCCCGTGTGGAAACGTTGTTGTCGCTGATGATTGGCTCCTCTTTGCCTCTATTGAGAATCCTTTGGTCTCGCCTTTCTCGTACCCAGTGGCTCTGATATTCTTTCAGACCAGCAATGCGAAGTCGGAGCAAAGCCTTTCTGTAATTCAGCTTCTCGCTAGCTACAGATTCTCTGTCGCTTTTCATACTCTTAAGCTGCTTAATTCGACAGCGAATCTCAATTAGCTCTGGTATTTTTAAGATGTCTGCTTCAATCTCGGCGGGCAGCTCCCCTAGATACCCATTCTCGTAAAATCTCTCAAACCCCTGGAAGTAGCTGATATAATCTGACTGCTCTTCCTCGCCTAGAACAGCAGATACTGTATCAATTGAAGAGCAGTAAAGTAAATACTCCTTAGGATATGTTCCTACGTCTTTGTGCCTATAGATCTGAGATACTAAGGCAGACCTATACTTTCCTATATCAGAAGTCAGCTAACTAGGTTTCTTTCCAATTATTTTAATCTTTTATTATCCTACTCTCAATAACAGATCGAAGGTACTTACAAATCCTATAAATAGTCATATTCTTGCTATACCTAGCAGTCGTAATAGTTCCGCACAGTAGCTTATAAAACTGCTCTTTAGTAAGCAGTATATCTTATGGGCTAGTAGCTGTAATATTCCTGAGGACAGACAGTTTTAAATACTTATCTTTTCAGTGTAATTTAATAGGTCTTCCACCAGAAAGGTTACACTGAGCCAAATCCTCTACAGTTTTAATCCTAAAGAGGGTACTGTACTGGAGGGCTATAGCTAGGAGGTAATAGCCAGATATGAATTGGGGTCTCTTTGTATTGCGAAGACTAATTCCGAATCTGGTCTATAGTAAGCGAGGGACTTCCAATCGAACCCAATCAAATCAAGATTGTCTTTTAGGTAACTTATACTACATAATCTAGATTCTGATTACCTTTAAGCCACTTTTAGTTGACTTTCCATTCCACTTTCTAAGGTCCTGAAGTACTGTTATAGGGCTTAGTGCCAATTTTGGCATAGGCCGGGTGTAGGCTGGGTGCTCAATAAAGGCCTCTGATCAGTCTCTGAGTAATTACAGAGCAATCAATGATCACTCAGAAATACTCAGAGCCTTACTAATTTACCACATGACCTGCTCTGAGCTGCTCAGTGAGCCTGAGCTCAGACTGAGATCTACTCAGTGAGTCTGATTCTGAGCGCCCTCATTAGAGCGGCGGCACCTAGAATAGGAAAGGCCCACATTGCATGGGCAATATGTTACGTATACCTACCTAGGTACTCATGAAATCAGAAATAACAATTATCATAATCATAATCATAAATCCCCGCTAAAACAGATCCCAACACCAATACTACCTAGGTATCACACTATCTCCCTCTCATTTCCACCGCACTCGCCCTGCCCCCAAACTTGAACTTGAACTTAAACCCCCTCCAAATCCCCCAAAACGCAGGCCAAGAAATAGAAACATAGATAACACTATTCCAAAACCCCTGCAACGGCAACACAAAACTCGAAGCAAAATTCAACCCAAACGAGAACTCATCCGGTCTCGCAAACGCATACACCCGATTCAGCGTAGAAGGAACCCACGTCACAAGCAACGCGACAAAAAATAACATCGCGTACTTTGTATAAGCCCACGCTGCTCGGGATGTATTTTCCCCGGCCGATGAGCGTCGGTGGCTGCTAATAGTATGTGTATCTTCTAGATGCGAGACGCGGGCGCCGGGAGTCGGGTATGGACGGGACTCCAGTTGGGAATGTGGTCGAATAGAAGACGGAATCGACACCCTTGGTTCTGATTCTGGCTCTGTTTCTGTTGACTCTTCGGCCCGGAAGAAGCCTGAATCATCGGAGAGCGACCTCCCTCCCTGAATCGTAACAGAGTACCCGGGACTATAGTTCGAGGTAACGCTATGACTACGCCCCTGCGTCAAAGAAGGGCGCTCGTCCGGGACCGAGTACGCGATTTCGCTCGTCACTTGGATACCCTGGAAAGCCTGGTCTAAATTGACATGGGCATGAGTCTGGAGCCGATTTTTGACGAGTGGAGAAGAGTCGGCCTGGATCTCTGAGTCCAGAAAATCCGAATGGCCGAGATGGCGGAATTGGCGTCTTTTTTGGTAGATTACTGAGCCGGCGCGGATGTAGATTGCGAATGTTAGAATTATTACTAGCCAGACGGGACCGTAGAATGTCGCTATTCGTAGCCAGTCCCATTGTTTTGAGACCCAGCACCATAGCTGGGAGTTGTTAGAATGTGGGTAGAGGAGAGGGAAGAAAAGCAAAGGAGGACAGGGGAGGGGGGATTTACGATTGCGGAGCCATATACCCGGCCAAGAGCTTCCGTTTTGATAAAGAAGTACGTGAAAGCCGGGATGAGAGGTACACCGTAGCAGAAAATGAGGTATTTCCACTCTATCTGTCGTAGTTGGTCGGAGTTGTATTTGTGGAAGAATGTTAGGTAGACGTTACAAGCCATGGCGAAAGTCCACAATGCATCTGCGGGCATGAACCTAGATATCGTTAACCGGGGACCCAAAAATAACTTGAAAGAATCCCAAGAGGAGAAAATGCGCCAGGTGAAGGCCTACCATTGGATCAAAAAGGCCTGGATTTGGCACAGGGGACTTCCAATCCCGGCGTGGATTCCGTCTTGAGAGATCAAGGTCGCGATGTTGGCCATGATGTTTCCCCAGGAAGCGTAGAAGACGAGACGGTTGATTGGTTTTCGGAATGCGCGCGAGCAGATGAATGTTGCGACAATGACGAATGTTCCTATTAGTGATATTGCGGAGCAGGTGCGTTCTGTGATGGAGATGGCGAATAGTTGTTCTTCAGAGGGTCCGGCCATGGTTTCGATATCGGCTTTTTGCTGGGCTTGCACCCTCGTCAGACAAGGCTATAGGGACCATCGGCCCTGACAGATACCAGTTACTTCCAAAGTACTTGGAACTTGATGGTCTGAAGAAGGTATATACTGGTAGCGGTAGCTCCAGCAATATACTAGTCCAGTCTGCGTATATCCACAGAAATCTGCCTTGGGGCCTGTGCGAGGACTGATCCTGGTGTCAGAATGGTATTCGCATTCAATTCAAGACCTGTTGTCTTGCTGACGGTCTGATGAATTTGACCAAGATAGCACAAAAAACCAGCCCGGTAGACTCGGAGTCGTGGGGTGGGCGGCCTGAGGAGTAAAAAGCGTCGTATTTATTACAAGCTCATCATGCATGACATGCTTGCTAGTCGAGAAGTCCCATATAAAACCCAGAGACAACTAAATGGGAGGCTAAATATTGAAGAAAAATCTTCTGCCCGGCATAAATTAAGTTCAAGAGAAGCCAAGAGCCCAACGACTAAAGAAGCATCTTTTCAATGGGGGAAGTTTGCCCCCAACGCGCAGCGCCCACATGAAAGGCAGGACAAGACGCAGCGTGAATGGAGGAAAACCGCGCTAGCGAAACATAAAAGGCACAATGATAGTCCGAGGACTCTTTGCGAGCCCCGAGTCAGAAGACCGAGCTAACGCGGGGGCAAAAAGAGAGGAGAGAGAGACTGCCTCAACCATGTCGACCACTCAGCCCCAAGGGTATGATGTGGTTACCACGGATTCGCACCAATGGTTGATAACGTGAACTTCTTGCCCCCAGTCACAGCCATGACCGCATTGCTCAAGTGGACAAATGAGGACTCTTGCCTGTTAGATTTCCCCGAGTGACAGCAGTGTCTTCCTCCAATCGGAACCGGGCTCGGAGCGGAGTGCCATGGCTGGATATTATTTCTACCACCGGATTTTCTTCAGGATGCGCAAAATATTTCAAGATGTATCTGGTTACACTCGGACCAGCAGGTCCATCATTTACAGCTTTCCAGGACCAATGGGTGGCCAGGAAGCCGGGTCAGATTGAAATCGGCTTCGTGGGGTCCGGTCCACAAAGAGGGGTGGATGAAATATATCAGGATATCAATTAACGCGTAGGTAGATTTAGTGTTCCACGTTTTCATTAGTGCAGCTACCTAGCTAAGTGCTAGCCTCTTTCAACCGGTGTCAAGTCCGCTCTTGGTCTTCCGTGACTAGATTGTGACATGAAAGGTTATGGTAGCTATGCTAGCAGCTTACTTTTTCGTCAAGGATACCATCCGTCGATACCTAGACGAAGCGCATTATTCGAAACATGTAGTGTTTGGCCCCAGGCTCAATTTGAAATACGGGTTTCGGGTTTCGGATTCAAGTTCAATCTGTAGCACACGAAAGGGACCCGATTGGGACCCGATTTCGTATTATACAAATCCGAGATCCTGGCTGATGCCCGTGAAAAAAGCATGCCTGTAATTTGATTCTGGGTACTCCGTACTAGTTCTCATATTTCAAGCACCTCTATCCTTCCCGGACAAATGACAATATCTGCTGGCACACACCAAGGCAAAAAAAAAACATTACATTTGCTGCGAAGAGACCCCAAAAAGAAAGGGGAAAGAAAAGTCATTGCAACTTCCAACAACATCACACATTTTCTTTCATAACCCAAAGCTCACAAAACCCAAAGTCTCAGAGCGAAAAAAATACTAACAACATCAAAAAGAAAAAAACACATTGAATAACACATGAAACAGATTTCCATGATCGGGTATAACGCCGAATTCTCCCCGTTTGCGATGGTCTAATCGTTCATCTCGTCATACCGCACTTCCAGTTTCCTGGCATTTAGGCTAGGCCAGGCCACTAGTTAGTGAATAGGTAGAGGCCTAGTACGCAGATTGAGGAGGAACCATTCCCCCATATGCCCCCGCCATCTGCTGCTGTTGCTGCTGCTGTTGCTGCTGCAACTGAGCCTGCACCTGAGGCAAATCATGGAACCAAGGGTGCTGCAGGGCGTCAGCGGCGCTAATCCGCATCTCCGGGCGTAGCTGGAGCATGCGGTTTAGCAGATCCAGGCCCAACGGGTCGATCTGGGGCAAGATTAGGCCCAGATCTTGCGTCGCGTACACGTGAAAGGTCGGTTTATATTCCGGCAATTGCGAGATGCCCGGCCAAGAGCGTTCGGAGGGTGTCCCCATCAGCCGGAAGATCTTGAGCAATTGGTCTTCGTTTGTGGTGCCCGGGAATAGCGGACGGCCCGTGTACATCTCTGCCATGATGCAGCCCGCTGACCAGATGTCGATGCTGGTGTTGTAAGTGCGACTGCCGAGGAGGACGTCTGGTGCCCGGTACCATAGCGTGACGACCTCGTTGGAGAAGGTGTTAACCGGAATACCAAATGCGCGCGCGAGACCGAAGTCGCCGAGCTTGAGTTGGCCTTTTTTGTTGATTAGGAGGTTTTGCGGCTTCAGGTCTCGGTGTAGAACCCTGTTCTCGTGGCAGAAGGCGATGCCTTTCATCAGTTGGTGCATGAAGGACTTGATTGTGGCGGGGTCTAGTTGGCCGCGGTCACCGCGGGTGTCCATGTAGCGCTTTAGATCCCTGTCCATGAATTCGAAGACGAGCATGAGCTTGTTCTCGGTGTGGATGACGTCGTAGAGGGAGACGATGCTTTCGTGCTTGAGTTCTTTCATCAGGGAGATTTCACGGATGGCGGTGGAGGGGGTGCCTTCTTCGGAGTCGAGGTGGATTTCCTTCAGGGCGACCATTTCGCCCGTCTGGCGATTGCGTCCTTTGAAGACCTGGGGAGGTTTTCTGCGTTAGTGATGGCGCGGAGGGGAGCGGAGCGGGACGATGAGGATGGAAAATGCGCCCATGAGAGGGGAGGCGCAGGGAAGAGAGGAGATTTGAGGATCAGGATCATGGAATATTGGAACATACAGTGGCATAAGTGCCTTCTCCCAGCTAGAGGAACGGAATGAAGTCAGTTTGGGGACATTGTAGATCATCGGTGAGGAGCAAGATACCTTTTCCAGCTGCTGGAATGAGCTGGGCTGCTGCGATTTGTCCATGGCCCGAGGAAGTAAAGACCTGACAGGTCGAGGAACAGGATTATCAGAGAAGAGGAAGTTCTTAGGAGAGACGAGGGAGGAAGGGTGGACTGCAGGATCCCTGAGTCGCTCCATGCTGATGAAGGAGGCCAGCCCCGCGCACGTTGGAAGTGGGGAGCCGCTTATGTGTTCAACTTGCCGCTTTTACTGTACTCTACGGAGTAATATTCTACTTGATAGTCTATAGTCTGTAGTCTATTGTCTATGTATTGTCTTTTTTATCATATATTCATATTCATATTCATATTCATATTTATGTTATATTTTATTATATTCCATACCCTCTCCCATTTACCCCTAACCGGGATACCACGGTCGGCAGGATGGACTGAGCGGGTTGGCTGCAGCGCACATGGGAAGTTGGTTCTGGGTCTGAGCCCTGACTACCTTGACCAAAGAGAACCGCCTCGTTCCTCACGCCGCCAACATTGATAATACCAATGGGCATCCCCCGTTTGTGCGCTCGTTCCACCAACCTCCACGCTGAGAAGGTGGCCAGACTGCTTCCGAGAACCAGTAGGCGCCCTGCATCGTCGATCGCCTCTTCAGCCGCTATTTTAACCGCTGGGTCAATATTCTCACCAAACATAGTCACAGCTGGTTTGAGAATCCCAGCATTGGAAGTGTCCATCCAGGCACCGTCACTCTCCACTTCTACTCGGCTCTGAGTCCCATCTTTCAACCTGGGAGGTCTTTCCAAACAGGTCGGACAGGATGGATATCGAAAGGTTGAATACGGCGCTTCTGCAAGATCAACATCTCCATCCGGGTTCAATTTCAAGCCCTTTCGTCGTTGTTCTTCTTGATTATCCGTATCAAGCGCGCCCTGCTCCACCATGCGAGCGAGAAACTCCGCCCATGCCGGATTCAGTCTTTCCAGCGAGTCTTGGAACACTTGTCGGGGGAATTGGTTATGACAGCTGGTACAAACGACCGATCGTAGATACCCATGTAATTCCAAGGTCGATAACTCCGGATGAGCGAAGGAGTGGAAGGAGTCGACATTCTGCGTGATGACGGAACTGATGTAGCCCTTTTTGCCCAGGTCTCTAATAGCTTCGTGAGTTGAGTTCGGTCGTGCTTTTACGAGACCGGGCCATCCGACGAAGCTACGGGCCCAGTATCGTTTGCGCGACTCATGCCGTGACACGAATTCATGGAAGTAGATTGGTCGGTAGGATTTGTTCCGGCGATATGTTCCCTGGTCGCCGCGGTAGTCGGAGAGTCCAGATGCGACCGAGATGCCCGCTCCGGTTAGTAGAACGGTCTGGGAATGAGCTCCGACGTCGACGCCACGGAGGTTCAGGGATGGTGATGCAGCAAAGAAGGCGCAGACGGCGTCAATGGCACCTGAAACGGAGCTGGCGGAGGGCGGGACTATAATTGCCGGAGGTAGAGGACCCGTGAAGGGGATACGAATGGCGGGCGTCGTCATTGGATACGCATCATCTTATTGTGAAGGTCTTGGCAAGGATGAAAGAGGGGTGGATTGAGCGGAGATCAATTATTCAGTGCCCCGTAATTCTGAAGAACTTACACCAAGGAACCCTGAAAAGGCTGACGTTGACGTTTGCGTTTGGGTCTTGGCGGAGCGGACGGAATGGACGGAGTACTATGTAATCGGCATAAGCTGAGTGGTAGACAAGTAGAGTCCGGAGGATTGGCTTTTACTTTGTTAATTTTTAAATTGCTTATTTGAAGATCAGTTATTGGAATACTCCGTACCTCCATAAATTGTATACCAGGTAGGGATACAGTATACAATATTGTAGTATCAACTCCATAGAATTGAGCCGCACATCGGACCACGACATCAGCGCATCTGGATCTCCGACTGCCGGATTACATGATCGGAGATCCTCTTGGATTTCCCCCCTCCAAAGTTTCAAGGTTTCTTTTTATTCTTATTTTTTTCGATGATTCGAAGTGAACACCCTGTCCCTTCAGCCATTTCGCCCGTGCTCGCGTGCCTCGACCTCCAAGGGCCGTGATGCCGCTGACGCAACCCCTGCGGTGCAGGCTTCGTCCCTCCCTCCACTCTCCAAGGCTCTCCCTCCGTGGATCTACCCGTCGCGTCTTGACCTCCGTTCAAAGTCCTTTGATAAAGTCCAGCCCCTCCCATCCTTTCCTTTTGTCCCATGTCCGAAAACACCCTCATTCTCTCCGTCCTATAACTCCAATCCCTATGACACAATCCAGGGGCCATGGTGGTCACAGCCACAGTCACGGTCACCACCACCACCATCACGACAATGTCTACCTAACTTCCACAAATAAACATGACGCTGGTGTGCGCATTACTCGTATTGGACTAGTCGCCAACCTCGCCATGGCCATTGGGAAATTCATTGGCGGCTATATGTTCCATTCCCAAGCTCTCATCGCCGACGCCTACCACGCGCTGACCGATCTCGTCTCCGACTTTCTGACATTGGCCACGGTCGCATGGTCCATTAAGCCGCCTAGCGAACAATTCCCCAATGGCTACGGAAAGGTGGAGAGTATCGGTGCGTTGGGCGTTAGCGGTCTCCTCCTCTGCGGAGGTGTCTTTATGGGATTGAACTCAGGACAGGTCCTGCTCGCCCAATTTTACCCCGACGTGGCTGAAACCGTAGCTCATTCGGGTATACTGGGTCATGGTCACAGTCATTCACACAGCCATGGCCCCGGTGGCCCAAGTATTCACGCGGCTTGGTTGGCGGCTGGGTCGATTGTCGTTAAGGAGTGGCTCTACCATGCCAGTAAGTAGTACCCCTGCCTTGCCCTGCCGCACGGTAGCACATGCCCATTCAATAGCTTCATTTCAGCGAATTAACCATCGCCTTGTGAAAATAGCCATGAAAGTTGCCAAAGAGCGCAAGTCCTCCGTCCTCGCCTCCAACGCGATCCACCACCGCATCGATTCCCTGACCAGCATTGTCGCATTGTTTACAATCGGTGGAAGTTATGTCTTCCAAGACGCCACCTGGCTGGATCCGGTTGGCGGGGTTTTAATCTCCCTCATGGTCATCAAGGCTGGTTGGGGAAAACACGGTGACTTCCCTCCTAGAGCTGGCTGACACCACCGTGGACGAGGAGGTGAAGGAAAATGTCCACGAGGCGGCTCTCAAAGCTCTGGGGGAACTTGCGGTCGGAGAAGAGGTGCAGATCCGTGATGTCCAAGGTATGAAGTCTGGACAGAATTATTTGATGGATGTTGAGGTCGCCGTGCCGGGAGCTTGGGCCCTTGATCGATCACGGCCCGTGGAGGAAGCTGTTCGCAAGGCGATCGGCGAGAAAGTTCGTGGAGTTAAGCGCGTGAAGTTCCGCTTTATTCCGATTGAGAATGATGAACTTACATTCCAAGAGGAATTCATTACTCAAGATATGGAGGCTAGTCCTGAGTCTCAAGAACAGAATCATGATCATGGTGATAGCACCGATCATGATCATGGCAAGACCAATGGCAGTGCCTCGGGTTCTCATAGCCATGACGATGCATCCCGAAAAAGGCGGTAGATGTGAAGATGTGAGGGAGGTGCACAGAGGAAGTGAAGAATATGAGTGTTTGATTTCGGGTTGCCATTAATCGGCAGTTTGATGCTGCCATGATACCCCCATGGCCCACGATGATTTGAGCAAGTGGTTTCTGTACTGTGTATAGAACGTTGCTTGGACATAGAGACATACAATAAGAACGAATCCTTGTCTTTTGTCTTTGAATTCTGCCCTTCCCTCATATGTTGAACAACAAAAGTACGAGTAGTTCGTAGACTAAAATGACTCGGTGATGTCAGATTGTGACTCGTGAGTCAGGCTTCAACCCGAATCACGCACCAGCTTGCCCTATTGGGACGCACCCAACCTCATCATAAAAACAAGTCAATATCCTTTCATTTCTCTCACTTCAATCTACATAACGAACTCCCCTTCAGTTGTCTCTTGATCCTTTTTTTTTTCTCCCCCAAGTGTAAGTGGAGCCCCCAGGCACGGAAAGCGATTACGATACCATGGAGGTTATCTTCCACCGAAAACAATTTTGAACCCAACACACATCCCCCCCTTCCCTGTACCTCCCCCCCTCCACGCTCTGAGGGAGTCCGGCTGGTCGAAGATGGAAGAACAGGTACGTATTTTCATTCCTTTCAACTCTTTCGTCTCCAGAAAAAATATACATCTCTCTCGACCCCTCCCCCGCTGCCCCTCTCTCCGACCCTCCGAAGGACCCCTCGACCAGTACGGCGCATTGACACTCCCACCATTAGGTAGCAAATGCCATTGAGATCGCCTGGAATCCCCTCTCCGACCAAGCCCTGAAGGCGCAAGCTTTCGACTATCTCAATCAACTCCGCTCCGATCCCTCCGGGTGGCAGGTCTGCCTTAGCCTCTTCATCAAAAATCCCCCACAGCCCGAGATCGTACGACATACCAGTTTAGAAATTGTCAACAGCGCCGCTCAAGCTGGTGTCATCGACCTCGCCTCGCTGGTCGTTGTCAAGGATGGACTTCTCTCATATCTGAGACAGGTGTATGGGCCTGAAGGCACCGCCGCCCCGGACGCACCCTACATCCAGAACAAAATTGCGCAGACCATCACTTTTCTCTTTTCAGCACTCTACGCCAATGGGTGGGAAACCTGTTTCGACGATCTTCTCAGCCTCACCTACAAGTCCCCTGCCAGCTCGGCTCGTGATAACCTGCTCGGAATTGTTTTTTACCTCCGTGTGGTGAACTCGATCCACGAGGAGATTGGCGATGTGCTGGTCTCGCGGTCTCGAGGCGAGCAGGATAAGGCGAATAGTCTGAAGGATCTGATCCGAGAGCGGGACATGCAGAAAATTTCCAGCTCCTGGCAAGAGATTCTGTCAGCGTGGCAGGACGGCGAAGACGTGGTCGTGGAGATGTGCCTCAAGGCCGTCGGAAGCTGGGTCAGCTGGATCGACATCAGCCTTGTTGTGAATCAGACCATGTTAGATCTGCTGTTCCAGCTTCTCGGGCGAGCTAAGAAGCAGGAATTGCGCGATGGCGAACGCCGAGTGCGCGATGCCGCCGTTGACGTTTTCACAGAGATTATCGGCAAGAAAATGAAGCCCAGCGATAAAATTGAGATGATCGATTTCTTGAAACTCAATCTTATCGTGACTGAGCTCTCCAACAGCCCCCCACTGCACCAGAACCGATCCACGTCTGAGTACGATACCGATCTTGCGGAAACCGTGGCGAAGCTCGTCAATATCACTGTTTTGGACATCGTTCGCGTATTGGAGTCCGATGCTGGGCCCGTGAAGGAGAAGGCGGATAATCTTTTGCAGGAATTCGTGCCCCACATGCTTCGATACTTTTCTGATGAATATGACGAAGTTTGCTCGACTGTCATTCCCTGCGTCAACGATATGCTCACCTACATCCGCAAGCTGAACAAGTCTAACCCATCTTACGAGGCTGGAAATGCTGAGCTCCTCCGTGGCTTTTTGACGGCCATTATTGCAAAGACCCGCTACGACGAGACCTCGGACTGGGGCAGTGAAGATGATCAAACAGACGAGGCGGAATTCCAAGAGCTGCGCAAGAGGTTGGGTGTGTTGCAGCATATCATCGCAACGGCACATGAGGAGCTTTACATCACTGTCATTGCTCAGTCTGTGGAAAACACATTTTCCAGCCTGCGTGCTACTCAAGGCCAGATCGATTGGCGTGATCTGGAACTTGCCCTCCATGAGATGTTTGCATTCGGTGACCTGGCCGTCAAGGGCGGTGGCATCTATCAAAAGAATGCTCCTACTGGGCCAGCTGCGCTCAAGCTAATCGACATGGTGCTTCGCATGGTTGAGTGTGATATTCAATTCTTCACACACCCTGCCACTCAACTCCAGTACATGGAAATCTGCGTACGCTACTATTCTGTTCTCCAGCATCACCAACACCTTATCCCCGTCGTCCTCGAAGCCTTCCTTAAACTCGTGCACCACCCCAACCGCAAGGTGAAGACCCGTTCTTGGTACCTTTTCCACCGACTTGTGAAGCAGCTCCGGACTTTTATCGGCAATGTTGCGCAGACAGTCGTCGAGGCTTTACTCAAGCTGTTGGTCATCAAGGCGGAAATCCCCTCGGAGAACGAAGATGGCGACGAAATGTCATCTGAAGACCACGAGAGTTCTGCCGACGCAGTATTCAACAGCCAGCTCTACCTTTTCGAGGCAGTTGGTGTCATATGCTCAACTCACGGCGTCCCTGCAGAGAAGCAGGTTCTCTATGCACAGGCCGTGCTCCAGCCAATCTTCACCGACATGGAGCAGACCATTGCGATCGCCAAGAATAATGACGAGCGCGCACTCCTCCAGATTCACCACGACATCATGGCCCTGGGTACTCTCGCCCGCGGCTTCTCCGACTGGACCCCCGGTACTCACACCCCCGCTCAAATGCCCGCCCCCGAAGTCTCAGAGGCTTTCTCCCAAGTAGCCGAAGCGACATTGGTCGCGTTGGAATCCCTCAAGGCCTCCTTCAACGTTCGAACTGCCGCCCGCTTCGCATTCTCACGTTTCATTGGCGTCCAAGGCGCGCGCATCCTGCCCCAGTTGCCCCGATGGATTGATGGTCTCATGACTGCCACCTCCTCGCGGGACGAAATGGCCTTGTTCCTCCGTCTTTTGGACCAGGTGATCTTTGGTTTCAAGGGTGAAATCTATAGCATTCTGGATACCCTCCTGACTCCGTTCCTGCAACGCGTTTTCTCCGGAATTGCGGACCCCACAACCGGTACCGACGACGAGATCCAACTTGCAGAACTGAAGCGCGAGTATCTCAACTTCCTGCTTGCGGTTCTGAACAACGACCTGGGCGCCGTCATTATCAGCGAGAGAAACCAAACCCTCTTCGAAACCGTCATCACCACCCTCGAGCACTTCGCCAAGGACATTGACGACTACACCACTGCCAAAATGGCATTCTCCGTCCTGTGCAAGATGGGTTTCTCATGGGGTGGACCCGATATCGCCGCCGCCAACGGAAACGGAAACGCCAACGGCTCGTCGGCTGCTCTTCCCGGCTTTGGGAACTACATGATCTCCCGATTCTCGCCCTTGTGCTGGGCGCTTCCTGCGAACCCATCCTTCAATTCGAAAGACGCTCAGGCTAAGCAAGTCCTCGCCGAGGCGGGCAGCTTACAGCGAACTATCTACTCCAAGACGGGCGGGGAATATACTGATTATCTTCGGAACAATGAGTTGCCCGGTATGGGTATGGGCGGTGATCTCATTGAAGAGTTCGTGACGGCCTTGAGCCAGTCAGATGCGAAGGGCTTCAGGCAGTTCTTCCCGGTATGTGCCCGAGCGTTTTACTCAAAAGTGTTTTTCAAGTGCCCCCGACCTCTTACTAACTCCATTACTAGTCATTCATCCAACGTCTCAGCGCATAGCCTCATCTCATCTCATCTCATCTCGTCCCGTTTCATCCCATCCCTCGCATCTCCCCCGCACACCCATTTCCTTCCTTCGACGACCTTTCTCCTTCCCTTCTGGTTTTTAGATTCCCCAATGTCATATTTTGTTTGATGAGTAAGAAAAAAAAGAAGAATCGAGGTGACGTCTATCCTCGTGCTGATCTGATCTGATCCGACTCGGCCCCAACCTGTGCCATGATAGTTTGCAAGTCGAATTTCATGACATTTATATTCATCTGAGCCTGACATGTTCCGGGATCTCCATCCACTTCTCACCCCCCATCAAAAGAGCAACCTACCTACCTACTATTTTACTACCTTCGCAAAAAAAATGAAAAGAAATTTCGCCGCAAGATGCAACGCAAGGCAATTTGGATACACACAAAGCGATCTTGATCTTGATCCTGACTTGACTTGACTTCTAAAACAAAAAGCATGCCCGAGATAATTCCTTTTTGAGCCGAGTACATAGCGATTCGATTTGTCATTCCCGTCACCCCCATCCATCACATCCGGTCGCCCACCGCCTACGCCTACGCCCGTTTCTGGTGCATTCAGTTTGCATCGCATGTTGTGGGCGTTTCGTTTAAGCTTGAGCTTGCTGCTACGCTTTTATATCGGATCGATTCGGCGATTTGCCATCGAAATTGAAGAATGGGGCACTTGTCTTGTCTTTTTCTTTGATTTTTCGGGGATGTAGTGCAAGATCTTTTTGGGGAAGGATTCTAAGGAAATGGTTTTTTAGGTAGATATGAAATGAATTAAACTGATTTCTCGACTACTTTATTTACTAGTACGCTCTTTTTCATGCTTGTCCCTTACAAGCTTTTGGTAATCACGCAACTTCTGTAGCTATAGCTCTTGATAAAGCCTAGTATAATCTTGGATGTTCTAATTTGCTCGCACGATCCTTACAAAGTAGTACAAATCGTGAAAAGAACACGCAGTAAATGAACAATTTGAATGCGACATTCGCATCGATTGAATATCGAAATTGTGACTCTTCCTCTGATCTGATCAGATCAGATCAGATAACAGACTTTACTGTATTCGAATTCCGCATCCCACTGAAAAGAAAAGGAACAAACGAAAAGAAATCAGAATCCATTTTTTATCAACGAATCAGAAACTCAGCACGGGGAACCCCAATTCGTCCCAATCTATGAGAACAAGGGGGAAAAAACTTCCTCTATCCCGGAGAAGAGAGGAAAGTCTGAAAGAAAATGACAAGGGAAAACGGCGGAAGCAGGAAGGATTCACACACTATGCAAAGAGGTACTTCGCCGCATGCTCGACATGGTCATCAGCAAACGAAGCCATCGTGTAATATGAGTGATCGTAATCAGGCTGGTATCGGATGTTCAGACCCTTGTGTCCAGCCTCCTTGGCCGCGGCCGCGAAGTTCTCCGGCAGAAGTTGGCCTTGCTTGTAGAAGTTATCGCCGGTTCCCTGGGTGGGATTAGTATTGGATGCGTAGGGTGAGAAATGAAATAGAGGGGCAGCGTCAACGTACGACGTCAATCAGGATATCGAGGGGACCGCCAGACCACTTCTTCACGAGCTCTGTGGCATCGTGCTCCTTCCACTTATCTTGCTGGTCGTCGCCGAAGTAGCCCTTGAAGGCTTTTTGGCCCCAGGGGCAGTTGATGGGGTTTGTGATGGGTGCGAAGGCGGAGACGGACTTGTACTTGCCCGGGTTGCGGAGGAACTAGATAAGTTAGAGAATTGAGCAGGGTTATGGGGCAGGGAAGAAGCGGCTAGGTTGAATTGAGAGAGTTCCGGAAGGAAACTCGATTTAACATCGTTGACATACCAGGGTAAGAGCACCGTGACCACCCATGCTGTGACCAGTGATACTGACGCGGCTGGCGTCGAGCTGGGGGAACTCGGCGAAAACGGTCTTGGGCAGTTCCTCGGTGACGTAGCTGTACATATTGTAGCCGGCGTTGTAAGGGGCCTTTGTAGCGTCGACGTAGAAGCCAGCGCCGGAGCCGAAGTCATAAGCATCATTCTCGCCTTCGATGTTAAGACCGCCTGTGGAAAGAGTTAGCTTTTAGTTACAATAGATGAATTGCAAGATTCAAGTTGCTCCCAGGATAGAAGAAGAATATCCCGAACAGCTTTCCATTTTATAGAAAGCTTGGCGATGTCTCTTCCTCTGGAAATCTTCGCATATTCATGAGATTCTCAGGTTACGTACGAGGGCTAGTATCCGGATAAAGCACAGCAATACCTTGCTTGCTGGCGCCGTGCTGGAAGAAGCCCTTTTCAGAGCAATTATCGGCGGTGCAGGTCAGACCGGACAGGTAAATCAGCACGGGGACCTTCTGGGTCTGGGCCTGTGGGGGCAAGTAGAGGTTGAAGGACATTTCGCAGTTTGTGGTGGTGGCATTGTGGCTAAGCTTGAGGAGCTTGCCGCCGAATGAGGCGATGGTGGCCTTGGTGGTGACGGACATTGTGTGGGTGGATATGTGAACAAGGAAGAATACGGAGGAAGGAGAAGGGAAGATGTGGAGTAGAAAGGAAAAGATAAATACGGCAGTTGGCAGATCGGAGGTTGACGTTGCGCGGGGTTTTTTTGGTCCCGCATGAGGGGAAGCTCCACCCCTCACCCCGATTGGGAATTGGGAACCGCTGGATTATCGTACACTATAAGAGATAAGCTACTAACATTGATATTGACCATGACCATAGAGTCCTGAAGTGTATTTGCCCTTCCACCCTAGGGACACAATATCAGCGTCCTTCAACTTTCTCCTGTACAAATTTGGACTCGGCTGCTATACTAGGCCTCGCAATATAACCTCGCTGTCTTCCCCTATTTTGTCCTTATAAGCTACACGATCCTACTGATTTAAGGCGCTAAGAATGTTATCAGGCGATAGAAAATGTTTGGGTATTCACATTAAATACAGAATATGGCTTCAAACTGAGCCTGAATAGTATCTACTACAAGTATGTCAGAGAGCAAAGAACATACTAGCTTGAACAGAGCCTTGGTTTATCTAATGGCAGAGTCAAACAAGACATATGGGCACATAGTTTAATACTGGCGCAATATAGATTAACATCGGTTCATCCTTTGTGATCTGGTGGAGACCATAGAAGATGGGAATAGGGGCTTCTCGTGCACCGACAACAAGCTTCTTCATATATCCGAGAGAGCTGGACACCTCCAAACTAGCCTTGGTCAGAGGATCGGTGTTTGGTATTTGATCATTTGATACTGCGAGCCTCAGAGATTAATATGCAACAAAGAGGAAGATTTCTCAGAATAAGTATGCGTTGCGGTAGAGAAAGATGCATATTTACCGGACATTCAACTCCACTCGACCACTGGCACAAGAGTGCTACCTTATGGAAGTGCTTCAAGTTTTACTACGATTCCAAGGTTACAGTATTCATGATTAAGCTCACAGCACTGTCTGAACTCAGCCATGGCCAGATGCAGCTCAGGGATATGATCAGCCGGGAGAATGGATACTCCGGTGGGGGCGGAGCGTGAGATGACATCGTCGGTGTTGGCTCCTGATTTACTTCTTGACTTTCATCCCGGCTTCCATCCCGAGGTCCTTCTTCTGGATTTAAAGGCTGAACAACCTGGTTTACGATCCAGAGACCATGAATCATGAAACAACTTTCGGGGACTCGAATCAGGGGTTTCAGTTGGGTGTCAACTATGGATCAGTTACAAACGAATTCCATTCGCATGGTGGTGAGTTGATCTATGGATATGAGCCTTCCTTAGGACCGGAAAAAGCTAACAGGAAGATGAAAGATCGACAACGCGCAGACCAGGCATGTCTACGCGATTTGAAAACCAGTGACCCCCGCGAAGATAAAGATCGCATTGAAGAAATCAAGGGAGGTCTGCTTAAAGACGCATTCCAGTGGGTGCTTGATAACGACGAATTCAATGACTGGCGGAAGGATGAGGGGAAAAGAATTCTCTGGATAAAGGGCAATCCTGGCAAAGGGAAAACAATGCTGCTCTGCGGACTTCTTGATGAGATGCCAAAGCTAGACACAGAATCCGAACTGGCGTTCGTTTTTTGTCAAGCAAATAATGCGCATATGAACGATGCGACCGCTGTACTTCGCGGTATAATCTATATGCTTGTCACGCAAAAGCCCGCTTTGCTCCACCATGTAGGAGCCGAGTACGACAAAAGCGGTAAAGATTTGTTTGAAGGCATCAATGGATGGTGGGCTTTGGTGAAGATATTCACAAGTATTTTGGAACAGTTACCGAAGGCTTGTATCGTTGTTGACGCTCTCGATGAGTGTACATCGAATCTGACACATCTTCTGGACCTGATCTCATCCAAAACTGCAATCTTCCCACGGGTCAAGTGGATAGTTTCCAGTCGACCATGGCCTGTGATTGAAGAACGACTCAAAAATGAGCCGCGCAAGTTAGTTCTCTCGTTAGAAGATAACGACAAACCGATTTCTTCCGCCGTTGCGAAGTACGTTGGCTACAAGGTCAGCGAACTGGCAAAGCTCAAGGGCCATGACTCAACAACACAAGAAGCCATTCGGACACGCTTGCTCTCGGGAGCAGAAGGAACCTTCCTCTGGGTAGCTTTGGTCTTTGAAGATCTGGCCAACGCTGAACCATGGAATGTGGTGCAAGTGCTGGACTCACTTCCCCAAGGCCTAGATGCGCTGTACCGGCGCATGGTGAACAAAATCAACGACTCTAAAGACTCGAAGCTTTACAAACAGATATTAAGTGTCATTCTTACTGTTTATCGGCCTATCACTATCGATGAAGTGTTTCATCTTGCTGACTTGTTTGAAACCCGCTCTCAAGCTTATTCGATTGCTATCATAGAGTCGTGTGGCTCTTTCCTCGTTATTCGCCGAGGTACTATCTTCTTTGTGCATCAATCCGCACCTGAATATCTGCTTCAGAATGCTCGTGACGAAATATTATCTACCGGTGTCGAGTTCACACATAGCATGATAGCTCGTCAGTCTTTGAGAACTCTGTCCAAAGAACTCAAAAGAGACATGTATGACATCAAAGATCCAGGGTGCTTGATTGATGATATAAGGAAACCCGAACCGGATCCTTTGACGCCCGTAAGATACGCTTGCATTGCCTGGGTTGATCATCTCGAAGCTGCACTGGCAGTAGATTCAAACGATGCCTCAGATTCCAATAGTTTCTTTGGGTCCGAAGGCCTTGTTGCTGAGTTTTTGTCTCATAAATATCTCACATGGCTTGAAGCCTTGAGTATCCTCGGAAGTGTATTTGAAGGAATCTCTGCCATGCTGAAGCTCGAAGGCTTGCTCAAGGTTAGTCTCACATTTAATACTAGTAAAGGAAGCGAGCCGCTCTAATATTCGTCAAATAGAAAATGGACAATCTTCACTCACTTTCGCTGCAAGCAAATGACGCTTCGCGATTTATTCGATATCACCGACCAGCGATTGAGAGAAATCCCCTACAAGTATATTATTCTGCATTAATTTTCACGCCTTCTAGAAGCTTGATCCGTGTCAATTACAAGTGTGACATACCTACATGGATTTTGAATGAGCCCATGAGGGCTGCCCACTGGAGTCGATGTATTCAGGTCCTTCAAGAGAACACGGCTTGCATCTATTCGGTTGCTTGGGGCCCGAATGGTGAACTCGCATCTGGATCGCGTGATAAAATGGTGAGAACATGGGATCCCAATACAGGGAAATGCCTAGCAACTCTGGAAGGACATGAAGACACGGTGGTTTCCGTTGCTTGGTCGAAAAGCGGCGTTCTCGCTTCTGGATCAATCGATGGAACCATTAAGATCTGGGACACGGCTATGAGACACTGTGTGGCCACTCTAAAAGATGGCAAAAGTAAGGTTCTCTCGATAGATTGGTCTCCTGGGGGCGTGTTACTTTGCTCAGGGTGTGAGAATGGCGTCATCAAAATTTGGGATACAGCAATTGGAGAATGTAAGTCAAGTCTGAAAGCAGATATAGATAATGTTGGCTCAGTTTCCTGGGGGCGGGATGGTCGACTGGCAACCTTTTGTCATGGTGTGATGCGAGTTTGGAACCCGCTGACTGGTGAATGTCTCTCAATCATCTCGGGGTGTGGAGAAGGTATACGTTCCATTGCTTGGTCTACCGACGGGCGAATAGGAACTGGCTCTAACAGCCATATACCTGCTGTGTGGTCCCCAAGGTCTGAGCTCTGCCTTGCAAGCTTTAAAGGGCATGAATATTCTGTGACCTCTGTCGCATGGTCTTCGAAGGGAATTTTTGCTTCTGGGTCTTTGGATGAAACTATCAAGTTCTGGGATCCACGCACTGGAAGGCATATTGAGACTATAGAGGGACATGGAGACTCAATCATGTCAATTGATTGGTCAGAGGATGGGAAGCTTGTCTCTGCCTCCTCTGATGGTACTATCAGACTTTGGGATACAACAGGGATAGAAGATCAGCCGTTCTTGACTTGGATTTTTTACCGTATTTCGTTCATGATCTGGTCAGCATTTGCGACATTTGTCTGGTGCATTGCACAGGGACAAGATAGGAAGAAACCGATTTCTTGGACGAATTATTCAACGGGGATGACTCACAACCCGCTGACTGACAGATTCGAACCTATCAAGATACACAAATCCGACAAAACTAGGATGATCTTGGCCTCTACCTTTTGGGCAGTCCTTTTCTTTAGGAGTCGGTCGATGATCACGTTTGGACTTTATTTCATGTCTATTGTGACGACATGCTCGATCCTCTGGAAATGTCGAATTGTCAGAATCTGGGTTCCTCATGAAGGAAGTGGCATTTTTATAAGACCTATCGATGGGGAGCAAAAGTCAGTCACATGTCTCGCTTGGTCCCCGGACAACAAATTGTTAGCCTCTGGATCTCGAGACGCCACAGTCAAGATCTGGAATGCAAAAACCGGACAATGTATCTTGACACTCGAAGGACATTCCTCCTGGGCCAGGTGCGTTGACTGGTCACCCAAGAGGGGCTTGCTAGCATCTGGATCACTCGATGGAACTGTCAGGATATGGGACCCAGTATCCGGAGAGTGTACAAAGATAATCGAAGTGGGAGAACCTGTTCTCGACCTATCTTGGTCTTTTGATGGGAACTTACTGGTAACTGTTTCAATGACAACAAAGGAAGGCATCAAAAACACGATCAGAGTCTGGACCAAGAACACCATGGAATGCATTTTTGTGCTCGATGATACAGATAAAGATGGAGTGTCCTTTGATTTAGAGAATCCGAATCTCTTGCATACGAGCGCAGGGACATTCGATATACGATCCGGTCACGTGGTGAAGCACTCATCACAATTTTCAACGCGCCCCCTGTTTGAAGAGAGTCAATATGCACTAAATGAGGATTTGTCTTGGGTGACACGCCAAGGAAAGAAGCTGATCTTCCTGCCTTTGGAATATCGATCACACATATGGTGTTCCAATGATACAACAGTGGCGGTAGGCTGTTCCTCTGGTGAGGTATTGATTATGTGCTTGAGCACTATGAATAAATTCTGGTAAATTCCGCTGTTCTTAATAATAATTTTGGAACTCGAGATCCTCTAACGTCAGCCATGGAGACTTGCATTGTCTGATTGATTACTCATTATTTGATGGATTGGTAGATCGAATTGGGGGCATGTTGAACTGTTTGTATTGTAACCCCCATCCCGGTGATATGAAATGCCCTGTGTGATGAAACGTCCACCAGGTACCTACGCATTCGAACCCCGTCATTCCCAACCCACATGCTCGATATTGCCGAGAGCAGCAAAAGAAATAAGTATTTGATATCTTCTTGGATACCTCTTTTCAAACAAACATTATAATGTGCTAGAGTGGCGGATTACAGGTTGACATGGAGTACATGGAAATCCACTGTTCACTACCATCACGCCAAGATCATCCACAAAAACGTCTGGGATGGATAGAAAACATAATGTCGCATTATATCGCCTATATAGTTATCTATGTTAGTTCTTTGTATCACTATATTTGACTTTATTTGAAAATATATTAATTTTAGTGGAACACATCGCAGCAAAAAGGTACATGAAACAAAAGTACAGACAAAGGGAATACACGGGAAGTAAACGATCATGTACCTTGGTGTATGAAAAATACTAGCGCCGTCAAAAGGAACAGCTGCCCCACAGCCCTGTCCGTAAGTAGGAGATGGCCTGCTTTTAAGAGACATAATAATAGAAAGGGACATCGGGACCGCATCGAAATATGAGGGTATGTATTTGCTGTAAGTGAAGCCACAGAGTATAGGTTTTATATGTGTATGTATGCTGCCTGAACGCTACATGTTATAGACATAAGTCTAGGGTTATGAAGCCTCTTCAAGTTTCCCGTGTTGATCGCGGAGATATAACGAAATAAGGACTGATCACTGTTTCGGGATACTGTATTTACACCCAGACACATCAATATATCTTTCTAATGCATGTTATGCATCGCTTCCGCCTCTTCATATTTCCCTTGGCTGAAGAGAACATTGCCAAGGCTACTGACACTGATGAGAGTGTGAGGATGCTTGCGTCCAAGCACCTTCTCTCGTGCTTCCAACGCCCTACGATGCATCGCTTCCGCCTGTTCATATTTCCCTTGGCTAAAGAGCACGAAGCCAAGGTTGTTGACACTAGTGAGCGTGTCAGGATGCTCACATCCAAGCATCTTCTCTCGTGCTTCCAACGCCCTACGATGCATCGCTTCTGCCTGTTCATATTTCCCTTGGCTGAAGAGCACTAAGCCAAGGTTACTGACACTGGTGAGCGTGGAGGGATGCTCGTATCCAAGCACCTTCTCATATCCTTCCAACGCCCGTCGATGTATCGCTTCCGTCTCTTTATATTTCCCTTGGCTACCAAGTACTAAGCCAAGGTTATTGACACTGGTGAGCGTGTCAGGATGCTCGCGTCCAAATACCTTCTCTCGTACTTCCAACGCCCGTCGATGCATCGCTTCCGCCTGTTCATATTCCCCTTGGCTGAAGAGAACATTGCCAAGGCTACTGACACTGATGAGAGTGTGAGGATGCTCGCGTCCAAGCACCTTCTCTCGTACTTCCAACGCCCGTCGATGCATCGCTTCCGCCTGTTCATATTCCCCTTGGCTGTCAAGCACTAAGCCAAGGTCGTTGACACTGATGAGCGTGTCAGGATGCTCGCGTCCAAGCACCTTCTTATATCCTTCCAACGCCCGACGATGCATCGCTTCTGCCTGTTCATATTTCCCTTGGCTGAAGAGCACTAAGCCAATGTTACTGATACTGGTGAGCGTGGAGGGATGCTTGTGTCCAAGTACCTTCTCTCGTGCTTCCAATACCCGTCGATATATCGCTTCCGCCTCTTCATATTTCCCTTGGCTGTCAAGCACTAAGCCAAGGTTGTTGACACTGGTGAGCGTGTCAGGATGCTCGCGTCCAAGCACCTTCTTATATCCTTCCAACGCCCGTCGATGCATCGCTTCTGCCTGTTCATATTTCCCTTGGCTGAAGAGCACTGAGCCAAGGTTACTGACACTGGTTAGCGTGGAGGGATGCTCGTGTCCAAGCACCTTCTCTCGTATTTCCAACTCCCGTCGATGTATCACTTCTGCCTCTTTATAAGTGCCTTGAAGGACTAGATACCATCCACAATTAGATGAGAGATCGGCGGCATTCAAACTATCTTCATCATTCATGTCACACATACACTCCAGAACACTTTTGGCATGCGCAAGAAGCGATCTGCATTGCGTCCAGCTTTCGTAGTTGCCATCTGGAAATTTCCGTGCCATGATCACGCGAGATTTGGCCTGCCAGCTATGGAGCTGCTGGTGTATGTCTAGCCACGCCCGGACCGATAATTGCACCAGGCGGTGCATATCATATAGTCCTTCACTCATTTCCAGTCGGACCAGAGAATAATTAAGCAGCGGCACCAATGCATCGTGAAAATCTAGCTCATCTTGTTCAGACCCGCGCACTAAGTCCTCTGGGATCCCCTGCCGATCGAACATACTCATCAGCGACAGTAAATCTGCCGCTGCGGGCCGCTCCTGACGGATCTGCTCAAACGACAGCTGCCATGTGGTAATCACCGCATACCGAATGCTGGGATCACGCCGGAGATCCGTGGATTCCTCACTCTGGAGAAGCCGCGTCTGCTTCGCCTCGCTCTCATGGAATAGCCGAAGGTATGTGGAGACTGTAACAAGAGGTAACCGGGCGGTAATATACGCCGCAGCCTGTGTAATAGCCAGTGGGATATACTCTAATGCCTGAACCAGTGCCTTCTCATCCACTTCAGAGTCTCCAGATGGCGGGACCCTTACTCGAAGAAGGACGAGGGACTCTTCTTCATTCATTGGCTGAACCTCAATTATATGACCATCCGTCCCCACCAGATTCCGTGCCGCACGACCATTTCGCGATGTGATAAGGATTGATCCATGCGCAGCCTGAGGCAGGAAGCTGACCAGTGGCCCACGTTCATTGGATTCATTACCACGGAAAAAGATACCATCGTCATCCGCATTATCTAATACCATCAGCCAGGGTCCATTGCGTGTATCAAGCAACCACTGATACACGAGCTGGAAGATGTTCGTCTTCGGATCGTCCCGTCCCGGAATCTCTGCGACTGCGGCAATCTGCTGGTAGCCCTGCTCCAGCCGCGCCGCATTGCTGGCGTGAATCCAAAAAACCCACGTGTGTGGTGTGGATTCTCGCACGTGATATGAATACTGGATGGCTGTCTGGGTTTTTCTAAATGGCAGTGGGATCAGTTTTTATTCAAAAGGCTTTCTCGTAGGGACAGCTAACCCAACGCCGGCTAACCCCACCAATGCCACTCGCTCATGACGCTGGCCGGTCGCCCTTTGTCTTTCCTTGATCGCACGGATCACAGCTTCTCGGCCAACAAACATCGCATCCTTCTGAAAAGGCACTGTAGAGCACGGCTGGGGCGGGGTTTTCTGTTGGTCTCAACCAAAGAACGGCAATTAGTCCTGGCTGGATAGGGAGCTATGTATTGTAAACCTCACTTTGAGGCAGATAGATTACTCCATAATTGTTTCCCACTTGGTTCCCCCGGTTATTGCTGCCGAACAATATGGAGGACATGATGACTTCGTAATGCGTATCTGGGGAAATCAACGTCAGGCCTTCCAGAACTGGCAGAATATTTATTCTCAGCCTCGATATCGTGTGACCCGGGTACTGAGATGGATGAGAGGCTCTTGTTTTATTTTTGGATGTAACTCACCAAACCGAGACCCACTACTGTGGTTTGTACATACTCAAGCTTTATAACAGAATTATCGGAGAGATGAGAGCGGTTTTACGTGATAGATGACCACCTCAGCCTGCTGAGGCTGAGTCGATCGACACGTGCGGGGTAAAAACATACAACTATAATCATTGCTTAATAGACAATGCTGTATATTGAATGCAACTGCCTCCCATATCATTTCTTGATACAGTATACAGGCCACATACCAGTGTATTATCAGTCTGCTACGATTGAAAGGACATTTTCCTACAACAGCTAATTACCATACCTGTGACCTTCACTTCACTTCATGGCTTATGACATGATCCATTGTCCTGACATCACGTGTCGCAATCTGAAACTAAACTTTCCTCGGTTTAGCTTAAGGCTAGCCGTGTTAGACTTAGCGCCTAGTGAGAGAGCTGTTGTACGTAAGGCCATATCCAAGGCGAACCAAAAACTGTCCTATTCCTCGGGTGATCGCTCTAACCTAAACTCCACGTGACCGACGCCCTGTTTCTAGGCAGCAGATGTGAGTCTCCACCAAACACGACTGTTTAACTTCACTGTCGCCAAGCACTCTGTTGAAAAGTGCTGTTGAAATTTGCACGCTCTATTCTTTAGCTTAAGCGCGGCTGACGGTCGAGAATTATGTTTTCTCATTCATCATAATCACCCAATCAATTTTACTTTTACTCGACTGGCCACTCCAATTCTCTTGTTCAACGGTCAAAACACACGCTATCTGACCAAATCCAAATACTGTAGCTACTTTACCTATACTGTAGTTAAAAGGTTTACAATAAGGGTCCTAAGTGTGGTTAATATAATTACAATACACACCAAAACATTGCGTAAATCGCAGTACTCCGACTCTCGCTTATTGTTCAACGGTCAAGAACGCGCTTCTTCAGATTATCATTTAAGGCTAGTAAATACACCAATATTCATAAAATTCCAGGATTAAGTGATTTCAGTATTTTCTAGATATCTGTAAAAACTGACACGGGTATATAAAGCTTTGTAGGGTATAGAGATTCGATATTATTTAGATTCCTCAGGATTGCGATGGAATTGTTAAGTCAAGCTGGTAAAATTTGTTTCAAAAGAACCTCATCTAAAGCCAGTCGGGAAACTTCAAGTACATAACAATTGAGCATACATACCGTTTTCTCGAATCTGCTTGCTGCTATTCGCGTAATCTGCGGTTTTCATACTCCTATGCTCTTTCACGGCCTGAATAGTTCCATTTCAAGTAGGAGATTCCCCTCAGGAAACTGTGCTTAAAATGACCAATTACTCAGTATTCCCTCTGACAAACAAAGTGACAAAAAGTGTTCCTCCGATGACAGAACCCTGGAAACCCCTTGATCCAAAAAAAAATTAATCATTTAGCTGTTCGTGTGGCAGTCTAAATAAGCAACACCACCAGGACCAAATAAAAGAAAGAATAAATAATGGGCAAGGAAAAAACTACCAAAAAATAGAAGAAGAATGTGGCGCCGCCCGGATTCGAACCGGGGCCACCTCGGATTGGAAATTGTTGCTATTCACTATAGAACGGCAATCGACCACAACGAGGCATCTTAACCAACTTGACTACAGCACCTGATTGGATAATAAGCGCTCGGCTAGTGGCTTTATCTACACAACATGTCGAAACATGCACTTGAGCATTCATTACCAGTCACCAATTATGACTAGGTATCGTCGAGTGAGACAATAGAAAATTGTTTGGTGACAGTGTCACTGTTTTTCGGAAATGCTGTACTGCCAGTGGTGTTTCTTCCAAACCTTGGAAGTTTTAGGTCGACGACTCGAAGATTGAGGCTGTCTCGATCTCTACCTAGGTAGACTACCGTCACTCATTTATATATCAATGTCCACGGGTCTAGATTAGTAAAATACTAGTATCATCATTACTCATCTAATGCATTCGGAATGCAGGCTAAACGAGACAAAAGTAAACAAAATCATAGAAACCAGTTCAAACACTGCCAAGTGTAGAACTAAAACGCCAGCAGAAAAAAAAAACACCCCAGATATGCTATATACAAAGATGCAAAGGGCCACGAAACCCTACCCACATGCTGCACTCATTCATTCCAAAAACACCGGCACCCCATAAACAACCGGCGCAGCCCCATTCAAATACTTCAACACGCAGGACTTTCTCGCCCCCGCAATAGCCGTATCCAAACCAACCGGCTCCTCATCAACAGAACGCATCTTCCCCCCCCAACAACCCCCAAGTCTCAAACGCAGACGTCGAAAACCGATCAATATCCCTATCCGTAACATCCCACAACGTCGCCACAAGCGCCGGACTCCCCGCCTGCAAATAGTTCATCGGCGTCCCGTACGGCTCGTACTCGCCCGCCTCAGTGAGACTCCCACTACTGCACCCCATCAGGAACGCAACAGCGCACTGGGTAAGTCGTTTCACGGTGCGGCCGCGGATGTACTGCGCGCCACTTCCGTGCCCGAAATAAAGGAACAGATCCTTTGTCTCGAGCGCGGAGCGGAATTCTTCTTCCGAGGGTTCGCGCGTGAGGCCTGTCCAGGACTTTTGCGCTGATAGGTCCTTTTCGAAGGTTTCTTGCGTCGTGCGGAGATCGCCGGTTGGGTTTAGGATGTATGAGCCTGATGATCGGTCGAGGATCGTGCCGGATGCAGAGGGGCGGAAGTGCAGGACGCGTTCGCGGAGACATTCTAGTGACGGGACGCGGGTGACGGGGTAGCCCTGCAGGCAGGGAATTGATTCCCACGGGAAGAGGTGTAGTGCTTTGTCGAGGACGAGGACTGTATGGCTGGGTCGTTGAGAGAAGAGTTCTTCCTTTGCAGCTTTGTGGTAGCCGCGCAGTGCGTCTAGGGTATCGAGGACCATCATGTCGAAGTCGATTTCATCGTAGGCATTGCGTTCGCCCTGGAATTGGAGGATATCGACGACGAAATATAATAGATCCATCAGTGTGTCCTCTGGCTCGTCCTGGTCCTCGAGATCCCTAAGCCCGATGAATAGTTCCAGGACGTTCTGGTGCAGCGTGAGGCGAGGTGATGCCGATGCTGATGCAGCCTTGCCGCCTTTCTGGCGTGAGGGGAGGTGCTTATCTAGCAATGCTTGGAATGCCTCTGCGAATCGAGACAGGGCTGTACTATCCCGCGGAAGAGGCGAGAATATACCACGGAACCCCCCCGAACCAGATATTCTCAACGTTCTGCAGGAGACTTTCCATGCGGCGGTCCAGAGTCTCGCGGTTCTTCCACCACTCTTTCTTCATTGCCTTGTCTGTTTGCAGTTTTGCGGCGTGGGCACTCTCGTTCGCTAATCTGATAAGTTCGGCCATTTCTTCCTTGCCGTCTTCAAAGGTGAATTGCTCCTCCTCGTCATCCTCCGAACCCCGACGGAGAGGAAGGCGCAGGAGGAACGGGGAGCGGTTCTTCTGAAGTCGCGAGACGACAAACTCAGTTTGATCCGCGCTCAGGGATAGGGAGAGCACGTTCCAGTTTTCGGGCAGGATGTCGATATACTGCTCGGCGAAGTTGGAGCAGATCTTTTCGTCCATCTCGTTGGTTGAGGTTATGGACGTTGGCCAGAGGAGTGGATCGGCGTAGTCGACGAGTTTACGATCAAAGTCGATAGCCACTCTTTCCCGGGCAAATGCACCAACGCGACCAATTTCTGCACGTTTAGTTAGATCTTCAAACTTTTCCGCTTATTAACACTCGAAATTCAGGTTTTGACTTACCATTCATGTTCGCGGGCGACTGGGCCAAAGTGGCCGGACCTCCAGGATTAGTAGCATGAGAAAGCATCGAGATCCGACTCATAAGCCTGGAAGCAGCATGGCTTTCAAGCGTCGACCCAAGAACCGTAGCATCAGCAAAGACGCTCGTAAGACAATCACTAGCCTTGGAAAGCATCATAGAGAAATCCTCGCCAGCTTTCTGAGCCTTGCCACGGGTTGCCCTAGCCGGGGCTCTTGTCTTTCTAGCAGTGGTGGACTTTGTTGCTGGCGGGGGAGTGATTTCCTCGACGATCTTGGTAGGTGTCTTGAGGGATGGCAGGGAAATTGTAGACTCGGGTAAAACGCAGTAGACAGCGTGACTGGCGAATTTGCGAATGGCGTCTGCGAGGAGATGTTCGCTCTCCCCGATTTCCAAAGAAACCTTACTTTCGCGAGCAGTGGCGAACTGTCGGGCTTCGGCGAGAGTGCGTGCGGAGCGATCGAAATCACGCAGGGCACGGAGGCAGTCTGCCTGTTGTCGAAGCACGTCACCCTTCAACCTTAGGAGAGACTGGGAATGAGCTTGGGGTTCTGGCCTTGGGGTCTTGGGAGCAGAGGCTCTTTTAGCTGTAGCAGTGGGTGTAGCAGTGGTGGCAGTCGATGCCGCTGAGCTTGTTGAACGTGTGCGTCGACCAGTTGTAGCTGCAGTAGTTGCAGTAGTTGTTTGGGCTCGCCGACTAGTTCGCACTTGCAACCTTTCCATCTTCTCCTCCAGAGCTGCCACATTCGGTCCTTCTGAAATGCTGATTGAATCAGCGGAGATGACAGCAGTGATGACCTTGTCTGCCTCCTGGAGTAACCGAAGTGCTTTATCATGATGTCCCTGCGCCTTATACAGCGAAGCAAGGGCCATCTGCAAGGAAACAGTCTCCACACTGGCCGGCAACTGCTTCGAAGACTCCGACGCCGCTATAAGAAGTTCCTGGCCCTCAACAACATCGCCACCAATGGTGCGGTAGCAACCAAGCTGTGTCTGTGCAGCAACGAGTCGAATATTGGCATCAAGCGTCTTGTCAATCTTCAAGGCCTGCTCTCCATAATAAATAGCATCTTGGAACAGACCGTGGTGAGCCGACAACGTCGCAAGGTTCAACAAGCAGGTATGGTGCGAGCCCAGGTGAGGCCAGAATGGAGCACCTTGGATATAGCTGGGCGAGACGTCTGGAGAAGATCCATTCTGAGAAAGGTCGAGCTTTGCGACCCCCTCAGCAACGGCGTCCATATCAGAACTCCCCGCTGCAGAAAGAGACTTGTCTTGTTTCTTTTGGGCCAGACGCTCTACCTTCGCCCAGATCCGACAGTTGAGTCTGACGGACAGTTTGGCAAAGTACAGCGCATGAGTCATTGAGCCTTGGGCAGTCGATAATCGAGACTGAACAAAAGCAGCATCGGCAACCATTCGCTCCCAAGATATCTTAGCCAAGACACTGAGACCGCTAAGCTCGTCAGATTTCTGAGTCTTCTCGTACATCTTTCTAGCCATCGAAAGCGCCGTCGACGCCTTGTCAACCTCCCCCGTCTCGAGAAGATGCTCGACTTTAGCCAACTTGAACGAAATACTAGCGAGAGAGGAAACACTGTGCTGGGTAAGGTACTGCTCGCCGCGCACAAGAAGTTTTCCCGCCTTTTGACAATGCCCGAGTTGACAGTGTTGAAGCACAAGACGCGAAAGAATGATGATAGCGTCCGAAAGGTCTCCGGATTTCTGAAGTTCTGCCGCTCGCAGAATCAATTCCAGAGCATTGAGTTGGGCTTTCCAGAGTCCGTGGATTTCGGTATAATCGACCAGGGCCTTGAGTTGAAGAACCCAATACTCGGTGTCGTGGACAAAGCCGAGTAAGGTCTCCCAGTCGGAACATTGGCGGGCCATAGATGCCCACGAAGCAAGTGTGTCATCGAGATCGCCTGCATCCATCTTGCCATCGTGGAAACCGATGATGACACGTAGCGAATTCGTTATGTGAGTCGCAAACGGAGCAAGGTCTGTATCTTGACCGATAAGATTGATACGGTTCAGATCCTGGGCTCCTTCTCCCATTACAGTTTCGGCCAGGTCTGAATTGAGAGCACTGGGATGCTCAAGCAAGAATCGGAGGACAGAGAGAATGACCCGCCCATGGCGAATGGGGTTTGTGTCAGGGGAATATATGTCGAGGAGGTTCGATACAACAGAGGTCAAGAGAGAGCGGAAGTCATCTTCACTAGAGGAATAATTATGCAGATCGAAAAGAATTCCCATCTGCCATTCAAGAAGAAAGCCTCTCGCTTCCACTTTGAGGTCACCGTCATCATAAAAAGACGAGGACTTCGATCCTTTCCCTCGAAGTTTGACCTTCAGTAGTCCGGTAAGAACGCGATTGAGCATGAAGCTAGGACTTTGCGGATCCAGCTTCGCCGAGCTCGAAAGACTTGCCGGATGCTCTGTCCCCATTTGCTCCAGGGCACCGGTATCGACGTACTCAGCTATTGATTGGCGGAAAGCTTTCTCTGCATCGCCGTACATATTCCCATCCACGTACAGATGAGCCGTGCGCTCGAATTTAAGCGCGGCAAAGGCAGTGGTCCTGTGGGATGAAGAGCAGCCGGACAAAAACTGAGTCGAATGTCTGAGCAGCGGGATCAGTTCTCGATAACCTTGACCAGCTTCCTTTTCCTTGATATAACGGGACCAGAAAAGGTTAGAGAGCTTGACAAGTCCCATGCCGATACCTTCTAACAAAGCTTCATCCGATTCACTGTCGGTAGTGCTTTCAACACTGGTGAGCAGACGATGCGAATCTGTCAGTATGGGAAGCATATCCTCCCAAGGGGGTCGCTGGGACATAATTGACAACTTCCCAACAGCGATGGCCGAGTCGACAGCGGCAAGGATGATACTCTTGGACATAGAAATGCGATTCTTGAACATTTCGATCTCCTTATCGTCCGCATCATCCGCGAGAGGACGGCCAACATACCGCCTGAGAAACCGCAGAAAAGCTTGTAGATATTCCCGAACTTGCGCGGCGATTTCGCTCTTATCAGCGTCGCTTCTCACTTTCTTCGTCATCGCATCGCCAAACCAAGCAAGGGCAAGTTTTTTCAACCGGGCAGCCTCAACAAGCAACTCGTCCAAATCACCAGCACTGCCTCGGAGTTGTAATCCAAGAGCATCTGTAGCCTCGGAAGTAGATTTCAAAGCTCCGTCCGTATACTTGGTCGACCCTTTCAGCGCTTGAAAGTAGACCGACGCAATCTTACATCGAACAGTAGCAAGAGAAAGACTCTGAGATGTCGTGAAAGGCGTAATAGCTTGCGAAAGCAACTTCAAAGACTCATCAAAGCACCCCGCATCCAAAGCAAGCTGGCCAAGAATAGCCATGATCTTAGCGCCGAGGTTCAAATCCTTCGCGTCTTGAGGCTTCTTCTTCACGTCGGCCATTGTCAATTGAATCCGGGAGATCGCTTTGTAGATCGTAGAGAATTCAATCTTCTCAACACCCTTGCTGCGATGGGAAAAGTTGCCCAGATATCGAAGCAAAGGATCAAACATCTCCCTCCCCTCATCGCAAACATGACCCGATATCTTCCAGCCCAAAGATCGAATTTCGAGAGCCAGTAGCTGAAGCGTCAACGCCGTGAGCGGCTTTGTAGAGTCCTTGCTCACTGAATCCTCACCCGAGGCCGAAGGCTTCACGGAACTCAAAGATAAAACGGTATTGGACAGCAGTTGAAGTTGAAGGGCAGCTTTATCGCTGGCCAGAACACCGGTTTTCATGGCCGCGCTGATAATCTGCGCCGGGCTGCTCGGGTCAGCCATTGCGAGCAGAGGGCAGACTTTCTGAATTGTCGCGGCTCGCTTGTCTGAGGCGAGTAGTCGCATCACGTTCGAATGGTAAGAAACCAGCAGGCCGTAAACGGGCTGCGCGTGCGCGAGATTCGAGAAACTGATCAAATCAGACATCCTCTCTTTGCCGCTGTCTTCGTCCGAGATTGTAAGTGTATCCTTGGTGTCTGCGATTTTCTTGCCGGCTCTTTTGGCGTCTAGATGTTGTTGGATTCGTCGCTTGAGGGATCGTAGTTCCTTGCTCGCCATGTCGTGGAGGCCCAGAGAGATCAGTTTCCCCGCTAAGACGCAGACGCCTTGCTCCAGCTGCATGTTCGGTAACTCTTGGCTTGCTTGGTCGTTTTTGATGGTTCGGAGAGTGGATAGTGCAAGCCGCGCGCACTCGGCGGCGGAGTAGATCCCCGAGTCTACGCTGGTAACGCTGCTTCTCCCGGATTTTGTCGAGGCGGTATCGGATATGGGCTGGCGCTTTGTAGTGGTGGATTTTGATGCGTCTGTGAGAGTCTTTAATGTTACATTAAAGACCTCTGTCGCGAGGACGAGCTTCTCCTGAAGCGTCAGTCCGACAGCATCTTGATCGACAATCGACTGCAATGTAGTGGTAGTGTCGGCGGGTGTCTTTGTTTTTGTTGTGTGAGACGTTCTCGCGCGAGAAACAGGGGCAGCGGAGTCCTTGGTCGATTTCGTATTCTTTCGCGCGGGCTTCTCGGTGCCCATTGACGATCCGCGGAGGAGGGTTTGGAGGGACAAGACGGTTGAATCGGAGCATGTTGTTGTGGACCGGACGGCTTGTTTAACCGTCTCAGTTAGGGAGTTCATTGGTAAGACGGTGACCGCCATGTCGGTGCTGTGAGGTGTACGTTAAGAATCGGCGTCATCAGTCGGTGAGATTTGAAGCTCGGATTTGCAGGTGATATCACCAGCACAACGCGCTGTGCGGGCTCGGGCTCGGCGTGTGTGGCCCAAACCCCAAGCTTAACGGCGCGTTGTCGGAGCAACAATATACAAACTAACCAATTCAGGTAAGGCGCATGGTAGCGGTCTGAAGCGGCAGAACGGGCTCTTGCTCAGTTTTGCCCGCGGAGTTCCTGAGCCGCGACTGTCATCTTGAAACTACGAATCTTCGAACCCCCCCAATTCCCCTATCTCACATCCAATGGCTATGCCACTACGATTAAGGCCGTCTGGTCTACCCCGGCAATTACTCTCCTTCTCTAAACAGCCCACTCTCGCTGCTAGCCGGTGTCAAGGCTCATCGCGACACTATGCCACCTCCGACCGACTCCCCAAGATCGCAGACGCCTCAGTATGGACAGCGATGATCCCGCGCTTTATCCGCCAGCGCAAGCCCCGCGACCCCGCGAGCAAAAAATCCAAAGAGTGGAATCCGGCCACGTTCTATATCGTTATATTCACCCTCATCGGATCACAAGCGATCCGCATGCTCACATTGAAGAACGACTACACGGCATACCGCCGGAGCACGGATGCGAAGATCGAGCTGCTAAAGGAGGTAATTGAGCGCGTGAAGCGCGGGGAGAAGGTTGATGTGGAGAAATTGTTGGGGACTGGTGACGAGGCGCAGGAGAAGGAGTGGGAGGATGGTAAGTACCGCACTCTGCGATGTGGATGATCAGTTCTTTTTGCTGACATATTTTTCCCGTTTGAAGTACTGCGAGAGATCGAAGAAGAAGATTCTCTTTGGCACCGTAAGGACAAGAAGGAGCCAGTAGCTCAGCAAGCTGAGGAACCAACTCCGATACAAAAGTCCCAACCAAAGGAGTCGTCAACGCCAAGTGCAGATGAGACGAAGAACCCGTCGCCACGGAAGACAAGATTCTTCTAGAACTTCCCCTTGCACAAATATATGGCCAAACCTTGCCATGAGTTTTATGCAGGCTTTGCAGAGCAGCTCTGTATAAACTTTTAGCCATCTGCCCCCGCCGACGCGCCGCGCAAAGCAAGATCGTGAAGAACGGCAGGGCAGGGCAAACAATTGTACTACTATATGATGTGACCCTACTCCCTTGTTGTATATGAGGCCATTAGCCTTCTTTGAGGTCGATATGAGCAGCCAAATATGAAGAGTTCATGTATATAATTCGACGAACAATTTTACCACCAACCTTCTTATTCAAAACCGTGGAAGTGTACATCCACATTAAATAACTTGAACTTGCTCAGGTGAAGGAAGGCAATCCAGTCTTTGGACGGGAAGTTCGATTCTATCTGCTCTAGATCTAAATACTATGCACAAACTTGTCATCACATGGGCAATAGCTGAGCAACAATCAAGCATGACAATCCGAGTCGAAGAATAAGTAAAAGTACCACACCCGGGTTCCAATATGGTCATAGAAATTCGAGCAAGGAAATCCTTGGGAAACCCCTCTAAAGCCCCGACTCTCCCTTTCCAAGTCTATCTATTGTTGATACAATCCATACAGCTTGCACACCATCCATCCAAGAATGAATCCCAAAAAAAAGGAAAAAGAAAACTGAATCAATCCAAAATCGCAAACAGCATCACCAATTTTTGAAGGAAGCAAACAAACGACAAGCGAGATGTTTCTGAAAAAAAGCCGAACCAAGAAAAAGAGAAAGGCAAAAGCGAAAAAAAGTGGAAATGAAATGAAATGAAGATTCCAGTGGAAAAATGCTAAACTTGGCCAAGATATCACGAAAAAGCGCGCGCGGGGGAATGGTGAAGGCCACACACAGACACCAACACCACCACCACACCCACGCTACGCCACACACAAGTCGAAAATGAAACACATCGCTATGAAACTATGATCGAACTCACTGCTTTGGTGTTTGAATGATCTTGGGCCAGTTCTCAGGATGAGGAACCGGCACTCGGCCGATATTCTGATCCAGGTCCAGGATGAGCTTCAGAGCGTTCCTTGATCGCAGATAAGGGAGGGGAGCCTTGGCGCCCTGCAGGCCGACACCGGGCTCGACCTGGCCGCTGGGGGTCAGGGCCTCTTCAGATCCAGGCAGAGGCAGCGCCTTCTGGAGGACTTCGTAGGCGGCCAGGGTGAAACCGAACTGCGGCGACGAGCGCATGATTCGGGCGGGGCCGCCCTTGAAGAAGGCCTTGAGACCCTCCTCCTTCCACACCGTCTGCGCACAGTGACGGAGACCGGTGTACCCGGTCTCACCTTTGCGGGCTTCGACTTGCAGACGGGTTTTGATCACGTCGCAGGGTGTGGTCAGGTAGGCAGCGGGCATACCGGCGATGGCACCGGCTGTCAAAAGCTGGACAACACCGAGCTTGTTGGTGGCGGTTTCGCCGAAGAAATCGCTCTTCAGATGAGCGTATGTGGGGAAGTAGATGGCGGAGAAGGGAACTAATCTTCATGTTAGATATCTTTCATTTGTGAGGGAGATGTGAGGGAGGAGCTTCTTACCATCGCGCAGGAGACAGGCACTGGCACCCTTGTACAAACCGACCAAACCCAGATTCTTCACAATCCAGAGCGCTGAGCGGCGGGGAGCACCCTCTACGTTTTTAGCGATCTCACCCTGGACCTGCAGGCGAATCTTGACAATCTCCAGAGGGTTGGTGAAGACCTATCGGCGGGAAATGGGTCAGTACATGATATAAAACTCTGGGGAATTCAAATTTCGGCCTGATGAACTTACCACTTGACAGGCACCAGCGGTACCACCGGACAGGACTTCAGCAGACCACTTGATCCGCTTGCTATCCTTGTCGGTGAAATAACCACGGACCAGGTCGTTGACAGTCAGTTTGATAGCCTTCTCGGGAGCAACACCAATCAACTGGGGAATAACACCAGAGTACAGGCCGGTGAAACCCTCGTTACGGATAACCTTCCTGGCGCAATCAAGCGAGTTGTTGTACAGCCGCTCACCGGGACGAGTGGACCGTTGGTTTTGCAAACGAGTCTTGACCAAATCAATGGGGTACACCATGAAAGCACCGAAAGCACCAGCAATACTACCCAGAGCGAAGTGATGTGCCGATTCAAGAACACTGTGCAGCAAGGAGGTGGTCTTGGCCGCGGCGTCGGCAGCAGCCTGGCCAGCAAGAGCAACAGGAACGCGCCATGAGGCATCGATGACCTTTGCGAAATCCTTCTGTGACAGGCGTCCGGATGGGGCGTCGAGACCGGCAAAGTGGAAGAGGATGTCAGCCTCCATGGGGGTGAAGAGGGAGAAACGCGTCACGCGAGCGGCCTCGTTCAAGAAGTCTGAACGAGTGATCTTGCCGTCGGTGCTCTTCTTGGTGGCCTCGCGGACAATCAGATCAATGATGTCCATCTCACGCATAATGTTTTGGAAGGCCCGGACATTGGCGTATGAGATCTTGTTGCTTGTGGAAATGTTGCAGAGCGAAGGGAGGTGCTCGAGGACATGGTCCGACAGCTTGTGCTTTGAGGTCTCCAGGATGATGCGCTGGAAGTCCTCCGGCTCGATGTACCCATCGCCATCCTTGTCGAAAATGTGGAATGCCTGGCGAATGCGCTCGCCTTGCAGGCCACGCAGCATCTGGGAGAATTGCGGGTATGTCATATCGTGGCGGGACTTGGTCCGTCCGGTGTACAGGGACGCCCATTCGGAATTCCAGTCGAATGGGATGCTATCTGGGGCCTTGTTCTTGTTGTACAGCCCTTGGACGGCGTCAAAAGTGACGGTCCCGTTTCCCTCCAGGTCGAACAGACGGAAGGCGATCTCGTACTCAGCGTCGGGCTTCGCAAGGAGGTTCTCGAAGGTAGCCCAGTCGGACAGGGTCAGCTTGCCCGTTCTCCGACGGTCAGCGACGCGGAACAGGATTCCATACTGCTCGCGCTTGATTTTGTGCTGTGGTGCGGAAGGGACAGGTCAGTAAGATCATCCTCGTACTTGGACTTGAAGATCGGCGCGAAGCATCGCACCGCACGGCGAATATGGAAGGGAAGGGACGAATCCGTCTCAGGATGTGAAGGAGAGGCTTACATAGTCCTCTTGCTTAGGGGCGACGGCATTGATGAAGTCGTTCTCGTTCATGAAAGCCTCCCCATGCTCGTCCTTCTGCGAATGACGCAGGAAGTTGGATCGGGCTTGGTGCGACAACTGCGGCGCCTCGGTGCTGCCGACGAGCGTCTCCTTGACGGTTTCCTTGATGCTTGCCATTGTGACACAGAGCCAGCTGAATAAATCGATTCTGGACAGGGAAAACCCGAGCTATGAAAAGGCACCACACAGCAATTGGGGGGGAAGGGGGGGTGGATGTGAAAGGGTGTGGAGACGGGGGCTTGAGTCAAGAGGAATGAACCCGACGATAATCCAGTGCTAGTAATCACGCAGGCGGACCGCGCTGGTGAACGGGTACTTCTACGAAGTACGCCTTTCTGTTTATGCTTTGTACCTGATACTTATGATAGTAATAGATAAATGGATATTAAATTTGTACTCTATACAACAATTCATACGGTTAATTATATTCTAAGTACAGAAATTTCCTAATGTTTTGATTTGGCCACCACCAGTACATAAGAATATGAAATTTTTCACCGCCCCTGGGGATTTACGGATGGCGTTATTTACCCGGTGAGCCTTCGGTCTTAGGGCCGACCCCAGCATCTCCGCATTTTGTCCGATTCTACACCATACTTACTAGTATATTACCATGTATTATCCTGCCAGTGACAAGGCTAGATCTGCATGGTCATCTTATACGGAGAATATGGAGTGTATCCCTATATCTACGGAACATATACGGAGTATATACTCCGTAAACTTTACTACGGTCAGGAACGCATGTGAAGGGATTTCGTCGCCACGATCCACAGATCCACGGTACCACCAGTGTGGCCAACTCCCCCCTGTCACCGCGGTAAGCGATATCAGATTCAAAGACCAGATGACCACGGGAGAACAGGCTTCCGAAAGGGTGAAACCGGGTCACCAGCTCCTACAGCCAGAACGAAAAACGAAAAAAGCAATAATCCGGGTGCGTGCGGAGGCAACAAGGCGGGTCTTGGGGGAAAAAAGTTGGAGACAGCCCTGGCCCTTTGACATCCTGCATGATTATTGGTTGGGGTTTCCCCTCGCTCGCCCCGGTCACCAAACTCGGCTCAACTCCGCTCTCCGCATAACCCAGTTAAGTTGGGGGGAAAATCGTCGCTTTTCTGGGGAAGTCGGATTCTCTCTCCAATTGGGGTGGTTCTGCTGGGCTGATACCTAGGTATTTTATATTGCTCATTGCTCATTGCAGAGGGTGTAGATGTCGTATATTCTGAGCCATTGTGTTTCTCAATTTATGGCGATATATCTGTCTTTTCTTATGTAGCACCGGCGCGTAAACCTGCCTCTTATGGTGATTCTCCTGCTCGCATCTCTCTCGCCCCAGTCCGATCATCCCCGAGACGAGATGAGGTGGAGAGGAGAGACGATGGGATGAATAACATTGTCCAGATGGAAGTACCGTGGCAAAACCTGACTATTTGTGTACGGGGTACTCCGCACGGATTATACCTGCCATTCACATCTCTCAATCCATCACCATCACCACCACCATCCTTTCTACGGGGAAAAGAACCAACATCACCCAATTAAACCACCCATCCATAATAAAATAATTAGCGGCCGCCAAAACAATCACCCTTTCACAACCGACCAAAGCAGCGCCCGAACCCTCGAACAAAATGCAGACTAAATCCTACCAGACAGAAAGCAATGAGGACAGATTTCCCGAAATATAAGGACGGCATCGCAGCGATCGTTAGCTGGAATTATTCTGCGTCAAAGGCGGAATCTGAGTCGCTGTTGTGCAACTGTGACGTCGATGAAGCCATACTCCTTTGGTAAGAGGCGTGGTGGTGTGCAGGCCAGAAAGAGCCTGGAGTCTGAGAATTATTTATGCGATTGCGTTGAAAGAGCTAGGTTCGTCGGGTATGGTATATCCTAGGAGCCTTGGAGTGCTTTCGAGGAAGATAGCAGTGTACTAGGAACGATACATTGAGGATGTGGGAGGAGTAGATCTCGGTGATGGGCGTGGGCCATGGTTTCTCTTAGAACAAATTGTTGGACTGGGAGCTCGTTGATGCTAAACGCGTATTCTAGGGATAGGATTTGGAGGGCGTGGTGCTCGGCTTCGGAAAGTGTCTTCAAGTTTTTGGCCGGCGATTGCTCGTGCGGAGATGGCTCGGGGGCCTCGATAGAGCTATTAATCGAGGGTGATTTGGTAGTTGTACTCATTTGGCAGGGTGGAAGGTAAGTACCAGCCAGGTCATACACATACCCGGTATAACTATCGGTGGCCTGTAGAGGATCTCCAGTATAAAGGACCGGGCCAGTATTCGTGAAAGTACATTCGGTTGAGGTCTCTTGGATGCACCACCGTCGCTGATAACTCGGACTTCTCGAGCACTGCCGGTGTCTTCATGTCCTCGACTCAATCAACCCATTCCGATCCGGATCTGCATCGTCATTCTTTAATGGGGGGCACGAGTATCATCGTACCAAGGGACATCTTCTCTGGTAACCCATGCGCCGAGGGTAAAATGGCAGCAATTGCTAGAAAGAGGGAGAAATTAGTCATTCATGGTATCAAATCGTTTAGCTGGGTCGTCCAGATTGGGTAAGTGAATCTTCCAATCTGCCAGTCGCAGATTAGCAAAGAACAAGCCCCTGCACCAACTGTACCTGTCGGGTTCTAAATTAGTCGGTCAGCACTTGAATACCTTGGAAGTTCTTCGAGATGCAAGGTCCTCAACGTATGTACGGAGTATGTACTAGGTATACACACACATACACCTGGGTAAGGGACCTTAATCGCCGACCTCAGACCTCAACAAGCTAGGGCTTCACCTAACTCTCTGTTCCTCTCGTCCTAGCCCGTGCTAATTGTCCTAGTAAACTAGCAAAGGATCAAATAGTGCAACTAAATGTACTCCGTACTACGGGATCCTCCGTGGCAACTTTCGATCCTGCCGATCAGCCCCCAATGAAGCTCAATGCATAATTCGTGATGGAAACCCCGACAGAAGGTTTATCGCCACATCCACTTAGATATCATCCATGAGGTCGGCAGGGTGATATTGAGTGATAAGGCTGCAGATAAATACCGGCCACTTAATTTCTACAATTGTGGATTCCTTGAAGGAGGGGGGGCCAGCCCCCTCGTTGGGGTGTCGAGGATGCCTCAGGATGCATGGCTGCAGGGTATGCTCAGAAATCACGGCCGATCACATCTTGCCGAGGGTCCAAGTAACCCAGGACTGGCATTCGCCCTGATGGTTGGCCAGCGCCGACGCAGAAGCTCTACAAGGTTGGGACCAAAGTGTGATGGGAGAGGTGATAGTGCGTTGTGGTGCATGGAAAAGGGCGCGTAGAGAGATGGCGATGGTTGGTGGCTTGGCCCCCCGCCCGAATGATGGGGCCTGTTTCTAAGTATAAGTATATAGCCGCCCACATCCACTCCAACCTCTCTTCTTCTCTCCCTGCATATCGTTGTTTGAGGTTTTTCTATTTTTCTCTTTCTATTTTCGTCTCGCGCTTCTCGTTTTGGCTGGTCCAGACGATCTCTTCCTTCTAAGTCTATCTACTCTACGTCAATAATTATCATCTCTCCCTCTTTCTACACTCTTCCGGTGACCTTTGTTGATCAAAGTTTCCCCGCGAAAATCAAAAATCAAAAACCAAACGACTTCTTGATCTTTTTCTCAAATTCTACATACACTACCATCAACATGTACGCTGCTCGCTCCGTCAAGCCCAAGCTCTCTCTGAGCATCGCCACCACAACAAGCGCTCCTCGCCCCGCACTGTCTCTCAAGTCTCCCGGTCTTCCTCGCACGCCAATCTCACCTGTTTCTGCCGCAAGCCCAACAGTCAAGAGGTTCTCTTCTCTGCAAGTGCCCTCGTATAGCTACTCCAACTCCTGCTCGTCGAAGAGCATTCTCAAGAAGGCGCCGGCTGCACGATCAGGTGTTGCCGACAAGCGCATCAAGTTCCAAGTTACGCCGACAATCCACTGCGTAACTCCAATTGAGAACCCGGACGAGTACTACGGCCGACACACGAAGATCACCCGTGAGGAGCGCCGCTGGACAGTGAGAGAGTGAGAGTCTTCCTTTTTGGAATACTCACTGACACCGGCTGTCCGGCCGGCTACGAAGTCAACCAACCACGCTGAGCAATCTACAAGACAAACGGAAGAAAAGTTAAAGTGAGAACTAGATAGCGCCTCGGATTTATGCACTGCACCGACCGACTCGACAAGTACAGCCCAAGCTGTACCTGCGTTAGCAACCACCTGAAATGCCGAGCCGAGTCGAATTCATTGACCGGTGAGCTGAGCTTGGCCGAATGTAGATAATCGAGTCTGCGAGAATATGAGAAGTTGGAATGGAATGTCGATGCATTGCATGTTTTGGAAGAGATGATTATATTTTATGACGTTGATGGGCCTCCGATTGATGACTGCGATACCTTTTTGTTTAACCAAGTCACTCATTTATCATTGAATAGTATGGTGTTTCACGCACCTTTCGTATGCGCAGCCCAATTCACCGTACCCATCGCCTGTATCAGGAGATCTTAGATGCATTCCATTTTAATTTATCCCAATCACAAACCAGTAGGACTGCGACTATACTTAGACTTCGGCCAACTTTTTAGGGCAGCCTTTAAGGGCTTCTTGGCCCGTGCGGCCCCAATCTTTTCTCGCCGCGTGACGCCAACAACGTCTAATCAACACTTCAATGTTCTCAACAATAGCCCCAGCAATCGCTCTGCGCCGATCAGCCGCAGAGCTCAGGCGAAACGGCCCAAGATGCCACCGAGGCCTCCTCACCCTCGCAATCGAGACGTCGTGGTAAGTCCAGCAATCTACCCACCCACCTACCGAGATACATACCCTCATACCCCAGAACAAGACAAGCTAACACGATCCCCGTTTACCAGTGACGACACCTCAGTAGCAATAGTCGAAAAAACAAACACCTCCACCTCCTCCAAAGCCAAAATCCACTTCCTAGAGAACATCACAGCCGACTCACGCGCCCACCGAGGCATCCACCCAATCCTGGCCCTAGAATCACACCAAGAAAACCTAGCAAACCTACTCAACAAAGCTCTCAAATCCCTCCCACCGACTGCAAAAGGCCAAGCATCGATATGCTTAGCAGACGGGTCAAGCAGACGCAAACCGAACTTCATCTCCGCAACCCGGGGGCCGGGGATGCGCTCGAATCTCTCCGTCGGTCTGGATACAGGTAAGGCCTTGTCCGTTGCGTGGCAGATTCCTATGGTTGGCGTGCACCATATGCAAGCGCACCTCCTGACGCCGCGACTCGTCTCGTGTCTGGAAGCGGAAGAAAATTGCACCACCACTGCCGCCGCCAGCGCCGCCACGCCTGCATTCCCGTTCCTTTCTATCCTTGTTTCGGGCGGCCACACGATCCTAGTGCACTCGAAGTCCCTAACCGAGCACAGAATCATGGCGTCGAGCGAGGACATCGCCATCGGCGAAGCGCTGGATAAAAGCGCGAGGGAAATCGTTCCGGCGGATGTCCTCGCCGGCGCGGAGAGTACCATGTACGGCAAGACGCTAGAGAGATTTGTGTTTCCGAACGGCGCGGCTGATTTCGCTGAGTACCGTGCACCCCGGGATCGAGGGGAGGAAGTTGCTGGTATGAAGCGGGCGAGTGCGTATGGGTGGAGTGTGACGGTGCCATTTGCGAATACGCGCGCGTTGCAGTTGAGTTTCTCTTCTATTGCGAGTATGGCGGGTAAGATTGTCAAGGCGCGGGGGGGAGGCTCTTGATGCGGACCTTTCTCGTGATGAGCGGGTTGAGTTGGGGAGGGAGATTATGAGGGTTTGTTTTGAGCATCTTGGTTCGCGGACGGTTATTGCGCTTGAGCAGTTGAGGCTTACTGCGCGTGAAGAAATCGGCACTCTTGTTGTTAGTGGGGGTGTTGCGGCTAATCGGTTTTTGATGGCTGTTTTGAGGTCGTTTTTGGATGAGCGTGGGTTTGGCAGGGTGAGGGTTGTTGCGCCGCCGCCGTATCTTTGTACGGATAATGCTGCTATGGTTGGGTGGGCGGGGATTGAGATGTTTGAGGCTGGGTGGGAGACGGATTTTAGTGTTCGGGCTTTGCGGAAGTGGACGCTTGATTCTGAGGCTGGGGATGGTGGTGTTCTTGGGCCTGGTGGGTGGGTGAAGAGGGATGTTCTGAACTTGAAGGTTTAGGTGGATGGTTCTTGTATACTATACACTTGTATATTATGTAGATTAGACTGTATATTATAATGTGATACCCCGATCCTGCATTTTATGCAGTTCGAAGACAATCATGTGGCTTCAAGTTTTAAGTTCTTTGGGTACTTGCCTGGATGCTAGTAAATATAAGATAATACTGGTAGCTGTCCACATGCTCGTCCCATGGTGGATCTTGTCCTTATTGCTTGTAAAGCAGCTACTAGTAGATTGCAAGAACCTACCCTAAATAACTGTCCCAATCCGGATCTTACAGTTCAGCTCCAACTCGAAGGAAACCCATTTAACCAATTTCCCAACCCATGTGTATTTTGACGACACTACCATGCAGAAGCAAAGAATAGCTAGACCCACAGAAATCAAGACGCCGATGCAAATGTAACCGGCCAAACAGATTGGCCAGAACTTTGAAAAATGTCCTTTCCTCCCAGTTCCTCCTCCACAGTAGGGTATCGATGAATGCGCCGCTCTAACCCGTGCAAATGAACCAAGCCCATTCCGGTCACCGGTACAGAATGCAAAACAGGCAATCAAAGACAGAAAAAAAGAAAAACCGAACGAAGTAACAAAGAAACAAATCAAATAGCTTTGGAAAATCACCCTCAGCCACCGACCGGGGGCCCGCCTCGCTGTAGAGAAGCCACCTGTTTTCGAAGCTCGACGAAGAAGTCCTTTCCATTGGCCATTGTGTTCGCTGGTGTGGTGTTAGTTGGACCTTGAAGGAGGAATACTATGGATGGATTATTTTCAAGGTTTAACGTACCCTTCGCGCCCCACGGTCCTCCGGCTTTCTGGTTATTGGCGTCCTTGCCGGTGGGCTTGTAGAAGGGAACTTTTGAGTCTGCGGTGATACGTTAGATTGGATCTGTAGGAAGGGCAGGGTGTGGATTGCGCAGAGGGACTCTGTATTACCTCTGGGAGCTATGTAAGAAGTATCGGTCAGCTTTATGTCTCACGCGTGTACTTGCAATGGCAATGAGAGTCGCAGTCGCAATGTGTCAACTCACCTTTCTTTAACAGGTTCTTCGCCTCGGCGGCGTTGAATTCCCTCACGGGAACATGCTGGTCCTGCTGCGAGGGTGCCGAGTTGTTGTTCCATGCGGGATTTCCGCCGCGACTAGCTGCCTGCCCTTGCCCATGTCCTCCAGCTCGATCACGGTTTCCGGATTGACGCTGCGACGATTGGCGACTGGGTCCGCTGCGCCATCTGTGGCCAATGGTACTTTAGCAGAGATCGACGAGAGGGAGATGGGGAGGGTGTTTGGCGGGCGAGTACATACTTGTCGTCACCACTCATGATTGTAGTGAGGTAGTGAATACCGGATCGGAAATTAGTGAAACACAGGGAAACCAGATGAGTATGCGGGGAAGCTGGTGCGTGTCCGAGACGGTTCGGGATTGACACCTGAGGCTGCCGTTACGGTTGGCGGAAGAGGCCAGAGAGCCAATTTCAGAATAGCTTGGTAATACAGGGGGGGGGGAATTAGATATTAGATTACTGGTATTAGAATACCTAGGTAGGCTGAAGTGTAACACTCAGTGGTACCTATTGGGTACTAGTAGTACCACCACTCTGGAATTCCTAGTTGGAAGTATATAGTACTAATTTGTTCAACCTAGATACTTCTATCTACCCACCTAGGTACCTAGGTACCTAGGTAGGCAGTCACCACAACATTGAACTTGATAAAATAGTACGCTATTGCTAGTAGTATAAAGCTCAATAAATAATAGATATATTGCTTAAATAGTAGTAAGTTCTGGAGTACTAGTATAGTAGCTTCAAATCTCTTTGTACTAGTCAGCCACCACAGCCACCGCCAACTCTGGGAGAGCACGGACGTCTCCGCCTTTGGCCTTCAGATAACCAAATACCTCAGCTGAACAGCTTTCACCGGTTTACACGCCTGCTGGCTATTGCTTGTTTTTTATTAAAGCGCGTTTGGATCATCCGGAGATCCTTGCATTTTTTTTGGATACCTGTCGCCCACGCCCCCTCGCTAGCTCCCCCCCCTGAACGCGACTTGACGTGTCTGATTGGCATTCTCCGAGCCCTGCGACGATCAACATACGAATCGCATGAAGCTTGCAATGAACGATGGCCCCGATGTCTAGGCACTCCATCTCAAGTCGACCATCGAGGGCTCAACCTAAGTCTGCCTTGAAAAGTTCACGCAGCATAGCCGATTCCCCGGAAGGTCCTCCTTTCAAGAAGCGCAAGTACGTCCCCGGTGGACCTGGAGGAGGCGGAAGATTTATCGACGTCGAAGCCTCGCAACGAGAAACGACACCTAAAAAGAAGTCCAGCATCCCCAGACGCCCCTCTACCACGACCGCCGCAATTCCTCCCCCTACTACCAGCGCGCGAAAACGCGAAGTCGACCTCCTCCCTCCCATTCATGCCCCCCCCGCCACCTCCCCCTGTACCAGAAACGCCTCCACCCGTGACGCGCCCAAGACGAGATAAGAGCCAGAACCGCGGCCGATTCACATCATCTACAGCCGCCGCATTGGCTTTACAACAAGGAGACGGATACAAGCCGCGCGAGGAGCGGGGGTGGGAGGAGTTCCATCCGGACTTGGATATCGATGGCAGACTAGCTGTTTTTACGGCCGAGGAGGTCGATAATACACTTGATACCACAGCCAGTATTCTTGCCTCGGAGTCTGTCAACGGTATCAATGGCCAGGATGCTCCAGGAACCCCCGCTTCGCAGGTGAATGACTCGGCATCTCCAGCTACTTTCAAACGTAGGCCGGGCCGCCCACCGCGTCGCCCCGAAGCCATCCTCAATGCTTTATTCTCCAACCAAGGACCCAAGATAATACCACCCCCAGGACCGAACCCTCGAGAGAGATTGACCCTACCGAAGCCGTCGTTCCGACTCCGCGATCCCTTTACATTCTATGAGCAGAAAGGCATTGGACAACAGAACTATGTTGACCGTACGATGGCCAATGTCGGATACCAGGAAAGTGATTTGTTTCTTCGCCATGACCGACGCTTCATTCGGATGACCGAAGGTGCGCAGGAAGATGACATGGATGTAATCCAACCTACAGTGACAGAAGGCGATGTCAACGCCACGACTGGCCGCGTCGAGTATGACATGGACGAACAGGACGAGAAATGGCTCGAAGACATTAACTCGAAGCGTCGTGACGACCAACTGGAACCGATCAAGCCTGCCATATTCGAAATCACCATGACAAAGATTGAGAAAGAGTGGCATGCGCTCGAAAAGCGCATTCCTAAGCCTAACCCGAAGCCTCCACAGACACATCGCCCACGCTCTAGCTCTGCAGCTGCAGTGAATGGTGAAACGGCCGGCCCTGGAGAGGACCAGGACAGCAAGTGCGCTATTTGTGATGATGGCGACTGCGAGAACTCTAACGCGATTGTTTTCTGCGATGGCTGCGATCTGGCAGTCCATCAAGAATGCTACGGCGTTCCTTTCATTCCAGAAGGCCAGTGGTTGTGCCGCAAGTGTCAGTTACTAGGAAGAGGATCCACCAACTGTATCTTCTGTCCCAATACCGAGGGTGCCTTCAAACAAACCACTTCGTCCAAATGGGCCCATTTGCTCTGTTCAATCTGGATTCCCGAAGTCTCGATCGGAAACCCGTCTCTGATGGAGCCTGTGACTGATGTGGAAAAGGTACCAAAAAGTCGCTGGAAACTTAACTGTTACATCTGCAAGCAGAGAATGGGCGCTTCAATCCAGTGCAGCAACAAGAACTGTTTCGTTGCGTTCCACGTTTCATGTGCACGCCGGGCGCAGCTGTACTTGAAAATGAAGATCGGCCACGGACTTATGGACTCACACTTGCTAAAGGCATTCTGCGACAAGCATGTGCCCCCAGACTGGAGACTTGAGCACGGCACCGACATCGCCACCGCCGATGCCATTGAATACTACCGCACCACGATGCAGGGCAGACGGTGGGGAGACAGTCAGGCTGCGGCGCTGTCACTTGGATCAGCTTTCGCTCCGGACGAAGGCGAGCGAGCCAACACCCCTCGAATCACTCTCACACTTGGAGGAAACAAGCGAAAACGACCTCCCCCGAGAACGATTTGGAAACTTCCTTCCGGTGCGCCTGTAGTCCCTCAACTGGTTCTAAACTCCGTGGTGGCTACTCTTGCGCGGTTCACAGTTCGCGGGAGAAAGCAATATGCCGAGGAGGCGTGCAAATACTGGACCCTCAAACGCGAGGCGAGACGAGGCGCCGCGTTATTGAAGAGACTTCAGTTACAGCTTGAAACCTTTTCTTCTATGGAGATGACTCGGCGGGACTATGTCGCTATGGGCGTCACTGGTCACAAACGCCTCACGCGTCGCAAGGAATTTGGCGAATGGCTCTACAAGGACCTCGATCGATTGAGAATGCTGTGTGACGAGGTGAAGAAACGCGAAAGGGAGAAACTCAAGGATGCCGAGATGCTACGCAATATTGTCGACCTTGTCTATTTCCCTATTTTCCCATTACTCAGACCTATCTTGGAGAAAGCGCAAGTGTAAGTTGCCACCTTTCATGACTAGTCCATTTTCTCTTTCCTCCCCCTTCTTTTGCTAATGCCCATTTACAGATTGGATGGCAAAGGAACATTCGCAGCTGGCCTGATGTCCATCCGCCAGCGACTTAATGAGCGGTTCTATCCATCTGTCGCATCTTTCTCGGCAGACCTGGCCAGCCTTTTCACATCGGAGATTGGCGTGGGTCCAGCTGGTGATACCGCCGAACTGCAGGCCCAGATCAGTGGTCGGGCCCCGGAACTCAGTATCGAGCAACGCGAGAAGAGGAAGCTAGCCAAGCGAATCATCAAGGCTATCCAGCCGGCCCTGGAAGACGCAATTCGAAACGAGAGCGAACTGAACCGCAAACCATTCGAAAAAGAGCTTAAGGAGCTCGATGTCATCCTCGACCACAGCGTGTTATCTGCCGAGCCGGAAGGCGACACTGAATTTGATATCGGACCGCATGACACGAAACCCGAAGCAATGGAGGGTGTTGAGCCCACCGCCGAGGGCACACTCGCGGGCGAGGCAACCCTTGAAACCCAGGCAACTGAGTTGAATGGGGCACCCAATGAGGCAGAAGCAGTGGCCCCTGACGAGGCTGTTGCCGAATCCGGATCAACTGAGGAGATTAAGCCACATCAAGGCCCAATCTATCGTCGGCACCCAACACCAGTACTGACGGAGGCTGATCAGCGACTTCCTTTGGCTCAGGGTGGTATCCAATGGTACATGCAGCCCTTTGATCCTATCGGAACCACTATTCACGAGGAACGATGGACGGGTCGGGATGTCATGCGGGGCATGAGCGAGGAACTGAGCGAACTGGACGAGGATGAATTGAAAGATCTGGTGGAAGATGAACTGGGCCAGGATTCAACGAAAGCACCGGCTGGTGCTGGTGGTGCAGCAGGGAATTCTCAGCAGGTCCGTCGTACTCGTCGGCGCAGGTGAACAGGGGTTAATCTTATGAGCATCCGCGGGTAGGAGTTATGGTTGAGCCTTTTTAGCTTATTATTGTTATCTATTAGCTTCCTTTTTTTTTAATTGCATGGGCAAGGGAACTTTTGAATAAATCGTGTGCTGTTCGTGGTCGCCTTGGCGCCTTGCTTTGTTAAGTCTTACTGCAGGAGTGTATCCCCAGCTGGTTTCTTTGAGAGGAGATGAAAGAAAAAGGGAAAAGTAAAAGTAAAATAGTGGAGAATTTAAGAATGAAAGAACAAAAATAATGATTAAATTAAATTAAATTAAATCATGGGTGAATAAAGTACTCTGTACGTACTGTAGGCTACTCTCGAGTTCGGAGTGATGCAAAGGGTTGTTCCGTTAGCGTGTGATTTCCTTTCTTATCATCGATTTCTCTTCCTTCCTCCTTCCTTCCTCCATCAACCCATCGAGTACCCATCATGGCTGACTTTGAAAACGATAACGGCCGTTACGCCGGTGAGTCCATTCATCGTCCATTCATCCCCTCTCTTGCCTTCTCTGACATTTCTCCCCAGACGAGCCCCGGGATGAGCCGCGCTACCGCAGCGCCTCTCCTCGCGATGAGCCCCGACCCGACCGCGAGCGCGCTCGCTCCCGTAGCCGCTCCCCAGCACGCCCCGACGAGCGTGACCGTGAACGCGAGCGTGAGCGTGACCGGTATGTTGCATCAAGAAATCCTGCTCTCAATTCCAAGAAAAATAAAAAAAAAGACAACTGACAATGTGACCCTCTCCAGCCCCATGCGCCACAAGCCTGCTCACCTCGTCGAGGAGGCCGAGGAGGAGGAGGGTGCCCTGAACTCCGGCTCCAACCTCTTCGTCACTGGTATCCACCCCCGTCTCACCGAGTCCGATATCTCGCGTCTCTTTGAGAAGTACGGTGATGTCGACAACTGCTCCATCATGCTGGACCCTCACACCAAGGAGTCCCGTGGATTCGGTTTCGTCAACATGACCACTGGTGAGCAAGCCGATGCTGCCAAGGAGGGTCTCCAGGGTGAAGTCATTGAAGGTCGCACCTTGAGCATCGAGAAGGCTCGCCGTAGCCGCCCTCGTACTCCTACCCCCGGCAAGTACTTCGGTCCTCCTAAGCGTGGTAAGTTTTCGATTCGATTCGTTATCCCCCCTATCTCTTTCCATCACCACAGCTAGCTGACCTGTTTTCTTTCTCTCTCAGAGGATGGCCGTGGCCCCCCCTCGCCGTGGTGGTGACCGCTACGATGACCGCCGCGCTCCTGGCGGCGGAGGTGGCAACTGGCGCCGCCGTGGTGACGACGACTACTATCGCTATGGCCGTTATGACTCTTACAACGACCGCCGCGACTACGGCCGTGACTACCGTGGCGGAGGCGGTGGTGGTGGTGATTACCGTGGAGGAGGTGGTGGTGGTGGCCGTGACTATGGTGACCGCGATTACCGCCGTGGCTCTCGCGACGACTACGCCTACCGCGGTGGCGGTGGTGGTGGTGGCCCTGACCGCTACGATCGTTACAGCCGTGACGACCGCCGTGGTGGTGATGATCGCCGCGGAGGTGGTGGCAGCGGCGGTGGTGCCCCTGCTGCTGCCGAAGGTGGCGACGCTGGTGGCAGCCGCAGCTACTACGACCGTGACGCCAACCCTCCCGCCTACGACAACGCTCCCCCTCGTGAGCCCCGCGGAAGCGGCGGCGGTGGCAGCGGTGGTGGTGACGCCTATGCTGGCCGTTCCTACGAGGGCCGGGGTGATGAACGCTATGGTAGCAGGTAATGTATTCCCTCTGCACAAAAATGACCAAGGAGGGCTCGTCATCCAATTCCTCCTTGATGGTTGAACGTTTCTTCACTACCCCTTCCTTATCTACCATAAATCTCCTTCCTCTTCCTCCCCCCTTTCCCCCCTATTCTCCTTCTGAAATTGTCTTAATGTGGGAATTTTGAGCGACGGGCCACGGGCGTCGTCGAATCTTTTGTGTTTTTCTCTGCTTTCACGTCTACGTTTCAACAAGAAATATTCGGAGCGTCATCGGTCTTTCCCCCCTATGTGGCTGACTCGGCAACTGACGCCTGGCAACTCGGTAATTTATCGTCGTCATCTTTCGGTTCGCTTGATGATGTGCCTCATCTCTTTTGTTCTGTTCGCGCGACTTCAATTCAACTATCGGGAAACATTCTCTAGCGGCAAAGGGAATAACAATTATCGCTGTAATATCGGTTGTCTCTTGGGTCAGCACTCTCGGTCACAAAAACTGTTCGCCTTATGCACACCATCTCTATCACCATCTCACTTCAGTAACCCGGCTCGTTTCGATGTATTCGACAAACTAAAGTGTCGCCCCCCTTTATCACCCATCACCTATCATCACCTCATTCAGTTTCACCTTTCATCTTGTTCATCACCTCACCTCACCTCACCTGTTCTACCACACAAATCCGCCCTGTCTTCCGCCAAGGCCGTCTCGTCTTCGCGCTTGTAGTATCGCCTCTAAACAAAAACAAACAAAGCCACAAAAAAAGCACAGGTGATTTATATCTTTCTTATGAATCCCTGATTATATCCGGAGCGGAACGGAGCGTTGGAAGCTTGACGGTAAGGCACTCGGTTCCAAGATCAAGGTCTGACACGCGTCTCTCATTGTGCATGTTCTCGTGAATCTTTACCCCTTTTGCGTTTGGTTTTGCTTTTGTTCTGGATACAGTCGTTTCCGGCGCGGATCACTGTGCTGGGATTGGATTCTGCTTACCCTACTAGGAACGCGAGTTTCGATCAAGAGGTTTGAAGATTATTTTCATTCCTTGTTTTGCATTTCTTTTAGTCGACAATTTGATATAGAGATTAAATAGCTTATAACGTATGTTTGTGATTGTGATTGTCATGTGTTGTGTAGATGGTAGAGCTGATATCTTCTTTAACGGCCGTAGGAATGCAATTTGGATGGGAGGAAAGCCTCGACTGGTATCCCATACTAAGCTGTCTTTTGAGTTTGATCTGATCTGATCTGTACGTTTCTCGGGGATGTGGGTGTGAAATTCAAGTTGGTATTATATCTGCCATTCTCGCCAGACTTGAATTGCTAAGCTCGAGGCTTTAGTTGAAAGACTTCAAACGCCATTGGGGCTTTTATGAAGTTCGCATGATCCAAGTCAACTTGAACCCTTGAGGATTGATTCATTTCTTGAATAGTGTCTATCAAAGGTGTTGTGGCGGAAGAAGAGCGCTCAGGAGGTTGCTTTTAGTACTACTAGTAGCCCAAGGATAGAATTTGAAGTTGAGGGAATTCAACACATATCATGATAATAAAGATTAGCCAAGGATGGTCCAAGGTAATGGAATACTTGGAATGGCATGGTAAGAAACGAGACGTTGACAACGTGGGATGCCGCCTGATGGCAGACGGAAATTCGAGAACCTGACTGATCGAGTCCCCATTTCAGCCTCCCTCCAGGGCTACTGGTTAATTCTGCTACTGCGTGGCCACAACTCTGGCACCAATAGTACGAGATCCCTCATGCAGTCTGACATCTTCCTATCCAATGACTGGCTAAAAAGCCTCGGTTGCTGATGGGGGCGGGCGCTTAGAGAATGCCCCTCTTCAGTCGTAATTACTCCTCATCACCCTCCTCCGATCCTGATGGAAGACTGACTCGGACTCGGAGTCCTCAACTTTCGAGTTCGAAGAACTAAGCCAAAACCATGGCGAGCATGGCGTCCACATCATCTTCGTTTGAGCATTCAAATTCGGGATTCCAGATGGGTGTGAACACCGGCTCGGTCACTTATCACGTCCACATGCCCGCTGAGGGAAAAAAAGAGATGAACACTAGGAGTTGTAAGGTGATAGAAAGCCCTACCTGATCGGACTTACTAATTCTTTCCAAGGTGATCAATCTCAAGCCCACTACATCATCCCAGCCATGGCAAATCGTCACTTTACTGGCCGTGAATCCACACTGAATGAGCTCAAACAGAAGCTGTTTATCCAAGCGAGCACTGAAAAACTAGCCCTATTCGGACTAGGGGGCATTGGGAAAACCCAAGTTGCTCTTCAACTTGCATACTGGGTGAAAGCAAATGTCCCAGACTGCTCAATTTTCTGGGCTCCTGCCTTGAGTCTCGAAACCTTCGAGCAGGCATGTTGGCAAATCGCCAAAGAGTTCCAAATTCCTCGGAAGCCAGATGAAAGTGCGATGGAATTGATACGCCGGCACTTAAGCTCTGACAAAGCGGGAAAGTGGCTTTTCATAGTCGATAATGCAGACGACATAGACTTGCTTTTCGATGAGCTTCATCAGTATTTCCCGACTGGTGGCCAGAATGGTGTAACTTTGCTCACAACCCGTTCTCGAGAAGTAGCGGAGTTATTCGCAGAAACGGACACTGTTCAGCTCAAAGAGATGACGGCCGAGGAAGGGATTGAGTTCCTTGCCAAGATCATTGGGAAAGATTCTCTATGTAGCCGAGAATCTGCTACGCAACTACTAGAGGAGCTTAAATTGCTCCCTCTAGCTATTGTACAGGCAGCTTGCTATATTCGTCGGAATAACGGAACAACCATACGATACCTTGAGCTCATGCACAAGACCCAAAAAGACCGGATGCGTCTAGCGAGTAGGGATTTTCGCGATATTACTCGCTACCGAGAGACACGAAATGCAGTGACTGCCACATGGCTTATCTCATTTGATCAGATCAAAAGCTCTGATCCTCCCGCCGCGGGTTTATTGGAATTTATGTCTTACCTTGAGCCAAAGGCAATCCCACGATCACTTCTCCCTACACTCGATTCGGAAGAAGAGATGGATTTTGCAATTGGTACACTGTGTGGCTATGGGTTCCTGACCAGGAGAGATAATTCGGATCAGGATATATTTGACATCCACAGCCTCGTACAACTGTCAACACGAGTGTGGATAGCAGAGGCACGGAAGACACAAGAGATTATCACCACTGTGACGCAACATATGGATAAGTGCTTTCCGTCCGATGAATACACAAATCGTGCAACATGGAGAATTTACTTACCACACGCCCTTGGAATTTTGTCGAGAGAGGAAAATAAAGATTTAAGTGAGAGGTATAGCTTACATTCCAAGGTTGGAGAATGTATTCTAGCAGATGGTCGAGTAAAAGAAGCTGTCGCTGCTTTCAAAGAGGTATGCGTATGGAAGGAAGCCAGCTATGATGAAGAACATCCCTCTCGACTGATGTCCGAATACATTCTCGCAAGTGCATATCGATCCAACGGACAGAATAAGAAATCTATAGAGCTGCTTGAGCATGTGGTTGCAGTTGAAAGGATACTTGATAAAGAAGATCCTAGTCGACTAGCATCTCAGCATGAACTGGCAAGGGCATATCAATCAAATGGGCAGACTAAACAGGCCGTGGAGCTAATTAAGCATGTGGTTACAATCTTTGAGAGAACGCTTGATGAAGGACATCCTGATCTACTAAGGTCTCAACATACACTCGCAGTGGCATATCGATTCAATGGACAGATCAAGCAGGCCGTGGAGATACTTGAGCATGTGGTCGCAGTACGCGAGAGAACACTTGACGAAGAACATCCTGATCGACTAGTGTCTCAGTATGAGCTCGCAGTGGCATATAGATTCAATGGGCAGATCAAGCAGGCCGTGGAGATACTTGAGCATGTGGTCGCAGTACGCGAGAGAACACTTGACGAAGAACATCCTGATCGACTAGCGTCTCAGTTTGAGCTCGCAGTGGCATATAGATTCAATGGGCAGATCAAGCAGGCTGTGGAGATATCTGAGCATGTGCTTGCAGTAAGCGAGAGAACACTTGACGAAGAACATCCTAGTCGACTAGCGTCTCAGCATGAGCTCGCAGTGGCATATCAATTTAATGGACAGATCAAGCAGGCCGTGGAGCTACTTGAGCATGTGGTTACAATACGCGAGAGAACACTTGACGAAGAACATCCTGATCGACTAGCGTCTCAGTATGAGCTCGCAGGGGCATATAGATTCAATGGGCAGATCAAGAAGGCTGTGGAGATATCTGAGCATGTGCTTGCAGTAAGCGAGAGAACACTTGACGAAGAACATCCTAATCGACTAGCGTCTCAGTTTGAGCTTGCAATGTCATATCAATCTAACGGACAGACCAAGCAGGCCGTGGAGCTACTTGAGCTTGTGGTCGCAGTTGAAGAGATAACGCTTGATGAAGAGCATCCTAAGCGAATATTGGCTCAGAAGGCACTGAAAGACGCGAAGAAGCGGTTGATTGATGTCGAGAACACGGAGAACAGGTTATCTTGATCTGCCTCTGACATTAGGATTGAGCCGAGCCGCTATTATAACGAAATGTTACCTGTACATAATCTCCTTCGACATAACTCTTTTTTACTGTAATGATTATTTGTCTCATGGTGGCACCCAGGGGGAAAACAAGAAGACAGTGAAAAACGAAGCGGTTCGCGAGTCTGAAACGAACATTATTACGGTTTCCCACAATACCAGATGTAGGATACAGAGACAAGGGTAGGAATGGGGCTAACTAATCACGACCTTCCTGGTATTGGTGCTCGAGAAATAAGAGTAGATTTAAAAGCCCAAGGCGATTTTGTAAGCTACTGTATGCTGCGCATCCGTGTCAAAAATTGCTTAAATGCAGCGAGAGTGCCGAAGTTAACCGTTTTTAAATTAACCACTTTCACAACTCGGATGGTGCAAAAAGGAGCACAAGAGCCGCATAACATAGACATTGTCTGATGACCGAGACGAGGGTGACAAGCATGTTTCTTCTTGGCCGCGAGGGACTGCGTTGAAATCATTGGCCGAGACCCGCTTCACAGACACTACTCCGCAGATACCCCGTTTTCATGCAGGAAGAGGCCAGTTCACAGGATATGTTCTGTCTAAAATGGCACTGAGCGCGTATCCTCGTGGCTAGGCCATGGTTAGCCGAGCCATGGCCTCAGCTGAGGCTTACCTACATGATAACCCCGCGCCCACGCAGGGTGAGGCTATCCATAACCTCGCTTGTCCTACGTGAAAAGTGAAAATCGAAAATCGAGGGACAAACTTCAAGGCCACACGGCTAATCTTTAAAGACTTGCTAGCGAACTGTATCCTCAGGTCTCGACTGTCATTTTGGGATGATCGGTCTTATTGGCCATTGCTCACCATGAACGAGCTCAACCCAAACATTTACACGGTCGCGTGGATAGCGCCTCTCGAGATCGAAGCACAGGCTGCTCTACACATGCTGGACCATGAACATAGCGGCCGATTCGGCTTGGGCAAGGGTAACGACTATATCTTCCGCGCCGGTGATCTTGGCGGACATAACACCATCATCGCTACTCTACCGGCGGGCCAGGAATATGGTACCGGATCTGCAGCTGCACTGGCCAGCCAAGTGAAGATGTTCTTCCCAAATCTCTGGTTCGGACTATTGGTTGGCGTTGCTGCTGGTCTTCCAAGCCTTTCACGACACCCGCTGCGTGATATCCGACTTGGCGACGTTCTTGTGGGACTTCCGGAGGGAAGCAGTGCCGGGCTTATTGCCTACGACTTGGGCAAAGATTTAGGAGCTGGTGGTTTTCAACTGCTGCGTGACGGACACGTGCTGGCGAGTACTGAGACCGTTGTCCGATCCGCGATCCAGAATATCAAGTTAATGGCGCCGCGGGATGTCGACACATTTCAACCATATTATGAAGGAATTCGGCGCAAGAAGCATTCGACTGGGGATTTCAATGATCCTGGTCAGGATCAGGACCGCCTTTACCGAACGGATCATAAAGGAGTGCGCCGTATCGTGAAACGACGACGGCGTCCTGATTCGGCACGAACCCGGGTGTGGTATGGACCGATTGGATCCGGTGAGAAGCTTATGAAAAATGCTCAGAAGAGAGATGAATTGAGAGACAAATACGGTATCATTGGGCTGGAAATGGAAGCCGCGGGGACAATGAATCGTATACCTGTTGGTGTGATTCGAGGGGTTTGTGACTACGGGGATGAACACAAGAATAAAAGGTGGCAATCGTATGCAGCGGCGATGGCTGCTGCGTACGCTAAAGCTGTTTTATATGAGATAAAGACCCAGAGCCTCGGCCCCGGGGTATGTGAAGTACGGTTAGTACACAATGAATTTTTTTTAAGTCCTCGATATCCTTCAATCCATGTTGACTGATTCAAATAAATTTCTAGAAACCGATGATCAAGGAATTCAGTCAAGGCTACCCGTTCGCACGAACTTTCTTGGAAGAGAGGAAGAATTGTCTCAGATGAATCAATGTTTTGGCTCATACGTGCGCAGAAAGTCTTTGGTACTCTGGGGTCTCAGCGGGTCTGGGAAAACGCAGCTCGCCATTCACTATGTTACTACGAACAAACAGTCATACCAGTCTGTGTTGTGGATTGATGGGTCGTCGTACGCTTTGGTTCATCAATCTTTCGAGAATCTTTCGCATCATATTTCAGGTTACCACCGAGGGAGACCAGCTACTGAGCAAGTCATCGAGTGGTTGGAGAGAGGAACGAACCGTTCCTGGATGATGATTTTTGACAACGTCCCCGGAGCTTACGATGTCGATGATCCCGAGAACTTTGATATCCGGAAATACCTACCTGCGTGCGATCATGGTCACATTTTGCTGATAACAACAGCATCGGATCTACACCTGCGCTTAGCCCTCCCCGGGACCCATCTGGAAGGCGTAGATGACACCACGGGCTCGTCTATCCTTCTCAGATGTGCGGGTGTTCAAGCGCCAGAAGATTCTGGGAAAGCGACAGCGCGGTCGATTTCTCGCAAGCTAGGGGGGTCTACCACTTGCCCTTGAACAAGCTGGGACTTTGTTGTCCTACGGCATCATCCGCATGAATGACTTCAACAAGGAGTTTCAACAGCGCTTTTCTAATAGGACGCTCAAAACTCCTATGAAGAAGTACGTAGGGTCCTACGAGAAGGGGCGTACTCTGTGGACCGTTTTTGAAATGTCATATGATGGTCTCATGCAGAGAAATCCTGACGCGGTAAAGCTTCTTCACCTTGCGATATTTCTCAGTCCGGGGTCCATTCCTTCTGTTTTTGGAAACAGGCACGATCTATCGCGGCTATCTTCTGACTACGATTTTGAGCTGCCAGTCTGTGGATTAGGTCTAGCTGAGACGCAGTCGTTTGGACTTCTCTGCTGGTTGAATGAATTACGCCGAGATGTCGAAAAATTCGGAGCGGCGGTGAATGAGCTCGAATCATCTGGATTTGTCAAGCTTTGTCGCAATCTAAGCGATACTTCTATCGAAAGTCTCGCGGTGCACGCCTTGATTCGAGCTTTTGTTTGTTCAAAGGCACCAGAGGAAGGAATTCACGATGGCTTAATGACGGCCTTTCTGCTTGGTGGGAAAATACTTCCTTATGGAACGAAGAGTTTCGAGTTGACAAGGCTATGGAAGCATACTGGTGAACTCAATCGACTCCTTGTGGCGCTTTTATCATCAGTCCCCACATTGCTTTTTCATGACCCAAGTGGTAGATACTTTGCGTTGGCTGGAGACGTGGCGCCTGTATATGCTTACACTTGCCGTTTTCTCGGTGATTTGGATCGATCCAGCCGTTTTTGGGATATTGCAATCAAGTACAGACTCATCACTGAGCCGAATTGGCCGGATACCGAGTTACACATGAATGAAATCTTTGAAGCGGCAAACATTGATGTGAAAGTCGGAGAGTTTAAGAAAGGGATAGAGCGATATGAGTTGTTTCTTGCTCATTGCGATCATATCTTTCCTGGAAATAACAAAAATAACGACAGGGCCGTCCAAGCCGCCGCCGCACTTCGTGAGGCTAGAGAGATTTCTCGAAAGCATGAAGAAGATTTTGACCGAGCCGTCGTGGCACAGAGAGTCCCGAAGCGAGCACCCATAAATCTGACACCAGGCGAGGCAACATCGTCTTTTCACAAAGCCACAAAAGGTGGAGATTTGTGGGGAGGAAGAGCTTCTTCTCTGGACCTTCAGGATCATACCAAACGCAGTGGTTTTCTCCGAATACCTCCCAGTACAAGAGATCGTATATTTCAGCAACTGCCAGAGAGGGAAGTACCAGGACCGTCAGAAGATAAGGCAGAATATGAGGATCTGTTGTCACCGTATGCTGGGGTTCTGTTTTCACTGTATGATTTGAAAAGAGTGTCCGAAGAGATGGAAAAAGAGCCCGAAGAGATAAACGACGACTTAAGATGGCGGAGAGAGACTACAAGGAAAATGGGCAATACTTGGAAGCGTTTGATGAAGCGGTCGACGAGGCCGTCAAAGAAAGGGAAGGATAGAATGATGAATGAAGAATGATCAAAATGCCTCTCGGGATGGTGGTCATGGTGCGAGTACTGATAATTCTTGAGTTCCAAAGTTTCTGGCGCGAACTGGCTGAATGGGACGATGGAATAACACGGTGGTTGTCAATAACTTCAACATCAATCATTCTCCTAGTTTTCTTCCGCATGAACCGTTTCCACAATAAGGTCACGACCATGCTCATCTTTCCCAAGCTCATGTGTTTCAAAATACCTCAAATCATTGCTAAGAAGATGCTCATCCGGTCCCCACTGACAGTCAAGCTTGCGAATCGTTTCAAACGAAAGCCACACATACCTCTCCACATACCCCCCCGAACGCATTCTTGTATCTATGAAAGCCCGGAATAAATGGAACATCCATCACATCGGCACGAAGACGTGGATAAATTCCGAGCCCAGTTGGTTCCATATCGATAGCGAAATCTGGATCATCAAACTCGCGTCTCGACGAATATTTGTAAGGGTCAACACCTAACTCTGCCGAACGCTTTTGCAAGTCCTCCAGGTAGAAAGTATTACCGACTTGCTTTGCAGCCTCCATGAGACCCGCAGTAGGTGTGATACTGGCACTGAGTCGTTGGTATAGATTCTGGTAGTCACAATAGATAGATGTGATTGCAATCTGCTCATACATGGATGGACATCGGTCGGCCAGAGTGGATAATGCAGATACCTCTGGCTTAAGAGGGTACCAAATCAGCCAAGGGAGATGTGGGTTATCATCAGTGAAGGTCCCAATATCGTTGATCATGACCCGACGGGCGTTGATAGCGATTTGGATATCAGACTTATCATAAACCCGGCCAAGATTTGTATTCGTGTCTAGCTTCTGCTGCCACCATCGTGCAAACATGGTATTGTGATAGATCCCACGGATAATGCAAAGGTGCTCGATATCGTGCATGGTGCTCTGAACACGAGGATCTGGTCCGAGACGAACATATCGGTCGACATTTCCCTCGTAGGCGGCCATTTGTCGTAGGAGGTCCTTCTTCAATGTTGGTATATCGAGTGGTAGGGGTTCCCAGAGTAGTGTGGCTTCTTCTGGGGTGAGATAATCATAGCGATACCGGTCTGGTTTGCTACGCTCAAGACCTAGACCTTGGTCCTCTTCAATATCAATGTCGATTTTGTTAGGCCAAGATTCGTCGTCATTTTCAAGCGTGATTCGCCACTCCAATTTCCACCGTACATGTGTATCTCCTTTTAAAAAAGCAGGTACTTGTGGCTTGTCGATATCATCATGAACAAATCTCTCGAAATCATCCATCACAGCATATTTTAACGGCGAAGACATGATCAATTGATAAATTTTGTTTCCACCTTCAGTATTCACGTCTCCCTCCCGGGCCTCCTCAGCAATAGAGATATCAGGAAGCAGATCTAATTCACGGTAAAGATCAATATATCCCGCTGCAGCACATGCCCGTCCAACCTGGTAACGCATAGATGGGTAGCGATGTGCGAGCTGGCGATACGTGTCTTCTCCTGCTATATCTGGATGCCAGATACAATAAGGCCGGGCGTTATATTCAAGTCCATCCAGTCCATCGGGAACAATATTGCTCATAATTAGTCGTGCATTGCGTGCACGAACGAGCTCAGGGTAGCGGGCTGGATTGGAGGTGCAGAGAGCAATTATGTCTGGATTCATTGCAAAATCGTGAGAGCAGCGTAGTCCTCGAACTACCGCACATCGTGCTGTAGTAGAAGAAAGATCGTCAGGGATTTTTTTCCCGTTTAGGGCGGCGATGCATTGATCATAATCGTATAGACAACGCTCGTTGGTTGCCTCCGAGCTTGAGGTTTCAGACTCTTCTTCACTGTCGATATGGGACATTAGGTTGGAAGAGACCAGCAGAACATCTTCGACTGGTGCAGGTTGGATCGGGATCGGGGGAAGAGAGCAGTTCTTTATAATTAATGGTATAGAAGGTGAGCTGCAAAGTATGCCCCAGATGATATTCCCTGCAAGATGATACTGTCGCGTTGAGCAACTTCTCTGGTCAGTGTGCTTGGCGTTGGGGGCCGCGCCTCAGAAGGTGCCCAGGCGGACCTACTAGAACTGTAGGCATGCCAGAGTAATAATCTGCCCACCTGCACAGGTGGGGCAATAGTAGGTGACGATTTAGGCTGATCATTCGGCGTCTCAAATTGCTGCTGGTATTGTCAAACTATTAGGCATTCGCATAACCCATCCATGGATTGAACTACACCTGCAGGTCACTATTGAGCCTCAATACGTATTAGTAACTATAAACAGGCACTTCATGGTCCTGCATAAGTAATATAAATTCCTCAGTATAGTGAATGTTAAGAAGATGAGTTCTAGAGATAAAAAGCTCTGAAATCTATCCCTTCCATCCCGTTCTCTCCTTTGTTTGCAACAGCTCTTAGCGAAGCTCGTAACTGACTGCGAGAGATCACAGTCGTGCATGATGATCGCTGCATTGTCTTCCCATCCACAACCTCTAAAAACATCCCCGCACATAATGATATAAAGAACCGAAACGCCAAAATGAAAAAAAGAAGAGAGCAATTGGCCCTGCTAGACCACTCCCCGCATGATAACGCAGCCGCAATTATTCCGCCTCCTAGTCCTTCCTCGCATCGCCCTCCAACTCACCACTCTTTTGAATTAAAAATTCCCCGAGGACTCGCAGCGGATCCGATGGTCTATAATGGGAACAGAGCGTCAGCCATATGCATTCCGTTTGCGCATTGGTTTCCTCGTCTCCCTTCCCCGAAATAGAGTATGGGCATGGCAGTGGAACTGCTCTGGCGCAACGCAACGCAAAACAACGCAACACAACGCAACTCACTGTTCTCGCGCAACGGTCTTCATTCCTTCGAGTAGATGCGGCACGATTTTTTCATTTAGGTAGACGCGGGCGGGCGCGCCGCCTGGTCGCACCTGTGTTGCGGAGGCACCGGAGAGGTCTGCGGGTGTATTGGAGCCAGTGACGTCCATTTTGGTGAATTGTTCTGGAGCTGCCGTTGTAGTGATACTGGGTACTGGTGTTCGAGCTGGAGAGTCCGTTGACAGTGCAAGGTTATGTTGCTGTGCGCGCGGTAGAATGTGTAATTAGAAAGTGTTGCGGGCTTCTTTTTCTTTCTCTCTCTGGCTCTCGGGGTTCTGGCGCGAGGTATTGGTGGTAGGGAGGTTCTTGAGAAACAGGGATTCAAAGCGACGATCTGAGAGCTGTGGGTTTTCTGGGGAGCTCGACTGGGGTGGGTGAAGTGCAAGCAAGGTGATCGGAGAGCGGAGAGCTGTGGAGCTGTCGTGCCGGGGCTGGTTCCGCGGAAGTGGGAGGAGTAGAAGGAGGAAAGTAGAAAGTATCGTCGCTTACCGAATTGTCGGCCATGGTTGCGGTAGGTGACTATAAGGCTCGATGAAAGAGAAAAGGAAAGAATCACAGTCAGAGTCAGAGTCAAAGTACTAGTATTGTTCTGCTGTTTCCTCAATTGACGATCGCTTTTTGCCTAAATGGCACGATCAGGTGACTTCGTGTTTCTCTCGGCGCGTCTTTTGGCGGAACGAACGAACTCCATCTACCTAAAGGTACTCATGGATCGGGGCCAGAATGTCGCTGCTGCACTTTTGGGAGACACAGCGTTCCGTGAAACGAAGAAAGACTTCTGGAGAGGCTTCTGACACCACACCCACTCCGAAATCGGAGGAGACGCCTGGCGAAGACAGTGCCAGTGCCAGTGATAGACGGCCAGCGAGCCCGAGTCCCTCAACAGGTGCTGCGGACAGTACGCTCATAACGGGGAATGATGAACACGAACACGAACACCAAATTAAGAGCAGCCAGACAGAGTTGGAGACCTCTCTTCCTGCAATCGAGACTGATGAACATGCCATTCGAGAATACGAGGCATCTCAATCCCAGACTGAGCAAGGCGACGAGACAGAACCTGGGCTACATGTGAGATTGCGAGATGGTGTATGGCAGAAGGGGAAAAGTTCCATCTACGTAGATGCGTTCAATCTAGCACTGGAAACTGTGCTAGAGGAGGAATCGCACCTCTTCGATTCTGCTGAACTGTGCATATTTAACGAGTGGAGGGGACTAGCCTACGAATCTCAATACTTGTATGATCTCTCCAACTCTTTCCTATCTCATCTATTAACGTTGGTTAGATATGTGAGGCTGTTTCTTCGCAAGACCTCTGCATGGCATCGTATCAATCGCCTGGGCTATTATTCCGATATATCGGATCTATCCTCCGTAGCCGCGGATTTACAATTAGACCGCAGCTTACCGAAACTCGAGAACGAGGATGAGGACGTGGACGAGGACGAGAAAGAAACATCACCAAACCTGAAGCCATCGTTCAGATTCGCAGATGGCACGAACGAGATCACAACATTAGAAGAAGCATCTTCATTACTCCTCCTAGACGAACTAAAAGGATTTGCCAAAGAAGCCAAAGCCCAAGGCAAAAACAAGAAAGAACTCATATCCGCCCTACGCGAAAGCAGTCAATCCCAATCCGGCCTCGGGTTCAAGCATAAAAGCCATCCTACCAACCAATCCACAACAAACCGAGATAGTCACTTCCTCCAAAAGATTCTCGATTACACTGGCGACTGCATCCGCCTCACCGCGAAACCACGCGCCCTCTTCGAACGAGTCCACCTAGTCTTCTACCGATCAACAGAATGGACCGAGAAATCCCTGACAACAATAATCCTCGCGAAAATCTCCCGCCGCAATTTCCCCAACTACATCGTCTGTCGCTCGAACTCGATCTTCCCGTCCCGAAAAGCGTTGTTGGAATTCGAGTCCGCGCTCCGCACGCAGTTCGACATTGACAATATCCTCGAATTCAACGGTCCGCCTACAACGCAGTCCTTGCAGAGTATCATCGACTTGGCCGTGGGCATCCACCCGCGCTGGACAGCGCTTGTCAGTGAAGAACAGGTCAAAGAAAATAGTATCTACGAAAGTGGCGAGGGCGCTTATCTACGCCGTTTCTCGCCGGCTTGGGTGTATACGCGGATCATCCATAAAAGTCTGCACCCGCTTGGTCGATTCAAGGAGCATAAGCGTGAGCACGAGGTTATTTGCGAACTACTCGCGCAGAGATTATTCCACGCCAGTCGGCGCGGCGCTTGGTATCAGCGGAAAGCGCTGTTGGAAGAACACTACATGTGGGCACTCACGCCCAGCGAAGAGCGGAATGAGAGAGAAACAGCGCAAGTTCTGGAAACGGGTTGCGCTGAGGACGTGTGAGGAGGGTATTGAGGACCCGCTTTGCCATTTGATATATCATTATGATTTGCAGAAGCGGATTACGAAGCTGGAGAAGGCTTTGAAATTTGTTAAGAGGGAGCAGCATGATTTTGGGCATGTTATGCTTTCTAAACCTGCGGAGCGGACTATTGAGGGGATTCGGATTGATCGCGATGATGATCCGATTGCGACTGCTACTGCTGCTGCTGCTTCTAAACGGGGTAAGCCTACGGTCTGGATCGATGAACGCGAGGGAGGCGAGTGTCGGGTTGAAAGCATGTGTCTGAGCTGGTATCGGGATAATGGTTGGAAGGGATATCACTCTGAAGGAGGTATTGTGCGGACATTATTCGCCTACCTCTTCTACGATATATTATTCACCTATGTGCCCAATGTGTTTCAGACGCCCTTTCAGACTTGTCCGCTAGATCTGCATACGGATGTGTTCTATCCATCCCGTGCGTCGGAGATAAACCACAGACTTGTCGAGATCACGAACGGTGACGCGGAGCGAATTGTGCGAGAAGTCCATGATCGTGAATCTGCGGCGCAGCCTTGCGCTATTGGTCTTGATTGGTCCTTTGAATTGGATGATTTGGTGGAGATCGCGCAGAGTTTCCGCGGTGAGGCCCTTGCGACTATTTGCAAGGTTATGGCGCAGGAGTATCAGCAGCGTGGCGGTGGTATTCCGGATCTCTTCTTGTGGAATTATGAGAGCCGGACTGTTATGTTTTCTGAAGTCAAGTCTGAGAATGATCGGTTGAGTGATACTCAGCGATTGTGGATTCATATTCTGCTTGGGGCTGGCGTTCAGGTTGAGTTGTGCAATGCTGTTGCAAGGGAGGTGAGGACGGGATGAGGGTGATGACGGTCCTAGTATATAATTGTAGATCTATATACGTGACGATCTAAATGATGCCAACGACTGAATATACCTGCAAATAGCTCAAGTTGCACTTACTACTAGTGGGCACGAGACTCTGAATCAACGGCCTGGAAATACGAAATCTACACTTCATGTACTTGCTTCTACGGACTGGAAAAATTGCTCAAGTGAATCCATGTGATCACACTCGGGAGGTATCACTCGTAAAATAGTTCTTTTAATGGGCGTATCTAACACACATGAAAGATAAATCCGAACACATGCTCGAAAATGCCTTCCATGCCCCTACTATCTCCAATGACCACAGACAACACTCCTTACGCTTATGCGACAAGGGTGGAGGCAGTGGCGGACTCGTAGCGCCAGGTGGGGGGGCAGGACACCGACGGTCTTGTAGTAGCGGGACAGACGGTGGATGCGGGACTCGATCAGAATGAGGCGGAACTTGGAGTCAGTGTCCTTGCGGTTGCGCTCGAGGTGCTTGCGGACAGCGACGGCCTAGAAAGGAGAATGAGGTTAGTAAGATTCAACTATTGAGGAGTGGGAGGGGATGCTTCCTCTACGGAGGAAGCGTTTGGTACGGTACCTTCTTGATCAGGAAGTAAAGGTCCTCGGGAAGCTCGGGGGCGAGGCCTGTTATTCCAAAATCTCTCTGTCAGTCTAATTCTTGACCAAGCAGAGGCTTAGCTGCTGGTGCATTTCTGCTACCAGAGTGTGGGTATATATCGGGAGGGTTGAAAAAGTAAATGCGCTGGGAATCTCGCTCAAGTGCCGAAAGAAAAGTTTTTCGGTTTCTTTGGACGCGATTGATTTTCCCATTGCAGTTGCTTTTCTTCCTCATCCGATTGATGCGATGGGGGGGGAGTGGCGAGGTGAGTCGTACCGCTGGACTTCAGAATACGGAGGATCTTGTTACCTGTTCGCAGAAGAAAAGTTAGAAAATCTCGACCCTCCATACGGTCTCATTAAAATTTCAAAGAGACCAGTCGCATAACGCAAAGGATTCCATACCGGTCACGATCTTGACCTGGGCAACACCGTGGGAGTCACGGAGGACGACACCGATTTGGGAAGGAGTGGCACCCTTCTTGGCCAGCTTGCAGATGTGGTCGACAACCTGGTCGGGGGTGGTCTTGAGCCACGCAGGAGGGGCGCGAGAGTAGGGGAGAGTGGAGGAGGCAATGCCCTTGCCCTTGGAGTGAAGACGACCCATTTTGGCTGATTTTGTCGAAGTTGTCGAGTGGATGAGGAGATTCACGGGCGGAGTTGGCGATGGCGATGGACTTGAGATGTTCCAACTCTGTGTGGGTCACGTGTGCTGATCACGTGGTGAAATGGGCCTTCGCTTAACGCAAGCTTTTTTTTTCTGCTGGACAACTCCGCTTTTGCGGCCGACTTCCAAGCTGTTTTTTTTTCTCTCTATTTAATCCCCGTCTTAGCCCTGTGTCTATGTCGACCACGCTCAATCTGTGCCAGGTTGCTCTGAAATTGATGTTTTTCAGACGATCGCGAGGCTTATGATTGAGTTGTCTCTGCAAGCTCAGCTTTCCTGTCGTCATTCATTCAGCAATATCTCTCATTGATTCTTACTAACAGGTCAGTATCATCACTTCTTTTCTTTCTCAGCCTTGCTACCCTCCCCTTTCATGATGAAAACTTCTTTTTTTACTATTTCTGGTACCTCTTGATTTAGAAGCGTATCTTCGGATGCGTCTTCGATGATCTAAACGGACTTCTGATTACCTCTCAACTGCCTCAATCTTGACTCTCAAGCATTTGATAGAAGCCGTCTTACTGACTGCTATCTATAGGCTTCACTATATCTACAAATGACTATCCACCTCAATATATTCAATTCTTTACAATTCTTATTCTCTACCGTATCGTTTTTCGTTGTAGTATATACATCCCAAGTTGCTGTCCTAGTATACAAGGTGTCTATAGGGGCCACAGCTTTCATGTAACGATGCCATGACCATTGTAGGCGATGTCTTCACCGACGTAGTCTTTTTGATATCCGCCTGGTCTCGGTCGATTGAGCGGCTTGGACGATGGGGTCTGCCGGCGCTTTCCTCTTCTTACCCTTAGGCGCCTTTTCGACATGCTTCTTCTCTTCCAGCTCTTCGATCTTGACGCCATTCGCTTCTTCATACTTTGGCGCCGTCAGTGCAACAGCCGTCGTAACTTCGGTCTTGATCTTCACGTCGGCGCCTTCATCTTTCACTTTAACCTCCACCTTCTTAGTCGTCGCAAGTCGATCGGCAAAGGAGCGCAAGTCCGCAGTGAAAAGAACGCTATGCGCCCATCCAGCCTCTTGACCCCAAAGCTTGCGGAAATGATTGGCCACTGCATCGTATGTCACCTTATTCAAGGTCTTCTGCGAGCTTTTCCCGAAACGATAATCTCGTTGCGCGATTTGCCAAACTGTTAATTGTCAGAGCCTGCGATTTGAGGTCGGGGAGTATGGGCTTATTACTAACCATGTGTGTCCACGGGCACAGATTCACCCCAGCCTAGACCCATCAGACATGCACAGTCGGATACCTTGGGCCCGACACCTTGTAGTTCTAGTAGTTTCTCATGCGCCTCCCGATATCCATCCCGTCCTTCGGGTTTCATCTCATCCCCGGCCTTTGCCTCTATACCGAAGGCTGGAGACTCGGGGTTACAGAGGCTGTTCAGCCACCCCTTCTCTCGTTCCTGTGAGACCATGACCGCTGTTTTGTAGATGTACTTTGCACGGTAGCCAAACCCCAGAGCTCGAAGATTGCTTTCGACGTCCTTGCCAGCCAACGCCTCGGGCGCAGGGAAATCATGATAGGGCCGGTCACCTATTTTTGCGACGAAAGGACCATAGTGTATACACAGTTTTTCCACCATTTGCGAGATGCGCGAAATGTTGTTGTTGCTGCTGCATATAAATGATACAAGTGCTTCCCATGGATCTTGACGTAAGATGCGCACGCCGGAGAATGCAGCTGCCTTCTTTTTGAAGTTGGGATCATTCGCGGACCATTGGGTATAAAGCTCACTCAGGTTGGAAGAGAGGTTTAGGTAGTGCTTGATGATTGAAAGGAGTTGGTCATCTTGGGCAATTCCGGAGTGCGATTTGCTATCGCTATTCTCTGTGTCGGATGGCGCTCGAGAAGGGAGGACGGAGTTAGGAGGAGTTGGTAGGGAATCGGATGGACAGGTTCTGTAGTATAGATAGCTCGAATCTTGCTTGAGAGAGAAGAGGCGACCGTAGAGTACACAGCGCCATTCCTCAGTCTCGGGGATCTTCTGCCATCTGCAGGATGAGGTTAGCTTGTTGCACAGCGCTGTGAGGCGGTACCAAGATATGCGCAAACCTGAACGATTGCCCGCAGCGGAGAGTTGTATTGATGCACAACTCGCTCAGGCTCATTGGTAGCTTGTACCATTCTGAAAAAACACCTGCCATGACCAACAAATTCCAATTACACGGTTTCAATGAATGTATACAATGATACAATTATGTTGCAGCACCTGAGCAGGAGGCAAGAAGCAGTCTCCGATAACGATAAGAGCCCGGCAGAATTACCTTACTCCTTGGCAACTGAGGCGGTCAGCAACCCCAAGCTTGCTAAAACTGCATCTCCCTTTCAGTAAAGCCAGGAGAGCTTCGTCATCACCCAAAGCACATCATGAACGGCGACACTTACTCTTCCAGAGGTGAGTAACTTTCAATCGCTGTTTGAAGAATCGTCTAACTTTCCCCCTTTCTACAGATTCTGGGCGCCCGCGCGATTATTACGTACGTATCAGCTTTTACGCATCTTTATGGCTGCGACTAACTTAATTCAGCGCGACGAGCGACGTGATAGAGACAGAGGTGACCGGGGAGATCGTTCCGAGCGACCAGAGAGAGGAGAGCGCCGGCGCTCGCGCTCGCCTCATCACGGCTCCCGAGGTGGCTCGCGCCGCGAACACGAAGCCAACTCCTACTCCTCCAGCCGCGACTACCGTGCCCGTGAGCGCGAAGACCGTTACTCCGGCAGACGCGAAGAGCGTGATTGGGATCGAGGCGACCGCGGTGACCGAGCTGAGCGTGGTGGTGGTGCCGGTGGCGGCGGTGGTGATCGCAGACGACGTGACTTCGATGACAGACCCCGACGAGACTTGTTTGAGGACCGGCCCCGACGTGGTGGCGGCGATAGAGACCGTGGTGGCCGTGACCGCGGTGATCGCGGCGATCGCGGCGCTGACAGAAGAGAGCAACCGAAGCGAAGCCCTTCACCTCCGCGGAAGAAGGAGCCCACTCCAGATCTGACCGATGTCCCTTCCATCCTGGATCGCAAGCGTCGCCTTACTCAATGGGATATCAAGCCCCCCCGGCTATGAAAATGTCACCGCCGAGCAGGCGAAATTGTCCGGCATGTTCCCTCTTCCCGGAGCTCCTCGACAACAGCCCATGGACCCTTCTCGCCTCCAGGCTTTCATGAACCAGCCTGCAGGAGAGTCTACAGAGTCCACAGCCCTCAAGCCATCCAACTCCCGCCAATCCAAGCGTCTATTCGTCTATAATATCCCCCAGAACTCTACAGGAGACTCTGTTGTCTCTTTCTTCAACCTTCAACTGAACGGTTTGAATGTCATTCACAGCGTTGATCCTTGTATCTCCGCCCAAGTCGCCGATGACAAGTCATTCGCCCTTTTGGAGTTCAAGTCTCCCAATGATGCAACAGTTGCCTTGGCCTTTGATGGACTCACCATGGCTGACGGCGGTGACAAGGGACTTGAGGTCCGCCGACCAAAGGATTACATTGTCCCCGGTGGAGCAGAGCAGGAGTACCAAGAAGGTGTGCTCCTGAACGAGGTGCCAGACTCGCCCAACAAGATCTGTGTTTCCAACATCCCGCCTTTCATCCCAGAGGAGGCCGTCACCATGCTGCTCAAGTCATTTGGCGAACTCAAGTCATTTATCTTGGTTAAGGATGCCGCGACGGAAGAGTCACGGGTAAGTTTGCCTCCAACATCCTCGATTCTCAATGAGCGATTACTAATTGAATAAACCAGGGTATCGCATTCTGCGAGTATGTCGAGGCCACATCTACCCCCATCGCCGTCGAGGGTCTGAACGGCATGGAACTCGGTGATCGCCACCTGAAGGTATCCTACGCCAGTATCGGAACCACCCAGGCTGTCGGCCTGGACATGGGCGTCAACGCCATGTCCATGTTCGCCAAGACCACCTCCCAGGACATGGAGACGGGCCGTGTTCTGCAGTTGCTGAACATGGTCACTGTGGACGAGCTTCTCGATAACGACGACTACGAGGAGATCCTCGAGGATGTGGGTGAAGAGTGCTCTAAGTATGGAAAGGTCCTGAGCCTGAAGGTTCCGCGTCCCAGCGGTGGAAGTCGCCAGACCGCCGGTGTGGGTAAGATCTACGTGAAGTTTGATACCGAGCAATCCGCCACCAGCGCCCTTAAGGCTCTCGCTGGCCGGAAGTTCTCGGACCGTACCGTTGTGGTTTCTTACTTCGGAGAAGAGAACTTCGATGTGGACGCCTGGTAAAGATAAGAAAATGCTGCTTTCAAATGGTAACTGGGTTCTGCTTTTTTTCCTTCCCTTCTCTTATTCTTATTTGCTTCAGCCGACGGAGTCCCGTATGTATCATAGCAAATAGGCCCATGTCCACTTGATCACGATGGTTTAGATTGGACGTCGTCCTCAAAATGTAATATTTTGGCCTATTGGTTTTGCTCGGTTTTGGTCTTCAATTGGTCGATGTAATGGTATACATTCAAATTATAGAAACTGTAGGGTGTATTGTCGGATTCTCGATGTATCAACACGGGAAAATGAACCTGAGCCAGGACTCGTGAATGACGGCGATCAACTAGCTCATTCTGCCCAAAGTAGATTCCGACTTCTCGATGTTTTAAGGCATGTAGGCCGTGTCTGCATCCCTGGTCATTTTTGATGTCATTGGGTGGGCACTACCTAGCTAAGTGACACCCCATTTGGCTATCCGAACACCCTATCCTGTACATTTAGAAAAGGTGCTGTATGCGTTTTACCACGAGGTCGGTCCTAATTGAGATATAGTAGTACTAGTAGTTTATACATACTTACAAGGTTTTTGGCCACAAGGTGTGGTGCGGTAGATATGGCTAGTATAGGCCATAGTTAGCTTGTGCTAGTAAGGTTTACCCAATCAGATACCTAGGTATACTATTAGTTACTGAGATATTTAGTACTGGTAGATACCTTGGTAGCTACTCAGTTACCTACCCGAAGGTGAGAAAGTAGAATCCTGGCCTCCTACTGTATTTCGTAGTAGTACACATACAGCACCTTTTCTAAACACTAGACAGGATAGGGTGTTCAGATAGCCAAATGGGGTGTCCACTTAGTAGTGCCCCATTGGGGGGCTGTCAGTCGTACCTGCCTATTATAGTAATAGTTGGGAAGCATTGAGGTTGAACTTCGGGCCCTTGAGGAGACCTTGTAACCAATCCTCCAATTGACCTCCAACCATCATGGAACAACTACTCACCACTTTCTCAACTTTTGCGGTAATGTTACTTGTGAATGACTGCATTAATTGGTGTTTAGACAAGGCTGATATGTACAAGGCCCCGACCCCCAACGCCCCAATCCTGCGCCGGGAGGCCGCCGAGGAATCAAAGGATTTGGCCAATACTCTCGCAGAGATAATCACCAAAATAGGCTGGCAACATGATGTTGCGTTCCTGGGCTTTATCCTCCTGTACAAGGCAGGCGTTCGTGCTGTGTAGTTCCTCTACAATTGGGTACAGAGCTATACCCAGCTGCACATCGAGATCAAGAAAGCAAAGCAAGTATTTCTATACCCTAAGTGCACTGTTGATTTATGCAGAGTAGCATATCGGAGCCTTATGGTACAATGCACGTCGCTAAAATATGTACTGACTTGAAATATAGATCTCAAGCCGAGATCGCTCGAACGGACGAAAAGGCAACGGTGTGGCGGGTTCGCTTGGATTAGGAGGTTTTTCCAGTTATCTGTTAAGGTGTCGGTATCGTCGCATGAAGTCCTAGCTTTAGTTCTACCTTCCCGTTAGGGGAGGAACCTTAGCAATGCATCTATCTCTCCGGTCCCATCACAAGGATTGGGAGTTCTCAACGGCAGAGGAAGCGGGGACCCAATCGAAGAAACGGGAGATTGCGTTGCTCGCACAGTGGGCAAAGCAGAACATACCATAACAGGAATGGGCAAAACTCAAGGCGGATCACGATGCGATCATGCGCCTGAGCAAGAACCTATGGTAAGTTATAACTGATCTCTGAATGATTGCCGAAATTGCTGACATTTAAATTTCTAGAGCAATGCGCCCCGGGCTTTATTTTTTTTTGATTTTTGATTTTTAATTCTTGTTTTTGTCTAATTTTTGTCTAATTTTTGTTCAAAACTTCTTGAAAGGGACTTGAAATGAGACTTGAAATGAGACCGGTGGAGATGTTGACGGGACAGTGTGGCGGGTTTTCTGATTATGAGGCTTTTCCTAGTTATTTATTGAGATGTCGGTAGCAAGATGGCAACTCGTCACATCACGGAGTCCTAGTTTTAGTCCTACCTTCCGGTTAGGGGAAAGACCTCCGCAATACATCCATCTTTACATCCACTTTATACCTTATTGAACCATCGTTTATATACTATACGGTCCAGCCAATAGCATCAGGAGTTCTCAACAGGAGAGGCAATTTGCAGTTTCGGTGCCAATACGGTACAGGTTCAGGCAATGTCTAGGTCACCGCCTTCCAGGCGGATATACGGGATTAGCCCACTCTACCTAATACCACCATCATCCACTTCTACCATTACATTTTCATTACCGTACCATTTTACTGGGGTTGCAGTGCCTCTAGCCTCATTGAATTGTTTTGTGTGTGTTGTCTTTCAAGGTATATCCTGTATAATACCTAGGTATCATTATTAGTTTGTCCCAACCAATGACTGGTCAATACTACAATACTATAACTTTCGTCATGAGAATCTGCTCCAATATTTGTTCCTACACAGTATCGGACTCGGAACCAAATTCTATATTTACATTAATTCAAGGGGAACTTAGGGAAAGTATTCGATTTACTCCCTGGATAGTCTAAACGCTCTAAGAATACAAAAATATCTAGTTCGTGCTTTCACAAAGCCTCATGAAAACGGGGTTTGGTTTAGCACTGGGCCAGAATCCGCGCAGCAGCGGCCTCAGCAATAACCATGATGGTAGTCTGGATGTTACCAGTGGGGAGGTCGGGGTGAATACTGCCGTCGACGACGTACTAAAGAAAAGAGGATGTTAGCTTTTGCTGACGAGTTTTAGAATGTTTGATAGTAACTTACCAGGTTATCGGTTCCGTAGACCTTAGTGTTGAGATCAACAACAGAAGAACCACCCTTGCGTCCATCATCGGTACCCAGCTTAGCAGAGGTGGTGTAGTGGTTGCCGGAGGAGATGCTGTTAAGGATGGCGGTGACATTGGGCTTGGTGATGAGCTCGAGACCGGAACCAGGGGTGCTGATATCGCTGATCAGCTCCTTGACGAAGGCAGCAGCGGCCTGCTTGTCACCGGTGGTCTGCATGTAAGGAGACTGCTCGATAACGGTCTTCTGGTTGGAGTCCAGGCCCAGGACACCAGTGGAGGTAGCACCGTGGGTGAGGTAGGTTTTGATCTCAAGAACAGAGCCCTCGGCGGGAGCGCAAGAGCCCTGGTAGTAGCGAGTCTGGCCGTTCAGCTCGTTGGACGAGAAGAAGATGGCACGGTGCTTTCCTTGGGTTAGGAGGCCGCTGCTCTTTCCGTAGAGGCTGATGTCCTTGCGGTCAGTGCCGTTGACGATGGCATCGTAGTCGGGGACACCGAAGGAGCCGTTGGTCTGGACATTCAGGGTAAAGATAGGGTGATCACGGAAACCGAGACCAACGGGCAGGTCGAGCCACTGCTTCTTGGGAGGGACGTTGATGCCGCTGTTCTTGGCAGTCTCGATTTGCTTCTGGGGACCGATGCCGGAGTTGAAGAGGAGACGGGGGGTGGAAAGGGCGCCGGCAGCGAGAACGACATTGCCATTACGGGCAAGAGTGATGATCTCGGTCTTGCCGGAGGAAGTCTGGACCTCGACGCCGGTAATGTGGCTGCCAGAGCGCACAACACGGATGACCTTGGCGCCGAGCTGCAGGGTGAAGTTATCCTCCTTCTCGGCCAGAGGCAGGTAAGTGCGGACGGGACCGGCACGCTTCTGGTCCTTGATATTCCAGGAGGGATAGCTGTAGACCTTGTGCTTCTCATTGGGCTCGGAGATCATGTCGACGGACTTCCAGCCGATGGTGCTGAAGAACTTGGAGAGAACAGAGTACAGACCCTGGTCGTAACGCTTGCCATCAGCAGAAGGCAGAGTTGTACCAGGGTTGCGCTTGTAAAGACGCTCAGCAGCGGGCTTGAGATCCTTCCATTTCCATCCCTCAGGCCAGTTGTTGTTGTCGTCGAAATCGTGCTCGGGAGGGTGAACGAAGACCATATAGTTCACGGTGACGCCGCCACCGAGAACACAGGCGGCCATTCCCTCGGTGTCGGTACACATATATTCCTCCCATACAGGAAGGCTACCAACATCGGCAGACAGACCGGGCAGGTCAATCGATGTGAGGTCCTTGTTCCAGGTGAGGGTCTCGTTGGAACCGGTAGCGACGGTGGGACCAACACCTCGCTCGAGAAGGAGGACCTTCTTGCCAGCCTCGACGAACCGCTCAGCGGTGATGATACCAGCGGGACCACCGCCAACAACAATGAAGTCGTAGTAGTTGTTCTTGAAGCTGGATGCAGATGCCAGACTTCCGATAGCGGCAACTAGGGCTGCTTGGCAGCCAACTTGGAGAAACCGCATCTTGTTTATAAAAAGACAGTTAAAATTGACAATTGAACTATACAAAGAAAAAGAGAGAGCAAAAGCCGTTCAGATCAAGGGGCTTCAAGGCCTTTTCAACTCGGTTCTTTTCCGGAGCTTTTCCTTCTTCTCCATCTACCAAACCCGGTGGCCTGTCACTCGGGGATTTAGGGACCCGGACCAAGATCTCCATATTGTGTCATATTTTGCTCTTGGGGGAGTGCCCACCTTCCATGTCTGGCATAGATAGTTTGTCACTTTCTGACCGTAGATTAGCGATCTTCTCATAAGCAACTAGAACAATGGATGAGGTGGGTCTTTGTCTGTGTTTGGAAATGAAACCTGCTTCAGCCACTCTAGGCATGAGTGATAGGCAGTGGATATAACCCGATGAAGGATAGTCCATTTCGATAAGATGGCGCCGTTGGGCACCGTCAGAGGCGCATTTAAAGAATCCGTCTCCACTGTTTGGCATCCAGGGCGGCCGAAAGGGCCTGCCGAGTCTCCACAGGCTTCCCAGGCGGCCAGGATCCGACTCTTATTTGCTTAGCCGCGCCACTTTGAATTCTCCTAAGCCGGTGATTAATCCGTTTGAGGAAAGATATCAGGGGTCTCACTCTTGAAACAGGAAGGGATCGGTGAAACTAGTCTTCCACTTGCGTTATCTGATTGAGATCTTTCGCGCAGTCCAAAGTCTCTGTCAAAAGTAATAGAATAATCATGGATCTGCTCCGTAGTGACGCGCTCGCTCTACGCGATCTATCATGCCGAACAGATCGTCTTAGATGCATGGTGCTAGCAAAGATAAAGTAGGAGGGTTCGCGGATCAACGCGGGTCGACAAATTTTTTTGGTATTTTTTCTTCACTGCCGCAGCAGGTACCCGCGGCTTGCTCGGCAAATGCATTCATTCAGGGGCCATAAGATTCGAGAGCAATTTAGACTTGGAATTATGAAACAAAAAACATCCCCCTCGCTTCCAAACCCTGATCAGAATCCAAGAGGCTTATGTCGCATGAGGCAAAACGGGTGTTCTGGAAGTGGAAACGGATACGGTCATTTTGTCCATTGACTTTGAAGCCATGATAAAAGTATAATAACAGCATAATTCAGAGACCATAATTATTTGGCTACAGCTATGTGCACATAAAACAATGATCATGTTCTTCCTCTTAATCCAGAAACCGCCCAGCCGGCGAATGCTCGGCACGAGGAGAAACGCGGCGTCGGTTTCAAGCCCCGCTTCTGCCTTGTCTAATTTGCCTCTTGCAGCGACTTTAAATTCCAAACCGCGAGAAAATTATACGACATGACAGACCAAGAGCTAGGATTTCTTATGGCAGGTTAAATCTCGCTGCCCGGAGCTAAAGGTTCTTAGAAAAACCGAGACGACAATGTTCCCCGAGCGCCTCTGATATTTTATTGCCGCCATTTTTGCCCTGCCAAGATACGCCCCAAAATTCCAAACTCGAGATTCATCAAGGTTTCCGATATAGTAATTGGGGTAATGAGCCTCCGACTAAGACCCTGCCAGAATTCTAGGCCCGGGAGAAGGATTATACATTCATTGTGTTAAGCCTTACACAGGGTCATCAATTATTGAGAAACTTCTAGATTGGCCATTTCACCCATGCTATCAATTCTTCCAAGTTCATTCTTATACTCTAACACCAAGTTTTCGATTTTATCATCAATCGTCATCGTCCTGAGCCCTGGGTTGGCCAGATGGCGCTACATCGATGTCGCTTATATTCTGCGCTACAGCATACAATGACACTACTCAGCTTTGCAGGGCAGCATTTTCTCTAGCAATGCGCATATTGAATTTATATTATACCTAAGCACTCCTGAGAAATTCCCAGCTGGCCGTTCAGCATAAAATATAATTCGCTTGCGATAATGTACGATAATCTATTACTTCCGTAGACAGTCAAATAGACAACTGGTAGGGGGCGGATGTTCATTTCAGTATTCGGCAGCAGTGATATTATCGATTATGGACTTCAACTACTAGCACATTTATGAGCACCTGGTAGGCAAAAAGTGACAATAGATTAGATCTGCTTTGCAGCATCTGAGACTGAGGCGGCATTGATCGGGGCGTATCATAGGGGAATCTCACTAGTGAATCTTAAAAGCCCTGAGAATCGCAACTCAAATTCCTCTCGCCTGGTATACACTTGGGCAATACTAGTAAACTTCTAGTCTCTTTTCACCTGCAAATTCTTGCGCGCCCGAGTCATCAACGCCCTCAGTCTCTCGGTTCCTTTACTATCCAAAAACTCAACAATATCCACAATCCTCTCCTTGCTCTCGTCCAAAGTGAAGATGAAAATGTATTCGCCTTGATAGGCCCACTCCTCTTCAGTGAGGCCATCATCTTTACATCCCTCCCTAAATTTTGCTTCGCTAGTAGCCCAGATAGTCACTTGCCCTTTATCGCCATTCTCGAAAATTTCCTTGGGAAAAACGGGGAATTCTGCGAGGACCTCCCGTAGCCCTTCCAGATGACTGGCGAATACGTTTGGGCTCATGGGTTCGGGTGGAGAGAGGGAGGCCGGGGCGAATCTGTGAATGGCGGTCGGCGCCAGAAAGGCGAGAAAGATGTCCGGTGAGAGTGTCTTGAATCCTTCAAGGTATGAGAGGGCCGTTTTGCTTGATTTGGATGACATCTTGATATAAAGACGTTTTTTTTTCGATATAGAGGGAGGTTATCTCGAGCGGAAAACTGGAAAGTTGAGCTTCAAGTTACTAGCAGCGGTCAGCACCATCGAATTTCATCGTCATAGCTCTTAGAGCTGCCCAAATGTGTGGGGTTTGGCGAGTTTCGGGTGTTAGGCGGATAAATATTCTTATCTCCGACATCTTCCCATAGTAAGGTGATATACGGTGCGGAGATTATGGATGGGGACTAAAAGCACTGGGAGATGATTGGGCTTTGGAGAAAGAATGATTATATTTATGCTCATCCTTTGTTGTAATGCTAAAGAAGGGAAGTTTTTATCGAAATAATTCTACTTAGTTAAGGATGTGCTTACCTACCTAGTGAAAGATGGGAATGCTCGCTGGCTGTCTGTCAAGCAGACGGGTCGATCGCAGAGAGACAAAACCACCACACACAGTATGTAGGCGAGTAGGCAAGGCAATGACCACTGAGACAAAACCTCCTCAAGCATCCGAGCCTTCATAAACAGTACACTGATACCGCTGCCGCCGCAGGAAAGAAAAAGGCCGCATCGTGACACTTGACAGGTGAGTGTTCCTAGAATGCTATCGCGCGAACTAAAAGGACAGTAGCTTCTAAGATTGAAATATACCAGATTTTTTATATAGACTTAGAACTTACAAAATTTTCAGAATGATCGTACGACAGAAGCTTAGCGCAGTCTGGTCCTGAAAAACATGAGCAGTCTACCCTGTGGGGTAAATTCTGCCCATACTTAAGAAACCCTTACCGCCGAGCAGTCAGGTAGACTGCTCCAGGTCCCTTGGGTTGGGGGTTGTTTCGCTATCAATATCTTTACTTCCCCTACTTTTCCTAAGTTACCTTAGTATCTTTTATTATTCTTTCCCTATCTTAATTCTATATCTCTAGATTGAATACCCCTATAGCTAATGACAGCGATAGGAGTAACAGTGGTTTATATAACAGGCCAAGGCCCGGCTGATATTACGTGATGGCACGTAACCTTTTTCCTACCAGGATTCTAGTTACTCATAGCATTAAATTGGAGGCCCGAAGGACTATGGTTCCTATTTTTGAACACCCCCTAATATCCTCATAGTAAAAGATCTACGGGTTGTGTATCCTGTATCCTATCTCCAAATATCTTAGCTCGCACAAAGACTTATAAAAGCGACACTAGTGCTAACCTTTCCTTTCGAGCCGATTCACACCCCACACGGCAGTCCGCCTTGGAGCCCTCGTATAATACATTGTATACGGTTGTTAGAAGGTGTCGCAGGAAATAAATCGTTGCAGCACTTGACAATTTTGAGGATACCGATATTGCTTAGGGGAGCTGCTGTAATGGTAACGAGGAGTAACGAAATCACCAGCACGAAAAAAAATTTATTTCCAAAGGCAGACATATCTTGAGAATGGTATTTCTCCTGTGTAGTCAAATCGAAATATGGATTATTTTGCTCAACATGTAGATCGATAGGAGGGCATAACTTATAACTTTTGAGAATAGTCTATGACGATAGTCTTCAGTTGGTAATAATGTATTGAGCGGCAAATTACTTGATCTAGAACGCTTTGGGCACTTTATACTTTACAAGAATGAATGGTTACGCTGGAGATTTCCTTTGCTGAACGGTAATATATACTAGACTAGTACTTTTCCCGCGCTGCTAACTGTTATGCCATCTTTCCATAGTATTAGTTTACAATCTGCTATAAGCCGATATAATGGTTTATTTCAATGATGACGAAAAAATCCAGACTAGCTACACTTAATATACAGACCATGGAGGGTAAAAAGATAAAATACAAAAAAGAATGTCCCACAATGAAACATTACTACCGGTATATGTATAACCTAAAATAACTTATATGACGTCATCACCAATCCTTTTTGTGAACCCAGATAATCTACTACTACTACTACTACTACTACTACTACTACTACTACTACTACTACTACTACTACTACTACTACTACTACTACTACTTCTGTACAACTTCTTCGAGAACTACGCGCAAACTTGCTTGAACACGGAGGACTGCCAGGAGAGTATGGTAGAGGGTGACTGTTCGGATGTGCACATTTACGGTCTCAGCACCAAGACTGCCGTCAACATGGTCACCTCGTCTGCTGGCAAGTGCATGGTCCCCCAGAAGCCCGACACAAGTAACTTCTGCTCGACCATTGCTCGTTTCGAGCAGCCTGTCTAGACCTTTCTTCCTTTCTCTCCTGTTCTCGTCGGATGGTTTGGTCCAGTCTTTGCTTTTGTTTCATTATTTCTTCTTCTCTTTCACCCCAGCCTTCTTCTATACCTCATCTGGAACCTGTCTCTTCGCAGGATTCTGATTGTCACTTTACTTCTCTTTTCTAGACCTTTTGTATTGCCAGCGGCTATCATATCATGGAGTTGGATGGGCGTGGATAGGTGGGAAATGGGAAAATCATACACATAGTCGATCAAGACAGGGTTCTCGTTGGGAGGTTCGCATCTCGGGATTCTACTTGATACCATGGGAAGTATTTTTTGGTCGATAGATTTCTCGTTCTTCTCGTTTTTATGAGAGTCATTGATAGACATTTCATTCCATATAATGATACCACACTCTAGAAAACCTCATCTGTAAGACATCATTTCTTGGTAGTGAGGAATAATCATCTGGACTAACAACTTCAGCCAAGCTCTTTAAAAATATATTAAAATTTGTGCCAGGACTGGGATAAAAGTACGCGAATAGTACAGTGGCAGCTCAAAAGTCTGAGTCTGGAAATTAGAAAAACCACACAGCAGGTATGCTTCCACTTTTCGTTTTTTGAAAGGTCTTTTTTAAAGGTCATTCAAATCGTCTTTCATGATAGCTTAGACATCAAGTTTGAGACTATAATTCAACTTGTGATTAACAAGATTATTCTCAAGGATCACATTGAATAGTATTTGTGTTAATAATATCTATAGTTTGGTGCTGGTTCAAGAACATGCATCGGCAAAAATATCTCACTACTCGAAATGACGAAGCTCGTACCCCAGCTTGTGCGTCGGTTTGACTTTGTTCCTGCAGGTGACAGTGAGTGGAAGACTAGTAGCGGCTGGTTTGTCAAGCAAAGTATCGATGTCAAGGTCATTGAGAGGACGTGAGACCGGAATGTCTGATAGTTCTGAAATTGGCCATGTGGCTACATTTAGCGCAGAATTGGAAATATGATATTTTGATCGATACCATGTTTTTTTCGGACATCAAAGGACATCAAATTTGCTATAGAGAGAAAATGGATCTTATTCAATAGGTATTCTAATTTGTGGGCTTCTGGAGTGTGTGGAGTGAGAGCTTTCCTGTAGATAAATTGTAACGTTCCGTCCAATTCCGGTTCCGCGGAACGGTCAACAACGACTTCGGCACTTGTTTCGCTATAGAATTTGGGAGGAAATTAAAATAAGTTTTATGTATTAACCTTATCTACAGGGGTATTGCTAGCTCAATTGACCTCAAACTTATTAGCTACTGTCTCGCACATATAATTATGGCTGATACTACGCTCAAAACCTGTGACGCAAACGACCAAATCATCAATTGGATTGAACAAACTCAAGGAAATAATGAAGAATGCGTATTACTACCGCAAATAATGACAGCAGTTTTACTGATTTCTCGCTATAGAAACAAGACTCTCATCAATTTCAGCACCGATGCCATAGAGTATAGAAGCATCAATCGCTTTTCCAAAATCACAGGGGTCGGATTTCTTTTCCTTCATGCATAATGCCTGAGTGTACGGAAATGAGGCATAGCATGAAGAGAGGTTTGAAAGAGCAAAAGACTCCATATTGCGGAGGTTGTTAAATAGGATTATTAGGTAGGGGCGATTCATAAGATAGTAGTTGATCCCAGCTCGGGGATGCTGTATAACATTTCAACAATTCGATAATTTGACATTCAAAACCACATATTTAGTCTAAATAAGCTTGGAGCCTTCTTTCCAGTACTTCGCTCTTGCTACCGTATTCGTGCGTCCAATAAAGCAGACCGGCCGCTTTGTACGGCATCCACAGCTTCGGATAACTTTGTCGCCAGTTCCTCGACAGTGCTTGCGCTTCCCGCCCAAGATTTAGCTCCAGATGCACCTTGTGCAATATTCGCGTAGTCCGGATTGGGATCGAATGATATGTTCAGTTCTTTGTTGCTGACTTGGGACCTAGTGAATCCCGAGAAACTGTTGAAGAGTTCTAGTTTCCCGCCAACATGTTTCGTTCAAGGAACAGTGGATGTGGTTGTTAATGCGAAGTTTTCGCAGTGGGCTTATGCTGAGTTACAGAAGAATGGGGTGCAGAGTGAGTTGTACCTTGTTGAGGAGATGGCTCATGGGTTTGATGCTAGGTTGAAGCGCGATGATGCTGCCTTCGCGTCTATTCAGAAAGGCGTGGAGTTTCTTGCGCGACATGTCGTGGGTTAATGTGGAATGTGAGCTTTCTGGTTGACCTGTTGTCGAAGATGACCCGAGTATAGTCGTATAAATTTTTCAATGTTCAAGAGTTGTTAATGAAACAGAGAGTAGTGCACAAAGCGACATCGTCGACATGTGCAGTGACATTATACAATTGGGATATGCAAGACGATCAAAAAATAGACATGAATCTTCAACCCCGCTTAAAGCTCTTTCTTGAGGAAATTCTCCGGCTTGTGGGTAGTCTCATAATCAACGTGCACATAAGCACGGGGCTCGCTGGAATATTATTGGCACAAAGGCGACAGAATGTGTTTCGTAATCGTGGTGTCCAAAGGAAACCTCAAAACGGGGCACCACGCCCGCTATGACGTAGGCGAATTTTATTCTACTTACAACTCGTCCCCAACTTTGTTCTTCCTACACAGCCAACATGGCTGTCGCTGCCACTCTCGTGCCCCAGTCTTGCTCCTTATAAAAAAGGCAAGGCAGTGGATTAGATAATGCGCTTTCATGGGCGTCACGTCACCGCATGGATTCAAGTGGCTCTCATCCGGATTCTCACTCTGTCCGTTGGTTTATTAAGTGATGCTTCAATGGTCATGTCATTGAGGGGAGTTGTTTGTGTGTATTGTGTTGCATGTCTAAGATACAAGTGAAGTGAGAGGTAGAAACCTTGAAATGGCCCTGTGGATGAATTTGTTGAGGGCGCGTGCCTGCCATGTCTAGATAGCTTTCCTCTCTCTCCCATCCATATCACCATCTCTTTCCCACACATTTAACTTCTTCCTAGTGGCAGCTTCTTGACACAATTGAATATCATAATTACAAACAATAAGCATATCCGTTCATTCCATGCAACTTCTGCACTCGAGCCCCCAAGCTACCTTGGCCCCGCATTTGCCTGGAGAGCAGTCCCCGGCGAGAGTTACCATTTTGAGTTAGATTTACAGATAGGCCCACTTAATCATGATCTAGGCTTAATGATCTACAGCAATGAAAATATGAGGAAATTGCATGTAAAGTTCCAGATTTCGCTCTCTATCTATCTATTGTAATAATCTAAATCTAATACCAATTGTGGTTTCATACTAAAGTACCCCGCTGCATTCCCCGATCTCGCCCATCTATACTTGATCCGGGGTCTGGCTTTGCGAATTCAGCTTGAGCGCCTTCTGTTTTTGACGGGCAAAATCGACACCGAAACCATGTTCAAATACCTCGCGAATATCTTCGAGGGTCATTCCTTTCACTTCGGGGTAGCAAAAATAAACTCCGATCCAGCCGAAGAACGAAACCGCGGCATAGAAACCGAAAGCGCCCGACGGCGTGATGTTTTCCATTTGTGTAAGAAAAGTGGAGGAGACGATGACATTAGAGCCCCAGCAGCTCATTGTCAAAAGCATTGTCCCGACAGCACGAACTTCGATAGGGTAAAATTCGGAAGACATCCAGGCGATATTACCAGCTCCGACGGAGTAGAACGCAACGAATACCACCATAGAAACTAAGACCAAGTCTGCAGCCCACCCGGTCTTTTGGGAAGTGATTTCAAGACTCGGGCTGAGCGGTACCCAATGAAAGCATATTGCTGCGCAGGCCATTGCTGCAGCCATTACCCACAGCGTATTCATGAGGATCTGTCGACGACCAACACGGTCAACCAGGAACAGATTGATCCAAGTAAAGATCCAATTTGTCGCGGCAATGATAGTGCCCACTGCAATCGGCTTGTCAAATCCAACGGCAGCAAAAATCGTGCCGGAGTAATATAGGATTGAGTTGAATCCACCTAGCTGAGAAATTGCCATGAGTCCACAGGCTGCGAACATGGCACGGAAATTTGATCCAACGACGTATAGCTGTTTGATTTGCCACCACAATGCTCTGTCCGTATTTTGATTTGTTTCCACGTGGAGCGAAATATGCTGGACCTTCTGCTGAACCTGGAGCTCGGTTCCATCAGGGAAGATCCTTGCAATAACCTTTGCGGCTTCATCTCGCTTCTTGTGGTAAATCAGTTGTCGTGGTGATTCTGGACAGAAAGGAAGGAGGAAGCAAAGAATTACTGCCGGCACTGCACCGATTGCAGCCATATATCGCCATCCCTCGTTGACGTTCGCAAATGCAGCTCCGATTCCATAGCTGACGAGTTGTCCGGTTGTGATTGATAGGTTGTCGAGGCTTATCATACGTCCACGATATTTTGCCGGTGCCACTTCTGCTATGTAAAGCTGTCAAGGTCAGTAGTTATTCAAATAAAGATTATTAGCATTGGAATTGTGCTAGTACGTACCGGTACAATCATAGCCGCAGAACCGACCCCTAGTCCCACAACCGCCCGCCCGACGGTCATTTGGGCGATAGAGAAGGAAGAAGCTTGGATGACAGCGCCGAGGACGAACAAGACGCAGCCCGTATATATGCCCATCTTTCTCCCATAACGGTCGGCACATAGACCGGCCACGACGGCACCGATAAAAGCACCGCCAGAGGTGATCGATGTGACCAATTCCTTCTCACTGCCATTGAGGGGTTTCCCCAGACCATCTCCAAGATATACAAGAATACCTGATATGATGCCGGTGTCGTATCCGAATAAAAATCCTCCAACAGCTGCTGTCAGTGAGACTAGCCAAGCATATTTGCTGCACCTGGTATTTTCAATGGTGTCCAACTCAACAATAGAGGAGCCTTCGACATGCTCAGCCAAATCCTTGATATCTTCGTCGTCTGAATGGGAACTCTTTCGACTAAGGCCGCTCATTTTGGGCCGTGGGTTACTCGGAGGGTGTACAAAAAAGGAAAAACAAAGTATGAAAAGAAAAACCAAAGGCGAAAGAGAACTTCTACCTCTCGATTATTCCTCTTCTTTTTCTATCTGAGGGGTCTGTTCTCATTATGTCTTCGGATGCAACTCGTTTAAATGGTATAGCTCCCAACTAAATTATGCATGTCGACGTCGAGTGTGCCTGGCTCGCTGGATTAGCGAGGGAACTCGGCCCAAGTCCGTGTGAAAGTATCCAATAAACAGGCTTGGAAGTGGGGAGGCAAATGCTCCGCCCCCAGAATGCCCAGTTTCAACCCCGCACTCCCGCGACTTCTGGGGTGTGGAGAGGGTAAATGGTCAATTCTCGCCGAGCTTGCCATTAATTAATACTTCTACTAGCCGTCTCCGTCAACTTCAATTCCCTTCTTCAATCAGCCTTGCGATATTGCATAACCCTCCAACAATGCGGCGGAACAAGACTGTTCCTTGGTGAGCCCCACACCATCTGCATGCTTCACCAATCACCATAGACTAATTTACAACAGCCAGGAGTGCCGAAGTGAGTGGCACATCACGTCTCACTTGCTAGAAAAGTGATGGGTCCTTAAACTGACTTGCTCTACCTTTTTACTCTAGACAGACATGTAAAATGTGAGTGTATCCACGCATTCATCCAGCTTGCAGTCACTGACCCAACCCACTCTAGGCGACGGCCAGAAACCCAAATGCCAGCGTTGTGAAAAGAACGGGTCCTCATGCCTCTGGCAGGGCTCTCCATCGGGATTTCGCCATGGCTCCAGTGCCAGTGCCCGGTATGATTTCGCCGATGACCAGCCTTGGCTGCCCATTGGCCAATGTGTGTTGATCCCCTTGTGCCAGCAGATCCCCGAGATGTTGCATCATTCACGGATATCGGGCTCTGGCATTGCCGATTACAGTTGCTGACTCGGGCCGCAGTGGATTACAGTTATGTCGATGAAACAGCCGACATAGCCAGACATTACTCAATAGATTCGAGCTGCGAATCGTCATTGCCTTGGGCACCGGCGAGACGCCAGAGCATGGCTTCGCCGGATCATCAAGTTGCCACAGAGCTCTCTATATTGAAAGATCCCTCTCGGTCGCACTCTTCTGAAGCCTTTCTATCATTGAATCGGCCCGAAGACGCTTTGACCTCTTTTTCGCCGTATCAACCCTTGCAATCATCGCCGGATGGGCATTCCTCCATTCCATCCGCCTCCCCTCACTTTTCACATAGCAGCAATGCCTCACCCGGGTCGAGAGATTTCATTATAAATTCCTTTGATAATAGGTTGCCGAGTTTGAATGAGCATGAAGCATGTCTCATGCGGTACTTTGTTGTCCAACTTGCTCCCTGGGTAGGATCATCCCGTCTAGCAAACTTTGAAAGCTAGCACTCCTTGCTAACGCTTGCGGCTTCATATACAGTTCGACTTATGCGATGGAGAAAGGCATTTTGCCTGCACCGTACCTCTAAGAGCCAGAACGTGTCCTCCATTACTCAATGCCATTTATACCGCCTCTGCAAGACACCTGAGCCGAATCAAAAAATATTATCATGGAAATCAAATCCATTATGGGGGCAAAGTCCTCAAAGACCTAACCCCCGAGACCGCGATTCACTATCACAACGAATGTATCGCGAATCTTATGGCACTATCGGGCCACTCGGGTGAAGCCCAAGATGAGAACCTACTAGCTGCTGCGGTGATTCTTCGTTTTTATGAAGAAGTGGACAGTGAGTCACCTTCCCCCACTTGTGTATCGATTTCATTGATGAGCTTCTAAACAATCCCCCAACAGTGCCATCAATAGGTGAAGGCACAGAGAGCGCACTAAGGGGAATCCAAATATTTCTCGATGCCCAAGCCCCATCTGCAGTAGCGGGTTTCGGCCTTCGGCATGCAGCCTATTGGATTGCACTTAGACAAGAAATCATCACAGCATTCAGTAAACAGCGCCCATTCCGGCTACCATTAGGGCCGTGTGAGCCATATCGCTCTTTTGAACCTGCAGACGATTACGTCTGGGCCGATCGCCTCGTAATCCATTGCGCCGATGTATTGCAATACTGCTTTGGATCCGAGGAAGAAGGGACGCCTCAAGATCAACACCAATCCTCCAGCACCGGGGTCCTGCACCCCACCCCGGTAACCGACATGCGCATAGCACGCTACGATGAACTTGTCTTGTTTGAAACCCTCTGGACAGAACTTGGTCCGCCGAGTTTCAAACCCATCTACACGCACGAACCGGATCGCTCCCTTGGAGAAGTCTTTCCGGAGTTATGGTATTTGAATAATTGCCACGTCGCAGGGCTGCAATTTTTCGAGCTGGCCCGTATTCTCCTCGTTGTTTATAACCCCAAACTACCACGTCTCGGACCTAGCCAGCGTACTGCGATGCGGTCGGTGGATCGAAAAGTGCGGTCAATGGTGTTGCGACTTTGTGGGATGGCGCTCTCTAATCAGCATAGTCCTCCGGGTCTGGTGACTGCTTCGGTTGCGATTGGAATGTGCGGTGATCGTTTCACCGATCGTCTCGAGCAAGAAGCGCTTCTGGGTATTTTGACGAAGCTTAAGGATGAACATGCGTATCCCACGACGAGTATGCAGGAATTGCTGAAAGGGGCTTGGGGATGGGATGGGTACGATGGGTTAGAATAGCCATTTGGACATAAATTATATGACTCAAAGTCAATCAATCCACCACATTACCTAGGCATTCCGTCCACATTCACGGAATCAGCTGTCGATAGCTGTTACCGCGGAAATCTTACCCCAATGGAATTGATGCGGAGAAAGCTCCACTGGATGCGATTGACGACACTGCACGAATTCAACTCTGCGGGAATTCACACCAGCCCAAGAGAGGAACCCTGATTCCGGAAATTTCACTATGCGCCCGACAAATTTCGTGGTCCCCGTGGGCCATGCTTAGGCCACTAAATACTCGCCTTGGGTTGTTTCTGTGCGGGGAAGTGGAGGTGGAGACGCATGTGGGACATCTGGGGCAACTCTCGCCGAACATCCTTCGTTGAAAACCTACTTGATCGAGTAATACTACTAACCACATTCAGATACACGTCGGCGAAGAACCTGGAGCATCTCCGATGAGGGGCGGGGACGGCGATCGAGCTGTGACAATGTCTATATAATGGGCAGTGCATTCCAGCATGGGCTTCTTTTTCCAAATCATCTCGTTTTTCTCAATCAACCTCATAATTAATTATACTGACCCTCACCATGTCTGAGAAGCTCCAAGTCGCCGTCGCGGGTATTGGTCGCATGGGTAAGGCCTCTCATCCGGCAACTTGGAAATTCAACAACTTTCCCTAGAGCTTCACTAATTGCTGCTTCTTAGGAATGCGCCATGCTCGCCACTTCGCCAATTTCACTCCTCGTGCCGAGCTGATTGCCGTCTGCTCGCCTGTCCAAGCTGAGCTGGATGCCGCAAAGGCAGAATTTGGAAATATTCGCCTCTACAAGGACTATGAGCAGATGCTGGAGCAGGAGAAGACTCTCCAGGCCGTTGTCGTTGCCAGCGCTACCACTGTCCACGCGGAGCAGGCCATCAAAGCTATTGAGCGTGGTTTCCATGTCCTTTGCGAGAAGCCCATCAGTACCAGCCCTGAGATCGTGAGTACTCAACCCAGCCATTTTCCCCATTCCGTCGAGTTTTACTCCAGAGAAATGCCGAATTAACAGCGTCTTCCTCTAACAGTCCCAATCGGTCGTCGACGCCTATAACACCTCCATCAAGAAATTCCCCAACCAAAAGGTCATCTGTGGCTTCTCGCGTCGTTTCGACGCTTCATACCGCGATGCCTACCGACGCACAGCCAACGGCGATATCGGTACACCATCTGTCTTCCGCTCTCAGACCTGCGATAAGCTCGATCCAAGTGGCTTCTTCGTCGCGTACGCCGAGTTCTCCGGCGGTATCTTTGTGGACTGCTCTATTCACGACATCGACTTAGCACTTTGGTTCTTCGGCGAAGACAGCAAGGTCAAGAGCGTGACTGCTATCGGTATCACTGCCGTGCAACCCGACCTCCGCAAGCACAATGACCGAGACAATGCCCTGGGAATTATCGAGTTCTACGTAAGTTTCTTCCACCGGCCAATCCACCTTGAATCTTCAAGCATTTTCATCGGGTGCTAACACGTTATAAACAGGGTGGCAAGATCGCTCAGCTCTACTGCTCTCGCATGATGGCCGCCGGCCAAGAAGACTGCACCGAGATCTTCGGCACAAACGGCAAGGTCGCCGTCAACACCCAGCCTCAACTTAACCTGGTTAACATTTACGAGCCTACCGGTATCCGCCGCGAGATTCCCCCTGACTATTACGGACGTTTCCGTGAGGCTTTCATCACCGAGGCAAACGAGTTTACTGCCTCTTGCCTTGACAACACTGCTCCTCCTCTCAGACTCGACTCTGCCGTGCGCGCTGTCACTATTGGATGTGCTCTCCAGGAGTCTCTGATCTCTGGAAAGAAGATTGAGTTTGAGGAAAAACGGAAAGCGGGTTGAGGCTTCGAAGCTGTGAAAAGAATATGAGTAAACGAATCTTATGGTGTTGTAGATAGAAATTTTATACTTGGTCGAATAGAATTTTTTTATGTTGAAACTCAACTTTCCTTTTGATACGAACTCAAGAACATGAGACATGATCAGTAAGCCTCTATGATTCTGGGTGACAGATGGTTTACAACATTACGGCTTAGGCGCACCTATCACGTCAACATTCAACCCAAATTGACAGGCTTGCCTGTCCTATCTACTGGTAATCGAAGTAGTGGCAGCATTCTCCTGAGGAGTTGTTCTCACCCTCCCCCGTTTACCGATAAAACACATACATACGCTGTATCAGATCATGCGTTTCGCTAGGATTCTACCTATCTGGGGACATAGACAGTTCTTGGTTCGGATTTTAACAGTCTGGGCAGAGCGAGTTGAGTCGGGTGATTGGGTAGTCACGGAAGATGGTGTCACTACTGGGATGGGGAAATTCAAGGGTGCCGACATGCCTGATCATTGAGAAAAGTACTACTAGTACCTAGGTATACTCCAATTTCCTGGCAATGGTCTCGTGATCGTCCTGCATTTATAAGCAAGTACACTGCCATTTTGAGAATATGTAACTCTGATCTATTAGACCAGTCGCGAAAAAAAGCCACTGCGGATGAGAAAGCTTAAGTGAGCGCCTCCTTCTTACTTTGTCCAAATCATGGCTTAGCATGATCGAATTCGGCGCAGAAATCAAACTAAATTGAGGGACTTGCCTGGCTTGGCTAAGAGTCATTGGTTGGATATTGAGACCTGGGGAAAGCTGAGGTCAGATGTGGCGGTTAGGCATTGGCTACTCAAAGGGTAGTCTCCCTTTAGGCAGGAATTACGGCTCAGTGGACAGGTAAGATAGCCCAGGCAGTAAGACTCAATACACCGTATGATAGGTTGGTGCGTTGTGGATTCTGTTGAGGGCTCCAGACATAAAGATTGAAACTGAATCTCCGGGCCAGCCTGGCCAAGTCTGATATGATTGGCCAACATTCTTGTACATATAACCAAGTAAGGTGCAATACAATTGAATAATATTCAATACTCTGCAATACAGCTCTGGATGAGAATCCGATTCAACCTCGGAATTCAATTCAGAATTTCATTAAACTTATCCAGCCAAACCTTCGTACCTAAAAACTATGTAAACAGACTCTCCATCAGGGACCAGAACATGTCGCGACATGCATACCTAGGTATCCCTGTAAAAGCGCCCGGCGGCCTTCGAGTCTCATATTGACATACCCTGATTCCTTCTGTTGGCCTCGTGCATTGTCTCCCCTTAATTTCCAGGCCAGTCTCGCTGCGCGCGATATCATCAGACAAACATTTAAGGTTTGATATGAATGAGGAGTAGTCGAGGCTATGCAGATCTGAAATTATGGCTCGGCCCCAGAAGTTTCAGCCGCACCACGCCCGATTCTGAAACTCATTAATGCGGGAATTTTTACCACCTCTCGTTCTTATTGGCTGGAGGTGACATGCATATACCTTCAATCGTAGAGCTGCCCAGGCCCTGGCTACATAATAGAACCGGCTCAGCGATAAGTTTGCATATGGTTTAGTTCTCCCAAATGCAATTCTGGAAGTCTTTGGGGTTAAAATAGCTGTAATCGTCATAATTCCTGACAGAATATTGAACATAGAGGGAGAACCAAATCGGAGTGATTGTCTGCTAACAACAGCAATATTCTAAATATTGAATAGAAAAATCTTGCACTATTTTGAATGATCAATGGACTTGGGCTTAGCATATCGCTCTACTAAATCATTTGGTGTGTTTGGTAGACAGCCAGTATCAGATTTTCGGCCAAATCCTAGACCATATACGACTAAAATATATCTTCAAAGCGCCTGAAGTAATTTCTTTATTAAATGATCAAATCTGCGAATTAAATGTACAGTCCTTAAGGCTTGGTGGCTGGAAATTTACCACTTCCCAAAATATCACCATCCTCAGTCTTCCCATTCAAAGCACGGTCGATTCGGAATTGGGAAGTTTGAAACAATCGAGGCATGCTAGTTTGTTCGAAAGGAATATCTTGCATGATCATCTTGGCCAGTTCCTTCGAAGATAGCCAGATCACCGGCATACCATGGCCATTGAATCCCGCAAGGATATATTGGTCTTTATCACTGCCAGGGACACTGCCAATATGAGGGTTGGAGTCATAGGAGTAGCCCATTACTCCAGTCCAGATCTTCTCGATCTTGGCTCCGGTGTTCTCCCATCCTCGATATGTTGTCTGCATATAGTTCTTGTAATAGTCCTTGGCAGAATCTATGAGAATGCTATCGTCCACATTGTCGTACCACTGGTCCTCGTGCTTCCGGAATACGGCCGCGGCACCTCCCACGACGATACTGCCGTCAGCCCGTGGAATCAGATATGAAAGGACGTTGTCTTCAGTTCGATTAATATATGAGTTGTTGAGGAGAGGTGGCGTCACTCCATCAGGGACTGTGATGTGGCAGCATATGCCTTTGCATGGGACGATATTTTTTCTGTACTGTGGGAGGAGAGATGAAACATATGCATTGTTTGCGTAAACAACCTTCCCAGCACGCATCTTGCCTCGAGGGGTGTCGATGATATACCCAGCTCCTGTCACGGTGTCGGCAGTCACTAATGTAACGGGCGTATTGGTCTGAAGATTGACACCAGCATCAACAATCAGCTCGACTAAATGCATGATGAATTTGTAGGGCCACATTGTCCCTGCAGTGAAGCTGGCACAGGCTTTGGCACCTTTCACACCACAGATCTAAGAAGATGTCAGCTTCTTCATTTGTTGAGAGAAACCCCTGTCACACTTACTCCTTCCGCATTATCATTTGCATAGAAAACAACATCGTTCATATACTCAAAGTCTCTGGCAACCATTTGGTCATATACAGATTTAGCCTTCTCGGCAGCCTCTGCGTTACACCAAACATCGATCGATCGGGCCAGAGTAAAATCACAATCAATCTTTTCTTGCTCGATAATCTTCTTCACGGCGCTTAGATTCTTGATCTCGAATTCGGCTATTTCAGCCCCTGCTCGATCTCCCGCGCGGTCAATGTATGTGGGAATGTGACCATAAAAGTCGGGTCTGGCGTGACCACCGTTTCGACCAGTTGCGCCCGAGCAAGCTCCGCGAGCTTCTAAAATGGCGATTGACTTATTTGAGCCGCCATGATCCTTGACGAGGTGGTAGGCGGTACTGACACCAGCGTAACCAGCACCTATGATGACAATATCACTGTACTCGGGCAGTTGTTCTGTTGAACGGTGGTCATGCAGCTTGTGCTTGGTCGTCTGCCAAATGGTCTCGCCAGGGTTGCTGACTGGGAGACATTGAGGAGTCCCTGCGGTTTGCAGGGGATCTCTTGTTCGAGTTGGCAGTTCTTCTGTCCGAGAAGGCATGGTGGAGGGAGGGGTGAATGATCACGAATTTAGATGGAAGAATCATCAACAGATGACACGGGTCAGCGCTCAATTAAGTTCCCCGTAAGTTTGATGGAGTTGAAGTGGCTTTATCACGATAGTCCTTTTTCAGGAGGGTCATATGGCCCCGGGTCCGGAGCGGAGACCGGAGTTGCTTATCTGCAATCTTGAGTGGAAAGAGAAAAGTGGAAACTGAACCTGCCTCGGCCATTTCCCTCGCACTCAACAAGAAGTTTGGTTGACCGGACCGGACTTGCCCTTTCGGGTCTCAACTTTAAAGTCTAGTTGAGACGCCAGGATGCACTTCCCCGCATGAAGCCACGTCTTGGGAATTTGACACCACCCGCTAAACCTCCTTTTGTCTGCAAGATAGTCGACTTGTTATCTAGCCGGTGGGAATCCGGTTACCTGAACCAACGATAATCGGGCGATTACCAATGGATCCAAGACGACCTGCCTCCAAACATTGTTATTGGCGCCAACCAATTGCTAGCAGCGATACGCATGAAGATGAAAAGCAGTACATATTTCCCACGGCGACTCAGATACCAAATCGACTTTCTTTGAGAAAACTCTACTTCATGCTTAGTCTTTAACCATGACCACTTCTGCGATGTCGGAAGACCAGTATATTCACAATATTTCTTCCAAGGAGAAATATCCCAACTACAACGCCGGGATGACCAAAGAAATGGACGAGGAGAATGCGGCCGGGCAATTGGAAGAAATCAATAACTTCCAACAAGGACTCCACCAGCGGCATATCCAGATGATCGCCCTCGCTGGCACTGTTGGCACGGGTTTATTCCTCAGCTCCGGTCGTGCTATCGCCCACGCGGGTCCGTTAGGAGCCTTTTTGTCATACTCCATTATCGGCCTCGCTGTCTCAAGTGTGGTGTTTGGTGTTGGAGAAATGGGTGCGTTAGCTCCTCTTCAAGGAGGCGTTATTCGATACTGTGACATCTTCTTCGATGAGGCACTCGCATTTGCCAATGGATGGAACCAAATATACTCGTATATTGTGTCTATTCCGTCTGAACTGGTCGCTTGTGCTATCATTGTCGAATTTTGGATCACTGTCAGCAGTGCTATATGGATCACTGTTTTTGGTATCATCATGGTTATCACAGCACTGCTCTTCGTACGCATATACGGTGAACTGGAATTCGCCTTTTCAACTCTCAAAATCATGTTGATTATCGGTATCAACATCATGGCTCTAGTGATCACCTGTGGTGGCGCACCAAATCACAAAACCACAGGTTTTGAATTTTGGAAGGCGCCATATGGTCCCTTTGTTCAATATCTCGGTATCAAGGGCTCACTTGGCCGTTTTCTCGGATTTTGGACCACATTCAGCAACGCCCTCTATGCTTATTCAGGCATTGAAAATATTACCGTTGCTGCTGCAGAGACCAAGAATCCCCGACGGGCTATTCCAATGGCTGCACGACGTATATTTGTTCGAATCCTGGTCTTCTATGTAATCACCATATTCACAATGACTTTGGTTGTGTCATCTGCCGACCCAGATCTTCTTTCAGAGTCAGGAACAGCAGCCCAGTCTCCTTTTGTTATCGCTGCCAGGAGTGCCGGTATTAAGGTGGTGCCATCGATCATTAATGCGATTGTCCTGACCTCGGCTTGGTCTTCGGGTAACTCTAATATGCTCGGAGGGTCTCGAATCCTATACGGATTGGCTATGCAAGGCCATGCACCTGCCGTCTTCAAGCGTCTCAATCGCTTCTCGATTCCCTATGTCGCCGTCGCCCTTTATGGTGTCTTCATGGCCCTCGGATACATGTCTCTCTCTAGTGGTGCATCAACCGCCTTTACGTGGCTTCAGGACTTGGTATCCATATCAACACTCGTCAATTGGATAACTCTACTGATCGTCTACCTTCGCTTCTTATATGGATGCAAGAAGCAGGGAATCGATCGCAAGCAAGAGTTACCATGGGCAGCTCCATTTCAACCGTATGGAGCATGGTTTTCTTTGGTCATTTTCATCCTTCTCTTCTTCACTGGGGGCTATTCTACCTTCCTTAAGGGCCATTGGTCAACAGAGACCTTTATCAGCTCTTACTTCAATCTTCCTTTCATCATTATTGTTTACTTTGGGTACAAGTTCTGGAAGAAAACGAAGATCATTCCATTGACGGAAATCCCTATTCGACCTTTCATTGAACATTATCGACAGAACCCTGAGCCTGAGCCAGCTCCGAAGCGCGGGCTTCGGCGACTGAATATTCTGTGGTCCTAAACCTGGTCAATCATATAGCAAATACTATTCTTAATTTCACTACCTAGACTTATATCAGTAATCCTTACCTCGTATGTCTCGATCAACCCGTAGACTTGTCATCATGGGTCAGTCAAACCCAAGACAATTATTAATACCATATATCATGAGATTTTCAACTGGTTCAGCCGCATAGTACCAGAGGCCAACGGCAAGAGCCGCCTCTCAGGACATTAAAAGTAACAATTGTTACGGCTAGCCGTGATAATAGACTAGGTAGCCCAGCTAGAATAGTAGTAGATAGTGGTTACTTGAACCACCTACGAAATCGGAGAGACTGTAGGCTTGTTACCGAGTTCCCTATCCCGCCAAGCCTAAACACGAAAAGAAAGACATAAGACCGAGACCTGATAAAATGAAGAGGCTCACCCTGACCCCCAATTCCCTTTACTAAGATACCTGACCCATGATTAAGGATAAACTTAGAGTTTGATAATAAACTCCGGTGTCCCATGAGATAAACCGGACCGGAGTTACCAAATCGGGAATAGCCTCCACCGGATCTCGCGATAACATTTTCGGTGCGGGGGACCATTCACAGTCTTTTCTTATATGGTTGGGAAGCTTATCTTTCTACATGAAACCATTACATTGCAATCGAATCAAGAAAGCTCAATTATACCAGGTTACGAAATCTCCCCAGTCCCGAGAAATCCAATTCAATTACTCTTTCCTGAACCCCTCATAACCCCGCAACACAAGCATCAGCAACGACCAAGTCAATTCCTCCTCCTCACTTCCCTTCACTTCGTTCGACCGCAATGCCTGGTCAAAAGCACGTCGTTTTCGACGTAGTTGGCACATGCGTCTCATTTGACGCCTTCTACAATGGCATCGACAAAGTCATCGGCGAACGCCTTTTAGCCCGAAATATCACAGCCCGCTCCTTCGGATTCACTTGGATGACAGCAGCAGAGCTGGAATTCACCTTTCTTTCCATTTCGGAGCGCTACAAGCCATACAAGGAAGTCATGCTGGCACTCTTCTTCCGCACACTATACATGATGGGCGTCGAGGACCCTCGGTCTTTCGCCACGGAGTCTGAGAGAAATGCGTGCGCGCAGAGTTACTCTGATCTCGAGCTGCGCCCCGGAACGAAGGAATGCTTCGCTAAGCTTCGAGACGCGGGGTTCACGGTCTGGTGTTTGACGACTGGAGATGTGACGCGCGTGCGAGGGTATTTCCAGCGCGGGAGTGTCGATATGCCGATTGAGAACTTCCTTAGCTGTGATACGGCTGGTATTGCTAAGCCAGCACTGGCGGCGTATAAGCCTGCTTTGGCTCGGTTCAAGGAAGAGGATGTGAAGTGGTTTGCGGCGGCGCATATGTGGGATGTTTCGGCTGCTGTGAAGGTGGGGTTCCGGGGTGCTTATTGCACTGTTTATGAGAAGGAGTCCTGTGCGGAGATATTTGATGTGGAGATGGAAGTTTTGGAGCACAGTTTGCCTGCGATGGCGGATAAAATTATAGCTGCGTCATCTCAATAGGCTTGTACAAATGTGAACAGATTTCAATTAAAAATGTAAAGTGTGACCTAGATGAGCAAGCTCAATCTCTTAGCAATGAGATACTCCCAGGACTGAAAACTCACATATAGCCAGGTCTAGTGACTCTGACCTCAATCTGACTGGCCGCTATCTAATAACTAGTCACATCTTGCTATTCTTGCTCTTCTCCTTCAAGTTGCGTAGCGAACGGGTATCTCCATCGCCTGCAGTGTTCATAGCACTAAGTCTTTCAAGTTAGTAGGCCTCTCTCTTATGATACCAACAGGTCCCAAAGATCTCACATTAATGATCTCATTAATCATGGGCTTAGGTAAGATTTAATGATTTTGATCATAGTCAAAAGGCATTTCAAAAGATGCAGAAACAGTAGTTTTAGAGGCCCTGGTAAATGTGGATATGAGACAGAGGCTGTTATTGGCTATTCACAGTCATGTTCCCCCGGAGCTCCCGTCCTCGCCAAACAGCTAAGACCCACTATGGAACCAGTCGCGTAAACACCCGCCTGCACGCATCAGGGGCCAAATGAGCATAGCTCGCACCTGATGGGTGCTTCGCGACTAACCTTGGAATCCGAGAAGGCTCGGCCTAATATACGAAGTCGCTAGTTAACCCTTCAGGGCGTAAGTCCCCAAAACTCAGCCCCGGAGGTAAAAGTGCGCTCTACTCCGTGCAAATTCCCTTTTTGTATTAACGCAGACCGAGTGCGAGCTTAACTCGCCTTCCTAATAAAAGTAGGCATTCAGTCACGGGACGGACTCTTAGCCTCGGACTACGGACGTGATTCCAAATCAATCCCTGCAAAAGAGAATATCTAAGTGGATGCTCTCCATTTTACAGCTGTACGTAGGTCCACGTGAAGGCCCCTAGTATTTCCGGCGATGTGTTAGGGAGGTGATTTTGGCCCCAAAATTTTAGTACAGCGCCGATTAAGGTATCAATCCATGCTAGGACATAAAATATGAAACACCAGAGCCCGAACTACTGCAGGCTAGCACAGCCAACATGCATGGCAGGTCGCAACTCACTGTTTTTATTTTCATAGTAATCGACCTGATTAAATCCCCTGGTTTCGCCCATTTTTCTAAAGTACTATTGATCAAGTCAGGCTGTCTATTATTATCACTCTTTTCTAAACGCTGCGCTTATTACCTTCTGTGCACTTTCAGATCACGGTTCGACTGATCCTGAGCAACAACTTGAAGCCCTCAAACAGACCATATCAAAGACTAACAAAACCGAGCGAGGGCCACTAATCATGGGATTATTCTGGCAAAATGAAAGGAGGCAACGCTTCGAACTTGAATCCGATAAATCCTATCTGTCTCTCGGAGACATCAAGCCTCTTCCCCCGATAGGTTCTGAAGGTGATTTTGATTTTAACAATTTCCAAGCTGAAGCTTCACACGCTCAGCCGAAGCCTTTTACACCGAACGAATCCACACCAACGTTTACGTTCTCTGGGAGTATGCAAAGCGTCCCTAAAACCAATGTACCTGATGTTCCCTTCCCGAATTCCTGTTCGCAGAATTCTCACTACATTTATTTTACTTATCTAGGCCCCACAGAATGCCCAAGAGAGCGCGCAACCGACCGCAGGGGAACCAAAGTCCTGGTCATTCAATGCAAAGACCAAAATTCCACAAATTCCATCCCACCAGAAATTCTATTCGACTAGAGATGCTTTGAAATTCCAGGAGCCCGGCCTGATCTCTGCATTCTCTGACATCCCAGCAGAAGAATATCCACAGTCAAAGTTTTTCTCCTCGACATTTCAGGCCGGCCTGTTTCTTGGATTGCAGCTAGCTAAAGATTCTGCGGCCTTGATGGAACAACTTCTCGTGCATCAGGAATCATACGAGTGTGCCATGGATTCTAATCAGGTCAATTCTCAACTTACGCAAATGAAACGCGCTGGTGAATTGAACAACTTTTTCAACACCGAAACGATTGCATTCCTGGGGAGCACCCTAGCGGGTAAGGGACTTCTTGCAAGGATTTTCCCTATTTTAATCTTCCTGTAGCTTACATTTTCTAGGAAAAAGCAGTTTAATCAACTCACTGCTCGACTTCCCGAGACTTGCCATAGCCGTGAGATGCCCTGTGCAGTACACATTAAAGTTATCCGTTAATAAACGAATTTATAGGACGACTTTGGCTCAGCTGTTACTTCAATTGTCACTGAATATAGACAAATGAAGCCCGATCAAAGCCATCGGATCCGAGTTGAAGTCGAGTATTTCTCTGGAGTGGCCATGGAAGATCATGTCAATGAGCTGTTGTGGAGTTTCCGCCGTGCGTTTCTTCCAGATGTTGCAAAGGATTCATTGAATGCCACCGAGTGGAAAGAAATTAAAGAAGCGTGGTCTGCTCTAGAGTCTGTATTTGGAAGCGAGCAAGAATTTAACCGAAAGTTCTTGTCGGATAAATCAGAGGGGGCTTTTGAGAAAATCTCAGCTCAACTGATCGAGTGGACGAAGACAATCCCATGGCCTACTGGTGCATCTGATGGGAAGTGGGTGACATACGCAGAAACTGCGGAGGAGTTGTGCACAAAAATAAGCCTGTTCATGCAGGATAGGATCTGGCCCTTGACAAAAATCATGCGGTAAGATCTTGAAAATAAAGTGCCCGGGAAATATGGCACAAGCCTGCAATATACAGTTGACTGATATCTGCTTTAGGGTATACATTGACGCACCAATTCTGAGAGCAGGTCTTGTCATCGCAGATTTACCTGGTGAGAATCCGTCTAGCTGGCTTGATTTTTCATAGCTAATGGCCCTAGGACTTCTTGATACAAGTCTCGCGAGGGTTAAAGCGGCACAGGAGTATCTTTCCAGATGTGATCGTATCTTCCACGTCACTGATATACGTCGAGCATTGACCAACGAGCTTCTTGAGTCCTCCTTATACTCTAGGCCTTCCCATGATGCATTAACAAGTGAGGGGGAGTCCAAAAATAGATGGTCACGTACTGCGGTCATTTGTACCATGTCCGATGTTCGTTGAATGGCCTTCAAGTTTGACTTTAACTAACATTAAGAAGGTGATTGATGAAGCAGGAGCCGAGAGAAACTTGCGAACTCCTGGAAAGGGTTCTGGAAAAATGAGCTTGCTGGAGGCAATTGAAGGCATAGAAGATGAGATTAGGAAAGTGGACACAAAGAAAGATCCAGTTCACATGACAGAACTCCAGTGGAAGTAAATCACACATTTCCTACTCCGATAGCCCAGGAATTCCCTAGCCATGCTGACTTTTTATAGGAAGAAAACGCTCCTCATTAAAGCTCGAAACGGACGCGTAGAAGATGGACTCAAACTAATGTACAAGGGCAGCCCGGAGGAGGAAGATCTGAACGTTTTCTGTGTTTCGAACCTATTTTATGGCGAGTACCGATCTCAAGAGTCAGTTATGACGACTCATGACAAAGGAGTTATCAGTGGTATCCCTGCTCTGCGAAAGTTCTGCTACTCTACGCTTGCGGATGCGAGGCTGCAGGAAGCCAAAAACTTCCTTCTTACTACGTTGCCAGGCGCGCTTGTTTCGATTGGGTTGCGCAGTCAGTCATTGGAAGCTGCGCCTTCTTGCTCGATTAAAATGATTCTTGAGAAGGTCGAATCCGCAAAAGAAGGTGTATGTTTAATCAGCTATCGAGTTTTGAGTTGATTCTGATTCATCCTCCAGATTTTATATGATCTCGAAGGATATAATGGTGATTTCCAGCAGTTATTCGACACATCAGTGATCGCATATGCCGGTACAGATTGTCTCAAGAAAATACCTCGTCGACTTAGCTAATCAAATCTGAAGAGACCCATCGGAAAGACTGGCAAAAGGCGGCAAGTCAGACAGGACTGCAATGGCTGGACGTGAGTAATCATTCTTCTTACCGGTACCACACACCTCGCTGATTATTTGACACTGGCAGTTACCATGGGGTAAGAATAACCCTCAATTTATCTCAACTACGATATAATTCCTCATCTCCCTGCTTTTGCCCCATCAGAATCACTGAACCTCCATCAATCGAACTAATCGGACTAATAATCGGACTACTTTTCCAGTTGAATATCAAGCCTTTTGCCGCAAAAATGGTAAACACTTGAATTTATTCAATGAGCCTGTGGATTGGAACAGTGAACTGATTAAGGAAATGCGACCTGAGCTGAGCGAAAGGTGGAACATGCTGGAAAGAAGCCTCTATGCAACATCTCTGGAAATTCGTGTACAGATTAAAGAACGCTTGCGGGGGCTGAAGCTTGTCTTTATGGGTGAGTATCTTCCAAGGGTAATAGAAAGAATGGACTTATCTGATATTATACACCTTTAAGCCAACGGTTTCCCGTCACTCATGGTTGAGAGCTTTGAACACCGCACACAAGATGCCATTCAGCTCATTGAAACCTCGTGGAGAATATTTGCGGGTGAAATGAGGTATATACATCACCCACTGCTCGCTAAATCGTGTCTCTCTCGTCTAATTCTCAGCAGGGGCCTACGTGCTAAGACTCTGGAGTCTAATGAATCCTCTTTTATAGTAGAGGAGATGCTCCCTGCGTATCGCGCCGCAGCTTCGATCGAAGGCAAGTACTACCTGGGAATTAAACCGGGCTTCAAATCACACGAATATGAAATGATAACACAATATAGGCCACGGCAAAGCCAAAGCTCTACGTGAAAAGATTCAAGGCCGAATCGACAATGGAAGACTTTTTCCGAACATCATTTCAGCTGTCTCAAGGGGAATGGAAGCTGCATCTCGAAAGGCTTTTCACGAAATGGCAACAAATATTACTGACGAAATCATTGCTTCTATCGTTAGAGATGTCCGTTCAGTCTATTCGACCATCAGCCTTGCGAAGAAACCGGTCGATGAACACAGCGGACAAATGCCGGCGGAAACTCTGTCTTTGGAAATGCTTCAATACAAGTGCCGCTACTTGAATCAGCGATATAAATGGATCATCAAACAGATTGAATAGATTTGAGATGAGATGAAGATCTCGTCGAGTTGAATGGAAATACCGTTACCGTTACTGTACAGTGTTGATAGGATTACCAATCGATTTGTTATAATTGATCTCAGGTCAATTTTGCGCTCATAATCATGCGCAGCCGGGCTCTATAATAATAAAGGTCAACTGTATTGAAAGACGGAGCACTTCAAATAAAAGGATCCATGATGAGAAATGGTGGCTGTTCAAAGGGAGTTCACAGAAAAAATAGCATTGTGGAAGCCGAGTGCTCCTTTGGGTACGGACTGGGCGTTCATTGCTACACCAATCAGTCAGTGAAAAAACCGAGCCGCCCAGTATGGCAGCCGATAGCGGCCAAGGGGGAGAGGGGGTTTGGGATTTCATAATTCCGTCACCTTTGGTCGCTATCGGCTGCCATACTGGGCGGATACAGAAGAGTGATTAAAGGCTAATGCGCAATCCAACGCGGCTCACGATCAAGGTTGCAGGTGGAAAAGCGGCTATTCTCGACCTCGATTCCACATGTCCTCATCTTCTAGCTGTAATTGTACATTATTATCAAAAAGAAAGAGGCCTCCAGAGAGAATGCTATTCTCTTCTCGTATCCATGCCTATGTCCTGGGTTGATCTGTATTCCGGATTCGTCAGAAATTGTTCAAGCACTTGCGACTCAGTCCAGGTAGGCCATGCCGCCGGAAACGTTGTACTAGCAGCGCCAAAATCTGGAGATTCAAAAATGGGATCAAGGGCGCCGAGCAGATCCATGTCTTGATCGGACGGCGAAATGAATGCCTGGCTGAAATCCGCATCCACTATTTGATCATACGCGTGGGTATAAAAATCTCGAGATTGGCCGGGTTGTAGTATAGCGCCCGCTGTATGACTTGCGACAGGTCCTGCCGCAGGATTTGGCGCTTCGAACGCGACAACTTGCCTAACTTTAGTTCCCCAATGCTTGAAAGCCTCGTAGTCCGAGACGGGTCGCCCGGTTGAGACGATATCACCTTGGTGGGATAGCTGGACCCCGGCATGAAGACGCGCAAGTGCCCGTTCAAGCGTTTCGATCAAAGACACCTCAGACTGAGCCGACTCACCAGCCGCGGACATCTCTCGAATCATGTCGAGCCCTTTGTATAGCGGTGTTCGATACTGTTCTGAGAAACTCTGGATTGAGTAGGCAATCAAAACAAGAAGTGAGGCTCGGCACGAGCTATATTCGATATACGACGCTCGTGCCAAGCCTAACCCACAATCTTGAAGTTCCTGTAGAAGATCCAAAGCCTCCATGGCTGCCTTGATACAGTCATCCACCAACTCTTTGCGACTCGAGAAATTCTTCAAACCAGGAGAGTCCGAGGATAGGGTTCTTTCGGCGACACTGGACTCCGGGTTTGCTGGTGAATTATTCATTGATTGCGACAAGTCTTTCTTCAGCAGGAATGGACGCCCGATGAACATGCGAACTAAGCAATATTCCAGCTGAAGATGCATGACGGAACGAATTTGCACAAGAGGCTGTCGACTGCTGGACACAAGCTCTTGGGAAAGAGAGCTCCACCACTTCTCCAGCGCTGTTTTCGAGTTCAAGAGGCTCGATATTATTTCGGGGATCTGGTGTTTGCGGCAGTTGCGAAGATTTCTCCTGCAGGCATAGGTATGTTAGTATTGGTTATAATGGCAAAGATATCAACACGTACACATCACCAAATAGGTCCTCTAGAAAATGAATTAATTGGATCGAGGCCCCGGCGCGTGCGACACTTGTGCGAGTATCGCCCAATCCCAATTCAGGTCGATATACAGGGGGCGCCGCGTCAATCTCAGTTCTGAGCACTGAAAGAGGTCTTCCGTGGAAGATCGAAATTTTTCTAGCCTCTATTAGCAAATATTGACATATGTTATTAGCACCAAACTCACCTCTCAAGGAGGTATGCTGTCCACCATACTCGATTACGGGTCTCAATCATGGTCGTAGTAAAGGCATTATTCTTGCATCCCCTATGCATCCCATTCTGCATTGCAAGGCGAATAGCAAGGTTGACGTAGATATACCCCAGCCCCGAGGTATCAACAGGAAGTGCATAGTAGCCGAAGAGAAGACAAGCTTGTACACTTTCGAGAGAAGATTGTTCAATGATCTCTGGGAGTAACCGGATTGCTTGTTGGTAGAATATGGCACCAATATCTTCTTCGGCGAATTTCTGGCCCTCGGTTGCGGTCGATTTAGTAGCCGACGACTCTAGATGTGCATATTGGGATCCGATCGCGAATACAGTAAGTAATATGCTGATGACTACCTCGCCGCCTTTCTTGGTCGTGAAACTGCTGCGGTCCTCGTACAGAAGACTCATCCTCTCGAGAAGCCAGGTCTCCTCAACTAAAAAGTAGTGGGTCTCGACATATTTGAAAAAGTTTCTTGCTAGAAATTCCGCAATTGGACGGGGTGGACAGCACGATATTGCCGCTGTGAGATGATCACGTCCTGGTCGTAATTGATGAGCTCGTGGGAAGTCCCAGCCTCTGCTGTGATCACTTGTGTTCTATTTCGTTGAATGAGATGGGTTGTTCCCATGTTTTGGCAGAGGTTCATAGAGGGTTTATCATACCCGGCTCTCCCATCCACCCATTTGCTCAAAATGTTGTTTCAACCGCATGGAAAAGTTCCAATATGAAAATTCCCCGGAGAAATCTGCAAATATCAGCGATGAGATATATACAAATGGAATGAATTCGCGCAGACTGACGTGTTGTGTTATCTTCTTTCGGATCCATTGTGCACGCCTCATCGTCCATCACCAATCCCTCCTCCACTTCTTGGGCGTCCGACCCGACAAGGCTTGCATTATCGGCATCGGCATCAAGCGAGTCCGCCAGCTCGGCAAGACTTTTTGAATCAAGCCGAATGCCTTTAATCGTACGTTTCAATATTCGTTCCATATACTTTGAGCGGTCGATCAGCTCTCGAAAGTCAGCCTTGGCCAGTTGTTCCCTGGGTATCATATTAGCGGTCATCGGTTTCCCAATTATGATGTATACTCACGCTGGAACGTAGGCCCTGAAGTCGACTGTCTTCGGAACTTGTCTTCTCTCACAGACGCGCTGGAAGCGGAGACACCTTCTACACGGGGTTCCACCCTCACACTTCTCCTTCATGCGCCGACAGTCATCACATCTGTATGGAACATGTTACGTATTGGTCATAATGCCGAGGCACTTCTTGGTACTCACGCTCGGGTTGTGCGCTTCCTATTTTCCATCGCTTCAGCTTCATCTGTGAGGGGGTGTCAAGTGGCTGGAAGTGATTGAACTATCCACGGGAAGATACGATGGTTCCCCACAGCACCACCAAAGTGTGGGGTTTTGATCTCGTGACTCTTGCGATGATAAGAAAACCAGCGAATGAGATCGCAGAGCTATCCCTCAAACTGATTAAGATCCGATATCCGAAAGAGGGAAGCCATCATGTTAGGCTTTTTCTTTATACAGAGTGATGCCGTGCAGGCTTCATCTTTCCTCAAATTGTGGAGTTGCATAGTGGGGACGCGTGCATATGCTCAATATTTGCTTTTTTTTCTATGACCTTGCGGGTTAAGATCTGCCCCACTTTGCACGATCCTGTGAGATGGTTTTGGTTTTGGGGTCAAGTCACAAGTTTCAGTAGTGGTCTATATGGTATGAGAGATTGTCTATCAAATATGGTGCTTCACAGCTGCAATCGACCCAGTGTTTCTGCCACGGCGGCAGCGTCTAGAATTACTAGTATTCTCCATACACGGTGAAAATTATTTAGTATGGGACTAGTTTCCTAAGGTAACTCGGTTTTTACTTGATTAGATTGCACTTACAGCCCAAGTGAAGCGAGAGCAGCCTGAGAATGCTTGTATACATAAAAACCAGAGTAAGCTTGCTCACTCTGTCAGAATCACGTGGTATTAGCCTCTTAAATCAATTATACAAAAAAAAAAGCCTGGTACGGTGGCAGCCATTACCGACAGAAGTAGAGGATGCAGTACATTCCACCTTGACCCTCGCGTTTCAACTCATCTTGAAAGAAATTAAATTTGAGTATCTAGCAAGGCCAACCAGGCTTCTCCGAGCAGCAACTTCCATCTACTCATCATCGTGGATATCGACGATAGTCTGCTTCCACTTGCGAGCAGGAACATGACGGTTGAACAGAATGTCAATCTCACGGAAGGATCTGTGCTTCATTTCCGGAACGAAGAGCCAAGACATGACAGAGCAGAACAAGGCGGTACCAGCCCAGATGTAACCACTCTTGCCGCCCAGGTTCCACTTATCGGCGTTGAGCATGTAGCTGGCAAGGAAGATGCAAGGAATATTGACCAAGTAGTAGGCACCTCGTCCAATACCGGTTGTCAGGGGGCGGAGACGAACGGAGGATGTCTCGCCGATGATGACCCAGGAGGCAGGGGCGGGTCCCAGGCAGAACAGGACGGAGACGATCAAGCCAAGCGCTGCCTGCGCATTGCTAATCGCCTTGCTAGAGCCAACTGAAGCCGCAATACCCAGTGCGACCAAGAATGCGCAGTTGATGAATTGACCATAGACATAGATGGTGCGGCGGCCGAGGTAGGTGGTGAGGACCCAAGAGAGCATGACCATGACCCACTGGAGGGCGGAGGTGATAAGACCAAGTGCAAATGCGGTGTTGTCAGCCATGCCGGCCTCTGAACTGGTGTTAGTCTGCTGGTTATGAAGTTTGCCGGAAATGGCTGGACTCACGTTTGAAAAAGTAAACAGCTTGGTTGGCAATCAGATTACCCGTCAGATTCTGAGATGCGTACACACCGCAAACGATCAATGTGCGATAACGATCGGTACCCTTCCACAACTCAATGAGATTGGGCTTCTTCTCAGTCTTCTCGAGTTCGATCGTGCGACGCATCATGGCGACTGCGTCAGCGGGGTTATCAGTTGCACTCTTGCGTCCAAGGCGGCTAACAGCCTTCTCAGCCTCAGCCAGACGACCCTGTCGTACGAGCCACCAGGGCGATTCAGGCGCAATGTAGAGAAGGATAGCGAGGGGAGTAGGGAACATCCACTGGAGTGCAATGGGAACTCTGGGATAACTGTTAGTGCAGTGCTCCTCGATGGCATTCATGGGAGTGGACGAACCTGTAGGCGGACGAGTCATTCTTGGATTGATAGTGGTAAGTGATACCACCGACGATGATGGCTCCAATCGCCCAGAACATCTGCAACATCTGTGTCGCTGGAGCTCTCAGTCTCATGGGCACAATCTCGGCACAGTAAGCGGGTGCATTGGCGATGAAAATACCCCAAGGGATGCCTTCCAGGATCTGAGATGCGAAGAACATGCCCTGGCTGTTACCGAAAAAGAAGATGAAGATGAAGCCGTTCAATGCCATGAGACCGCCAATGGTCGCCCATCGATATCCAATCCGACTGGTAATGGGACCTGCGATGAATACACCAATGAAGGCACCGATTGGCCCACTGCATTGGAATGCTGACTGCCATGACGCTTCGATAATGTACTTTCCTGTCGAGTTGCTGTATACACCAAAATCATCGGCGAACTTCTGTGTGGCGATGAACTGTCCCATTAAGAAAACACAGTATGACTCCATGATCTATCGCAACGTTAGAGAAATGATCAATTCCCTAGTATCATGGACAAAAGCTTACAATAGTGCATGACATGACAAATGCCCACCAACTGGCAGCGGGATAGGCTTTGACAGCTTCAATCACAGTCATGCTATGTTCGAGCTGCTCGGCCTCGATAGCGCCCGCTCTGTCGTAGTCGACCTTCTCGCTGGTCTCGTAAACAGGACCGCCCGTGGAGGCGGGCTGCGCCTCGACCTCCTCCAACGCTGAGCTGTGCTTCTCCGTGTCGCTAGTCATGTTGGCGATTTCTGGGAGACACGAGTGAATGAAAGAGAGGCAGGCACGACTGGGGGTTTCAGATCTTTATACCTGGGACCACACGCTCGTGATTGTGATCCCGATCTTAGCTGCATTGAGCGAAGCTTACTCCGGCCCTTGACCTTCTCGACCCAACATCTCCGGCACTACGGTAGTAGTGTCACTCGATTATGGTGCTATGATAGGTACTAGTCGGGAGGAAATGTACCGGTTGATTTGCGGGGTCAGCTGAAGTGGCAATTTGAGTGGTAGGGTGTCTTGTGGCGTTCCAATCGCCGGAGAATTCCCGCATTGGGCCATAGGGGAGAGTCCAGGATCCAGGATTCTCCCTCCTTCAGTTAGTGCAAGTCATGCTTGTGCCCCCTACCAGGTTATTTCCCTTTGTTTTGCCCTCTGAAATCTGACTCTCCTGGTTCCCTTTCAATGTGGTTTACTGCTGCTGAGCCTATCATAAGGAGCAACTCAATTTAACCGAGGAACTGGAAGAGGATAAGCGCCAATTATTAGTCTGTGCTTGACTCCGGGTATCAAGTCTGTACCACGGGTACAAGTTCAGTAAACGTGGACCATTCAGAATGTCTTCAAACGCTGGCCTCCTCGGATGCTTGCTCATGATGCTTGATTTCTCTATTCCGTACATCTGGAAAATATCATGTTCAGTGGGGGAGCAGTCGGACGGGATGATCCAAGATAAATATGATCGATCTTTTAAAAAACCTGACGAATCCCAGAGCCGAACACGGCTCCGTGTCATTTCCCTGGTTATGGGCTCGGTCAGCTTTACCCCGGACGGATACTACCCCGCGCCATGACCCCAGACGGACCGTGAATCTCCTCCAATGGAGAAAAGGAGATTTGCCGGAATTGGTTAGTGCAAATATGAAATCCTATGAAAAGGGGCAGTTCAGTGTACGAACTCCGTACTCCATTTCGCCTGGCCCTATTAACCTGCCATCACGGAGTACTGTGGATCAGCTCATCTACTTCTAATCCCCAAGATCCATCAATCTTCCAAAGTTTTAGCGGTCTAGCTTTCTATCATATGCCTCACGTTATATCCGATCCATTTCTCACTAATAACCGATCAAAGTCCAGGTGGAGCGGACGACTGATTGCCTCTTCTTTTGCCACTCGGCTTTGCCGACCCGGTTGTATACCGAATTAGTAGTCCTTGAGTCGGCTTACGTTCAAGTTGGCGGGTGATATGACCTTTGCTAGGGAAATCCCAGTGGGACTGGCTGACATGGTAGCCACGCGATCGCGCTGTTCAAAATTAAGCTCCTCCATTCTCGAACGCATGTGGCCTGTTTTGACTTCTGTATCATGAATCTCCACTGCGCTCCACCAGATCAACAGATCTCGAACACTGCTTAAAAAAAGGGGGTGACACCCTAACAGTTGGCCCACCCCCTTCCCGAGGTCCTAGATAGGATTAGCGTGGCCTTTTTGTGTCACGAAGAGGGAGGATTGACCGCCTTTTTCCAAACGCTTCTCGAAAGGACTCAGTTGGCGCTAGTACTAGTATGCCAGTCGCGTAGAAATCACTAGCAGTAGTAGAGATATAAACAAATACTACATGCTACTATTTATAATTACTACTGTTCTTAATTCCAAGTTCCAAGTTTGTTAGGATTAAGTAACCTTGGAGTGTGTATCGGGTAGTATAGACCTCGGGATAGAAAAGCTTTACCCCGATCTAGTACTCAGGCCTCCAGCCTCATCAGGCGACCCACATGATCGGCTCCATACTCCAGAGTTCTAGAACACATCGCTCGCTATGACTTTTCAGGGCGGCAAATCACTCTTTTCTTCGACCATTGGTGGAATGCACATCTACAGCGGCCTTCTTTTTTCGTTCATGAAGCCTAGATTGAAGGGGCTGTCTACATTTCCCTTAGGTACGAGGCTTAGATTCAATGGGTTAAGCTTCCAGCGACTTTCCACGACGCCAAACGTAGATTTATAGTAACGGGGACTCGTTTTCCCGCGTCTCGATTGGCAGGAAACACCAAGCATTCGTTCCGAGCCTCATGTCTTGCGAAGATCATGGCTCAGTGCTGCGGGGAAGTGGGGGTCATGGAATCGAGGTTTGTAACTGAATTTGGGGACAGGTGATCTAAAGCCCCCTTTTATTGGCAGAGGCATTAAACACATGCAGCCGTATGACAATCTCGATGACTAGCCAGATTATTGTAAGCACTAGTTGAACACTAAATGAGCGCCAGTATGGCCGAGGCGCAGCTTACGGCAAGATTGACTGGGGGAAGCTCGATAAACTAGCTGGTGAATTTCGCTTCAGGTTCTGGATAGGCCAATGTAAAACTCGAAAGACATCTTAATGTCGCGATAATACGCATGGAAATACTTGCTGAGCGTGGTGTAAGGCTTGGAATTTGACGCTACCCCAGCTTGGATCAAACGCCTTCAAACCATTTACGCTCCAGTGCTTGACGAGCCGTGCTCCGTTTGGCCGGATCAAAACATGTCATATCACATATAAGACTTCTAAAATCTTCATCAATACCATTCCAGAACTTGAATGGTTCACGCGAGATCTCCTGGTTGAATCCGTCCCGAATTACTTCGAAAACACGAACCCATGAATTGTCACCAAGGTGCTTCAAAAATTCATTGAGCCCGTCTTCATCTGCAAAGTAAGAGATCTGGCGTTCAAATACCACAGCAAGGGGATCGACACCCTCCTCTGGCTCGTCTTCTCTAACAGCGAAACTTATGCGTTTGTGAATGGCGCAGATGCACTTCCAAGATAGTTAATGACTGTACTTAGAAAGAATTTCTGGATATAGAACTTACAACCAGAGCAAATGAGAAAATATCCGAAGGTTTGTTGATTGGCCCTCTTGCGTGGGCTTCGGGGCTCCTCCACATCCATTTACCTGCCTGTTTGCCGATCATATCGCACCCTGGGGGAATATAAGCGGCATCTTTTCCGGTCTCCAAGCTGAACTTTGTTGAAAATAGTTTCTTTATGGCAATCCTGTCAGTTGACAAAAATATTGTCTGCCTTTATATCTATAAATAGTAAGTTCTGTTATTCCCAGAAAACAGCAGGGAAAAAAAACTGTATGAACAATATCCTGGTCATGAAGCTCAGAAGGTCCAGTAAGGGCATTCTTGAGAATTCTCTTCATAGCCACAGGGGGCAATGGCGAGTCATTCTGTGCAAGAGTTAAGAAATTACCCGTGAAGTGATCAAAAACAAACATAGACTTGTTTGAGATAGTATCCATAGCAAGCCGAACATGGCTTGCATTTCCACGTAGGCGATTATTGACTTCTTGAAGATCTTCAAAGTTGATGGGATGTATATGCTCTAATATGAAATTCTTGTGATCGCCCGCACTGAAGAAGGTAAAAGCATGTTAGTATAGGGGGAAACTGGTGTCTACTCACGAGGCACGATAAACTTGACGCGGTGGAGACACTTCCTCCTGCAAAACATGTTCGATATTGTAAGTGCGACCAGACAGGCCCTTTTGCTGTGTAGAAAGCAGAAAGTTGCTTGGCACCGTGCTGGATGTGCGGTGAAAAAGACGCGTTGATCTTGGGATTGATGTAGGATGGAGAGCCCTTAAGTACGTTGGGCTCTTGCATAAGTGGCTCGCTAGAAGAGCTGGAAACTTTAGAACCAACATCACAGAGTGGATTGCAGGAAGTTCTTTGGATTCGTTTTCCGGGAAAGGATGGACGTTTCCTATTAGCTGAGGAAATTTCAAAAAACGTTCGTCCGTAAGCTGGGCGACAAATGGGGAGATTGCAACGTTGTAACTAACGATCTCGGGTTAGTATCTTAAGAGACAGACGGCGAGTTGTGTGCTGGCAAGAAATGCCAGCCTGGCAGTTGCGTGAATGGAAACAAGGACAACAAGGGGCCAAGCTGTTGCTGTGTTCGCCTCAGGCACCCCACCTAGCACTCACATCTTGCCTCTCTCTCCCTGGTAGATATCCGCATGAATACATGCACCATCTCCTGGTTTCCATCCTCGATCAAAAGCTGCCGTTATTTGGAAACTGAATAAGGAGGAGCAATAGTAAAATCCTCTCCTATTGATTAATGGTATCTACCACCCATAAATATACAGTCTATTGATTTGATCATCATGTAGAAACCCCAAAATGGGATATAATGTACATGTGCATCTACTACTAACTAGTAGCTATTACGGCTCAGTGCTAGTAATTGGTAGGCAAACTCGTCTTATTTGAAAACTGAACATGGGGGCAGGCGATAGAAATCACCTCAATTTTCGACTTTCGACTTTTCACCTTCATGCAGGAATAGAATATGAGAGCTTGGCGTACTTTAGCGAGAACTCAGATCCTCCTTTGAAGCTATTGGTTAAACTCTGGTGAGTTTCGGTCACTCCCGGCTCTTTCGAGTAAGCTTTGAGCTTGTTGACGATCGACGGGAGTTGCGCTCAACATGGGGATAATCGAATCTGACCCTTAGCCCTCAAGACTAATGGTGTCCTGTGCTCTTTCTATTGAGACTAGAGGGTACGTCTCAAACTCTTTTAGGCAAGACTGGGGTGTCCCAGTTTAGAAGTGAAGCGAGGGGGAAGTGTTGCAACAAGTTGTGACTTTTCGTTCTTGAAAAAGGCGTGATATAAGGTTTTTGAGGGGAAATTAACGCGCCCAGACGTCTCCTGAGGCGATACTCGCGATATTAGGTGGATATTGAGGTTGTACGCGGCCAGATAGCCTTGTTGATCAGAATATCACTGGTGTAAGCACAGTAGAGCTGGATTTTTTCGAGTTTTAACTTGAAGACCTGAAAGAGCTCTCTTGTCTTGAAGGTAGAGGTCCGGATGAGCTGAGTTTTCTCGAACGAGGCGATTTGTCTTTGTGTAGAGGTAATGACATTGTGCCACTTTGAGAACTGATCGAAGGAGTGGGAATTAACCTGAGAAATGAGCAGTAAATTGAGCGGAGGAGAATAAACAAAGGGATGAGTTGGGTGTTACTACCCACTTACTCAATCTCCAAGACCAGTCTTTCTAGGGGCAGGTTGCTTACTAGCGTTAGTAGTGTTAACCTTAGATGATTTTATCTCGGATGAAACGTTCCCAAGACCTGGGCTAGAAAATTGTTGCGCGGTTAGCTTTGCGAGGAAAGGATCTGAAGCACGAGAATGGTATCAAGATCGCGGAATTCGAGAGCACGGGTTTCGTGGCCCAAAAGGAGATCCTTGACTCTCAAGTCGCTTTTGTGTACGTGAGCAAGCGTCGTCAGTGAGGGTGGGGTTTAAAAAAGCTCCGAGGTCACTAACAGCACCGGGCCATGGCCTATTGAAGGTATGGGGCCGATACTGCCATATGTACGAACAAGAAGCGATCGGATGATCGTAGCTAGGACTATCTACACATGTCCCAGTGCGAATAGGCTAAACCCAAAGAGGAATGTTGGCCTTGGGATCCTGGCTGGAGAGAAAGTGACTAAGCAAAGGGGTCAGGTCGTTCTATCAATTCCCCAGAAATAACGGCTCGGCCTGGTGCGACGCACTGGCAGCTGCACTGCCTAAGTGGCAAATATTTTGAATCCAGGATATGGGAGTAGGTGATCACTCCCTCTTTCTATTGGCAAAAAGCATTGAATAAGTCTGCATTTGCAGGTCGCCACCATGCAATCTTCCAACACTGCGCCCCAAAAATAATGGCTCAGCTCTTTTGCACTGCCTTGGTATGCGTTGAGCTTTTGGAAACTGAATGTGGAAATAGGCAGTCTAAACCCCCTCCTACTGGTCAACAGCACCAAACATACATTTTATGCAGCAAAAATCGGATTTTCACGTGCCAGTTGTCATCATGTGTGGATTCTGAATTAGAATGGGTATCTACGTAGGTGCTGAGTAGTACAGAGTACATGCCCACCTGCCAGTGGGTAGGTTTATAGTATTTCCAGTGACCTACTATTAGGTACCACCTGGGCACCTACTAACTAGTAAGTAGTAGTAGTAGTAGTAGTAGTAGTAGTAGTAGTAGTAGTAGTAGTAGTAGTAGTAGTAGTAGTAGTAGTAGTAGTAGTAGTAGTATTTTTTACTAGTAGTATGGCTTCAATTTGGCTGCCAGTGGATCACTTCAAGTTTTAATCCACCTTTTAATCTTCCAATGTTTATCAAATTTACTAGTAGTAGTAAATATCAGAGAAGTTGGTTCAAGCTTCCTTCTATGGGAAGATGGTATCAAACATCTGCAGTCTTTACATAAATGCTACCATTTATAAATTTTCAAGGAATACACTACTAGTAGTAGAATGCAGATACATCCATGGATACATTTGCATCTTCTTCACCCTGAGATTACGGCTCAGCTCAACTTTGGGGGCCAAAATTTATGACTGACTTGAAAACTGAAATGGGGACTAAGCAGTCAAAATCAGCTCTCATCGGTAAATAGTACCAACACATATCCACACATAATCCTTAATGCAATGATCATGTTTGAATCCTAAAATGGAATAGCATGTACATTTGCGCTACTAGACCCTTAAATTACGGCTTAGCAGATGTAAATCTCAAATGGTGATTTGTTTTTGAAACTGAATAAGGGAGCAAGCAACAGGAACCCCCTCCTATTGGTAGATAGTATCAACCGCCCATACATATGCAGTCCATGGACGCAGTCATCATATAGAAATCCCAAAAAGGAATAGAATACAGATGTACATGTGCATCTGCCCCACCCTTAAATTACGGCTCAGCGGAACAATGTGCAGATGTGTGAGCCGTATTTGAAAACTGAATGAGGGAGCAGGCAATAGAAATGCCCTCCTATTGGGGGATGCTGTCACACACAGCCCATAGACGCAGTCATCATATACATAGAAATCCCAAAAAGGAATAGAATGTACTTCTTGCATGCTCCGCCCCCAAGATTACGGCTCAGCTACTCGCTGCACCGGAAATTTAGGTCATTTTTGAAACCTGAATAAGGCAGAAGACAGTCCAGAGCTGCACTGATTGGTAAACCGAGTGTTTCTCCCAAATCAGCCTCTCCCACTTATCTCATCGTGCAGGATCTTAGGCAACACTGGCACTTCTATTTAGGTACAGCTGATTCAGTGGATTCGGACTTCTTACTTAATAGGTGAGGATAATGACTCAATGACTTTGAAGTTTTTTCTGGGTAGTCTGGACAGTAAACAGAATTGTTGAAAGACACTCGTCTGTTACTAGTGATGTTTTAGTATGGCCTGACTGACAGGGTCACTCAGACTCGCTCGGCTCGGCTAGCCAAGATCCCGGTCATACAAACCTTGGAAGTTAAGGGATCAGGTAACTCACAGCACTGGCTCGTTGAATCTAAGAGCTTAAATAAACTCGAAGCAAATCGGCTCTAACGGGTGTGGCGGGTGTAAGTTTAAGTAGTGTAACCGTCCCCAGTCAGTACAGACGGAGTTCGACTCCACTGTTGTGGGTCGAAGCTTGATTCTAATTTTATCCACGATACTAACTGGGGTACAGAGGTCCAGTATGTAGATTTGTTGGTTACATCGTACTCATACCCCGGGAGTCCCCCTCTGCCAGGCTGCATTTATTGAAATACAGACCTTGTCGCAATGACCGCAGATATACGCACTCATGTACTAGCGGGTGGAGATTGGTCTAGTCTAAATGGAAATGCATGAGTATGAATCAGCGCCTCGCATTAATATTAGTTCTGCACTGCGATAAGGCATCGAGCAAACAAGACACTCCCGGGTCCCCAGCCAGCCACAGCCAATCCCTCCACCACTCAGCCATACCATCCGACAAAGCTACACTATACATAGAACACAACTCAGCTCAACTCAAGACAGAACGAGATAAGACTAAAGAAATGCCGAAGCGCTGCAATTGAACTAACACACAGAGAACAAACGGGCTAACCGAATGGCCCCAGAACGAGGAAAATAAAGGAGTTAAAAAAATTAACGAAAAAAGAAGGGAGAGAGAGAGCGGGTAATAGGGCACACAGAATAGCGAGCAAGAACAGGATATGGCGTAGCAAAAGTACATCACAAGAAGGGTAATAGTGAGGTAGGTGGTGGTGGTGTGGTTGTTAAAAAAGAAGAAAAGGGTTTAATAAAGTTAGAGAAGTAGGAGCTATCCCCGGTTTCTGCATTTGCATTTGCATTTGCAATGTGCAAGGAGAAAAACCCGCGCGAGGAAATCATATTATCAAAACCAGTCTCTTTTTTTTTTAGGCGATGCGTGGGCCCATCCAGCGGAAAATAAAATGAAAAAAGGAATAGGAAAAGGAGAGCAAAACAAACTGCGTTAGGCGGTAAGAGAGTGTGTTGGTGTGATGACAGGGTAAGGAAAAAAGTGGTTGGTGAAGGAGAGAGTGCGAGTTGAGATGAGATCGGTTCAAATCAGTTTCAAGGTCAAGGTCAGCAGCCGTCAACGGCTCGGGGGAGAGGAGCAGAGCATTGTTGGAAGCGGGTCGTCTTAACGAAGGGAGAAACCCTTGCGCTTGCCCTTTTCTTCGATGGGCCGGCCGCTTTCGAGGCGGGTTTTCTTCTCCTCTAGCTCTGTGCGCTGCCGGTCTAGCTGCTCCTTCATCTCGCGGTGTCGGGCGTACAATTCGTCTTCGCTCTGTTTGAGCTTGCTTTCCTTTTCGGA